AAGTCAAGCTGGACATTGAGAACGCAGACAAGGACCCTGAAACCTTCCTTTCCAACTTCTTGTCCTCGCGAGCATGGATTCCCGAGGGCCGTGCCAACGAACTCCAGCCCTTTGACTCAGACGATGATGATGAAGTGGATCGGGCAGATGCTTTCGAGGAGGCCTACAACTTCCGCTTCGAGGATCCTAGCAAACTCAACGAGAAGATTATGACCCATGCCCGTGACATGACCAACGACCAGTCTGTCCGCCGAGATGACAAGAGCGCGCGCAAGAAGATTCGTGATGCCGAGCGCCAGCGCAAGGAGGAGGAGAAGAAGCAGCGCGATACCGAGAAGAACCGTTTGCGCAAGCTCAAGACAGAAGAGCTTCAGAACAAGGTCAACCAGATCAAGGAAGTTGCTGGTTTGCGGGCGGCCGACTTTACAGATGAGGATTGGTCCCGCTTCCTCGACGATGCCTGGGATGACAAGGAGTGGTCAACCGAGATGGCCAAGCGATTTGACGAAAACTACTACGAGGACCAGGATACTTCGGGCAAAAACCACCCTAAAAAGCCTGAGTGGGACGACGATATCGATATCAAGGACCTGATTCCCGACTACGAGGATGAAGAACCCACTAAGCCTGCATTGGGCTCTGATGACGAAGAGGAGGAAGATGATGAGGCCTCTGGATCCAAGAAGAAGAGTAAGGCTCAGGAGAAACGTGAACAGAAGCGCGAAGCTCGCAAGGACAAAATGCGCGTCGATGAAGCCGTCGAGCGGAATCTCGACCTCGACATCACTCTCCTCCCTGGTGCCACCAAGAAGAACGCGACTCGATTCCGCTATCGTGAGACTTCCCCTCAGAGCTTCGGCTTGACGGCACGAGATATTCTCATGGCAGACGACCAGCAGCTCAACCAATTCGCTGGTCTGAAGAAGCTTGCCACCTTCCGTGAAGCGGAGAAGAAAGAGAAGGATCAGAAGAAGCTGGGCAAAAAGGCCCGACTTCGCCAGTGGCGCAAGGATACCTTTGGTAATGAGGACGGTCCCGAGTTCAAGTTCGGTGGGGATGCGCCTGTCGAGAAGGAAGCTGGGAACGAAACCAAGCTTGATATCCGCGAAGGTGATGGGCAGAGGAAGAAGAGAAAGCGGTCAAAGAAGAACTAAGCGCAGGCGCAAAATAAAAGCCGGTGTCGTGTATAGTTTTGACAACCTTGGCATCTATGGATGTGAACAAGTTTTGGGGACCTGGGCATGGAGTTAGAATCTTATCTATTTGCATTTAAATGATGGTTAAGTTAAAAATTCTGGACTTTTTAAACATTAAGATAAGCCTTGAATGGCTCGTAGAAGTGTTCACTAGGGTGTTCTCACACGTCCATGTCCAGATGTATAAATTTTCCGCCAAAAATCGTCGCCGATGAAAATTACGCGCTAGTGCAAATCACACTCAACCCTCCATCCCCTGACGCCCATTACCATCTACGCTGGGTGAGAACAAAGAAATGAACATATTAGTACAAATGTGAGTAGGCAGCTATGGGTGCATAGATAAATTTTCCAAGCCCGTGTCATTTACGGACCTTTATAGCAATGATGCATACGTGGCTGAAGATATATACTTTGATGCATAAACTATCTCTATCTTACCCAATCGTGCAGATAGGATCTAACAGATCATTCATTTCAGAAAGACACAGCATATTAGACCGTCGATCTATCCAATCCTTCACACCCTTACGTTATCAGCTTCCAAGTTTTCTGCAAGATACGCAGATGAGCTCTGTCTTTGAAATTCCCTAGGTAACCAAGGCCGATGCGCAGGAAAGCGGACCCGCGAGAGGCCCATGATTGGCCTGTACCTAGCGTTGTCCAGGTACATTGCACATGCGGCTGACCTCCACATCAAACTTTGTACCCGTTACATTAATAGCACCGAGTGAAAATGGCTCATAGCCGGCTTCTCCCCGAACAGGTATTTCGTCGCGCGAGCTGATTGCTAGTAGCCTACAGTGGGTTATTATATTGCTACATAACGAAGAGATTTCAAACAAGACAAAACTTGATTTATACAAGGTCTCAGTATAGGCAGGGCAGTACGAGACCGGTAGCTCGCGAGTTAAATTTGAATTCAGTGATCCCTGCTCAGCACGAGATGAAATTAAACACGCGGACCGCAAATAAAGAGTTTCCGATTAGTATCCCTAAAATCCTAAAAATCCCTATAGTGATGTGTCTAGGCTGGACCAGCGGATATCAGGTTGCCACAGGGTTTGAGCTTTCGGACACTCGGGGCAGGGAAAAAAGGAGGTCGCCCCGTAGGTGTGGAGGCCCGGCATTGGACGGGGCCAGATACGCGGTACGGGCTGGGTACGGTGTCCACCCGGCGCTTGGACTCTCGTTGCTCCGACTACGATTCTGGCCAGTATTCGATATAAGACGGATATCAGAGTGAAGAGGGTGGGAGAATAGTGATTCCGGGGGTAGTGGAGGCATTAGTGAATCGATCCCACCAGGTTTTGTAGTTGAATCCCAGCCATTTGGCCATGGACAAGCAGATGAAAGCAGATGCAGAAATTTTCGGGCTCGGGAGATATCGGCAAGGCCAGAAGGCAATACGCGAAAATTTCAGTAAATACGGCCCCTGGCCGACCTGATTGGGTGTTAGTCTCCTGCGTTCGCTTCCACCCGCGTACGGCAGTATTTTTCTGCCCCCTTCCGCCCCTTCTCTTCCTTCTTTTTCTTCTCATCCCCGGTGTTTCTTCTTGACACTTCTTCATCTCCTCTCTTTTTTTGTTGTTGCATCTATTTCTTGCACAACCTTCATCATGTCTAAGGGTGATGTTAACCAGGGCGACAAGTCCGTCTTCGGCATGCCCGTAAGTTATTCTCCCTGCTGAGCTCGCCATCTCTCGACTCCTCGCGACAAAGGATCTGGATGCGTCGCGATGGACTCCTTGTCTGTCTCGATGCAACCAGAGCCATTGCCAGCACCGAGAAGAGAATAGCAAGCTTGGTCTTGTTGATGAAATTGGCTTGAACAACAGTGCTAACAAAAATTTTCACAGGGATTCGTCGTCGACTTCTTGAGTATGTGCCACGTCTCAACTATCCAGCCTTGCGCTGGATTCCTCAACCCACAACACCTCGATTGAATACTAACAGAATTCTAGTGGGTGGTGTCTCCGCCGCTGTCTCCAAGACCGCTGCTGCCCCCATTGAGCGTATCAAGCTCCTCATCCAGAACCAGGTTGGTTATTCCTTTCCATTCACTAAACCTTTCGGCATCTCTCAAGGGAGAGAGAAATTTACGCGAGCAGCAATTGCGAATTGAACCAGCTTTTTGATGGTTCTTGACGTGGTCAATGCTTGACTGAAAAAAAAATTATTTTTCCCGTGACGATTGCCGAAGGGGTATCTATTTTGGTTACGAATCATCGTCTAACCTCGTTCCTCTCGAATAGGATGAGATGCTCAAGGCCGGTCGTCTCGACCGCAAGTACAACGGTATCGCCGACTGCTTCAAGCGTACCGCTGCTGCTGAGGGTATGGTCTCCCTGTGGCGTGGTAACACCGCCAACGTCATCCGTTACTTCCCCACCCAGGCTCTCAACTTTGCCTTCCGTGACACCTACAAGTCCATGTTCGCCTACAAGAAGGAGCGTGATGGATACGCCAAGTGGATGATGGGTAACCTTGCCTCCGGTGGTGCTGCCGGTGCCACTTCCCTCCTCTTCGTCTACTCCCTGGACTACGCCCGTACCCGTCTGGCCAACGACGCCAAGTCCGCCAAGGGCTCCGGTGAGCGTCAGTTCAACGGTCTCGTTGACGTCTACAAGAAGACCCTCGCCTCCGACGGTGTTGCCGGTCTCTACCGTGGTTTCGGTCCCTCCGTTTTCGGTATCATTGTTTACCGTGGTCTCTACTTCGGCATGTACGACTCCCTCAAGCCCGTTCTCCTTGTTGGTACCCTTGAGGGTAACTTCCTTGCCTCCTTCCTGCTCGGCTGGACCGTCACCACCGCTGCCGGTGTCGCCTCCTACCCTCTGGATACCGTCCGTCGCCGCATGATGATGACCTCCGGTGAGGCCGTCAAGTACAAGTCCTCCATGGATGCTGCCCGCCAGATCGTCGCCGCTGAGGGTGTCAAGTCTCTCTTCAAGGGTGCTGGTGCCAACATCCTCCGTGGTGTTGCCGGTGCCGGTGTCCTGTCCATCTACGACCAGGCCCAGCTCCTCCTCTTCGGCAAGAAGTTCAAATAGATGATTCGCCCCTGAGCGATCATTTGTCACCTGTAGTTATACTGGAGTCGGGGTTTGTTCCCTGCCTGGTGTAACCGCTAGGCGATGGGAAGCAGAGGTTGTGGGACTGCAAAAGATAGATGCGTCAAGAAACGGGTTCTGGGGGATCTTGAAGCATAGAAAGGTGTGATTCTTCCCTTTTTGTACTCGATGTATTTTACTGCCTGCAAGCTCTTTTTCTTTTCTTCGAAAACTGTATTTTCTTCTACGTATCATCTTTTTCCTGTTCTCTGTACACGCGTAGAGTTGCTTCGTATCTTATGGGACTGTCCTTTGAGCCGGTGAGGCTGGTGATCAATTCTCAGGTCTCGTGGTCTATTTTGAGTCTCAACCAGCAGTTCCTGCATTGGGTGGACATCTTCCAAGTCCTCCACAGGCTCTGCTTCATGTTAGGCCACCTTGCGAATCTTCTTAGTTGGTATGTTGATACGTGGCGACAAGGGTTGGTGGCAAGTCTCAGCTAGGGGCCCTACCGACACAGTTGTCAGAAAACCAACTGGACAGCCCATTCCTCTCTGTGACCTGAGACTACGATCCCATCCGCCAGCGCTATCCTATACCAGGAAAAGCACGCCTCGAAGCTCTTCGCTGCGCATCTCGAAGCGGTCGCCCCACAGCGGAAAGCGCATGACGTCTGGGGCTGGAGCTTCTTGACCTCCCAGCTTCTCGCTTGAACTTCTCTTCAACACTTCCTGCTACTCAGTCTGCAATCATGTCTACCTCCGGAGGTATACCAACTTACACCTCTGCGCCCGTCAATCCAAACAAGGAAGAAGGCACACATGGGTCGACCTCATCACCAGAACCCGCCACCTCAATCGAGTCCTCAATCACAGCGCCATCGGAACCCGCAAACACAACTGCAACAACTACAGCTACAGCTGCAGCGCCTTCCTACTCCCCTATCTACGCAACTGCGCAACCAGGAGCTCCTCCAGCTCAGCCCGGCGCAGCACCAAGTCTCCCTGTTCCAACAGGCACCGGATCAAGCAAGCTCACAGCAACTCCAACAACCACAATCCCAACCGCAACGTCGATATCGACATACTCCCCGCCTCCGCCCCAACCAGGCGCAGTACCACATCCTCCTACCCAAGCAACAAGCTCCCCAGTGCCCCCTCCACCGAAAGCAGGCGAGGCCGTAACCCAGCACCCGCCCCAGCCTCCAGCTACATTCACTCAATCCTACTCCTACCAGCCTTCATCAATCCCAAACTCAACATCCACCCCCTACTCCTCAGTTTACCAAACGCACGCTGGTGCAAGCTCGTCCCGTCCCAATGGTCTACCTCTGCACTCTTCCAGCGGTGGAGGCGGAAGCGCAAACGATATATTCGATGATGAGCCTTCGTTTGTGAACACGGCTAAGTCGTGGTGGCAGACTGCTGGGACGAAGTTGGCGGAGGTTGAGGCGGAGGTTTGGAAGAAGATTAATAAAGCTCATGATGAGTGAAGTGGGGACTCGAGAGTGCATTGTTAGGAATTATATCTAAATTGAATTGGTTTTTGTTGGTTGGATTTCGTTCCAAGGTTATGGGAAATGGGGAAATGGCTTGATTTTTCTGGGAGGTGGTACTTATATAGATCTGTAGGTCATAGGGTCCATATGAAATAGAAATGTGCATTCTGGACTAAAATGGGGTTTCTTCTGGGGTATTGCGCTGACGGTTTGGAGCTGAGCTTATATGAATATCTATCTTATCTAGACATAAAACCTCAAGCACTGGAGGCCAGAAGTACACGCGAAATACCAGAGCTCTCTTCAATCGTATGTCCTTGTATTGTGCCACAGCAGGTCGGAATAACCTTAGGAAAAAGGCAGGGTTCCCATCGAGTGTCTTTCTATGTCTCATGTTTAAAGCGAAACTGATCCAGCTGTAACCCATCAGGTCAAAGTTTACTTTCCATTCACCCTATCTAGTTGCTATTCTAGGGTAGCCTTACGTATATGTAGTAACAAGAAACAGTATATATCTTAACCCGAGAAGATAAATCTCTCGATAGTTGATTGAGAAGAGTATCAGTGGGCCTATCACGAAGCGAAGAACCCATCACTACCTTGAAGAAAATATGTACTTCCAAGAGAACCCGATCCACCCACATGTCGTGAACAGGGAGGACGCACACAAAGACATCAGAAACAAAGCCCGGAACCATAAGCTCTCAGTGGAATCAATGAAGATGACTGAGAGCACAACCGCGATAGCAGCCAAAGCAAGGAAGCATGCAGGTCAGTGCAATACAGTAAAGACGACCGACACTCCATGTTTCCAGTGACAAGACGAGACCATCGCGAGTATGGTTGCCAGAAATAGACGCCATCAAACATCAGATATTAGGAAACGTGTAAAAAGTAAGAATTTGCGAGTCTGCGGGTATGGTTGAAGCCCGAGACTCGATGCGAAGAAGAGAATGCCACAGAGAGGAGGGCTGTAAATCAAGACAGACACTGGGGGTATTGATGATTGTCGCAGAGGGAATCCAGTTCCAGAAATTGCCACTGCAAATCCAGCGCCGTCTCGATGAACGCAAAGGAATTAAGCGCCTTAGGACGCCAACATATAATAAAAGACAAATCCAACGCCGGTAATCCATATCAACATGATTTGCAAAACAAATTCCCAAATGAATAGCTCATTCTTTCTTGATGAATCGTAACGAAATCGGGGAGAAGCACGTCAAGAGCGGTCCAGACCAGCCTTGACGACCTTATTATGGGTAAACGTTGAACCCCAGGAGGGAACCAAAAAAAAAAAAAGGACAAACGCCGATCATGAAGGTAGAGCTTTACATAGAGCCCAAGCGAAGAAGCGCCTCTACCGCAGCGCGTTCCTGTGTGTCAAAGGTGCGGGGCGCCGATTTGGCCACAGTGGGGCGGTTACCGACACCAAATAGAGGCTGCGCGCGAGCCGCAACGTTGCTCTTCATGATCCCACCAGTATTGTTCAGCGAGCGTGCACGCAGGGCATCCACCCCGATCTGCGCCCAGTCTTCTTCATCGGTCACGTCGCCTTCGTTCCAATCGTTCTCCTGGAGGTCGTCCGGCGCCTCAGAAGAAGAGCAGTACTCGTCGCCGTCAAGAGACATCTTGTCAGCCTCATGCTCGAGCATGTCCAGATCTCGGGCGCCGAAGCCCATATCTTCTGCCGTGTACGAGAAGGCCACCGAGTCGCGCACGCTGCTCGCATACGGATCGCGTCCTCGCGCCCACCCCGAGTGACCCTCGATCTGCAGACCACGCTGCTGGAAGGATCCGGCTAGGCTGGATGGGGGTGACGACGCGTTGAAGGAGCGCTCGCAGGAGGGATCTCCGTCTCGTCGCGCGTCCCATCGTCCCCAGCCGACCTTTTCGAATACCACGTCACCGTCTACACCTCCCGCTTCACCGCCGTTCCCTCGGCCCTCTAGGGCGGATACCACGAGCCGACGTGCTTTGGCAGGTGGGATGCGCGAGAAGCCGGGCACGGAGGTCGTCAGGAAGCCCATGACGTGGCGAATAGCCAGCGGACCTTGCTGGAGGAGGATGTCGGGCAGGTGGTGCTTAGCTAGCATGGCGGGGAGTGATATCGCCAGCGCTATCGCTGTCGAGTTGAAGCGTGTGCGCGGACTGCTGGTTCAGGCTGACGCCATCGTCCTGCAGGTCGATGTCGGAGTCCAGCTGCGGCACAGTGGATAGCGGCGAGCCGGGCGAGAGAACGTGGCGTTGTTTGAAGGCTTGAGGAGGGAGAGTGGGAGAGATGGAGTTGGGTGGCGTGGGAAGCATGGCGGGTTGACCGCGAGCAGTGGGCTTTCCGGCGCCTATACGGGGCTGAGGGATATCGACAGAAGCGGTCTTGCCAGCAAGAGCCATAGCGATGCTGGATTTGGTCTGAGAAGCCATGATGGAAGAGTTGAAGAAGTTCCCACGAGTGTCTAGTGCGCGCCAGGGTATTATGAGTCAGACTTGCGTTCCATACATTGCGCAGCCACGGCACGCGATTGGGGCGAGAAATCGGTGGCGACTCGGGTTCTTTAGGGATCACAGAGGAAAGTGAGACTTACCTCTTTATAGCAACAAAGAGACCAAGGATGTGAAAGTGGATGTGGATGTGCGTTGGGGAGAAAGCAGGGAAGATACGCAGAGAAGTCCACGTATAGTTGGAGATTGTGACGCGGTAAGGGGAACGCGACTAGAAGACAGATCGGCGATAAGTCTTTCTAGGGGGGTGCGAGCGTAGAGGAGAGTAGTCCGAGACGTAGATGAAAGTAGGTGAAAGTAGTTGAAAGTAGTTGAAAGTAGAGAAGACGTAGGTGAAAGGGCAGTACATTAAAAAGAGGGGGATTGTGCGACGGGGTATAAGATGGGACTATACTCAGCCTTGGAAGGGGAAAGTATGGGACTCCGCAGGCGCAACGCAGCAGGTGCGCGTGGGCGGGTTGATTGGCGCCTCGTGGATCGCCGGGTGCTTCCGGCTTAGGCTTTACTTCTACGGTCGATGGTCTATGGCCGATGGTCGATGGTCTACTGCTCGAGAATCTATGGTCATAATGAATTCATCTTTCTACTCTTTGAATGATGAAAGTTCCTCATACACACACTCTCTCTCCTTTCATATCGAATCTATAATCCCTGAGGTGATCCCCAGGGGAACCCGGAACCGGGTCTCCTCCACTAGTCTTAGTATACGATAGGACTTGGACTTCCCCTCAGAAGCAGGGGTCCCGTGCTGAGTCCGAGATCGCTGCCCCTCCTTATCGGCCACTTAGAACGGATGCGGGTGCTCGTGCTCGCCCTGCAAGCGTTCAGAGAGGGCGCAACCCTATGGGGACACCCAAGTCTATGTCAAGTATCCGGTACATTTCACATTCCTCTCTGATAAGCCACTCCTCGCGGCACGTGTTGCCCTGTCCCGATGATCTCTCCAGTCTAACTTTTCACTCTCTTACGTTGATGTGACACTTCCGCACAGTCGTGAGGTATATTCTGCCCTCTCCGTGCCCCTCAGCTAAACCCAGCGGGTCCTCCGAGAATCTGGACTCGGCCAGCGCATTGACGTCACTTGCGTGTACCGAGCACATAGACTTGGCACTTCTCTTTGCGGCAATCCTGTGCTATTACCCCCCACCACTAAACACCTAGGCCTCTTGACGCGTGTCCACGATCTGTCAGTGGTGCCTGGAAATAGTGCTCTTCCTGCATGGACCTCTGTGGAATGCGATGCTGCATTCTCTAAGAACTTAATCCCTCATTGGTTGCCCCGTAGACCGAGGACTCCGAGGGAATGCCGTGTGATGAGCCATGGCTTGGGCCACCTCTGGTAGAGGTACCCGGCGGCGTACCCCTCCATCGACTCCATCCTGGCAATGATACACATCCTCGGCCTATATATCAACTTGGGATACATGACGCGATAACCCCGAACCTTTGTGGGGGAGATTAGACTGTCTCCGGTCTTAGCGTAGGCGTTATCCCTGATAGTATCTAGTAGAAAACCCACAATGCGGAATACCATGTTCAACTTCACTAAGAGGTATTATTACTTCGGACCTTTCTCCATCGGCTACCGCGTTTCATCGCATCGATGCTCGAATGTGCGATGATCTTTCTGAGTACTTTGACTCGCGATCTCAATTCACTCATGGCTCCACTACTGGGCCACAGCTCATAGATCTACAGCAGGCCTGAGTTGGAAGTTGGAAGTTAAATATAGAATAACGCACATGAAGTCCCTATTTCTCGTCAGTGGCTGATAACCTCTTTCCCTGATTTTCGAGCATCCAACTTGTCCAACACCGTCTGCCTTCCCACTTGTCTCAACCACATCCTCAAATCAAACCTGCCTTGACTCAGATCAATGGGATTCCCAGTAAACAGAAAAACATACCCCGGCTGCGCGGGGGACTGTCCATCCGAGTAGCGGATATCGCGGACCACCGGTGTGTAATTGCGGGTTTCATAGTCGGCCAATTTCTGTGCATCCGCCACCGTTCGTACATCGTACACGCCTCCTTCCACCACGCTGTCTGGCTCCTCCACAAGAGCCGGATACTGACCCCACAGCTTACATGCAACCCCCTCTAGGTACGCCGGTCGAAGTTCCGGTTCCGTGTCCAGTCCTAGGATTTCTACGAGCATGCAGGGGTCCAGAAGTGACCCGTAGATGAAATAGAATCCCGCTGGCGCTGGGGCTATAGGCTTTTGGGCGTGGAAGTGTTGGGCAAGGGGGTTATTTCATAGCTTCACTTTCGGGCGCGGGTATTGCGGCGGATGTGGGGGCGGCGGTGGTATGGTTATTGATTTATTATCGGATATGGGAGACGACGGTGGTAGCATTTGGACATGGATAGAACTTGAATTGCGTACATTTGAATGGCGTTTCTGCTGGGTAAAATGCTTTCAATTAAGGCTGTTGGGCTATGGCGGGGAAATACCTCGGCCAGGTATCTTGCACTGAGTCCAGCTGCTGGCCTCGCAAGAGTGGTCAATGAGACAAGTCAAATGACCACTTCAAAGATGCCACCTGGTGGTCAAAGGTTAGCAGTGCAAGAACCAAGTGTACTTGCAGCCCAAGGGACCTTCTCCCTGCACAAGAATAGTCCTTTGAGGTCCATGGCAAGTTCAGCATCTTGGCTTTGGGGAGCCTCAATCCTGACTTGAACCTTTTTCTTCATCTCATTTTTGAGCAAAACTGCCTAAAGCCAACCTCCCTTCGACCGAAGAGTACGAGTAGTGAAAGAATGTTGAAGACCTTGCATTCTCCCTTACCGGATGAAAGGAATCGCTGGCTGTTCCTTGGTGAACGCTATTTTTCCGGCGCGGGGTTTAGAGAAGATGGCTAAATACTCAACTCGTGTTTTGCCAGGGCATCTCTTAAACGGGACAAAAAGCATGGCAGACATCACAAACCTGGGGTAACTTGGAGGCTCTCAAAATGTTCTCCATGACCATCGGAGCTGCTGTCTGTCTAGCAACTACCGTTTTTGCTGTGACAAGCCCAGCTACATTGAACTCCGATCTTTCAATCCTCATCCACAATGACTTGCAAGGTGAGGAAGACACTTCTCTCAGGCTTTAGTAGCAGAAACTCAAGTTAAGTGTCACAGAAAGCTCGAGTCCCTGGTCTGAATCAGGTGTCATACTTCTGGGTGAAATGCCCCTACTGAAAGCCACCGAAGCCTGCCAAAGTCTCGGCGAGAGCCTATGGGCAAGCCACTCCAGATTCTCAACCATTAAAAATGACTTGGAATACCTCGTCTTCGAGCGCAAATCCAGTCGCAGTCAGCAGTATTGGATTGCCCCCATTCGCGGTGTTCCGTCCACTATCAACGCAAATGGAGAGATCAGGGAGTCCTCCCCAAGCAAGCGCTTGCCAGTTCTCTGTACTCAAAGTGCGCCCTTTTCTACTACTGATACCAAAGATACGAACTCGACGTGGCAAATCAATATCCAGTCAAATAATGAGCACATCACCGGGTAGGCAAAACTGGGATGATGGCACGCGAATTTCACTGACAGGACTAGATTTCGAGACCGGTTCAGCTTTAGATTTCTTGGGCTCCGATATGCTCAATACGCAAAGAGGTGGACTTATTCTCAACTCTATGAAGGCAAAGGCAGAACAGTTTCTGCTTTAGACTATGGATCGTCGTGCGCCCAGGGCTCAACTGGCTCAGAAGATTGCTTCTTCCTTAACGTCTGGACACCATATCTCCCAGGTCCTAAATGTAGTCAGAAAAATTTAAAGCCGGTAATGTTTTGGATCCATGGAGGCGCTTTTACCAGCGGCATGGGCAGTGATCCCACATTTGATGGAGGAAATCTTGCCTCAAGAGGCGATGTAGTGGTCGTCGCTATCAACTACCGATTGGGGACATTGGGATTCTTGGCTCTCGATGATGGAGAGACAAAGGGAAATTACGGTTTAGCAGATCAGATCACTGCACTTGAATGGGTTCGTCGAAACATACAGGACTTTGGAGGAGACCCTGATCACATCACTATCTTTGGGCAATCGGCTGGCGCTGGATCTGTGCGAGCACTGCTTGCATCCCCAAAGGCTCAAGGAATGTTCGCTGAAGCGATCATGGAGAGCAATTTAGGAGGTCTTGCTTATGGGACGACTTACTCAAAGTACTACACCATCTCGCAAGAGATGGAAGTCGTGGGCAATGCCATTGTGAAAGAGGCGAATTGTTCAAAGCAAGTCTCACCGATAAAGTGTCTCCGTGATCTTCCTGCGATGACAATCACGGGTCTAAATGACACGGCACGCTACCTCGTGGTGGATGGGGAGTATCTACAATCCTCCGAGTTGGATTTGACCAACCGAGCATCTACCGCGAATGTTCCTCTTCTGATCGGTACCACACGAGACGACGGAGCTGCCATGATCGGATATCCCACAGCGGGCGATACCATAAAGACATTCTTGAATGAGTCCGGTCTTCCAGAGTCTATAGCCCCGAGCCAGCTGTTCCCAGAACCGTCGGGTTCCAACCACACGCTGGACATGTTCAACACCACAGCTCGAGTTGCTACCGATGGCATGTTTCGCTGCATTGACCAGGCAACTGCATATGCCGGGATCAACAACAAGATCTTCCCAGAGATTTTCTTCTACGAGTTCAACCGTACATATCAGATGCCAGGCTGGTCACCGAATCCCCCGCTCTGTAATGCGCCAATAACACCCGACTTTCCGAATGGTGACCCGAGCCAGGAGTACTTCAAATGTCATTCCGGAGAGCTATACTATGTCTTCGGGAATGTCCTACGCCAGGGTCTTCCATTCCGAGACGAATATGACCTGCCGTTTGAGCAATACGTGCTTGATTCTTGGGCTAGTTTTGCTCGAACAGCCAATCCAAATCCGGATGTGGAATATTTGAAGGCAAGAGGCTACGTGAATACGACTAGACAGGTTGAGACGACGGGACCATGGACGCCATTTAGACATGGTGACTACCGACTCCGACGATTGCAGTGGCCCTCAGCAATGGTGGATTTGGATGAGACAGAACAGTGTCGTGCTTTGAACTTGCCCCTTAGCTACTATGACACCCAACTGGGACAGAGGCTCGTCACTTAGCATAAAATGAAGTACTAGATACTTGCTATAGTTAGATCAAGTTAATACTGCAACCTGGACTTTCAGCGGTCTTCTAGCCTTGAATTCTAGCGTTGCATCCGCTACCTCCAAGTCCATGAGGAATAAACCTCTCTAAATATAGTACATAGAACGGTGGCTACAGATCCAGCTCCACACACGTGACCTCCGTTTCCGATCTTATCGCTTCCGAAGCCTTTCCCCGAGCCGGACAATTTCGATTTCGGATCAGTATTGCGGGGTTTAGTTCGGTATTAGCACTTCATCATAGTAAATTCCCATATCCGTCGTTCTAATGAGCCGACGCCCGAAGTGCGGCTGTACACCCGACGGAGAGGGTCCGGTCTGGTCCCGAGGCTTTTGCCGTGATATATAGGCTCTCGGTATCCATTTAATCGTTCTTCTTTCATTTCGGCTCTTTACGTGTTTGCTCGCCACTGCCGACCAAAAGCGTCAGCCAACAAATCTTCCTAGGGGTAGCTAATTCACCGGAACGAGCGGACGAATATCGATTTCTCTTCTCTGCACAAACGCGTGATTTCCCGCGCCTGCACGTATTTGCACATTATCTTCCACTCAACTACAGAAACGACGGAAAAGAAAAGAAACAATGGCGAGCAACGAGGAAGTCAGCGGTTCGCGCTACTCACCCGTCCTCGAGACCAGCCGCATTTTCTCTGATCTGTGTGAACAATCAGAACGCCTTGGCCTGCCATCTCAGGTCCTGGCCAACAAGGACCGGGTCTCCTTTTCCACCAGCCATAATGAAATCTACTTCCCGATCCCGTTCAAGGAGACTGAGACTTTGGCTGCACTAAAGGGTATTGAGGGCTCCGTGGCTGCTGCTATTGCGGATCTGCGCTTCGGCCAGAATGCACAGCCGCGCGGTGTCCAAGTCAGCCTTGAGGGTGCCACGGCCTTTGGATGCCAGGCCTACATGGCCAAGCTGGATGGACTGTCAAAGCTGGATCCAAACGTGAAGTCTAGACTGAAGGGTATGTTGATTTTATACGCGATTTGACGAGAGATACTAATGTTTTGAAAAGACACGGATCTGCTGGCTGCTCAATCAATTGGCTACCGACGTATGTCGGCCAACTTGTACAAAACTAAGAACCCCGGCGAGTTCTATCACATTCACGGCTCTCTGGAAGCCACGACAACCTTGAACATGATCGGTCTGGAGGGCCACCGCCCCGATTTGACGGATTATGAGGACATCATCAAGGTTATCGAGGGCCAGGTGCAGAAGTACTCCGTTTCCGAGCTTGAGGCTATGAACAAGGAGAGGCGCCAAGCTGGTGTCCCGGCGCTGAAGCACGAAGACTTCATCAAGACTCCTCATGTATGTTTCTGTATTCCTCACGCAGACGGCAAAAAAAAAAAAACCACTCACATCTACTCTAGGGCAAACTCAACGTGCAAGAGCCTGCATGGAAACTCACTCAACTCCAGGGAAACCTGCCCCCGACCCCGTTCCCAGCCAACCGTACCGGCAACAAGAAGATCCTCGAAGGCGTCAAAGTGCTTGAGATGTGTCGTATAATTGCTGGTCCCACCGTCACCCGCATCCTGGCCGAGTACGGTGCCGATGTGCTGAAGATCACCAGCCCGAACTTGTCGGATGTGCCTTTCTTCCAGGTTGATGGCAATATGGGCAAGCATGCCGCGGACCTCGACCTGAAGACCGAGGCTGGAAAAGTCGAGTTCGAGAAGCTGCTTGCCGACGTGGATGTTATCGTGGACGGGTACCGTCCCGGTGCCTTGGAGAAGCTCGGATACGGGCCCCAGGCCATGGCCGCCATGGCCGAGAAGCGCGGAAAAGGTATTGTCTACGTGAACGAGAACTGTTTCGGCTATGAGGGCGAATGGGCTGGTCGTGCTGGCTGGCAACAGATCGCAGACTGCGTAAGTTACCCCCAAACTAACTCCTCGACCCGAGGCGTTTCCAAAGCTAACAGGAAAACAGGTCACTGGTATTGCTTGGGCCCAAGGCCAATTTATGGGTCTTTCTACACCGGTCGTTCCCCCATTCCCAATCTCCGACTATGGTACAGGCTGCATGGGCGCCATCGCCGCCCTGTCTGGTCTATACCACCGAGCAAAGACTGGCGGCTCGTACCACGGCAAAGCCTCCTTGATGCACTACGATCTCTTGCTGTTTGCAATGGGCCAGTACTCCGCCGATGTACAGGAAGAAATGCGCGCTTCGCAGCCGCCCGAGTTCTTCAAGCTGCGTCACTGCGACAGTGTCGATCGTATCTCATCGACGGTGCTCAACGGCATGCACCAGCGGTTCCCACATCTGTATGCGGCCGCTGGCGAGGAGTACGAGGGCCGCCAACCGTTGGTAGAGAAGTGGTTCTCGCGTGCTTACAACGCGGATATTGAGGTTGTAAAACCGGTTGCTACGATTGAAGGTGTCGATAACCAGTTTGTCAGGGCTAGCCGGCCTAATGGAGTCGACTCAGCTTCATGGGAAGATTTCAAGGTTAATGGAGAGGGTGAGGGTGATGTGAAGAAGTGCTGATTGTTTTCAGTTCGGAACCTTTGCATTGTACATAGATAGCATCTTCCGTGGATTTCGGAAGCCCCAAACGAGTTCATGAAATACAAAGCAATTAAGCTTGGCAAGAACCTTGGAATACGCCATTGAGAACCATGTAGCCGAAGTTCACTTGGTAAGCTCCATGATCTCATGATTTCGAGGTCGTCTGTGGACATTGAACGTCGGGATCTGCAACCGTCGGAAGCCGCGGAGGACATCGATCTCCGATCTGGAGTGAGATCGGATGCAACGCTTCAACATCTTCATAACGACGAAAAGGCTAGGTGGAGGAAATAGGATAGAAACGAAAAGACCCGTCGAAATCAAGAAACACAGCCCGTCCATTAGAAGTCCTCAAAATCCGGGTTGATAAGATCGGATGCGGGCCAGAATCATCGGTCCGACGGGTTCCCCTCCATGATGAAATAGATGTTGATTACAGATCAACACATACCTCCATATCTTGACTTACATACCATTTTTCCCTCAATCACCATTTTAGAGATTCCACCAGAAAACAATGTCCTACCAGATTGCTTACGACACAGCTCGCGCGCCACCCCCGCGGCGCCGCCATCGTCGCGTTCATGGAGGACTTTTACCGCACCAGCGACACCGAGTCCCTGCACGAGAAATACGTCCAGAGCTTCACCGAAGATGCGACACTAATTATGGGACCGAAGGAAGCCAAGGGCGCCAGTGGTATGTTCTGCTTTTCGCACCAGTGGGCATAGCCGTACATCAGCTATATTCACTGCGCTCGAGCTCCGAAGCCATGATATTGATGACATTCTGCAGAGATCCTGCCTCTCCGCCACGGCCTCTGGGCACACGTTGCATCGCGGAAGCATACCCCACAGCGCATCTTTTTCAGCGGCGAGAATGAGATCATGCTTTACGGTGGAGTTAGCTATAAGCTCAAGGCGAACCCAGAGAACGATGTTTACGTGCCTTGGGCTGGGAGGGTGGTGTTTGAACCAGCAAAGGAGGGAGAGGCTGTGAAGATGCAGTTTTATCAGGTCTATCTGGTTAGTATCCCTTCGAAATTCCTGTTGATTTATTTGGGTCTTGTGTGACGGACTGAGCTAACGTGATGTAGGATCCCTCGGCGCAGTCGGGTAAGAAATAGAGGTGAAGATGTGATGAGGTAAATGGGGTGGGATGTACATAAGTTTGAATGCATAAAACTTGTCGCGGAAGTTTCATCCCGCGACTTAACACGCCGATTCGCTCAATTGAAATGAGTCACGATGACAATCAAGTCATTTTCAGAATCGGTCACATTGCAAAATGACATCCGTAAATATATTAGTAGAGGGAATCCTGCTCGCCTGGAAACCTTGGAAACACCCTCAACTTTGAATATGGAAAGCCATCATGTCACCACTATCTGATCCGACCTTTTCCAATTACGATCAACAGCAAGCCCAGCAATATGCCGAGTCTCGTCTATCCTACCCGGAACGATTATACAACACTATCATTGACTATCATATCAAGTCCCGAGGCCAAAGCAATATTCTAGTAGATGTTGGTTGTGGGCCTGGAAATGCTACGCGCGATATGGCTACGTGGTTCGATCATGCGGTAGGTCTAGACCCGAGCGTGGAAATGATCAACACAGCTATGAAATATGGTAGCTACACGAAGAGTGGACAGGAGTTAAGATATGCGGTTTATACTGCTGATCAACTGTCACATGGTGTCCAGGAAGTATTGCCGATTGTCAAGGAGTTGGGAGGTGTGGACTTGTTGGCGGCGGCGATGGCAGTGAGTATTAAACCTTGATTGAATATATCGTGCTTCAACGAGTTCCGTTGACGAGATCTAAAGGCCCATTGGTTCGATATGCCTAAATTCTGGAGGGAAGCATCTCGGACAGTGAGGCCTGGAGGAACCGTGGCCTTGTGGACTTGCTCGTCATTATACTGTCGTCAGTCTACCCTAATATCTTCTTGGTCAAGGCAATCAAAAGCCAATTAATTCGGCAACCCCAGATCCGTCGACCGCCAATGCAGATGCGGTCCAGAAGGTCCTTTTCGAACTAGAGCGCGAGATCCTCTCACCATACGAACTACCCTCGAATCGACTGTCGCGAGACCTATATGAAAACCTGATTCTTCCATGGGACTTGGACGACGAAAGTTTGGCGTCCGAGTTTCCGGCCTCGCAATTCCAGCGCCTGGAGTGGGATCGCGATGGCATTCTCACGGATGGCGATCAGTTCTTCAACTTCTCTGACGAGACGACGTTAGAAGGACTAGAGACTGATCTAGGAACAGCGAGCATGGTTACAAGATGGAGGGAGGCCCACCCGGAACTGGCGAATACAGAAAACGACTGTGTCAAGCAGACTATGGCAAAGCTGCGTTTGGCATTAGGGGTGGGAGGTACGGAGAATCCGACTATAACAGTTGGAAATGGAACGGTGATCTTGCTCTTCAAACGAAAATGCGTGTAGTGCATGGCTTTGAAAAACTTGGATAGGAATATATGAAGTAAAGGGGTTCGGGATACAGACCTAAAAACGTAGACATCCAGGCGTAGACATCCTAGGGCCGTATACTTAGCATCAGAGGTCGACCTTTCCAAGTTTCATGGAAACACAGAGCTGGTCTACACGGCTTACTCCCGCCTACGTGCTTCGCTATCGCTCAGCTGAAACTACACACAGATGAACAGTTTTAACGTGTTTAGTCAGACATGCTCTTTATTTCCAGGAGACCGCGAGAGAAAACAGGAACGAAGACGCCGTGGGGTGGGTCGGGTCAAAGAGGAGGTGATCAAAATGTGAAGGAAATAAGAAACATCCCCCGGATGGCAAAACCCAGCTCAGAACAAGGGAAAGCCGGGATGCCTGTCTCGTCCTCTTTCTCTCGCTCTCGCTCTCGGGAATGCCTCCTCATGCACACTTCCGCGTCTCTCCGCTAGCCCCGTCTGGTCGTCAGGATAAAGGGAAAAATAATAAGATGAACAAACGTAAAAAATCGCCGGGACCGAGCTCCGATTTTTTTTTTAGGTATCAATCATTCCACCTGCTAGTCTCTCAACGAAACCGAGCAAACCAAAACGACCTTCGAATTCTGCCCTAGGCGACACGTTTACTCATCATCAGACTCCTCCTCCTCGTCGACGGTGGTCTTGGCGATACGGTCCAAATCACGCTGGCCGCTCTGGGTGATGCGGCGGCCACCCTTGTCCTCATCGGTCTCGAGGACACCGATCTTCTCAAGAGCCTGCATGGCCTTGCGGTCAACGGAGCCGGAGGCGTCAACGTGGTGGGCGGGGCGGGCACCACGGTTCTTGGTGGAACCGTGAACCTTGCGGAGGCGGCCAACACCGACGGTCTTGCGCATGTAGACGTGGCGGGCAACGGCGGCAGCGCGGACGTAGAACCTTGGAGGATGTTAGGCTTGCTGGAAATTCGGGGTTGCTTTCCGGAGGTGTTCTTACCAGTCCTGGTCCTGGGGAGGGAGCTCGTTGGAGGCGGAGGTCTTGACAGTGTCGACCCAGCCGGGGATGGGGAGCTTACCCTGACGCTTCAGGAAAGCAGAGTAGGCAGCAATGAACTTCTGCGCCTGTAGGTGAGAAGAAAAATCGTTAGCGTTGTTGACCGAGAAGAAATTGCATGGCCAGGTTAGAGTGCGCAAATTTGCAGATCGTGTCAGGTTCGTTTCTGAGGCAGTTTTTCGTCGCAGAGCAGATTCTTCTCGTGATATGGCCCTTGCATTCAATGCTTCACCACAGGCTCCGGAATGACAGAGAACTCTATCAAATCCGAACCGAGCAGATCACACATGCCACCGTCAATCCTCCCAGACGAGACCAATATCACTGTTGAAGGCCGAATTTCCCGAGCGTGTCACTGCTCTCACTGTCAAAAGCACTGCAGAAGTGTGCCTGCCGATGCAAAGCCCCAGAAACGAATCCCTTCACGATATCCACAAAGACCACACACCGCGACCAGGCAACCTGGCTCAGCCGGCGAGAATCGAAGGACACTTACGTCCACATCGCGAACGGTAACACCACCCATATTGGCGACTGAGGGCTCGAAAGGGCGTAGGGGGATGAGAGAGGTCGGAAGTCGGAGTGGAGGGTCGAAGTCGAAGTCCAAAATTTCGAGACACACAAACTCGCCCCGTTTGGTTGCGTTGGGCCTGTGTGTGGTTCGCTTAGCCTGTTCAGGTTAGCCGTACCCTAAGGATGCCTGAGGCACGATCACGTGAACGCACGGGTGGACGGGGGCCCTTAGAGGACATCCACAATTTAAGGCACGAAGGCAGCATATTACTAATCACTATTTCGGCCCGAACTCTATATGCCGCACCTTCGACCTTTTCGCCTGAGTATTTTCGAGGGTCCTCTGTAAGGTTTTAATTATATGGATTCCTGAATTCATCCGGAAATCAATTACGTCTATACGGGTTGGCCATGCTTTTACCCTGGATACATACAACTATAACAAAACATCGTGAGGAGCAAATCTTGTATACCAGTAGGTTAAAATTCAATAACCATCTATAGATCCAGAATAGAAGCAGAATCCTCATTGTTGATTCCGATACCCAGGCCCTCGAATCGCGGCCTTATCTCGGGGGAAAAGTAAATACGGCAGCTTCAAAGTATAATCAGAAGAGATCGATGCATTTTACTATAGTGCGACTTTGAATGTAGGTATAAAAAGCAAGGCTAGACATACGTAAATCAAAACAACGGCAAAACAACGGGATATGAATTCATTTGTCGTCTTAATGACGACAGCTCCCACCGTAGATGACAATCCAGGTGTAAACAATGTTAGAGCTAGAAAAAGAAATAATTTCTCGGACTTCTTCTCACGTAAGACTGAACAGAGCTCAAGTGGCATTGGAGACTGCTTGGCGGCATGTCGGGTAGGTGACGTTAGAGATGAGCCGTGACGGACAAACTTCTCACAACGCCAGTGCCGACAGGAAAAGCTGATGAAGATTCATTGGCTACATTGCAGGATCACGGTGAGTCGCATGAAGCAGCGCTTCTTGCAGCATCATTGACCTTGGAACTTGCCTTCGCTGTCTTTGGATGGTATCCACGTCGATTTGCAATAAAAGATAGTGACATGGGCAGAATAAGCCGAATAGGAAAGAGGCTTGAGATACTATTGGTTTGCTTGAAGCAGATAATAATGGTGTTGCTGAGATGCAATGCAAAATTGAGATATCTAGTTTTGGAGACTTATAACTTTCTCGAGATAGTGAACGACCAGAGAATTGTTTTTGATATTAACTTGAACTTACAAAAACTAATTGAATTTAACCTTGAAGAGAGGACAACAATGCAATGTGCTTTTTCTGCCTTGGAATCTGGAGGCTAACTTAACTTGAGCTCAACTTAACAAAGGAGAGGTACTCGGACAAAGAAAGTTGAAGCGAAGACATTCAGGTTTCCATTCAATGTCCTAATATCATATTCAAAGGCAACAATACTGGTAAGCTTCACGGGAAAGCTGAAACAAAGCCAAAATCTCGGATCCTTCACCTACTGGGTCTGCTCGGCAAATATAGCTGACGCTGTCGAGCTTTAGCATCCTACGGGTGGCCTAAGTAGCAATGGACCCAAGCAAGCGTCTCAAGAATAGGATGTAAGCGAGGAATAACTGAATATCCGAGTTACGTTACACTGAATGGATCGTCATCCACGAGGTCTCAGCGGGGCTGACGCCCCCACTGCCACCATGGATTCGGTCTTTTATCAGTCAATTGTCATCAGTAGATCCTCAGATTGGGACTCCTCTTATTTTCAAGATATATTTGCAGCTGGAAGAATCACCAGAAATGTCATCTCCCCAGCAACCCCAGCGTACTCGGAGCCTGAATATGCGAAATCTGACCGGAATAAAGTGGAATACCCGTGGTATCTTCAGAGTATTGAAAAGCATCTACTTCCGGAGGTAAGCCCCATGTTATTTCCACCTTTCCTTGCAAGGAGAATGCCGAGAGTCAACCTGCCTGGTTAGACGCAGCAGTTACTTGAGACCTATAGCAATGTGCCTCGGGATCAGCAATCGCAACATGTGCACAAAATCGTACGTGCCCCCTCCTTTTTGACCTCTCATGCAAAAAAGCGAAAAAGGAAGACTTCTGACGCATCTGTAGCGCGATCAAGCATGGGCCATTCGCTCTTACCCCTGCACCGGCTTGGGCGTCTGGCTAGTCCCTTTTATCTCCCGCTCCCCGGCCTATCCCATTATTCTACAACGGTTGCGCTCCGGCGCCACGTTTATGGACATCGGCTGCTTTCTTGGTGGCGACATGCGTCGCCTCGTGTTTGATGGTGCACCGTCGGCGAACCTGTACGGCGTCGACATTGTTAGCCACTGAGATGTGGACTACGCACTGTATCGTGATAGGGATCGTTTCGACGCTCACTTTATTCTGGCCGATATTATGTCCCCAGAGGAAAACCCGGAACTGCAGGCGCTGAAGGGCAGTGTCGATATCATTTCTATCTCAGCCGTGATGCACCAGTGGGACTAGAAGGACCAGCTTGAAGCTGCGAAGAAGTTGGTGGCGTTCGCGAAACCAGGCGCTCTGGTGATGGGCTACCAGATTGGCAATGTCGAGGCAAAGGAAGTCGTCAATTCAACATTGCAGGTTTGTCAGTGGCGCCATGATCCGGTATCCTTCGCGAAGATGTGGGACCAGGTCGGTGCCGGGACGGACTCAAAGTGGGAGGCACAGGCCTGGCTACGTAGCTGGGACGACATGGGATGGGATCCTGCGGATCAGGCATGGTTGGAGCCGGGAGACACGGTCATCGATTTCGTTGTGAGTAGAACGCATTAGGTAGACTCTAAAGACAAGGCAAGGTTGGTGAGCGCACAGGGGCAAATAAGGGATTGTCTCATCAGCATCGAAACTTGGTCAAGGCCGAAGACAATGTACTTGATTGCGTTTCAAAACTGAAATCAGATCAGCTCCGAGAGATCACGAGGACAAAAAAAAGGGTCTAACAAAGAACATTAAAGGCAAGGACATCACGAACAAGGGATATGTTTGAAGATTCGATTTATGATGTTAATGAGGATGAGCCTAACTGGGCGCGGGTGAAGCCATGTCAACTACAGTCTAGACAGACACTGGATACGTAGCAGAGGTAAGAGTCAACAACAATCGCACGACATTGATCGTGTAGGTATTAGACCCTACAATTGGAGAACAACAAAGTATTAACAGAAAAGTCCCACTGCAAAGAAGCTTTGATGCGAGATGAACAGCTCTCCATGTTGGTACCATTCGTAATAATTCATAATCCTATTAACACATGTCTATCGCTGAAGCAAATTAAAGTATTCGTATCTCATGACCGGGAAAAAATAAAAAAAGACCAATGCCTGAAGAAACCCCTTTCTACCCAGAAACGCCAGAAAGCCCAAATTACAGAGTAGGTGCCCTCTTCAAGCCTACGCAATAGCGTACAAAGAGAGTATCGATGAAATGTTCATGACGAATACCAGGCGCTCGGCGCTGATTGAACTCGTCAATGGCGTCTTGAACGCCGAAGCCCCGTCGCTCGATGAGGTAGCAGACGATTAGGAACCCGGTGCGATTGTAGCCGTAGTGGCAGTGGACGCCGACCAGCGGACGCGGCTGCGAGTGGTCCTCGCGTTTCTCCATCTTGACGTCGATTTCGCCTTGGAGACGGTCGACTAGGTCGATGAAGTCGCGGGTCTCGTCGGGGGTTGGCGGAATCTTGGATACCGTTGGGTGTTTGCAGTAGTGAATGCCGCCTGCTTCCATTATGGCTGGGTTGTAGACTGGGCTTTCGTGGCTGATATCAATGACTGCGTAGATGCGGTCGCGGTACTTCTGGGAGAAGAGGACTGGGTTGTGCTGCTCGTCTACTTCGCGGAGCATCTTGAGCGCGGCGAAGGTGTTGGCGATTGGCTCGGAGACCGGGGCGACCTTTTGCCACTTGGCGAGATTCTTCACGTCCCATTTACCCGAAGTGTTCATGTATTGCAGTTGCCAGCCTAGGGCCAAACGTTTGTCGATGTGATGCAAGAGGAAATCTTGGATGATCCCGGCGAGGGTACGGTACGTCGCACGGTCGTAGAGGAGAGCGTGGGACGCAGGTGCGGGCAGGATGGCCGACTTGACCAGCCGCCTCCGCCCAGTGCTAGAAAGATTGACTTCGTTGATCTGCTTCTCTTCATTCGTAGGTTTGATGCCATATTTCTCATCGTGAGCCAGCAGATTGGAGGATGTTGACATCTGATCACAAACTCGCGAGGCATCAGGGATAACGCTGCTCCCGTCGGTGTCGATGGTGGTAGGGACCGAAGAGTCACCAAAGAATTTGAGCAGTTTTTGGATTTCTGCCGGCTTCGTGACTGCGTCGGCCTCACCTGCTACCATCAAGATCGGCATGTTGATACCAGCCCAGACTTTCTCACCAGGCATGCCGCCAACGGGCTCATTTCCATTGTAGGTCGGAAGAGTGCCCCAGGCCATGCGACGCCAAACCGGAGTCTGACTCTGTTTATTGAACCGAACCTGAAGGTCTCGAGTCTCGGCATCGGCATTGTTGCCAACCATTCTCATCACGCTTGCGCTCTCGATTCCGCCACGTCGGTCCCACAAACGCCACAGGTCAAAGATTGGACCAGGAATGTGGAGCAGTCTGCGGAAGGTTGTGACCTCATGTGCAGACGGCGGATCAGCTCGCGGGCAGATCGCGATCAGCCCGCGAATGTGTGGTTTCAGGCTCTTGCCGATCGATGAAGTCGAGGAGGCAAGCAGAGCCGACAGAGAACAACCCAAACTGTGACCAACCAAGATCACTTCTTGACCATTCTCTTGATCGCGGTGTCGCTCGATGGCAACAGCCAAAAGTTCAGCCAACGCCTCGACTTTGTATGCGTCCCACTCGGTCGGCGCAAATTTGGACAAGCCACAGCCCGGTAGATCGATACCGAAGCACGATCCAACATTGGACAGACTCTTGAGCAAGTGATGGAACTGTGCAAGTGACCCTCCCAAGCCGTGCACGACGACTAGCAAAGGAAGAGGGGTTGGCTTGGTCGGAAGGCGGCTCTGGTTTGGGTGTGGGCAGAAGAAAGTTCGAATAGCCGGGTAGGTCGCCACGGAGGTGGTGTAGGAGTTGTAGGTGGTGAATTTCTTCAGCAGACCAGGGTCCGATTTGAAGGCTGAGAGCCGGTTAGTGTTTTGGTTACCAGGTTAGGAAGCGCAAGGATCCTACCATCGGAACTTTGCTGCTGCGACTGCACCGACCACTCCGGAGCTTTCTGCTCAGGATTGGTGACATGCCGCAGAGAGCCGTTGCTATCATACTCATCGTCCTCGTAGTCATCATCCGACGAGGAAGTGAGAGTCTTGGTGGAAGACTTGGAAGTGATCTTGCGAATCAAGAAGCGCGACGACCGAGTCTTGTCGGATCGCCTGCGCCTCACGAGGCGAGAGAGAAGTCCACAGCCAGCCATTGCTACCACAAGAGTTGTCAAAAACACAACCTGGCCGCGATTCACAGAATCATTGTAATAAAGGGAGCGTAGGTAGGTTGCGACGTCACTCAAAGTCGACCGTTGGGCCGCCAAACGCGCCTCGTTGCAGAAGTGCCAGACAGCCGTGAGGCCCGAGCGATCAAACGATTGGGAGGACAGGGCGCCGTAAAGGGTTGAAAATGAAGTTGAAGCGCCATCATTCCCCATGGTTGAAGGTGGCTGTTTAAGTACCTTGAGCCTCGCTCAAGGTCCCTCTCCGATCCCCTTGGGGATCTAGACTTCCGTCAGGGATCCCGTCAAAGAACACGCTATGGCGCGACGGACTCTCTTTGGACGATGGTAGACCGTACACGGGGCGAGACGCCAATTAGAGGTTGGAGATCGACAACGGGGCAAGAGATGTTGGGTAAGATGTGAAGAAAAAAAGGAAACTGGAAAAAAAGCAATAGACTCGGCCAGTGAGAATGTCGGGAGGCTCAGCGTGGGGGAAACAACGTGACTCACGGGTTCCACTTAGATTGCACATGACGCACTTCTTATCCTTCTACCGTTGTTTGCTTTGTTCTATAGCCCCCTTCTTTGCTTCTATCAAGTGCCTATTTTTATACCGAAACTATCAAACCATGAACTATACATTTAAAACAGATCCGTCATGGCTCCATGAGACGCATCACCCACAAGCCGCGCGTACTTAGCCAACACGCCTCTAGTGATCTGCGGCGTCGGTGGCGTCCATTGGCGTCGTCGCTCCTCTAGCTCTTCGTCCGATACATCCATCGACAGTTCGTTGGTTTCTGCGCTGATGGTGATCATGTCTCCATCGCGAACCAGGCCGATGGGTCCACCAACGGCCGCCTCAGGGGTGATGTGGCCCACAATGAACCCATGACTGGCTCCCGAGTACCGCCCATCCGTAATCAGGGCGATGTTGTTCAACTTGGCTCCCATTAGTGCCGCACTCGCCTTGAGCTGTTCCGGCATTCCGGGCCCACCCTTGGGTCCTTCGTAGCGGACAATCAGCACCAGATTCTCCCCACGTGGGATCCGTCCCTCGCTAAGGGCGTCGTTGAGCTGGGCCTCCTTCTCGAAACACCGGGCCTTGCCGGTGAATCGGAGTCCTTCCTTGCCTGTGATCTTGGCAACAGCACCGCCAGGGGCGAGATTTCCGCGCAGGATTTGGATGTGACCGGTCGACTTGATAGGATTGTCTAGCGTGCGAATGAGATCCTGGTCCTGTGGCAAGGAAGGGTGAGACGCGACATTCTCGGCCAGTGTCTTACCCGTCACGGTAGGGATGTCACCGTCGAGGAGACCGGCGGCAATCAGGAGCTTCTGGACGGATGGAATACCTCCGATTTCGTAAAGATCGGCCATATAGTACTTGCCACTAGGGGAGAGGTTGGCAATGAAGGGGATCTTGTTGCTGACCCGCTGGAAGTCATCGAGCGTCAACTCCACTTCCGCGGTCCGCGCCATGGCCAAGAAGTGCAGAACACCGTTGGTGCTACCACCTAGAGCCATGGTCATCACCAGCGCATTCTCAAATGAGCGCTTGGTGAGCAGATCCCGTGGCCGGATATTCTTTTCCATGCAAATCTTAATGGCCTCCGCAGCACGCACGCACTCTCGCATCTTGGAAGGCGAAGCAGCGGGGGTTGACGAGGACCCAGGTAGAGACAGGCCCATCGACTCAATGGCCGTGGCCATTGTATTTGCAGTGAACATACCACCACAGGCACCCGCCCCAGGACAGGCGTGCTTCTCGAGATCATCCATAATTTCATCCTGAGTCTTACTAGTATCACCGCCATCATCCGGCTGGCGCAGCGTACCATACGCGTAAGCACCAGCAGCCTCGAAACAGGTCGAGATATTGACAGGTTTCCGGAGTTGCTCCGAATACCCAATGCCAATGGTACCGCCATAGATCATAATAGACGGGCGGTTATGCCGGGCCATGCCCATCACGACACCGGGCATATTTTTGTCACATCCGGGAATGGCAATACAGGCATCGTGGTACTGGGCACAGGTCACAGTTTCAACACTGTCGGCGATGATCTCACGGGTTTGGAGCGAGAATCGCATACCATCGCTTCCCATTGTGATGGCATCTGAAACACCAATGGTATTGTATTGCCACCCGATCATGCCCAGATCAGAAACACCCTTCTTGGCCGTCTTGGCTAGGTCCATCAGATGCATGTTGCACGGGTTGCCCTCCCACCAGACGGATGCAATACCGACATGAGGGCTTTTGGCCATCGCTTCCTTGTCCGGGACGCCAGCGGCGAATAGCATGGCCTGTAGAATCATCAGCGACGGTTCGATCAATGGTTGTTTAATTGTCCACATACTCGAGCACCGGGGAAGTCATGGCCTCGGGTGATGGTTGAAGAATAGCGATTGAGCGCGAGCGATCCATCGGCATGTCTGGCATCGGCAGGCAGACAAGGGAAGTTAATATACTTCGCTTCCCCAGGAGTACTGGACGTCTGGTTAGGGTCCATGATAGAGTTGAATTGGATATTTGGGAGGGACAAAAAACAACCGCAGATTAAAATCGCGGGGAAACCGAGCTCGCAGTTATCACCGATAGTGGGCCCCGCGTCGGTAACATCGGGAACCAGTCAAGACTCGCGCATTGCTCAGACCCAATTTTGTGGGGTGTTTAGTATATAGCCTGGTGTAGCTAGGTTCGTTTCAACTACATGCACATAACTGTCAAGTATCTGAATGACAATTTACAAGAATCAGAATCAAGATCAAATAAACTCACCGAAGAGAAGCCCGAGCGTATCGTGTCGCATTCATTGGGACGGAGCGTCATCGATAAGTCGCCGGCTTCTCAACGTTGCCTCTACCCCTCCTTCTTTGATCTATCCTTGTACCCTTTCACTTATTTTTCCCCCTCCCAGACTCTGAGCTTATCGGAAGAATTCTCATTCCTACCACAGTAATTCAACTTGACATTTATACCCCAACCTATATCATCATCTAATATCATATAACACCATGACGGACATAGTGGTGGCGCAGATGATCGGAACACTCGGCTGCGGCTACGTAGCTGGTATGCACAGCTCACCTGCATAACTCCAGTATCAAGAGCTAATCAAGCAACAGGAGGAATGATGGGTCACTCTCTGGTGACGATCCCAATCCTCGGAATAGCAGCACGGCATCCATCGGCAACAGGCACGCGCCAGACCCCAGGGACCCCGATCGCACACCTCTCTCACCAGTGGGAAGAAACCTACGACCGCGGACTATACATTTACCCCACGACTGCAATTGCCTCCTCATTGGCGAGTTGCTATCTGGCATGGGCTCTGCGTGATGCTCCCGGCCCGACTGCCGTCAATTGTAGTTGGAGCAGCATCTATATCACGGCTGCGCTCACCACGGCGGGACTTGTTCCTTGGACTCTACTTGTAATGTGGCCTACCAATCAGAAGCTGAAGGCACATGCTGCGCGGGATGATGCGGCGGTGGCGGAGGGGACGAAGGGCATGGTGGTTAGTGAGCAGGAGAAGGCGAAGAGGGCGAGGGAGGATGAGGAGGTTCCTGCTTTGGTACAGAAATGGGGAGAGTTGAACTTTTATCGGTCCCTGTTTTCTGTTGCTGGGGCGGTGATTGGATTTTTTGGGGTTGTTTGGATGAAATAAGGACATGTCTGGGTGGGTTCAACTTGGAATGATTTATATGCCGCTATGTACAAGATAACTCTAAATTGAGTGGGTATCGTGATAGTTTAATTGAATGTCCAGATTGGATGGCTGCGGTGGTACCGGCAATGAAGGCGTATTTACATGGAATGAAAAAGCAAAATCTCCCTAGAGCAGGGTGTGTTCAAGTATGCTCGGACTGCTTCTCGGAGTGGTAGCCGGAATCCTCTTCTGTCGGAGCTTCATCTGAAGATTGTTTCTCCTCGCTGGACCATTGGTTCGAATGCTGTAAGGCTTCATCGGCGGAAATTTCCTCCAAAGGGCTCGATTTTTCTTTGGCTCCGTCTGTCTGGTTGGGCTCGTCCTCTTCTTCGTCCATGGCAAACCCGACAATCTTGCCGGTGCCGGGCAGTGACCGAGTTTCTTCCAGCACATCGCCATTCCAGGGTTGGCATTTCTTGACAATCTCACCACAACGGAGACAGATCCAGCCCTGGCCTTCTTCCGCCTCTACTTTCTGCACAATGCAGACAAAGCAATAGATACACCCGCAGGAAATGGCCTCATAGGGATTCGTGACATCTGTTTGTGCCGATCCCAAAATACCACCCGACGCCGAAGCCGCGATGACATCGCTTTCTGTCGCTGCTGCCGGGTTCTGATCGCGGTAGCAGATGGCGCAAGTCCGTTCCGGGAGGAAGGCGAGCTCTCCTTGCTTCTCGGCAGCCTCTTCTTCGTCTCCACTAGACTTAAGGGCATTGACGGTCTTCCGCCAGGCGCGGGATATCCAGCGTTTCCAGCGACCGATTCCAACGAGGGGAAGTAGGAACAGGAGGAATTCAGTAAAGGCATGCCAGACCAGTTGTCGATTCAGGTACTCAAAAGAGACCTCCCGACTGGCCTGGGCAGAGGGTGGTGTGAGGCGAATACGGAGAAGTCGATCGACTAACGTTCTATAGCGACCGTTGACCAGGAACACGAGGAATGAGACGAAGGCCGCGATTGAGTGCGACGTAGAAATAAAGTCCGTCAAGCGGGACAGCATGCGGATATCCTGTGACGGCTTGGGACAGATATTAGAATTGAATCAATTGTAAAGTAGAAAATCACCAACCTCTTCGTAGCCACCTTCCTGCCCAACCAACCAACTCTCCCATTTATCCCAGGCATATCGACCACCCACCGTCAGCAGGCCATACACGGTCTTTTGCCATTTCGTTGGGGCCGAATGCACGGGTCCCTTGCTGCGGCTATCGGTATATCGAAGGCCCTGCAGTGCCGCTCCATATGACGCATTGTGATCCCATATTGAGAGTTTGAAAAGGATGGCCCGCAGCGCGAATAAAATCTCATGTGACCAGTCTTCCCTCATTTGAGGCTATCAATCTATTAGCACATGAAAACGACCAATCGAGCATTCCGGCCAGTGCTTACTCCAAAGTATTTGAGAGCATCCCCAACCTGACCCTTCATCAGGCCCAGCAGCTCCTCATCCAGCAGCTCGGCGTCCACCTGACCAACCCGAAATGCCGGGCGCGTACCATCTCGACCCTTGATAGAATTCCATGTCATCCAACCCGCGCCTGGTAGACGATTTAACGGATAGGGAAGGCGTTCGACGGTGGCAGAGTTGATCGGCGATGTCCGCCGTTGTTCGGCCAGTCGGGCACGCGCTTCCGCCTGACGAAGACGGCGGCGCTCGAGAACCCGCTCTTGTGCGGCGGCGAAGTTTGTCGAGCTCATCGTATGATCATCTTGCGGTGACCGGGAAAGGAGAAAAGAGAGGATGAAGCAATGCGGAGGTGGGCGTCGGGAAACGGTCAGGGCGTCGGTTCCCCAGACGCGGAGCCGAGGTTAGTCTCACGTGACTGCCTCATCCGGAAGAATCGACGGAGTCGATGAAGTGTAGCAGGGTTCGTGAACTTTCATGCTTGAGTATTCCCAGGGAAAAGCTCTTGTCCAAGAATGAAAAAAGAAAAAAGAAAAAGAAAGAGACTAGATGCACCGATGCCGCGGGAGAATATACGAAAGAATCAAGTCCGACGGAGCACGCTTCCAAGGTTCTCACAGATCTATGGATCTCTTTCAGTGGGCAGCGCTTCATTTGACACACATTCTATGCTGTGTCATCAGACGTCGCACGATATGGACTAGAACACCTCGATGTGGTATGGCATCACGCTAGATGTACGGGTCGGAGGACAAGCAACCTCCGTGGACTACAACTTATAGTGGTGATGGTCCAATGGCAGGAGGGTCAATATTCCTGACCACGCAGCCAGTGGTAGACAATCAAAAGGGCATACGCTTGCATAGGTTTGTATTCATTGGACAATTGGGCAATTCCGAAGTGAGGTACCCGTAGGGCTCGAGCGGGTACTGTAGGAACTATGATACTCCACAGGGCTGATATCGGTCGATTCCGTACACTCCACTGTCTCGGTTATCTTACCTGAACGAACCCTTCTAGATCCTGGAGGAAGCTAGAAACGCTTGATCCCGGCCATAAGAAGCCAAGATCCACACACGTGCCTGGCGTAACTAAGCCGCCCCCAAAACGCCTTAATGGAAATTGACCTTGGCAGTCCCCTTGGCAGTCCCCTTGGCACCGTCGGATGTGCCCCGTCGTGGCAGGGGAACCCCGCCAATCATATCAGTGGCCTTCACATCGTGGGAGCAGTCGTGATGATCATTGCAAGTACAACCCTCGAGAACCTAGAACAAGGATCAGGTCCAGGGTGTACAATCGCCGTTGCCTAATAAGGAAGTAAGCACTGGCGCGATGTTACTATGTGGTTTTTTCTATGCGAGATCTACCACGTGCATTGGCCCAAACGAGAGCTTATCCATACATAAACATCGATTTGCCCTCTGATCGTTTCCTCTTTCTTCACTCTCGCTCATAGCTTTCCGTATCCAGCATCACAGCATTACTCTTCAATCGCGTGACCACTTTCCAAGTACATTCACGATGAAGGGTTCTCTCGCATCCCTGCTGGCCGCTGCCGTCCTGGCGCGTGCTCAGATTGCTACCACCTCCGAGCCTGCCATTGCTCAGATCACTGCGGCAGCTGCATCTACCAAGCCCGAGTCCCCCACCTCCGATGTCAAGGGTCTGGCCTTTGACCGCTTCTACCAGGTCTGGCTGGAGAACATTGTGAGTAATGCTCCCGGTTTCATTACTAGCTGTCTTTGCTGACTTGCATGTAGGATTATGAGGATGCCGCAGCCGACTCCAACATGCAGTGGCTGGCCTCCCAGGGTATTCTGCTGTGAGTGTTGACTTAACTTTTATGAATCACACCTTGCAATTCTAATCCTCGCCTAGGACCAACTTCTATGCTGTCACTCACCCGTCGGAGCCCAACTACTGTGCTGCCGCTGGTGGTGACACCTTCGGCATGGACAATGACGACTTCCTCCAGATACCTGCCAACGTCTCCACTGTGGCTGATCTGCTGGACACCAAGGGTATCTCGTGGGGCGAGTACCAGGAGCACATTCCTTATGCCGGCTTCCAGGGTTACAACTACTCTAATCAGGAGACCTATCACAACGATTATGTTCGCAAGCACAACCCCCTCATCTTGTATGACTCCGTCGTCAAGAATGATACCCGTGCTCGTCAGATCAAGGGCTTTGAGGCTTTCTTCGACGATCTGGACAACAAGAAGCTTCCTCAGTGGGCTTTCATTACCCCCAACATGACCAATGATGCCCACGACACCAACATCACTTTCGCCGCCAAGTGGGAGCGTAGCTGGATGTCCACTCTGTTCAAGAATGATTACTTCATGAACAACACCGCCATTCTCCTGACCTTCGATGAGGATGACACCTACAACAAAACCAACCGGGTCTACAGTATCCTCGTTGGTGGTGCCATTCCTGACCATCTGAAGGGTACCAAGGACGACACTTTCTACACTCACTACTCCACCATTGCCTCTGTTTCCGCCAACTGGGGTCTCCCCTCTCTGGGTCGCTGGGTAAGCCAAAATCGAATCTCCTCTATCCAAAATTCAATTCTGACAATCCGATTCTTAGGACTGTGGTGCGAACATTCTAGAAATGGTCGCTAACAAGACCGGCTATGTCAACTACGACGTTGATATCACCAACCTGCGTCTCAACGAGACTAACCCCGGCCCCTTGGCTGACGGTGACTACGCTAAGTTCTCCGCCGCCTGGCCCATCCCGGCCACCAACCTCAGCTGCTCTGCTGGTCACGGTATTCTGGACGCTGTCAAGAAGACCTATGCCGGCCTGACGCCCACTCACAACTACACCACCCCCTTCCCGGTTGATGAGAAGAATGACTACAACACCAAAGTCACTGCTACTCGCAAGTCGTCATCCAACACCACTTCAAGTGCCTCGGGCTCTTCCTCTGCCGCAGAGGGTGCTGCCGTTGCTGCCACCGTTCCCAGCGTCGCTATGACCGGTGCTATGGTGGCTCTTTTTGCCTACCTCTTCTAGTTCAACCTAGGGCAAATTGAACCTGTTCAACTCACATTGTTTAGGGCTCTTTGACTGCACCTTGCAGCCCTTGCCTTGATCACTTGACTGAAATGAGGTTCTTTCTCTTTCAATGGTTGACTAAAAAGGATAGAAGATGGTTTAATTTCTAGCACTATGCTTTAATGTTTCAGCAACGAAATTCAATTTAGCCCACGAGCATTCAACGCAAAGTAGCTCCAATAGTTTCCGAGGAACCGAAATAAAGCACGTCAAGAGCCGAATAAAACCCTCTTCAAGAACAATCTCAGCCCCAAATCCCACCCATCTCTCCTGACTTAATCAAGATAGTCTTCGTCTGCACGAAATTATCGATACTATACAAATACCCTTCCCGACCAGTTCCACTCATCTTATACCCCCCAAAAGCCGCATCCTTTGAAGAAGGACTGGTACAATTAACAGCAACAACGCCAGCCTCCAGCGCCCTCGACATCCGCAAAGCCCGATCCAAGTCCTTCGTAAACACAGAAGCAAAGAGCCCAAACTCAGTATTGTTCGCCTTCTCAATAGCTTCCTCCTCTGTCTGGAATGTATTTATAGTCACAACAGGCCCGAAGACCTCCTCACGCATCAACCGCGACTCTTCAGGCACTCGCTCGAAGATAGTCGGCTTAATGAAGAACCCATCGTTCGCGTCCCCACCAAGGGTAAGAGATCCTTCTTTCTCTCCGATACGAAGATACTCCTGGATACGATTATATTGAAGCTTATCAATCTGCGGACCGTGCGAGGTACTAGGATCCAACGGATCGCCAGCAGTAATAGCAGCGAATTTCTCGCGGAATAGCTTGATGAATTCATCCGCGACGGATTCCTGGACGTAAATGCGTGAGTTGGCGATGCAGACCTGCCCGCTGTTGAATCGGATGCTGAATTGGGTTTGGGCGGCTGCGGATTCGAGATTGGCGTCTGAGAAAACGACGGCGGGCGATTTCCCGCCTAGTTCCATATGTACGTGCTTCAAATTGGATTTGGCGGCTGCAGCTTGGATCTTTTGGCCTGTTAGGGATGAGCCGGTGAAGCTTAAGCAGCGGACGGACATGTGAGAGGCGAGAGCGGAGCCGGATGAGGTGCCGTGGCCGGAGATTATGTTGATTACGCCCGGTGGGAAGTTTGCTTTGATGAATAGCTTGGCGGCGTAGATGGACTGTTGTGTGTTAGTAGAGGTCGTATGAACGTGGGCATCGAGGGGTAGTCACGGTCAAGGGCGCCTTCTCGCTGCTTTTCAATACAACCGTGTTCCCAGCTGCTAGAGCAGGAGCAACTTTCATAGAGAACATGATGAGTGGGAAGTTCCACGGGATAATAAGTCCGACCACGCCGTAGGGCTCTTTGACTGTCATGCTCAGAATGCCGGGTGTGTTTGTACTCGCTGTCCCCTGCACACTCCAGGCACCATCGGCAAAGTACCTGAACCGCTCACTCGATAGCTTTGCGTCAAAGAATTGTGAGATCGGTCGCCCGGTGCACAGAGTTTCCAGTTGAGCAAGCTCATCATTGGCTTCGAGGAACAGCTTGGAGACCTTGCGCAGGTATTCGCCGCGTTTCTCGACGCCTAGGTCACGCCACGCTGGGTAGGCGGCTTTGGCCGCGGAGACGGCGTCGTCGACATCTTGGACGTCAGCTTCTTGGACTATTGATTGAATTGTCAGTGGTGTTGGCGGTCCCAGGGTTGTTGAGAGGGGCTGAAGTACCATTTGCGATGACCTCTTGAGTGTAAGGGTAGACAACTTCGAATGTCTTATTGTTCGCAGACTCTCGGAACTGAATGAAGATTTTAGAAGCAATTAAAGGCATTCCATGAAGGCGACAGCTTTTTCTTCATTGCTTCCGAGAATTTGGGCAGATGAATTGAACTTTCTTACCTCGTTGTTGATGAAGAGCCTCGTCTCAATTGGCTCAGACAACTTATCAGTCAGAGTAACGGTCATTTTGATAGATCTCACTCGTGTGAAACTCGAAAAATTTTAAAGATGTATTAAGCTGAGCACACCTTGAACCCAGATCAAACCTAAGGGGAACGAAGTGGGCTACTCAGCTCTATTTAAAACCGACTGGACAACTAGCCGCGGCATCCACAGAAGCGGAATCCAGCATGTAACCCTAGTTACCTCGCATAATCTGTACAAGTCTTGCATATGATGCAGAACTCTCGAAGCCACTTCCTTGGCTCAAATATCTTAGCGTCATTTTGATACGCTCGGGCAGTTGCATTTGGCTAGCTTTGCGTCCGGCTGCCGAGAGTTTGACAATGTGGGGTTTGATGAGGGGTTTCGTGTATGTAGGCAATCGGAGGCCTGAGTAATTTATACGAGGTTACTTCAGCTGATTATTCAATAGCACACCACAACAGCGATCGGACCCATCATTTAGCATGCTTGCATTGAGAGGCGCCAATGTCGTGCTGTGCTAGTACCACTATTTGCAGTCTAAGACACTGTCAAGGCTTGGTGGTCACGCAAGCTAGGTTCAATATTTGACTTGCATTTGGAAATCAGTCAACAGTCTTTGAAACTGGGTGGAGTTTCAATGCTTTTATATTGTCACATTCGTCGTATAGATCATTAAGACTTGGTTCTATAATACAATTTAGTTGGCGAGACCCCGGCGCTTCATGTCCTGCAAATTGGGAACCTCCTGATCACCACCGCGCTGCTCGGACGCGATCTTGGTATCATCCTCGGGGCCACCGGTGCCGTTGAACTGCTTCGCTTGAGCGAGGCTAAATGAACAAAAACGTTAGCTTCTGAAGCACATTTGCAGAAACGGGCAACAATCTTACCGGCCACGGTCGTCGCGGATACCACCTTCATCCTCGGGAACCTTGCGGTGGTCACTGCCTGAGGCAGTAGAACCAGGACCATACTTGACGCCAGTGGGCTCTTCGAACTTCTTCTCGACCATCTCGTTGACGCCAGACTCGAGAGCTGCCATGTTGTTAGAGTTGGACGGATTGTTGAAAGTGTATGGGATAACATACTTGAGTCACTCTTCTTGCCAAGGCCTTGCTTGGCCTGGTAGGAGTTCAGGTCTTTCTCGGCGTCAAATGCAGCCTTGCGCAAATCTTCGGAGTGAGCCATGATGACGGGATTTGATGAATACAGTTAACGGTAATTGGAATAGATCGAGTGTTGGAGGAAATTGAGAATAGAGATTGTGATGAAAATGAACTGAAAAGTCGGTCTACGCCTCAACTAAATACTTCTCTAGCAATATCCCAGATCCTGCGAGACTGTTCGAGTTGCATCATGGAACATCATAGCTATGTCACTTCTACCGGAGAAGGAAGGCAGGGGATTGTAGTGGGAACCACAAAAGTCCAGGATTCTTGGAATCGAGGTTGGCAGCTATGATATGATAAGCTATGATATCTTATACTATGGACCCTGACCAAGATCCATAGCGGTGACTTCATGGTGTCCACCCGAAAAGCCCTATGTTAAGATCCAAATTGGGTCATATAGTAGGGTCTAGCCCTAGGGCTTGGGGCGATCCGGATCAATGATACTCCGATCCAAATGAGGGGAGCAGCGGATGTGAATTGCAGACCGTCCGGGGGTTTGTTGACATCTATTGCAGATCACTCATTCGATTTAGCTGCGATCTCCATGGCAGATTGGTGATCTTCTGAGCCTCCCTTTCCATCGACGGCCCGCTCCCGCTGCAACCAGTTTTTTCACCCACTTTGCGACCGCGACGCGAATCATTCACCATGCCCGACATGTTTGAAGTGCCGGGCGAGGCTAGCCCGATGAGCCAGGCAAACGTGCTTAATGCTCTGTTTCTTGCGGCAAGCTCCACTCAGCAGCAGGTGCAGACAGGTACCAAGCAACTGCAGTTCTGGGAGAAGCAGAAGCTCTACTACCCCACCCTTCAGGTACTTTGACACCATTACCACGCGATGGCGCGCGACATAGCTAACTGATTTGATTTATAGAATATCTTTGTCGACTATACCGTTCCGACCGAGGTCCGATATCTTGCGATCATCCAGCTGAAGCATGGAATCGATAGATTTTGGCGCAAGACTGCAGCCAAGTACGTTTTCGAGAGGAGTCGTCGGATCTTTCCTTATGAGGGCTTTACTGACAAGCATAAGTGCAATCACAAAAGAGGAGAAAGAACAGATCAAATTGAGAGCCTTAGAAGCAGGCATTTATGAGCCAGAGCGTCAGCTTGCTCTTCAAAATGCGTTAATGGTTGCCAAGATCCTCCGTTACGAATTCCCTCATGATTGGTATGTTTCAAAGGAACATTAAGTAAAGAATCTCTCTAACGCTGCATTTCGAAGGCCTGATGCGATCACCACTTTACTCTCTTTCCTCCGCTCCGCCACTCGTCCCGGCGCGAAACCCCTAGAGCTTCCTCGAACCCTTCTCATGCTCCTCCAGATCATCAAAGAGTTGTCTACGGCGCGGATCCAAAGAACACGAGTGCATCTTCAATCGGTCTCACCCGAGCTTTTCCAAGTGATGGGAAATATCTATGTGGAGAAGATCAGTCAATGGCTCACTGTGCTAGACCAGGGCAGCGCAAACGAATCACATCTCGAGGCAATGGAGCAGAGTCTGATGTGTCTCAAAGTTCTTCGTCGCCTCATTATCTCTGGCTATGAACACCCGGGTCGCCATTCGGAAGTGAAGGATTTCTGGCAGTTGAGCTTCGAGCACTTTGCCAGATTTTCTTCCTTTAGAGAGCAGGCTGCTCATTTACCAGAGCCTGTGACCAAGGCCATTGAAAAGCACACCTTACAGCTTTCCAAACTTCATGTGGAGATGGCGAAGGTACACCCAGCCTCTTTTGCATTGTTTCCCAATAGCATCTCACTCGTCAATTCATACTGGGCGTTGGTTGTCCGGCTTAGCGAAAGCTATGTCAGCCTTGGAGCCGATCCCGATGCCGAAGGGCAATCGTTGCCCGAGAAGACAGGCCTTCGGGCGTTGCTTCTGATTCGGGCTTGTGCTAGAATGGCTTTCAACCCAGTCCAAACATTCAAATACCAAACACCCCAAGACAAGGAAGAAAGAAAGCAGGCCGTGGAACGGATCAAGATAGAATTGTTCACTCACGACCTTGTGCTTGGCGTCATGGAGCTTCTTGTTACCCAGTTTTTCAGATTTCGAGATGTCGACTTCCAGGAATGGGAAGCTGAGCCTGAATCCTGGGTTCAGCGAGAGGAAGTGAGCAGCGAAGCATGGGAATTCTCCATCCGCTCCTGTTCTGAGAAGCTCTTTTTGGACCTGGTCATCCATTTCAAAGACCTGCTCATTCCGCGTTTGTTGAGTGTGTTCCAAAGCTTTGCGAGTAAGTATCATGGTCGAATTTGTTACTGGAAATTTGAGTCTGTTCTAATCGTGACCACACAGATACCGACAACCATGATGTCGTTTTGAAGGACTCTCTTTACTCTGCTATTGGCTTGGCAGCAGCCAGCCTTGAACAACACTTGAACTTTAACGATTTCTTGCAAGGAACAATGGTCACCGAAGTTCAGATTCAAGATCAGCAGTACAGGCTCTTGCGCAGACGGATTGCGCTTGTGCTTGGCCAGTGGGTCCCAGTCAAGTATGGTGAATTGAATACCGATGCAATCTTCCAGATTTTCCAACACTTGCTCAACAAGGATGATCCGCTCAATGACCTTGTCGTTCGTATTACTGCTGGACGCCAATTAAGCCAGGTCCTCGATCCTTATGAATTCCAGGCGGCCCATTTCATGCCGTTTGCACAGTCGATACTTGGCAATCTCATGTCCCTTGTTCAAGAGGTTGAGATGCCTGAAACGAAAATGGGGCTGTTGGAGACGGTCCGCGTGGCAGTTGTCAAGATGGAGCACCACGTAAGTTCTATGCGCGCTATGTTCGGTCTTGGAACTAACAAATTTCCTAGATTGCTCCATTCACTGATCAAATTCTCTCCTTGCTCCCACCTCTTTGGGAGGAGTCCGGAGATGAGCATCTCATGAAGCAGGCCATTCTCACACTTTTGTCTTCATTGATCAACTCTCTGAAGCAGGAATCTGTCCGATACCATTCACTTATCCTCCCACTGATTCAAAGCTCAGTGCACCCCGAATCCGTGAGTCTCCGTATCAAAAATTTCCCATGCAAGACTTCGATTTGATATTAACTATCGATGTTAGGAAACCTTGGTGTATCTTTTGGATGAAGCTCTGGATCTCTGGACTGCTATCATCCAGCAATCTCCCACTCCCTCCTCCGATATTCTGGCTCTCCTTCCCTCTGTATTCCCGATCCTTCAATCGGGCACCGACAGCGCACCTCAGGCCCTCCAGATTGTCGAGTCTTATATTCTCCTGGCACCACAAGATGTGTTCAAAGATGAATACCGCACCCCTCTCCTGCTTGCCCTACAGGAACTCCTTTCTCACACGACCAGACAACGCATTGGCGTCGTCCCCCGACTGGTCGAAATGTTGATCCGCAGTGGTGAAGCCATCAACGGTGGAAGCGAAGAAACTTACAACGCCATTTCCCAAAGTCTCATCCAAAGCTCGTTCCTCCGCTCCATTCTAGAGGGCCTCCACTCCGCCTACGAGGCCAGCGAAACAACAGGCCCCAACCGGAAAACCTCCAATGTGATCGGCGTCGTCGAAACCGAGTATTACTCCGTCGTTGCTCGCCTAGCCCTCGCTAGTCCCACGATCTTTGCCTCCGCCATCGCCACTGCCGTCCAGGGCGACAATATCCAATCCCCGTATAAAGATCTTCCCTGGCTGCTGAAGGAGTGGTTTGAGCATTATGATAATATCAGCAGCGTCAACCAGAAGAAGCTGCACGTCCTCGCTCTCACCCAACTCCTCGCTCTCAAACAAAACCCACCTAACCCCACCGCACCTGACCTTCCAGCCGATTTCCTCCGCCAATTCTTGCAGTCCTACCTGACTGTCTGGACAGACCTCATCCTCGAGCTGGCAGAAGGCGGTCAAGACACCAATGCCGATTACCTAGTCTTCTGGGGTGCGCCTTCCGGCTCCGCAACTGCCGTCCCTGAAGCCCCGGACGAAGTCGAACCTCCAGAGAACCACCGCCGCCGGGATTGGGAGAGCTCGGATATCATCCACCGCTTCCCAATCCGCGACTTTGTACGCGATCGTTTGCAGCAGCTGATTGTTGCCTGTGGTGGCCCGGAGACGTTCCAGGCAGAGTGGCTGGCGAATGTCGATGCTGATGTGGTGTCGGCGTTTGGTGCCTTGGGACTGATCTGATTACCGGAACGCATGATGAAGCAAGATTGCATCTAGTTTATGTTCACTGCATTATCCAACTCCATTGAGTGTTCGCTACAGATATCTTTTGATATCTTAGAATTGTCTAGCTACATACCCCAAATGGTTGAATTAAAATAATATTGAGGTCCACCGATACGTCGTATCAGAATTCAGACAAGTCGAGCGGCCATCAAGGCTGCGTATCCTCCGGAAAATCCGAGTTGAAGAACAAGTGATCATTACTCCTGTTGCAGCCCGAGAAGTTTAGCATGAAACCCCAGAGGTCAAGTAAAGACGATGAACATACCACAATTGTTCCTCAAAGTAGGCCTCCGGAGCCTCCAACCAGCCCATAAAATTGGACGAAAACATTTGAGCAAGAGGAACATGATTGACGGGATCCATCAGTCCAGGAATATCAGGTATGGCCATGCCTGAAGCTAAATCATCCGACTCATTGCAACCATTCCGAAGACTTTCAAGTGTTTCGAAGCATCGAGCAGCAAACGGACTTAGTTCCACCATACTTTTGATAATCTCGATTGCAGTGTCGATATCCTGCTGCCAGCTCTCTGCGAATAGAGATTGAGGCTCGTTTCGGAGGAGGACGACCGGGACAAGGGTGGCGGAGAACAGGAAGTACAGTGCATACCAGCACGCCATGCGCGTATGCACCTCAATTTTCCAGAAACGTTCAATGCTTGTGATTGTTTCATGTGACTCTTTCAAACATCGATCACATGCAGTGTCTCGGTAGATGCGTGATTCCGAATTCTCGACTGGTCGAGGGTGATTGCCTTCCGCTAGTGGAAGTACAGCAGATGGCTGTGACCGGTTAGTCATTAGAGCCTTTTGAATCAGGAAGGGACGATAGATGATCATTCGGAGGTGTTTGTATCGCCATGTCATGATGGAATGAGCGAGTGCGTGGCGCGCTGGCACTCTAGCGCTTTCTTTATAGTACCATGGCACCATGTTCAACCACCTGGTGATGTAATTATCGTCCCATTCAAGCACCTGTTTGGCTGATGGGGCAGGTTTGGAGATGACGCGGTTGTAGATATGGTTGGTGAGAAGATGGAATTGCGATTGGACTCGAACATTCGTGTAGATCGTGGGAGCGTCGATAACTTCTGGGGAATCCGTCGCAGATAACGTCAAGTCACTCTCTGATATGTTGAGAGGCAGTTTTGCGTCGATACCAGCCGACGGAATTGCCAATGGACGGCTGAAGGTAATTGTCGAGCCGACATCATAGATGAAGAGACACCACCAGGTTCGGCGCCGGATCTCACGGTATAGCAAATTTCCCTCTGTATTGGGATGATCCTTGTGGAGGCCCAAGCCATAGGCCATACGAACTGCTAGACCAAGGTAGTTGTGACTTGAATTCGGACGGTCTCGTTTTTGGAGATAGTTGGAGATGAGGCTCAGGCTTTGAACCAATGTCAAACTACCCACTTCGAGGATTTCAAGTGAAAGATGAGATCGAGCACATTGATACAGGACAAGATCATCGTCGTTCGGTGCAGTTGCAGTTGCAGACATGAAAGCGCCGAGGGCGGCAACCATGTACATCAGCACAGTCCAGCCGTACTTTGGCCGTGGGACGATCTCATGGTACTGAGCCATAAAAAGTCCCTGGTGAACCAACGGGTAAGAGATATGGTATTCACTGAAATAGTCCCCGATATAGGCTTCAATCTTCTGCGGCGGGATCTCTCGTTGCAAATTGACTGACAGTGCCTGTGGCGACTGTGCCTTGGGAGTTGGGGTTTTTTGCAACATGGCAGCGGAGGACAATGGCCCAGCAGAGCATTTCTGAATCAAGTGCAGAAGAGAGGCACCGGACGCGAGACCTAGGTACCCCGGCCGTTCTTCTTGGATGGATAAGGCTGCCATTCCATCTAGACAGCTCTGTGCTTCTGTATTCCGTTCGTCCCAGTCATAGTCTGCTCCACTCGCTATCAGATCATCTGGCGTAGCTGATGGTATCATATCTGTAGAATGAGATTCTTCTTCATTGCTATCCGACACCAGCATCTCCAAGCAAGGCTCGAGAATTCCTGGGTCCATTCCATGGACTCTACCTGGCGATGACGTCGAAGAATCAGCACGTTGTCTCTTCACGCCCTCACGAGGAATTTCATCCTTCGTCTTATCCGTTTGATCCGGACAATAGCTCATGTTGACACCATTTCTGGCACGGGACAATTCGGCATCGAGATCGATATCGAGGCCGTGGTCGCGGATAATCCGGGTGGCAATGCGGAGAGATTCTTCGACTTCGGTAAGATGTCTGCCTCGAGTCAATTCGGAAAATTGCTTGAGGACTGTGACTATAATCAAACATACTTCCTAGTAAGTGGACTTCGCGTCGGCTTCTCGTACAAGCAATGCCGACGCCATTGGAGACATTGTGCGCATACGGGCAGCTCGCGGGAACACTAGCAATTGTCAGCCCTTGTGTCGCTTTGAGACCAGATCCTGGCATACCCGGGCCTTTCTTCTTCGACACTCGTTACATGCATGCGCTTTGCTGCTCTCGGCCATAGTCTGGTGACTCGAGCATTTATAAGCCAGAAGATGTTTTACGCGGGGTGCGGGGGTCGCAAATACTCCGTTGATGTGGGATTTACCGCTCTGCCAAAAAAGGAAGATCAGGCGAAAAACATTCTTATACATGCTAAAAGATACAGAGAAGTTTCATCGGATACTTCTTTTGCGGCAGACTGTACGGATGTATTCTAGTCATCTAGGGATCAACGGTATACCATGGGTCTAATTAACATCTCCAGCGGGAAGAAGAAGGTTAGAAGACCCATACAGAGTAGAATTACGATACGAATTCAAGTCAAAAGAATAAATTCACTGAATTGCCTTGATCAGACCCTGTCTAATCCTAAAGCATCAACAAATAAAGCACCCAGGGTTGAAAAGCCTGCAACATGCAAGGCGCCAAACTCCAGCAGTCAAGTCAAGAAAGAAAGAACTCCAAACAAAGGGCACTAAAAGAGTATAACCAGTATGCGAGTATAGGAAGTATTGAAACGCAGCAAACTGATACCATTTAGCACTGGCCAGGGAATTGGCGGCTGGTGACGGGGTTAGGGAAGACCCCAGCGGCAAGCTGCTGCTTCATGTCCCACTCGGGGGCACCCTCGGTAGTCCAGGTCCAGTAGAGCCAGCCATTGCCCTTCTCATAAGCGTCAAGCTGTCCCTCAATGAAGCGGCGGATGTTGACACGGTCCTCGTCAGAAAGGTCGGCGGTGTTGCCAACGGACTTGCCGTCACAGCTGCCAAAGGCGCCTTGACTGGCGTCAAAGGTACCGTCGTAGCGAGCACCGATGCCCTTGCCGTTCAAGTATTTGGCGCAGTCGGTCATGGCACCGGTCCACTCGCCAACAACGGTCCACTTGTCGGTGTGCAGGACGTGGTCGTTGACGAAACCGCAAGCAGTGCTAACGTGGGAGTCGGTGTCCAAGGCGAGCAGGCCATGGTCAAAGACTTCGTAGTGGTGAGTGTCCATCATTACGTACCAGACACCAGTCGACTCGCTCATGAACCCGTTCCAGGACTCAGTGGGCATGAAGCCGTCATGAAGAACAACGGTGGTGTCCTGGCTAGCCTTACGGGCAGCACCCCAGGAATCGTAATAGTACTGCTTTAAGCCATCCTCACTCACTCCACCGGGAATGCTAGGCTCGTTCAGGGCCTCAACGGCAGTAACGACATCGGCATCACCACCGTAGCGGGCAGCCAAAGTCTCGAGGGCAACGCGGGTAAGATCAACGTTGTTGCCGGTCTGCCACTGAATAGGGCCGCGCCTACCACTATTGTCAAAGCCGTTCTGGGAACCAGGGGCTATGGTGTATTAGCAAATTTGTCGTTGGCCAGACTTGCGAGTGCTAGTTCACTTACCACCGTGCAGGTCAACAATAACCTTGAGGCCGGCACCACGAGCCCAGCCAACAGCCTGGTCAAGATAGGACAGCTGGCCATCGACGTATGCATCACCCTCCAGGGGCGTAAGAGCCCAGTAGCCGACAGGGATACGGACATGGTTCATGCCGGCAGCGGCAATCTGGTTAAAGTCATCTTGTGTGATGAAGGTGCTCCAGTGCTGGCTCAAGATAGCACGGCACTGATCAGCGCCGTAGGTATCACACAAAGACCACTCGTCAACGGCGGTATCACCAGCAGCATCAAAGATTGATGGGGTGATCCATGGCTCCAGCACAAGCCAGCCACCAAGGTTAACACCACGGACCTTGTCAGCACCGTAGTTGAAAGTAAGGCCCCTGGTCGAATGTTAGTTTTATACTTGTATAAATAATGTCAGGTTAGAGTATTGTCCACTTACACTTGAGGAGCTTCCATTTCCTGGGCCAGGGCGGACGAGCCCATCATGAGAAGACCGAGAAGGGCCTTTTGCGACATCCTGAACGACATGCTGAAAGTCACTAAGACGAATTAATCCAAGAATCCAGGTGGCTGAGCTTCAGGAATGAGATAAGAGAATAATTGTGTCAGATGGTATGGCGACGGCTGCTATAAGTAAACTTTAGTCGATGCTTGGGGTCGAAGATGGCCGGATGCAGGTAACGAGCAGGTGATGTGCATGGAAACGGAAACCTGGAAGCTTTTGAGAGCCACATTCCACGCACCTTTGGCAGTATCCCCGCAGATGTTTTGTTCTGACAGCGCTGATCAACTGTTGACAGCTCCGGAAAGGAAGTCGGCTTGGCCGAAAGCGGCCGGAGTGGGACCTGGCACTTCGGGTCTGGGGATGATAAATGGAACAATGGCCTTCACGCTACGTCAGGGGTCACAATTGACGGCGGAATCTCTCACTCCGGTCAGCGCAGCAGTGGGGGTTTGAACCTGACGCGGTGGTGGATATCACAGAGGTTGGGTCACAATGGATCGGAAGACCAGTCGGTACCGAAATAGGAGGTGACAAAGGCAATAGGATGGAGAAAGGTGGAGATATAATGAATATGGAGGAGTTTGGAAGAGTCAAATTGCATGTTGCGAGTCCGGCACAAGATTTACATTGGATGTGTAGATGGCAAGAGCGTTGCTACTCACGAGCTCCTGAGCTCCTGCTCTGCGAGCTCAATCAGGGTGTCACTACACCTTCCATATTTCCTCTCAACCAGCTGTGGTCATTCGGTCCAGTTTCTCGGTTTCTGTTCAGGCCATCTTGCTCATTTGCACCTGTATGATGACCTTGTACACCATGGTGACCGTGCGAGGTCGAGATGCGTGCTGTTTGCGAACATTCCGCGCCCTGAAGATCCGCCACGCGTGGACCCTGGCGGAATGTGAGGGATCTTGATTCAAGATTCCGATCGAGTTTCCATCGTGGACTGCGGACTGCTTCAATGGGCTGGTCAAATGGGTGAGGCCGTGTCACCATGGTGTACAGTCCCTTGGGGTTCTTTGGCCTTGTACAGATTGGACAACACAGTCACTCCAAACAAACCGGGGATATCCCCGGTCTCCCCGTGTTCCCCGTTCTCCACCACTTCAGCCGTGATCCGTGTGCTCCGGGTCCATACCTAATTCGAGAACCAAACCGCGTCCTCCATTGTGCACTGGCCAGAAAACCGGGTCGCTCGGGTCCTCCCGAACCGAGTCACCGATTTTCGGTTTCCGTTCTCAGCGACAATACTATTGTGGGCAATATCGAGCGCTGAGCTTGAGGCGCCTCAGGTCATGGTGACTACTCTATGAACCATGGGTGAAGCAGGGTATGTATCCACGATCGTTGCCTCGAAGTGCCATTCCTCGCGGCTTCCATGGTCCAGACTCGGGTAGCGTAGGAGCCGCGATGTGTTTTGTAACGCCGAGATCGCGAGGAATGTGGTCAGGAATGCACGTGTCCTACCTAGCTCCACAATTGAAGGCTGAACCTACCAGTGAACAGGTTGTGTCAACTGGGATGGTGGTTTCTACACGGTAGTGGTTTCTAGAATGCGGTCATCAAGAATTTACGAGATCTCAAGCCATTGTAGTGTCCTAGGTGCTCGAGGCACCCTATCTGATACTTTAGGAGAAAAAGAAAACCTCGCATGGTCGGTTGGTTGATCTAAGGTCGTCTCCAAACACGATCACAGCGGACCCGAGCAACTCCCACGAATGATTTCCAGGGGTCATTGGACTTTTGAAATGGCAAAGTTAACCTTGGAAGAAAGGCGCAACTTGTCGGCAAGATGATCGTCAGTCCAGTTGAAATTGGACGATGGGATGTCAATCCGAGAAAGTAGCGCGGACACTGGCCCTTCGCTTGCAAGAAGTGGCCACGCTCACTGGCTCCTCATCCAGACATGTCCCCGCAAGGCGTCAGGATAAGATTATCAACCCTGCACGTGGTGAACAGCACGATGATGATTGAAGCTACAAGCTTCCAACATCTCCGGGTTCCTGACCGCGCGGTCGGATGGCTTCCATTCCAAGTCATGCAGCGAATATAGTTGCTGAGCAGTAGGCGAGCCAATTGTATTGCAACATGAAGGGGAGATGGGGGAAGGTCGCACGATCCAAACATGATTTAAAAGGCCCATTTATCGCACGATGAGGGTGCAATTCAATTCAGACAGCTCGAAATGGATACAATCAAGTCCATGGTGATTTCTCTGGCTCTGGCTACTGCTGTGGAGGCAGGAGCTATCCAACAGAGAGCCAGTACAACTCAACCAGACTGGTTCAAGACCTCGCCCGACCTTTATGCCGGTAAACCCCCTAAAAGCCAGATATCTTCTGGCATGGCACAGAAGCTAATGTCTCGCGCAATTAGGTACTATGGAAACGGGTGCAGCACCCTACCTTGCCCAGATCAACCCGGCACCTTTTGGCTCGAAATCTTACATCCCTAATGCTCCCTTGGAAACTGGAGAGCCGATCAGTGGTGCTCATGGCAAGAACATCTTCCATCTCATGGGAGACTTGAGGTGAGCCTAATCTACCTCCACGTCTTCCACTTCATACTGACTGCCGATAGTCCCTACTTCTCTCCAGAGGAAGGGTTTGGCGTCGATGAGTACCCTCTGCCAAAGGGAGCCAACATCACGCAAATGCATCTGCTCCAGCGTCACGGCTCTAGATACCCTTCTGCCTCGGAAGACCAGGGCACATGGGGTGAGAAAATTGTCAATGCTACCAAAGCAGGAACAGTCTTCACGGGCGAGCTCGCTTTCCTGAACGACTGGTCTTACCAATTGGGTGAGGAACTCCTCGTTCCCACGGGCCGTCAGGAGTTGTTCGACAGTGGAGTCTTGAACTACTACAACTATGGTCATCTGTATAACAACAAGACTGCTTCTCACAAGCTCGTGGTCCGCACGACCTTGATGGCGCGCATGATGCAAAGTGCAGAGAACTTCCTTGCTGGCTTCTTCGGTCTGAACTGGAAAGACTATGCCAACCTCCTGGCCACTATTGATCCAGCTACAACTGGCGTCTCCAACTGTACCAATGAGCTTACTACTATTGAGGAGGTCATCGAAGAGCCTATCGCAATCTGGATGTCAACCTACCTCAAAGAGCGAACTGCTCAGCTGAAGAAGCTCTCTGGAAGCTACAACTGGACCCTCTCGGATACATACCATGCTCAGACTCTCTGCCCCTATGAGACTATTAGTCTCGGCTACAGCAACTTCTGCAGCCTGTTCACTTACGAGGACTGGGAGCACTACGAGTATCTCCAGGACATCGAGTTCGCCGGTTACTCAGGCTTCCTCAGCCCCACCGGCCGCGCCCAGGGTATTGCCTGGGTGGAAGAGTTCCTCGCCCGCGTCGAGGGCCACTACGTTAAGGTTCCCGCCAGTGAGACAGGAGCCAATATGACCCTAGACACGAACCCGATCACTTTCCCCCTTGACCAGAACCTATACCTTGAGTTCACCCACGACGCGAATATCATTTCTGTCATTACCGCGTTTGGCCTGACCCAGTTTTCCGGCTTCCTGCCGGCCACCGGTCCCCCCGCAAATCAGAAGTTCCACACCAGCAGACTGGTGCCTTTTGCTGGCCGACTCAATATTGAGATCATCAAGGCGCCGCACAAGGTTTCTACCAAGCGCTCGTCTAAGCTTACCAAGGCCGATTATATCTCTGGTACTGGTGAGACTCAGTATGTTCACTTCATCCAGAACCAGCGCACTGTCCCGCTGCATGCTAGCTTCGACGCTTGCGAGTATCGTGAGGATGGCTGGTGTGAGTTGTCCACCTTCTTGAAGACGCAAAAGACGATGCTTGCCAAGGCTGATTACCAACATTCCTGCTACGGTAACTGGACCTACGGTGGCTGGGGCACAGTACTGAACGGTGTTCCTGCCTCTTAGATGGGATTTTATTGGGTTTCTGACAGACCTTGGAGAAGCTAAAAAAAAAAAAAAAAAAAAAGAGGTCCTTGTGCAACACCATAATAGAGCTGTAGATCTAGAAAGATCCCTTACAGGATTTTTATTGTTTATATGTTTCAAATTCTACACTCCCTGTCTTGACCCTACCTACCTATGCTAAGTTATCTAATCTGCGAACCCTTCAGAAAGTCCCCCTACCTTTCTAGAGTCCAAACGATCCCAATAACTATCGTCCACATCAATCCTAGAGCACCTCAATCTTCCCCCGCACCCCCACTAAGCGGAACACACCGCCAGACAAGCATCGTAAGACGGATCCAATGACTCGCCGGGTAGAAGACCGAGCACGGAACGACGGAACGAAAAAGGGGAATTTGCGCACGCTTCATTGCGGAGATAATTAGGACCCGGAAAATCCCCCCCCAATCACACCAGACGGATCGTCGCGCCACAGAAGTTGAGGGGAAGGCGTCGGCTTTTTTCGTATTCTTATTCTTCTTTGATGGAACCTCGAGGTGCCACTATACAAGTAGTCAGTGAGCCGTTCGATGTGATTCTGGGGATCTGAATTCTGGGGATGGTTAGTGTAGTTCTCGGGCACGGTCGTTGTGACCTGTGCGGATGCAAGGGATTCGAACACGGATGCATGATTTGCTTTGCTTTGCTTGGTCTCGCGCAATTCCCCGCCGCTCAATAAGATCGGTCCACGAGTGCCTTGCGATCGCCGAAGATTACACACTAGGACAACCTGGAACCCTGGAACCCTGGAACCCTGGATCCGATAGCCTCAAAGAACAGACCTTAGCTGCGTGCCTGATTTGCTGAAAACACACTTTCCGCCGCATACTTGGGTCGGATTGTTTTGATTATCTCTTGGGTTTGAAATTTGGTCACAAAGGCATCTAGGTCGGTGGTTGATTATTCTTACGATCAGTCGCTTCCAATACAATAGCCGGCGAGACCGCTACATCTTCACAAGAAGCATGCACTGTGACGTGGAGATGTAAGCAGTAAAATAGACTGAGCAAGAACTCGGCCTCGACTCCACCATGAATCTGCCAAGCAGCAGCCTTCCTTGGCCAGGTATCCATGCTTCTCCACCAACCCTGGCCAGATCACCCTCCTGCTGGAGCGGAGTTTCTGTGCGTTGTATTTTGCGGGGTTGGCACGTTCCAGTGGAGGTCGGAATGCAGGGCTGTGGCTATGAGTCGATGCCCAGGTGCCCACTTGCATCGTGTAGAGGGTCTAAGAGTCCTTAGGTTGCCTTTGGCCCCTGCAAGGGCCCAGCGGATGCCAGGACGGGTCGGTGTTTTCGGTTTGCATTTGTCCGATGGGATATGTACATAAACTAGGGGTACACTGGGGAGAATATGGTTTCTCCGACTGTTTCAAGGTTTCTCCTCACGAGGTTTGGAACCGTCAGTGTTGAATCATGCAGTTGTTGCGGAGTTTTGTATTTTCGTTCCTGGCAGCTACGGCTGTAGCTCGTCCTGGTAGTGGTGGTCGACCTGAAGCGGCTATTCAAGCTCGAGGTGCCAAGTATGCGCTGAAAGAGCCGCCGTTGACTACCCCTTGGACGGATAAAGTGGGCGTTGATCCATGGCCTGAGTATCCGCGGCCGCAGATGCAGAGATCCCAGTGGCAGAACTTGAATGGCGTTTGGCAGTATCAGAATGCATCAAGTCTGAGTGCGGTGCAGAACCCGCCGTTTGGTCAGGATCTTGGACAAGAGGTGCTTATTCCGTCTTGTTTGGAGAGCGGGCTGTCTGGTAGGTTTGAATGGAGGATGGATAACTTCAGGTCAGAATTGACACTTTTGTTGCAGGGATCCAGGGGAGCTATACCCTTTACTCGTGGTTTTCAACCTCTTTCCAGGTTCCTTCCGAGTGGAAGGGTGATAATCTTCTTCTCAACTTTGGAGCTGTCGATTATGAAGCGACTGTGTTTGTCAATGGCAAAAAGGCCGGTTTCCACCGCGGAGGATACTTCCGCTTCACTCTGGACGTGACGCAGTACCTGAAAGAGGGCCAGGAAAACGAACTGTGAGTTCATGCGGACCGTGAGAGACAGGAGGCTGACTTTCTAGACTGGTGTTTGTACATGACCCGACTGACGATGGCGATTATGTTATTCCCATTGGTAAACAGACTCTTCGCCCGAGTCACATCTTCTATACGCCCTGTAGTGGAATCTGGCAAAGTGTTTTCATTGAGCCTGTTCAAGCGAACCATATCACCGGAGTCGACCTGGATGGTAACATGGATGGTCAAGGTGCGTGTCATTTTCTGCAGTTTGGTCTCCATGACACTGATGATTCGCAGTGAATGTGACTGTCCACACGACCAACATGAACGTCACCACCAATGTGCAAGTTACTGTGCACGAGAATGGAGATGTTGTGGCGACTCACAGCGGTCCTTCAAACCAACCATTCCAGTTCAAAGTCGACTCACCCAAGTTGTGGTCTCCTAGCTCTCCCAACCTGTACAACGTTACCGTCAAAATGGGCAAAGATCTAGTGCAGAGTTATACTGGATTCCGAACCATTTCTAAAGGCACCGTAGACGGTGTCGTTCGGCCGCTGCTAAACGGCGAGTTCATCTTCATGTTTGGCACCCTCGATCAGGGCTTCTGGCCCGATGGTATCTACACACCTCCCACAAAGGAAGCCATGGTGTATGATCTGCAGGTGCTGAAGAGTCTTGGATTTAACATGGTCCGCAAGCATGTAAGTGTGAATTGCAAATCAGACAGAAGCGGTCGCTGAACTTCTACAGATCAAAGTCGAGAACGAGCTGTTCTACCAAGCATGCGACGAGCTCGGTCTTCTGGTAATTCAGGACATGCCAGCCCTGCGTCCCTCGCAGAGCAAGACCCTGGCAAATTGTGCCACCGAGGCCATTCTGCCGGACCCCGCGCAGCAGAAAGAGTTTACACGTCAGCTGGAGCTGTTGATCAACCAGCACAAGAGTTTCCCCAGTATCGCAACATGGGTATGAGACCCGCCACGCGCTAGCGCTACTGTCTGCTTACCAGTCTACTAGGTTATCTACAACGAGGGCTGGGGCCAAATTACTACTTATTACCCTGAATTTGAACTTACCGAGCTGGTAAAGCAGCTGGATCCCACTCGGCTTATCGATTCGACCACTGGTTGGTACGATCACGGCGCCGGTGACTTTAGCGTGAGTGCCCACCTTTCATGAACGGAAAGGATCATCTAGCTCATGTGTTTCAGGATAACCACCACTACGCCAATCCCCAATGCGGCACTCCCTTCTATTCCATCAACTCAAGCCCCTATGACGAGACCCGAATTGGTTTCCAGGGTGAGTTCGGTGGTCTCGGAAATAATGTCTCGATCGAGCAGTAAGTCCTTCTCCAGATACAGTTAGAGTATCTTACTGATCACAATAGCCTCTGGAACAACCAAGCTGCTATCAATACCATCAACCAGACCTATGAAATCGATACGACTATCGATGCCTGGAACTACCGAAGCCACCTTCTGCTTAGTGAGTTGGAGGACCAAGTGAAGCGCTTCGCGTGCAGCGGTGGCGTCTGGACCCAGACTACTGATGTCGAGGGTGAAGTGAACGGCTTGATGACCTACGACCGCCGTCTCAAGCGTGTGGACGAGGACCAATGGAAGTCTGACATTCAGGCACTATACAAGGCGGCGTCTGGGCGCAGGAATGCTACCATGTCGAGCCTCTAAGAAGCGGGGTCATAGATAGCCTATTCTCCTGTCCCGTAAACAACCCTTTCTTCCATTTTCATCGGCCGAGTACTAAAAAATTAATTTTTCCTGTACTACCAATCGCCCTTTCATCCGATTGACTACGATAACGAGTTTTCTTGGCTAAATTGACCAGTAATGGGATGGGAATCTGACAGGTCCATTGCACATCCAGAAGATGAAACTGTGCCCAGGCATTGCCGATCAATGGATAACAGGAGGCTACAAATCGGTATGGCTGCAGCTGTCACTTTCTTCACACAAACTCAATTAGATTAGCTTGGCACGGCAATCCCATGGATCGCGCTGTCCCAGCTTCTAGGGGGTGTCCCAGAACGCGGGGCACACCCACGCTCAGATAGCCCAGACAGCGGAATGGCCGGCCAGAAATAGTGTCTAGACCGCCTCGCTATGCACAAGCATTACAGATCGTCTAGCGCGGCTGTTTGAGAAGCACGGTAGCGCGTCTCAAGTTGAAACGGAAACCAATCGAGCCGTTGAAGGCATCGGAGCTGTCAACCAGGGAATAGGCGACGAAGCATTGACATGCAAATTTCAAATTTTCATAATTCCCATTTTCTCACCGACTTTTCATCCCTCTTTTCTCGCTCTGCTTTTCTTAATTGTGTTTAGCGAGGTCCGGAGGTTGCGGGAATTGGCCAACCAGAGGATATCCGTTCATCAGCCCATCGGCAAAGCGATCGGGATCTCGATCAGGCCACAGCATCACACGACAACCGATTAAAGAGGAGTCTGATTGGCACGCTGACGGTAGAGCTTTCTTGAACTGGCGACGTAAAAGTTAATTTTAACTAGCGTGTCATTGTTCCGGTTTTACATGTCCTATACCGTACCTGTCGTGTAATACCCTGAAACAAGCGACAACGTGGAAACGTGGAGATGAGAAACCACGCGGCTTTGATGGTTGGGATAGTCTACCTGCTACACCGTGGCGCTTGGATCGTGCGCCACGCTTCTCAAGGCCTCGAAGGTTTACTCGGATTCTCAATGCTCGAAAACACGACGTCAGGGGCGGAATTCCCTGCCGACCACGCCAATGCACGTCGTCCGGGCTGCCAATAAAGGACTGGCTATTGACGTACTCTAGACTCCGCTGTGGTCCCAACGGTTTCGTTTGCGAGTCCACTTCTATCGGAGCCGACGGCTCGGCGCGGAGGCGTATATGTCTTACAGATTATCAGTTGTGCTTATCCCAGGTCAGACAGTGTCAGATCTCGTTCCAGTGTATGTACGGGGTATACTGCAACGACTACTTGACCACATGTTCTCCATGTCAGAGTTATATAAATGAAATGCGGGAAGCCACCGACGGACCATGGTCTTGTGGCGGAGAGATCATTCAAGGCTTCCAGAAAACTCGAACCATTCTACGCCCGGTGGGTCCTCTTCATAAAAAAAACTAAAATAAAATAAAACAAAACAAAACAAAACAAAACACACACATGCCGTTGCCACAAACCATGGTTTCGACGTCCGGTGATTTCTGGCGTCCACCAGTGGAGGTGCGGGTGGAGGAGATTGCAGGGATCAGCCCACACCTGCCGATGCCCTCTTCCTCGGAGATTTAGTCCTTATTAGCATGGAGTGGTATGATTCGTCGGGGAATTGTTTGATATACCCTGACAGGCTCTCACCGGTTCTCCTATGCTCTCCTTCTGGGGTCAGTTCTCGTAGAAAATCGGGAACTAGCTCTATTCTTTGTAAGACGATCCACCCCCCGTCATTCCTGTGGATGTTTCAATCGGATCTTTCATGCATCTGTCACGGAACCGTGTTCCTATCTCCTGAAATGAGTGCGTGATCGGCTCGAGACGCTAGGTGTATATAAGGTAGATGGTCTACCCTAGCCATGCGGAGGCCACGAGGCGCCCCAGTAATCCTATCCTTCTCATTCGATCTGACCGATCTTTTTCTCTTATTCTTTCTAAGCTCCTCGTGTTCGTGAGCTTTGCAAAGGGCTTTGCCATCTTATTCCTATTTGCATCTTGCCATGGATCCGTACGACTTGGGTTTTGGCCCCGAGCCAAAGCACATTGACCGCAAGTCTCTATACACTAGTCTTGAGGAGAGAATCAAGTACTTGCACCACTTTCTTGATTTCAATGCCGGTATGTGTTGGGTTACACATACTCATACTCATGCCCATGCTTGAGCTAAGCTAACCGTAACTTACTAGACGATATCGAAGCCCTGTCCAGCGGAAGCAAATACCTGAAGCAACTGATCCCCGCCGTGGTCAACCTGGTGTATAAGAAGCTGTTGCAGTACGACATCACCTCGCGCGCCTTCCACACTCAGTCCACGGCCGACGAGACCGAGCTTGAACAAGACTATCTGCACGAGGAGACCCCTCAGATCAAGCGACGCAAGATGTTCCTCCGTTGGTACCTCATCAAGTTATGCCAGGATCCTACTTCCATGGATTTCTGGAGATATCTGAACAAAGTCGGGTATGTCCAAGTCTAAAAAGGAAGATTAAAGTCTATAATGCGGGTCGCTAACTCAACTCATAGAATCATGCACAGTGGCCAGGAGCGCCTGCATTCTCTCAACATCGAATTCATCCACATCAACGTTTGCATCGCGTATATCCAAGACATCTTCATTGAAGCCCTGATGTCTCACCCCCAACTCTCCCTTCGCCGCAAGATCGCTCTCGTCCGCGCCATCAACAAGATCATCATGATCCAGAATGACCTCTTCGCCAGACATCGCATCCGTGACGGCGAAGAATATGCCGATGAGATGTCCGAGTACAGCTTTTCCACGGAGGGGTGGGTGAACGGCAAGAAGGTGCTAGGTAGCAGCGACGGCAGCTCTGCCGATGACGACGGGGCTAGCTTCGTGAGCACCGCGGCTCCTTCTGTGGCCCCTTCTACACAAACAGCACACACCGAGGACAGTGGGAACACAGCCAACACAGCCCATACAAATCGGTCTGCGTACAGTGTGGATGCGGAGACTTCTATTTGTCCCTTTGCAGATTTGGCGAAGAATGCCGGGACCTCGACGAAGATTTGGGCCAATTGATGGCGAGCATAGACGGCATTTCAGGCGCGGGAACAGGAAGCTCTATATGATATCTGGCGTTAAGTTTTTATGCATTGAAGGTGTTTTCTAATCCACGCTTTTTTCTTTACCTAAGAGGTAAACGTGCTTTGTAGGCAGAGTGGAGTGCGGAAATCCCCCGACCATACCCCGTCGAGTTTTGTCAGCGTTCCAAGGAAAAGCTTCCCAGTCTGTAATGATCGGGAAGAAATGTGGGAAACACCGGGAGGATTCCCCCACATTCGGCTCCCACTTGAGGCAGTTGGGGCTCTCTAAGTCCGTCTCTGGTACGGCTTTACACGTTCTGGACAAAGGTAGCCGGAGTTAACCCGTGCGGTTCCCGATCGACAGTGAACTATCACTGACTATCGCCTCCCGTCCCCACATCCCCTCACTCACGTTCAACACATCTGCCTGCATCTTAAATCTAACCTCCTTGCTACTCACTCCCATTGCACATTCTCATCTTGCACATATTTTCGCATTTGCACTTCTCCAATATTTCAAAATGGCCCAGAACGGCGAGAAGGCGGTGACCCCGCTCATTATCAACGGGGAGTCCGTCGTGACAGACGTCAAATTCGAGGTCCACGCCCCTGCCACTGGCGAGCTGTCCGGCTACTGTGCCGGAGCTTCAGTAGAAGATGCCAATCGCGCCGCGGATACTGCAAAGGCTGCTTTCCCAGCCTGGGCCAAGACCAAGGCCTATGATCGTCGCGATATCCTGCTCAAGGCGGCTGATATTATGGCTTCGCGTAAGGAGGAGCTGATCCAGTATCAGCGCGAGGAAACCGGTGCTGGTCGTCCGTTCGTCGAACACACTTTCAACATGGGTGTCAATTTTATCAAGGACTTCGCGGCCCGCATCCCCACGATTGAAGGCACCGTGCCCAATGTCACTTTGGATGGCGAGGGCGCAATGGTTTTCAAGGAGCCGTACGGTGTCATTCTGGGAATTGCTCCCTGGTAAGGATTCCCGCATCATGCTCTTAGGATATCTAGGTAGTCAACGGAACCGGAACCGTGTAACTAACAGTAGGCAGGAACGCCCCCTTTATCCTGGGCACACGCGCAATTGCCCTCCCGCTCGCGGCGGGTAACACAGTCGTGCTCAAGGGTTCCGAGCTCTCGCCCAAGTGCTTCTGGGCTCTTGGCGATATTTTCCGTCAGGCTGGTCTTCCTGCCGGCTGCTTGAATGTCATTTTCCATCAGACTTCTGATGCGGCGGCTGTCACCAATGCGCTGATTGCTCACCCGGCTATTCGCAAGATTACCTTTACCGGTAGCACTAATGTCGGTGCGATCATTGCCTCCACAGCTGGGAAGTACATTAAGCCCGTGCTGCTGGAGCTGGGTGGTAAGGCGTCGGCGATTGTTTTGGATGATGCGAACTTGGATAAGGCGGCGATGAACTGCGCGCTTGGTTCGTTCATGCACGTAAGTGACAATTATATAATCTCAGAGAAGAGCGCTAATTTCATTAGTCTGGCCAAATTTGCATGTCTACGGAGCGCATCGTCGTGCAGCGAAGCATTGTCGACCAATTCCGTGAGAAGCTGGCTGAGACCGCCGAGAAGCTCTTCGGCAAAGAAGCCCCGGCTCTGGTGTGCGTCAACTCCGCTGCCATCTCCAAGAACAAGAAGCTAGTCGCTGACGCCGTCTCGCGTGGTGCCCACGTCGTCTTTGGAGACGCCAGTGCCAACGAGACCACCAACACGCACATGCGCCCTGTCATCGTCGAGGGCGTCACCAAGGAGATGGACCTGTACGCGACCGAGTCGTTCGGTCCGACCGTGTCCCTAATGGTCGTTGACACTGAAGAGGAAGCCGTGGCTCTGGCCAACGACACCGAGTACGGTCTCACCTCCGCCGTCTTCACGAGCAACCTGTTCCGCGGACTGCGCGTAGCCAAGCAGATTGAGTCCGGGTGAGTACTTGACTCATTTCAGACATTGCCACGCCTCTCATACTGACATTGTATAGCGCCGTGCACATCAACGCCCTGACGATCCACGATGAGCCCGTCCTGCCCCACGGTGGCTGGAAGAGCAGTGGATTCGGACGTTTCGGAGGAATCCACGGCTACGACGAGTTCCTGCAGACCAAGACAGTGACCTGGATGGAGTAGACATCTTGGGGTATTTGCTTTGAAGCAACATCTCCCTTGAATGTGGATGTGGATGAGGATGTGATCATGGATATGGATATGGATATGGATATTGGGAGGACATGTGATTCATTTGATGCTGAGCTGGCTTGGCTTTTGTCTATTGGACAGTTGATAGGCTTTGGAGTGGGACTTGAGATACCCGTGTAGGTTGAATACAAACCTTGGAATATTTAAATGTTGTAATTGAGACATGACGATAGAGTGCCCGGGTGGGGGGTGTCATCTCAATGTTGCCCTGGCTAACGGGTTCCGTTCTAGTGCGTAGATCTGGATGTTTGGGATTGATGAGCCGTTGAATTGGGCGGATCCTTCAAGGTACGGGACGGGACTGGGATAATATAGGGAAATTGTCTTCGGGATTGATGGTCTAGTGTTTTCCATCCAAAGGTAGTTTCCCCCAAAGGCCTAAGACCGTGTCGCCAGGTTTAATTGCCTTGTCTAGTCCACCACGGTTGCAGCTGGGTTTGAAGTGGGGGGATGATTACTCTCGGGATCCCGACGGCTCCACGTTGCCGTCTACGATGTAGCCAGGTACCCAATTATCCAGTTCTCCCGGTTCGAGGTCCCAGGTAACGTGGGGAACTATGTTTGTGTTTGGTGGTTCGGGGCGATCGGCAGGTCAGTCCGGCGTACTCCGTCCAGCTCGGCTGTTCCTGCATGGGATGGCAGTGAGAGCCTAGATGTAAGCCACGTCCCAGGATTTACTCTTCCGCTCTTCCAATCGCGAACCCGCAGACTCGTCTGGTCTTCGTATTGTCGGCAGGAGTGGTCCAATGCCGTGAACGGCTTGCTTGAAAGTTGGGACGTGTTCAAATGACACACCCGTTCAAGTTGATTGGAGAGTCGGAGAATTTCGTCACGAGGGATCATATGCCATGCAGAGTAACCCCGAGGGCGCATGATGCATGGACTAATATCCACGAGCAACGCCACGGTAAGACGGGCGCGTAAAGAGGGTCACATCCTCGAAAGACCCTAGAAATGGACCCGGAGATTCTAGACCCCAAATGGTGGCGTCCACGCGAAGTGACATGTTTCTTAGGGGGGTCTTTGACCCATGACTCGCAGTTGGAAGTCTCACAGATTCTTGGCTTTCGGAGACTGCCTAAGAAGGATCATAATCGAAAATAGAAAAACGCAGAAAAACAAAGAGACTGACAACAGACTAGCAAAAGCACCGAAGAACCACCGACATCAATCTACAAAAACAAACCCCCAAAAAAACAGACCAGACCAGACAGACCCGCTACACGGTCGGGTCTAACCCGAACCGGTATCTTTCCAGGTACTCGTGCGGTATGATGTAAACCAACTCACGGCGCTACATCCGCGCACTTAGGTCACATAGGTCTTTGCTCGATTCCAGACCCAGTCACTTGAGTGGAAGCTGGGCCATCTATTTTGAGCCCCCCAAGCCACGGACTCAGCCCAATAGTGCCGGGCCAAATGGACGAGTAGACGATGTTCCGTCTTCCGAGCCCCGCTCAGGAACAGGAACAGGCAGTCCAGCAATCATCGTGCACACAGTGAGACAATCCACATTTCCCATCTCTACCCAAGCCTCCGAGACCCGTACCCGGCCTAACTACCGCGGTACGCAGACCGTCTAAGCACGCAAGCCCTCAACGTTCCCCTGATCAACCGTTGATCCTTTCCCATGGACACAATCACCCCCGATGAACCGGTGGGATCGACCGGACGGGCGCACATGGGGTATTGTGATGGGTTCATAGTGGAGAACAGCATGAGTGTCCGGAACTGGATACTGGTGCAATTCGATCCCTGGACTTGACTCGTAAACATTTGGGTTTTCCCCGGGGGGGCGGTCGTGTCTCCTTTGGACGGAAAACACAAAGGGGAAATGAGATCTCGATTTTCCGTGGCGAAGACAGGGGTTTCATTGGTGCTTGGCACCAAAAAGGACATTAAAAGGGACTCCGGATATTCTCCGGGACAGCCACACCTCCACTTCTTCCCTATCGGTGATCCGTGAGTCTTCCTGGAAGCCGATATTTTTATCCCACGCTCAGCCCTGGCCGTGGGGGATCTGGTTTTCCTTCTTTTGGCTCATGAGTCCGTATAGGTACACATGGGTGAACATTTTTTCTTTTTCTTTTTCTTTTTCTAATTTTGATTTCGAACATTCTCCTTTGGCCAGGTCTCACTTCTGCCTGTGCCTGGTTCCTGGTTCCTGCATGGAAATTGGCTAGTCACATAGCCTTGCGATACCCTGGTATTTACACGGGCGGTACTAGTATGTTAGTACATCCACGAGCCACCGCCCCACGAGGATGGCACCCTTTCCCCCCCCTTGGATTTGAGACCTGGCGACTACAGTGCGGTACAGTGGCGTAACCTGGTCTTTCTCTGCTCTATGTTCTATGTTCTATTTTCGATTTTCGATTTTCTAATTTCTAATAACGAAATGTGATTACCCTGCTGCGCCCCAGGAACCCAAGTGAGCTCGCTTGCAAAGTAGGCTTTAAGCTAAGACCCGTAATGACGGTCGTAACGAGCAATGGTTGGTCCTGTACATGCTTGACTGGGCCCCCCGATGGGGCTCTGAAAATGTATCTCCACCATAGACATCTTAGACATCTCAGGGACAAGGGACAGTGCGGGTAGAAATGTACTTCAGATCCCCCCTCCTTTCCACTTCCTTTCTTTCCTTTCCTTCCAACACAGTCGTTCCTTCCCCCAGTCATTCGTTGCTCTCTAGCATCTAGCATCTTGCTGTTTTAATCTCACCACCAGTCATTCTTTGTCAAATCAGCCAACATGCGTTTCTCTACCGCTACCGTCTTCTCTGCCCTGATGGCCTTCGCTGCCGCCTACACCCAGCCTGACTACAACAAGGCCCCTCAGGGTAACCCCATTTACACCCCTTCTCTTCAGGAGCAGGTTCCCAAGGGCGCTCCCTTCCAAATCACCTGGGATAACAACCTCGGTTCCAAGGTCTCTCTGGTCCTCCTCCGCGGCCCCAGCACCAACGTGGTGCCTTTGGAGACCATCGTGGAGAACATCGACAACACCGGTTCTTACACCTGGACCCCCAGCGCCAGCCTCGAGGTTGACACCACCCACTATGGTATTCTCCTCGTTGTTGAGGGCACTGGCGCCTACCAGTGGTCTACTCAGTTCGGTATCTCTGCCGGTGCCGTTGTCTCCAGCTCCAGCTCCGCCGCCGCCGTGACTACCACCCAGGCCGAGACCACCGCTGCTCCTTCTTCCACCAAGGCCACTATTGTGACCGTTATCAACGATGTCACCACCACCTACTGCCCCGAGGAGGCCAGCGAGACCGCTTCCGTCTCCGCTGCCACCACCGAGACTGCTGCTGCCTCTTCCTCCACCGTCTGGGCCACTTTCGAGTCGACCACCACCATCTGCCCGGAGACTGAGACCACCGCTGCCGCCACCACTGTCCCCGTCACCGGCGCGCCCGTTCCCCCCTACTCTACCCGTGTTCCCATCCGCTCCACCATGCGCAGCTCTGCTGCCCCCAGCGGTGTTGCCCCCACTGCCTCCCCCACCAGCACCCCCGTCTTCAACGGTGCTGGCCGCAACGCCGTCTCCGTCGGCGCCATTGCTGCCGCTGCCTTCGCCGTCTTCGCCCTCTAAATGAGTCGGCCTTAATGAGCAAGGGGAGGCGGGGACTAGTGCCCAACCTCTTTTCATCTTACTTTCTGTATGAACCGTCGATCTGGGTCACCAGTGATTCACGAGAAATTTGATACCATCAATACTTGATATGGAAACTTTTTTATCTTTCTCATCTGAGCTGGACTTGTGCGTTTCGGATATGTTATGTTTTCTTTCTGGGTACGTTCAAGGAAATCCAAGCCAGCCATGTATGTTTGTAATGCCATCCCTTAATGTTCCCAAGGTTTCCCGTTTGTAGATCTGTAAAGCGCGTGAGCCGTTGGTCCGTACATTCTTACTTGCGTCATTGTCAATAATTCCCAATCAAGAATTCCAAACCCCGACCCTTGCAACCTCCCCGTAGATCGAACGATTGCAGGTAGCACTACGGCAATCCACCTGGCAGTCTGAACTACAATTGATAATTGCCTTATTTGCTCAAAGTAGGTCACCAAGGTCGTGTTTGTTGACATAGGTTTCTTTACACATAGAGTATCATTGGCACATCGCTGCCCTTTACTAGTTACACCCTAAGAAGGCGAGGCAATAGTAATGCCAGAGAGCAAATTCAGTCCGACGCGCCCCGGTTGGGAACCAGAATAGTATTATATGCCACTTTGGCTGTAGCAGTCACCTAGCGTTATAGTGTAACACAATGCAATTCAACATAGCTATTGAGTCTAACTTTAAACCTATGGTCCGACCGCGGGACCTTGCATCATATACACTACACTGATGTCTTCTTTCTATTCGCGTCTGTACCTTTGCTGATAACAGCATTACAGAGATCAATCTTGAAAGGTTCCCGTCTAGGACAGAATGTCTCTCCAAGGCATAGAAACCGTGAACGAAGCCCTTGTTCAAGTCGTATGCCCGCTTCACCAACACCAACATATTTGATTCAATGAAAGTGAGTACAACCAGGGTTTCGAAATTCTACTAAATTTATCAAAATCTATCTCTACAGAACATCGACTCCGCCTAGCAACCCAGAGTTGACCCAAACAAAGACCCACCCGGCACCAAGTATATCCCACGTGACCCCGATAAGTCGATAAGGATTTTTCCCCCCCCCCCGATCCTTCAACCTGCAAACTCATCCGTGCTGCAGGCAGTACTCTACTCTCCCACATCCACACATCCACATATCAAACATCAACCATCACAATGGCCCAAGGAGCTCTCAAGAAGAACAAGAAGGTCACCGCCACCGCCCAGCGGTACGTCCCCCTTGCCTCTCAGACTTGCTCTGAACCGAAACTAACGCACCGAATAGGGAATCCAGAGCCAACGCTCGCACAAGGCCCGGTGTCAAACAGATCGCGCCTAAGAAGGCCGCCCTCGTCAAGCAGGCTAAGTTGACCAAAGTATGTTCTCATCTCAATCGAGGATCTTGTCCTCGGCCCCCGGATTTTCCAATGAAAAGTGCCTAATGGTCTACAGAGACTTACATCCGGCCTCGTCGGGAGAACGGAGCGCAGTCTGGCGCAGAAGGCGGGTCATTTGGAACTGCTCGCTGGTGGCAAGAAGGATAGAGGCGGGAAGAAATAAGGGATTGCGGAGGTCCAGTACCAGGTCGTGGAAAAGAGCTCTTTTCTTTGGCTAGGGATTGGAGTTCGTGGGCTACATAGTAGTTCGATCCCCCTATCGCGTTCGCGTCGGCGATACGATTTCATGAAGATACTCGATACCCCGTTGAAAAATTGTTATCAGGCAAATTCAAATCCAAATGCATTTCTAAGCTCGAGGAAATTGGAACGCGAAATGTATGAACAGGGAGCCATGTACAAACCGCCAAGGAAATGCGGTATTCGTCAATCATAAACAGGTGTGTAAGTGTAAGTGTAAGTGTAAGTGTGTATAAGTGGAAATATGTAGTGTGAGTCGTGATCGTCCAGCGCAAACAACATTGAAGAGAAATCGATATAAGAGAAACGAAAATGAGAGGGGTAGATTAAAAAAAAAAAAAAAAAAAAAAAAAAGGGGTATCAATAGTTCCAACTCCAGTCCCAGTCCATGCCATAATTTATACCTCCTACCTCTTCGAGATGCGGCCCGGAACACCGGCTTGCTCGATTAGGTCCCTGCCGTGCGTCATCCAGGTCTGGAAGCCTGCGTCTGATGCGTCGGAGGGGAAGTCATCCCAGACCGGGTTGTCTGAGTCTGGGTAGGAGGACCAGGTACCCTTTGGTACATCGCTGGTTGACCATGAGGGCAGCTTGGCGAGGACGCAGGTGTAGTAGACGTAGAGGATGCGGCAGAGCAGCTCAACCCGGTCAATGTAGTGCTGTTGGCTCGGGTCCGGGTTGTGGCCTCCATCGCCGAGCATCTTCCACCACGAGACGCGCCAGCGGAGGGAGAGGAGGATGTGGCCTAGCTCGTTGAGGAAGCGAATGTGTGTCTCGTGGGAGATCTGCTTCCATTTGATGTTGTAGAAGTCGCGCTCTAGTTTGCGGAAGCCTTCGACTTCCATCATGCGGCAGACAATGCGGGAGAGCTGGGCTGCGAGAAGGATGTCGCGGCGGTCTTCTGGGTCGCCGATGTCCATAGGACGTTCCTGGCCATTGGAGTCGAGGGGCACGATAGAGTACTGTGCGCGACTGGGCATGTTGTTCCACTGGGATAGGAGGGTCTAGTAGGGGGGATTAGATTATTGTGTAGGAGTGGAGGACGATATGGGGACTCACGTATGCTTGGTTCATGGGGTCGCAGTCCTTGACACAAGTCAACCAATTCTTCGACTTGTCTTTGGATTCCACAATGCGACGGTCAATGAATTCCAGGAAGGTTGACTTGTTGTTGCCGTTGTAATCGCTCAAGCTCTTCAAGAACTTGTAGGTCTCGCCAAGGTCGAGCACATACAGAGAACCCCAGGCCTGGCTGGCGCGGATGTTGAACCGGCCTTGCCGCTCAGAGAGGACAGACAATAGTTGATTTAGATCGAATTCAGATGGGATGACCATTCGAACTCTGCCACTGCCATCGATTGTTGGGTGGTTTGCAGCTCGTTGAGAGATGTAATTGCATGTGCCAAATTCAACAATGCTGGAGAAGCAAGCCCGAGCACACGGCTGCTCGTGGAGGGTTGGACGACAAGCATCACATGGCGAGGTTCCATCGCACTTGCGCTTGTTCAGTCGGCATTGAACACAAGTATCCTTGTTCTTTCGGCGCATGCCGGCATTGGCTCTTCCAACCATGCTGAGCGGGCCCTTGCGACGAGCGCCGCGAGGGGGGAGACAAAGTCTGCGGAGGCGATCGAACCACCCTGTCCATCTTCCTGGACAATCTGCAAAGGCTTGGCTTGACCCTGATCCATAGAGCCTTGCGCGCTGCGGTTCTTGCGCTTTCGCACAGTAGCCACAGACTGCATCGCAAGAGCCATAGGACGGCCTGAGTTGCGCCCAGCGGACGAAGAGGCTCTCGATCTCGACGGAATTGTGCTAATTAGAGACTCTGACGGGGTCTCGCTGACCATGAACGCGGTGGTCTTGGAACCCGATGTCTCCCCAGGAGAGCCACCGTCGGGCCTAGATATTTTCCAGTGAGAATCATCATCCAACTGGCGCTCTGCAAAGTTTGGCACCTCTTCGCTCGTAGCAGAGTACGAGCATTCGTAGATTCCAGACATGTCGCCCGAGACAGACGAACTTTCAGATTTGAAGTGGTGAAAGCCGTCGTGTCCATTTTGACCGTTCTTCTGAGCCACTTGAGCCGCGATGGCAGATGCGGAGGGCATCTGCGAGGCAGGTAGCCGTGACTCTAGGTTGTTAAGCCAACGAGATTCGAGTGGCCGAGCCGGGGGTTGGAATTCACGCATAGAAGGATCCTTCGCGTCGTTTTGCGAGTGCATGGCCAGCGGAACAGGTCCATGCGCCGGAATATTCGTCATAGGGAGGCCGTTTGGATAGTCATGCCACTGGTCCATCATCGGAAACGATGGCTGTACCTGCTGGAACATGATAGCCTCTCCCGGAGCATCCGGAAATCCTTGACCCTGTGGCATGTCCCCGGCATCCTCCACGATAACAGCACCGGTCGAGTTGGCAGGTGCTTTGCCGTAAGGGTAGAGCATCGGCGCTTCCAGAGACATGCCGGCCGCGACGGAGTTGTACAGCTGAAATTGCGGCCAGGCTTCGTCGCCATGAAAGTTATCGTCAGAGGAAGACGGGATCGTGCGAGGGCTAATGGTACCGCTACCAGTGCCCTCGACGCCGCCATCGGCGTAGTTGAAATTCTCAGAAATTACATCGCGTTTCCTAAAAAGGCTGACCGTCAGGGACCTTGACTTGGACTTTGGGCGAAATGATGCGCACCTGTTCTGCCGATCGCTAGATCGATCCAGCAAAGAGCCCGTTAGAGGGTCGTGGAAAGCGCCCAGGTCCGCGACATCGGCACACTGGCTGGAATCCTGAGAGGTGTCCCACTCGGGCGATTGATCGTATGTAATATGTTCCCACGACGCGACGGAAAATGCGCCGTCTGTTTGCCAATTATCTAGGATTTTGGGGTCGATACCCGCAGCTGTTCCCGCGCTTCCACAGTCCATACAGGGTATACAGGAATGGAAGTTGGCGGAGTCGACCGAGCCAAGCAAAGATCGCAAAAAGACGGAGCTTTTTGCGACTTTGCGAGAAGCGAGGATGACAGGTCGCAAGGTACGACCGTAAGAAGATCCGATGAGAGTTGGAGAGTTGTAGATGGATGATGGACGAGGGGAAGAAGATGACTGTGACGGGATTCCCCACCACCAAAGTTTTGCTGCGATCGTCTCTAGCGTGTCTTGGGATCCGCACAGACCGCCGTTGGGACTATGCAATTATTTTTCCTGCGAGTGCTGTAGACTATAGAATAGACCTAGTTGAAATTAGAATTCTATGTTGATTAGCTATCTGGCTACAGTGTCCAAAAAGTCCAAGAATGCCACCCTTCACCCAACATATAGGCCACGGTTAGGGTACAGGTACCGGACTAGAGATCACCGAGCGCACGAGGTGGACTGATCTTACGCGAGTCGATCAGCTAATGACCCCTGATAAACCGATAAACCTTAGGAAACAGGCCCGAGTCTTCCAAGGTTCTCGAGTAGAAGGGGAAAAAAAAAAAAGGAAAAAAGGCAGTCCAGAGTGTACCGTGTAGTCCGTAGCACCGAGCACACTTCCAGGTTTTCTAGTTTGGCCCGAACCCTGAGGCTTGAATCTTGGCGTCATTATTCAGCACTCAAAAGTACGTGCATGCAAAAGATGTTGGGGGAAAAAGTATAGGGCTGGAATCGTGGGACAAGGGACGATATCTATAGTAAACTTTGACAGCATTTAAACTATACCTCGGCAGTTAACTACCCAGTCTAGACCATACTACGGAAGAAATAGGGCTTGCCACACTTCCCTCTGCAATTCGAGGGTTATCACGAGAATGATTCCTGACGGATCGGTTCACCGCAGACTCCATCCGGGGCTTCCAAGGCCTGCCATTGCCGCTCCCCGCAGCCTTTACAGCTTCACCGTGAGCCCGGGTTCCCTATTCGGCTCGCCGGTAATGCAAATGGCTCAACCCTTACGCGGGATTCATTACCCCATATAACTCGGCCTTGGTCCCCAACGTGGGGGCTGCGATACCTGATCTTTTTCTTCTTTTTCTTTTCCTTTCTGTTCTTATTTTGTCCTAGATATCTAATCAGACCAGAGTCCGGTCTGCACTCTCTGGGGGAAAAAAAGAAAAAAGAAAAAAAAGAGAAAAAGAAAAAGAAAAAAAAGCATATCCCGAGGTCGCCCTCAGCGCAGAGAAGTGGCAATGCATATTCTGGTAAGTCGATATCGTCACTTCACGCGCCTTCTTTTTTCTTTTTTTTTTCGCGCTATTCGCGGGAGATTCTGGTGCTTCGAAAAACCACTATCGCATTTCCAATTCTAGTTCTGGATAGTCTTGAAATGACATTTGCTACATCATCTTTGAATTCAGACCATTCAACCTATAGGAGCATTGGAAGAACCGAATGATCATTAACGCCCCAAATAGGTAGTCAACGACGATGGCCCGCCGAACAAGAGGCTCTCGCCCTACGTGCGCCCGCTCGTCGACGAACTCCAAGCCGCGGGCCACCTAGTCAGCGTCGCCATCCCTGCCGCCTCACGTTCATGGATTGGCAAAGCACACCTAATCGAAGCCTCGTTGACCGCGCACTCCGTCCACCCAGACTCCTTCAACGACGACGGCACCTGGGAAAATAGCCACGAGTCATCCGAGAATGACTGGGTGGTGATTGAAAATGGGACACCGGCCAGCTGCGCCCAGCTAGGTCTCTACAACCTCTTCGCGGATCGTCCGCCTTTCGATCTGGTCATTTCAGGTCCTAACCATGGCCGTAATGCTTCGACTATCTATAACTTATCCTCGGGGACTGTGGGCGGTGCGCTTGAGGCCGTGTTCTGTGGAAAGCGCGGTATTGCTATCTCCTTTGGTAGTAAGGATCCGCAGCCGATGGATATCATTGAAGCTGCGGCGCGTCTTGCGGTTAGGACCGTCGATCATCTGTGGCGGCATTGGGATGAGAGGGTTGAGTTGTATAATATCAATGTTCCTATGCGCATTGATGTGGAGACTCGGCCTATTCTATATACGCGCACTTTGCCTTATTACTGGTCCCGGGGCTGTCTGTATGCCGAGGCTGGGGAGGCTAAGAGCAAGATGGTGAATGGAGTGACGAATGGTGTCAATGGTGTTTCGAAGGAGCATTGCAATGGCCAGGTTAATGGTATGAATGGTCATGCTGAGCAACCGAAGCGCAAAGAGCGCCATTTCAAGTGGTCCGCCGATCTGTCGGATATGAAGAAGAGACTACAGGAGAGTGAGGAGGGTACAGATGCGCATACAGTGTTGAACGGGTCAACGAGGTAAGCTATTCTGCCATTGTACTGGATAATTCTTTGCTAACTTTGGATCAGTGTGACTGCTCTCCGCGCCAACTTCTGGCATGTCCCCGGTCTGGAAGGGCCACTGGATCTGAATCAATAGGGTTCCGAACATGACGAAAGTATATGATATTTCTCTTTTCTATCATCTTGGGTTTCTCCAGGCGTCTGCTTTTCGATCTTGCATTTAGGAGCACACGATCATTCGGTGGGGTTATTGAGGAGCAATGTCCGAGGCTCTTTGTATATACGTGAATTGCATACACCGTGGACATCATTTACGATTGACTATCGCTGAACAGCCCGAGGCAAGCACAAAGTAATGAAAGGCCATAATGGCTTCGCAGGGGTGTATCTCATGAACTCAAATCCGCTCTGGAGTATCAGATCGCGCGTGCGGCCTCGCCAGCACCGCTTTCAACTGTAGTCGCCTGCTCGGCGCGCATCTTGCCCTTGCCAACTCCACCTTCGCCAACGCCCATACGTCGGGCCACGTAGCGCTGTGCGACGACTCCGGCCGCCAACGACAGTGTCTCTTCGATCCACTCTGCAACCCATTCGCGCGGGTCCACGCCGCCGCTCTCGATGATCTCGGTGATGGCCTCGGGGACCGTTGTGCGCGGCACCTGTGCCTCTTCGGACTCCGGATCCTCGACGGCAGGTGCAGATGCATCGAGCCACTCGATCCACTTATGGGGAATTGCCTGGGAGATGGTGTGGAAGGCAATGCCGTGGATAGGATCGTGGAGATATAGAGCGAATGTAATCTCCTCGTCTTGCTCCTTAGGCTCAACGGCGCCGGAAGATTCCTTCTCGCCTGATGCGCCGGCCTGGAACATGTCGGCCGGGACTGGCTGGCAGATAGCCTGGATAGCGAGGAAGATGTCACTGCTGCGGACCGGGTTAGACTCGCTCAGTACCTCGGTCGCCTGCTTCGCCGCTTCTTCAATACCACCCTTCGCCGAGAAGTATTCCGTCGCGTAGCCCTCAGCACTAGCACGGACCAGTTTGGACGCTTCAACGGCACCGCGCACCGCATTGATGGTCCGCGGGGTACCAGGAGTGACTGTCCTCCACCAAGGCCCGTCGCTCCAGCCTGCACTGGAAATGTAGCCGCCGACATCAAGACCGCGCTTCGGGGCTGACTCCTGACCCCGCTGGATCACAAGCAGGTCTCCACCCTCGACTTGGGACATCACACGCGAGAAAACGGCGTATACCAGCGGGTCAACACCGGGGTAACCTGAGAGGTCGTGGGTCACATGAATTTGGAGACGTTCGTGAGACGAAATGGGAGGGGCAAGGGTGTGGATGAGGTTGGTAAATGTCGGAATCGCCATATTGCGAAGCTCGCCGCCTGCGCCAGACTAATTAGTGTGTTTTTTCCATAGATATAGGACAGACATAAATGTACCAAAGTCCTTAAGGGCTCCAACGTTGCCCTTGACTTGCTGAGCCCATCGTTGAGCTTCCTCGTTATTCTGGATTTCCTTGACTGCGGCTTCAGCTTGCTTCATAGCTGCATTAGCCGTCGCAAAGAGTCCTCCCCACCATCCACCACCCTGGGCTTCTTGTTGTTCTGTGGTCTCGGGCTCTGGCTTGGGCTGCTCCTGCTTAGCGCCCGCGCGAGAAGTGCGACCTGTCTCCTCCGACTGGCGAGCGGACGTCTTCTCCTCACTTGGTCGATCAAGAGTCGCACTAGGTCGAGGAGACCGTGTTGATGGGCGAGCCCGGTCGGAAGACAAACGCGGAGTACCAGGGCCACTGCTGGGTCGCTGTGTAGCTAGACGACCCAGCTCGGCGAGGGGGTCTTCCTCGTCCGCCTTTACATTGTCGGGGGCAGTTGCGGGCTTGGGCTTGTCGGACTGCTTGTCGGACTGCTTGACGTCAAGGTTGTCGAACTGAGCAAGTAGCTCATCGCTTGTGGGTTTGGCTGCCTTGGGCGGCATGTTTGCGTGAGATCAACTGGGATGTTCAGGAGAGGTGACGACACTGTCTCCGTTGTTTGGAGCTCCCGAAGCGGCTGTGGAGACCTGCCAAGACCCGCAGTCTGCATTCTCAGCTCTACTTAGACTACCTGGACGCACTTGTATTGAGGGGCTTGAGGGTGGTGTCTATACATATGGTCCTGTTAGTATTGAATTATTTTCGGATATTTCTAGAATACCAAGGTGAAAATTATCTAAGTGAAAGTGCAGGTGTATGGCTGCTTAGGACTTCTGCACTATACAATGAGAAATACAGACAAGCCTCATGGTGATTGTAACTCACATGTCATATGATACTATTCAAAGATGATACTATTTTCTTGATTAAATGATCTAAGCCTAGAATTATTTTTATTTATAATAACATTATGAAACCAGCTGGAGAATTCCTACCTTAATAATTGTCTACATTCACGTGTCTTAGCTACCTATCAGGTCAAATATATGTTCCTGCAATGACATAGCTACTACAGCAAGCATTAAAACCTTAAGTAGGGCCCCTTGGCAAATTACGTACAGACTAGGTAGCTTCAATCTTGCCACAAGAAAGATCAGCTAGGCCAGCCTTGAAGGAAGCGGGAGATCCGACACCCGCGGCTTGATTATCGGCCCCGTTCCGTCTGCGGGACCACGCGGGGTTGGCGATAAAGGCATAAATAGGCTCATCTTCCCTTTTACACCTAAATGTCACTTGGAATTGGACTTGCAGAACACGCGTTTTGTCACGGAAACTTGCCTGTCGTCCTCAAATTTTCATACCGAGGCGAGTACTTGCCATTGAGACCACATCCATTTTCTCATACAACGCTAACCTTCCACCCCAGATCTACCCGCAAACAAGTCCAAGGATAAAACACCACCATGCGTCTCCCTTACGTGCCAGATCCCCCACAGACAGCCACAGAAGATGAAGCGAAGATTCTGGCTAGTGTACAGGCTCGTAGAGCCCCGAAGCCTCTCCTGCCACTCGACCTAGCACTTCTACACTCTTTCCCCATCGCGGACGGATGGAACTCGTTTATTGGAGCCATTCGCACTCGCACAGGCTTGTCAACTGTGGTTCGTGAGCTTGCCATCTGTCGCGTTGCAGTGGTCAATGGCGCGTTGTTTGAGTGGGAGCAGCATGCGCCATTGCTGCAGGAAGGCGGATTGAGCGAAGCGGCGCTACAGGTAGTTGGGAATGCGCGGACAGATTTCTCCGATGTCGTCGCAGAAGAGGTGCTGACTCGGGAGCAAAGGGCGGTGTTGAAGTATACTGATGCAATGACCAAGACTGTAACTGTTCCAGATGAGGTTTTCCAGGAATTGAAGGGGTGTTTCAATGAGAAGGAGGTTGTCGAGATCACGGCCACTGTGGCTGCGTACAATTGCGTGAGCAGGTTTTTGGTGGCGCTCGATGTCGGGGAGAAGAACCATTGATTGCTTTAAATGTTACTAGGATCATTGTTAGCCTCAAATCCAAGTATGTATGACGTCGTTCGCAAGGACAACAAATGACAACCTTATCTTACGCCTCCAAGGGCTCGCGGACGATCAAAAAGGATAGTGATTAAATTCGATATATTCACAGTACAGTATTGATAACGCCCGCTAGTAGATCTCACAGCATCATTGCTGATGCAGAGTGTAGGTGATAAGAATTCTATAGACATCCCTTGTGTGATCAGTCAACCATCGGACACTAGGACATGGATGAAATCGGAAGGCCATCAAGGAAGACAGCGAACGGACATCGAATCATCATCAGTAAGTATGTTCATTTCTTGACCAGTCAAAACTTCACAGCGCGATCTACGAGGCCGCAAGAAGTCGGAAAAATGTGAAGCAAATATGTGAGGTCTGTGCTTCGTGGCTTGAGACATGCGACAATCGGAACTAAGGGGCGAACAAAGGAGCTCGGGAGGAAAACAATACACCTTCTCAGATTGTGTTCTACAGAATACCTCATATCTAGTTGTTTTCAATAGAGACGTGGCCGAAGTATTTACCTTGTATTGAGGGTTGGCTTGTAAGCCGAGTGGGCCTCGACAGACGTGAGGGATACCTAGTAGTCTCCAGGGCGCAACCCTGAATGTCTCCATCTTATCAAATATATTGCCGCGCTGATTAAGTGAGTGTGAGGGAATCATAGTGTGTGAAACTGAAGTCCTACACATCACGCGGCGAGGCCTATGATCAACAGGTGGCCATAAAAAAGTCAGATAGTCAGATTGGGGAGTCGAGGGGGGTCCAAAGGCCGAGGCAGACGTGCTGGAATGGGTGTCGGCATGACAGTGTAATACAGAATAAGGCGAGGCGGCCTGAATGACACAAGCACCTATGAACCGGCCTTGGGGACTCGATAGGAAGCAGAACATCTCCCTACGTATCCGGGGCCACGAAAAGTGGCTAGTAGATTAACCCACGCTGATTGGCTCCGTGGGCCACATTAAGTGGGCCGCAGCTGTAATGGTCACTAAGTTCACAAACTAAACTACTCCCTCAATCTCAATCTCTTTTCTGTCGCGCTCGGCTTCTTTCCCATCATCCTTATCCTTCGCCTGGCTTCTTTTCTTCCTCTTCTCAACTGATCTTGATTCCTCGGAGGTGGTTCCATCCATCGCCCTGTTTCGTTTTTTCATTCTCCCCTTTCCCGCTCTCCTGCTGTAAGATCCTTTTTTTTTTTCTACATACTCCGGACTCGCGACCACGCTGCTTGTACCAATCCCCAGCATTGTTGCCTTCCAGCAGATGACCCTTGATTCTTCTCTTCTCATCCCGTGATTCTCTCTTTCATCTCTACTCTCTTGGGGTGTTGTTGCCGCAGGCGAGAAAGCTTCGCCATCGGCCCCAGCCTCTACACATCCCTGGCAGCCGCTCGCGATCTGGCGCCTCCAGTCTTCGTAATTGGCGCGATCGGGTCTCAACTGGGACTCGACCTCGAACTCGGAAGATTCCAGACATCTCATCACATGGTAAGTGCGCGATCTTGATTTTCCCTGTACTATTACCTACACTTCGGGTCGGATCCTGATCCACACAATTTGCCGCGACCGTGTCTGCATCTCTGCTTTCCCCCATCTGTACCCCTACAGCATGGTCGAACCATATTTCATTCCTGCATGAATTTAGCTTGCATCTTTGCGCTTCCATCTATCCGCGTTTTTCTCCCTTTACTTCCCTCGTCGCGTCCTTGGACCGGAAGGTCAAATCTGCACTGCTATTACTTCTCACGGTCTTGGCACCGCAAGCGAACCGCCCGAAACTAACCAACTATACAGAACCTCCTCGCCTCATTTCTCCTGATCTGACAAGTCAGGTCTTTGCATTTTGTTTTGTTTTTTCTTTTTTTGTTTTTCATTCTTGCTAGCTCTAGAGGGTCTTTTTTAATATCTAATCATGGCCCACCTCCCAAGGCCTGATTTAGATATGGACAATCCGTCCTCGGATGTGGGCGACAGTCAGGATTCGCCGCTGCGCCGACAGTTCTCCGAGCCTTTCCGGCCACAATCAACCTCCACCCAAATTTCCCAGTCACCCGAACCATTTGCGCAGAAATTAAAATGCGACTGGTGTGGAAAACTTCTGGAGCTTCCACGGGATAAGTCCATCTCTGAAGAAGAGATACTTAATATTCACGTGACCGAAGAACATCCTTCACATGATCAATACGGCTATGAGGACGCCGAAATCGATGAAGATGAGGTCGATGAAGACGCTGAAGATATCGAAGAAGGTGATGATGTTGACGTCGAAGATGCTGAAGCTGAGGCCGAGGTTGACGGCGAAGAACACGAACAACTCGACCTTAACGGCGAGGAAGTCGTGAATGGTATGACCCAGCCTGAAGACGGGCACGGCGAAGAAGAGCTTGTGACAGCTGCTCCATCCATGAACGGCGAGCACAGCGACGGGGAGCAAGAACTCGGCAAAATTTCTTTCATTCCCATCAAAACCGCCCAGGATACTTTTGGCAAACGTGACCTTATTGAGTGGCTCTCAAATCCCCGAAGTACCTTTGCAGAGGATTACAAACGACGCGTGGCTGAGTGGCAAGGCCCGCAGATGAACAATCGTCTTTCCAAAATTTGGACAGTCAACGATGTCAACCACTTTTGTCCCACTTACGAACAGGACCTGGCCAAGGTAGACCACACCTGGCAACATGTCTTCCACGATGCAAAGCCGAAGAAGCGCGATGCATCCGAGTCCCTGGTCCGACCTGATCCTTACAAAAAGACCAAGACCGAAAACGGTCAATTCCTTGATCTAAACTCATTGGATGAGTTGTTGGAAGTCCTCCGCAAGCCTGAGAATCTTTCACCTGAAGAATTGTACGCTGCCACCGAGGCTGTAGCGTTCGCGATGAAAGTCTGGCAAGATGAGTATCTCGCTCTCGACCAGCTCTACCTCCAGGCTCATCGCCATCATCGGAGCGCACTTCCGGCGGACGCTAAGCGAGACTTCAACATGGGTAACAAGAAAAAGACAAGTCACCCACTCGCTCGGGTACCAGAGGATCCTCGTGACCACGAGGACAGGAAGGAGGCACAACTGTATGGCTACAAGCATGTTTTCCACAACCAGAATGTCAGTAATGCTGTCGTCTGGAACCCGCAAAATCCGTTTACTCAAGGTGGTTTTGTTCCAACCACAGCACAAGGGAGGAAGATGGCTACCAAGGTCGCACCCGATGACCGAAACCCCGACGGCTGGACTCCTGTCATTAGGGATGGCACCGAGTTTGTACCTAAGCTGTACGAGACTCGAAAGGAGCCTCTGCCACCAAAGCATACTCGCAAGCGCAAGGCTGTGGAAGTTGATACGTCAAAGACCGACACTGAAACCCAAAACGAGTCGGCGGAAGAAACCGAGGAGGAGGAGATACATCCCGCGAAGCGACGTACCAGAGGCCGTGGTGGTCGACGTGCTACCTTTGAGGCATACCAGCCAGTCGAACTCCCTGTTAGCACTCCTCGCGGCCGCGGACGAGGCCGTGGTCGTGGCCGTGGCAGAGGCGTTGGCCGTCCTCCTTCGACTCGGGCTTCGTTGGATTCAAACCAAGCTGTGATCTACACTCCTACCTCTGGTCGAGGCCGCGGCCGACGCGGTGCAAGCACTGTCGTTGCCGCTACTCCCATAGTCTCCCGCTCGACCGAGGAGACTGCATCATTACCTGCTGATTCTCCCGCTCCTGAACCAAATTCCTCGTCCAAGCTCACGCCTTCTCTGAGACGGGATGCCACCCAAGAGGAGATTGAAGAAGCTCGCCGCCTGAAAATTATGAACTCCAAGAACCCCAAGCGAACCAAGGCCATGCTCGACCATTGGGAGCGCTTCAACCGCGAAGGACGCATCCGAAACCCCAAGCGATCCAAGGCACAGATTGAGCAGGATCGTGTGCATGATGACGTCCAAAAAGTCAAGGAAGTCTCCCGGCCTCCTGGTCGTCGCCGCCGCTCTCCTTCCCTGGCTCCTATCCCCACTGGAAATCTCGCGCCCAAGGCCCCCAATAATATGCCTCCCATGGCCCCTATGGCCGGTCAACCTCCCCATATGGGCCCTGGTCCTACTCTGCCGCCTATTGGCATGGCACACTACGCCTCTAATCCCTACAACGCCCCCCTCCACCTCCCCATGCCCACCTTGGCCAGCCCATGCCGCCTACTGCTCAATATGCTCCATTCCCCTATGTAACCTACCCACCCATGGGCGGCCTGCCTCCTCCCCCACATCCTGATCACCATCATCCCCGATGAGTGTGATCAACATCCAATGAGGTTGATCACCACCGATGAATTTGATGTTCACAAATCAGTTTGATACTTACAGCGCCTTGTATTCTACTTCTGAATCTGTACGATAACATTACCCGCAGCGTCCTACCTTTGCCACTTGGCTTGTTGGTCGATTTCTGTAAACACAAATTATTTCGCAATAAACCTTTTTTGCAATATGGATCGTTTCCATTTTTGGTAAATCTACTTAGAATAGCCTCAGCTTAGTTTAAAGGATAGTCTCACTGGTATTTTTTAGAGAGTCTATGAGAAGGAGACTGAGGGTCCGACACAGTCCGAGGACATGGCCCAGAAGGACGCATGGTTGACATTTCACGGTTTACTACATGACCTAATTCTCATCAACACCTGGGTATGCACTACTAGGACCCGTTGTTCTTTCTCGCTTGGACATAACGCGTACCGCGGTGATCAGTGTGCACCATCAGAACCTGTGGACAAGGTAATTTAAAACACTACTGCCCTTGTTTCCGTATACATGTTAGGCTTTCCTTTTCATGTCGCAAAACAGATTTATGTCTTCTTGTTTCCCTTTAAATCTGCCTTTCTTGAAATCTTTTTCTATTAGCCTAGTTGCGAGGTTATTTGTGAAGTTTTCTAGACTTGATTATAGTACAATTTAATTCAAGTATGCATTGAAGGCCTACCTGCATACATTAGATCTTACTATCTCTCTTTATCCCATCTCGTCTTTCTGTTCCTTTCGTGCATAACTCTAAGCTCGTACTCTGTTTCGTTATGTCTACCCATGACAGCACGGGCGCGCATAGGGAAGTATAGCCGTCGAACTCACGGATTTGCCCTAGTTGTAGAAAATTGCCCGACGCATGCTTAACAGCCTGGCTGAAATGATACGCGATGAATCTATCATTTTACAAATCTCCTCTCTAATTGACCGAAAAGTAGTGCAACTGAAAACAATTTCAGTATCCCCTTGAGTTAACTATACAGCGCTTGCGCCTGAGGTGCCAAATATCATATCACGTGAAGGCAATATCACGTGCATCTCCTTGCCCGTCACCGCTCTCGCCTTGAGGTAATCTGCGTCACTTCGTAGCTTCGACTTGTCTTTACTACGCCTCTGCATTCGCCATTCCTTCAATCTTTTTGCGGGGTTTTATACTCAACTGTCTTTCAGTTCCTATACAAATTTACAATGGGTAAAAAGAGACGTGGTCCCTCCTTGGACGAGCTTATGGCTCGTCCATGGTGCTACTACTGTGAGCGCGATTTCGACGACCTGAAGATTCTCACACTGCATCAAAAAGCGAAGCATTTCAAATGCGATAAGTGTGGTCGCCGACTCAATACCGCTGGAGGTAAGCATTCCCTACGCATGCTCGCGACAATTGTCCCCGGAAAAGCAGAACCTAATCGATTGCGCGCCTCTAGGATTGTCAGTGCACATGAGCCAAGTCCACAAGGAACAGCTCACTGAGATCGAGAATGCGCTGCCTAACCGGGCAGGTCTTGACGTAGAGATCTTCGGTATGGAGGGAGTACCTGATGATGTGCTGCACGCTCATCAGCAGCGCGTCGCTGCGCAGTTCGCCCAGGCTGAGGCTGAGCGCCAAGCAGCTACCGGCAACCCACCTTCGGGCAGTGTAGGTGGACAGCCGGCGAAAAAGCCGAAGCTGGAGGACATGTCGGAAATGAAGAGGCGATTGGCGGAACATCGAGCAAAGAAGGCGGAGGCAGCTGGTGGTGGCAGTAGCGGATCAGCGACCCCTGCAAGCTCTGGACCGCCAGCTCCACAAGCCACCAAGACCGAGGATGCATATGTAAGTTGCCACCATATTCCATGTCTTGCGCAAGTCTGAAACCCGAAACTGACATGTCTCGACTAGGGACAACCCCCCGCTGCACCTGCGGCTGTTCCTGCACCTGTGGCTGCGCAACCATATTCTTACCCCCCACCTTATGGCGGCGCACCCGCCACTCCATATCAACAGATTGCTAGTCCGGTCTATCAGACTTTCTCGCCCGTTAGCGGACAGGTTCCCGGTGCTGCTGCGCCTTACCCTCCCGCCGGGTACCCTCCTCAGATGCCCGGATACCCTCCTGCTCTCGCCTACGGAGCTCCTCCATTCCCCCAGCACCCTATATCCGCCGATTCAACCCCTCCCCCACGGCCTGGTAGCCTTCCTACTCCCTCTGGCCTCCCACAACGCCCGGCCTTCGGCGCACCTACAGTCAATGCGCAGCAGTTGCAGCAGATGCACATGGGTCACGCTGTGCCACCGGCACCTGGTCACGGAAACGGAGATGCAACCGGAGAAGTGTCCTCGTCGGTTAAAGATCTAATTTCGGACGCGGCGAACGAAGCGACAGAGAAGCCGGCCAAGAAGGACAAGTCCAAGGCCACGAGAATGATTTACCTCCACGACACAATGAGTCCCGAAGAGAAGATGTCTCAACTCCCACGGTACGCCGTCGACCGCAAACAATTCCCACAGGAGACAGTGCTCGATAACGGCCCCGACGCCACGGTAGTGGGAACAATTCGCGATTCGGATACGGTGCTCGATCCGGCGCAGTAAGAGAAGAAAAACGACACTACATCGGTCTTCCTTTCTTCGCGATCATGAAACAGACTCCATGGGTGTCTAGGTGACGGACAACAGACCTCAGCTAAGTTCGACATATACTCTGGCAACACATGAGCATTCTATCTGGCTGGCTGGTTTTGTACCTACCCTGATATCAATCAGTAGTTCCGGCGAAAGACAAGCCCTCGAATGATCCTGGAAAGAGAACTGGTTTTCTCCGAGCCTCGGTGAGTCTGGGTCGATGGTTTTCTCCCTTTCACTAATCGGGATTCGCTGGTGGCACCGAAGGATACCACCGTACGTGTCTCTCTCTTTCTGCCCTTTTTTATTTGTTTTCTCTCTTCGTTTTACGGTCTGGATGTGAGCCCACGCAATCGGGACTCTTTGGTTCAGACTTGACGACAACATCTACCCCAATGTAAGTTTATCATTAGCGTTTTCGAGGTAGGGAATATATCATCTCATGATGTCCATGTTTGGTCGCAACTTGGTTGTAACTTGTATGGGTTTGTGCTATACCCGAGGCCCTCGGATCCAGTAGTAGCAATTGGTTGTCATACCATATCGAACGATGTAAGACCCCGGACAACAGGCCAACATTAAAAGAAGCAAACTCCCCAAGAACGGGACTCAATTGAATTGGAATAATCTCGCTAGAAACACAGCAAAGAAGATTGAACCGATCAGACACAGTCGCAGCTCCTAGATTCCCAAACCAAACATCATGCCATAAGCATCTATTAACCCCGGGAACCACAAGACCAGTCGTCAACACCTCAATTTAGGCCCTCTTCTCCTTAAACGCAAGCCCAAAAACAACAATTCCGTAAGTAGCAAGAACCGAAAGTCCCAGCGGCACTGGCTTTCCCCCAGTCTTGATAACACGGGGAATGGAGCTTCCGCCCAGAATAGCCGAAGCCAGAAGACCGAGTTCCTCGCCGAATGTCTCGCCGGAGCGCAGGCGCGCGAAGGACAGGAGATACAGGGCACCGACAGAGAGACCGGCGGCAATAGAGGGGATTGAGCCGGTGCGTGCGTAGCCGATTGCGCCGCCGAGGGAGGTGAGGATGGAGAGAGCGAGGGCGGAGTTGACGGGGAGGGGGTTTTGGTTGACCTTTGAACTATTAGTTTTCATTTTGGGAATTGAAGGGGAGAGGAAAGGGGAATGGAGGCTGTGTTTACCATTTTGATGGTTTGTTGACTGTTTGGAAGTTGAAGTGGAGTGGTGACGAAGCTGAGAGCTGTCGGGGCGGGGATTACTAAGGGATGGGCGGATCTCGCACACCTCGGAGTTTACGGAGGTCGGGGTGTAGTATGACGAAGCTTGTAATTTGCTTTTCTAGAATTGATGAATTGAGACAATTCAGTGACCTGGATCGAGCTGAGGTAGATCGACACTAGGTGATGCAGAATCGATGGCTGTTATGTGAAGCTTTGCTGTGAGCTACGGTGGAGACTCGAGAGTGGGCCAGAAGTATAAAGATCTGTGATTTAGATAGATCGCTACCTATTCGCAACACACAATCTAATCTCTAGATCCGATGGAAACCAATCGGATTTTACAGTTAGAGGGCTTAGATGAAATGAGAACTGCTTTTTAGTTGAAATATCGCAAGATATTGCCAATCGCTTGAGAACGAGTACCGCACAAGCAGGCACATCCAATCCTTCTTCTTCGATTACCCAAGGTTTTTGCGCCATATTTAGTGATCTACAGACTACATTCTTCCAAGGTTGTCTTTGACCAGCAGAATACAGATTAATGTCATTCGTCATTCTAGTGGGTATGTTATGACATGCTACATTCTAATAAATCCCAAGTGCTGTCGTATCACCTATACCCGATGCAATTTTAACCAGTCATCAACCCAACACAGCCACAAATCAATCCAGCCTGCATAGGCCTCCAGCATGCTCGGGCTCTAATCACTTCGCACCTGTTCCTGCGCCAGTAGAGATGTCTACACCACCATATCCTGGGGCATGACTGCCGTCTTCCTGGTCCTGCTCGATATCCTCCTCTTCCAAGGGTTTCCCGCGACGGGGCCCCTCTTGCTCAACAATCCAATAAGACGGGATAATAGCAAAGAGACTCAAAATGCTCAAGAGCCACCACGGCACCACCACGGAGCCTCTCTTGACACCCCAGGAGAAGGCGGCTCCAATCAGAGCTGGTCCGGCGGCACGCCCCAGGGCGCTTACACTGGTTCCTACGCCGTTCAGCGTTCCCAACACGGTCATACTCGCCGCAGAGTTGGTAAGAAGGATAGTGCAGCATGGTATACCAAATACAACGGCTCCCAGTTTGGCTAACATAATCAGCAGGACGGCTGCAAGACGGCATGATTCGGGCACAAGAGCTGTGAAGGGAGTTAGGAAGAAGATGACTGGCATGGCGATCGCTGCGGCCTTGTAACAGTTTAGCACACCGTAGCGCTGAGCCAATGGTGGGAAACAGAGGAACTGAATTAGCATGCCTGCGATTCCGATGACGGTGTAGTATAGGCCGATGGTTTGTGAATCTTATCGGACATTAGTACAGTGTTGATAGTTGATAGTTGATAGTTGAATGTTGAATGCTGATTGTGAATGTTGATTGTGAATGTTGAATGTGAATCAAAAGAGAACTCACCAATTCCAAACCCGCTTGCAAACTTGAATGGCAGTTTCACATCCGGATTATCGTAAAGTTCTTGCACAGGATAATGCAAAAAGACAGGAAACACGGAATCAAAAGCCATGCCGAGGCCAGACATCAAAGTGTAAGACAGAAGTATAATGTTTGACTGTGGAGTAAAGACCTGGGACCAGCTAGGCCGCTTCACCACATCCTTCGTCTTCGGATTCTTGCGAGGAAGCAAGACCGTCCGCTCCTCGTCCGAATCCTTCGATCCAACCTGACGCTTCCTCGAAACACACGAGCCAGTAAGTGCCTGACCCAACGCAAGACCCGGATCATATCGGTCCTTCCTCGTCTCCAAGGTCTCCTGCAGAAACAGAATGCCCGTAACGATACCAACAATAAAGAAAATCGCGGACAACAAATTCGGCAACGCAAAAGGAAACCGTCTCAAAAAGACCGAATCCCCGAAAAGCGCGGGATATTTCTCTGCCGGTCGTGCCAGTGCACCTCCAAACGCGGGGCCAAAGATACTCCCGATCGTCCAGACCATAGGCATAATACTAAACGCACGAGGCTGCAGTTCCCGCTCAGGCACGATCTCCGCGACCATGGTCCGAATAATACCGACATTCCCGTTCATAAGACCGATCATGGCCCGCGATACAAGAAGCATGCCTAGCGTCTGGGACATGCCTAGCATTATCGATAAAAGCATGGTACAGGCCAAGCCGGAGATGATAATCGGCTTGCGCCCAATATGGTCGGATAATGAACCCCAAGGCACGGCCATGACGGCTTGACTCACGGATGCGACCGCAGAGGCGATACCGGCCCATTTGGCGACTTCGGCTTCGGGGACGCCCACATATTCAATGAGCTCGGGCTGGAGAGTGTTAGTTTTTGCTTTTAAGATATGCCAACTGGGAGGGGGTGGAGGTCGGTGTGATGGCCGAGATCGGGGGGTTTTGGCAACTTGAACTTGAACTTACCAGATAGGGCAGAATGGATGTGAAGACAACTATAAGAGAGGTAGTTTAGCTGAGGCTCCAGATCCAGACGGATGTCAACTCCGGGATCAACAGGGATGAGGCGGCAACCTACGGGGTTCTGCGAATCGGCATATCGCTGCGTAATCCGATTAGTATTCCTAGGTTGGTTGTATGAAGTCCAGAGGAGGGATATAGCGCAACAGCGACGTACACAATATCAAAAGCTGCCTCACAGGCAGCTTGGGTTTCTGCATCATCAGACGTGACCGAGAATCTATACTCACAAACTAAAGGAAAGAGAAAAAGTGAAGATGGAGATGAAATCAAAAGCCGAATGTTACGGTGGAGGCGTCTCCACTCTTAATGGGCCCGAGCTGTGTAGCTGCGACCCCGAGCTAGTACTATGGTACACTATGGTACGCCTTTTACTGCCGCCTTTGCCGAATGCAGTCAGATCTTGTAAATCCATTCTCATCACGCGCCTTTTCCAATCTAGACGTCCACTTATGTGCCTTGCAACCCCTCCGGATAAAAATCCAGCCCTACTGCAGCAGCTCGGTGGCTGCATCAATCCGCTCCTCGATGATCTTACTCCATTTCTAAAGAGTGGTATTAGTCAATGCGAACCTAAACATCCGCGATGGACTTACCAGGGCGTTCTCCACATCCTCAGCCTCAAGGCTCTCCACCAGTCCGGGGTATGTTGCACCCGAGTAGCCTGTCCAGATACCCGGTGCAAATACAACGTGCTTGAACCAGGTCCGACCGTCCAGGCCAGGCTCATATAGGAAGGCTCGCTCGATGCCCTTGTACTTGTCATTCGCAACGCGAATTTGGAAGAGAAGGCGGACCTTCTTCCACCAGTGATACCAAGGGATGTGCTCGCCTAGCTGCGCCTTGAGGTCTTCGGTGTATTTGTCGAACAAGATCGAGGCTGTGCCGAATCGATCGATGGCCAGGTCCAGACCGCTAAAGTCAAAGTCTGCCCCGGGCACGTTCTTCGCGGCGGGCTTCGCTCGTGCGAGATAATCTCCGAGGCCCCGAGCATAATCCGCAGCGCTGAAAGCGATCACAGGCGTCTCAATGAGTTGCGCGGCGGCAAGCGCCCAGAGTTTGGTGCACGCAGTGTGATAAGACCAGGTTGGGTCGCCGTATTTCTCCATCCATGCGAAGCTGTCATAGTTGGAGTGGTAGTGGTAAACCGGGTCGTTCTCCGCACGGCCAAATCCAAAGTCCAGACTGGCAATACCAGCAAAGTCCTGGAAAGCAGTAAAATCGCTGCCACTTCCCATGGTAGCAATCTTACCATCCCAAACATCTCCGACTGTCTGTCCGGGGACAGTCTGGTTAGGAGACTGCACCAGGCCAGCCACGTCCCTGATAACCTTGTTGAGCAAAGGAGCAGCCCGAGGACCGAACTCGGTGCCAGCAGCAGCGACATCAACGTTGAGATAGGCAACGTTGGCCTTGGAGAGCCACGGAAGGTTCTCCTCCACCCACTCAGTCGAACCGAGCAAACCGTACTCTTCGCCATCCCAGCTGGCAAAGACAACGGTGCGCAGAGGCTTCCACCCGGCCTTCATAGCTTCACCGAAGCTGCGAATGACTTCATTCAGGGCGGCAGAACCACTGTTGGGATCAGCGGCACCGCCGGCGATCCAGGCGTCACGGTGGTTACCCAGAATGATAACCTCATCGGGGATGTGTCCCTTGATGACACCGATGACATTCCACAGCGGGGTGGTCACATACTCCTGCTGGTTGTTAAGGTTGATGACTACATCTTCTGGTGAAGGTCCGATATGGTACTCAACGCCCTTGTAGCCCAGGCGACCACCCTGCCAATACTTGTTGAAGTCCGAGGCTTTGGGACCATGGCCATTCAGAGCCTTGAGGAAAGGCAATACCTCCTTATAAGAGATGGGAAGAGAAGGGATGGAAGGAATTGAGTTCGGTTCTTGCCGTTCGCAACCGGGCTTAGATGGATATCCAGGTGTTGTGGGGTCGCCAGGAAGGAAACCTGATTACATGGTTAGTTTGGATGGCAATTTAGCCTTGTTGGAGGAGGTGCATACTCAAGAACTGCGTGCTACCTCTTTGGATGGCACTGGGGTTACGGGCTGGTCCATCAGGGTAGGCCTTATAACCGTTCTCCTCGGTGATCTCACCATCCTCTTGGGGATCGCTGTAGATGAGAACACCAACCATACCAAGCTCCTGTGCGCGCTTAACCTTCAAGCCACGGAATATTCCGCCGTACTTGACAATGGCAATCTTTCCCTCAAGATCGATGCCAGCGTCCACCAGGTCCTCGTAATCCTTGAAGGTGCCAAAGTTGGCATACACATATTGAGCAGTGACATTGCCGGTGGCTGAGTAGCCGTGGAAAACAGGAATTCGGTCGGGCAGACCGGAAGTAGGATCCTCTTCCAGGACGTCTTCCTCCAGGGTCGCCTCGAAGGTGACCTCGGTCTTTTCACCGGATTTCTTGAGGAGAGCAAGGCGGTGCTCCAGAGGATAATTGAGATAGATATCGTAGGTAGCAATGGTAGTATCCTCGACACCAAATTCCTTCCATTTCTCCATAGTCCATAGGGCCTGGCTCAAGTTCTTGCCAGCTAGGTGGGGACCGGCGGTATAGTATTCGCTCCACTCACGAGCCTTGGCAGCCGATGGAGTTTCAAGGAGGACCTGCTGTAGCTGGTCATACGGAAGACCATAGGCCTGGGGCCAGGCACTGTGGGGGAATGGCTTGGCCCATGGTAGATAAGACCAGACCGAGCCGTGTTCCCGGGGTAGGATGGCTGTTGGGATCAGGAAAAGTATGACGACAATTACAAGTAGGGTGCTGAGGATGAATGTACAAGCTCGACGGATAGTATGGTGAGGGTACCGATGCCGCGGTGGTGCGACATGGACCTCCAGCAAAGGGGTGGTTTCCGAGAATGGCATGTTCTTTTCCCTCATCTTTGCTGGATGAGAGAGGGATGAGAAGGAGTTGTTGTTTCCCCAATGTCTCCGCACTTTATCGCATTATCGGATGACTAACCGATTTGCGGTGGAGTTCAGTGGTTCCTGAGGTGTCACCTTCCCTTTCAAGTATCTATACAGCGGGATAGATCCGCTTTATCGCTGTATCAACGATAGGGCTAACTGTATCGTAAGACAGAGCTAGTCAAGTACCTTGCTGCACTGGTAGATAGCGTGGTGCCAATTCTAGGTGCCACCATATTAGTCGTGATGGCGTCAATCAGTGGTACCTTGAATATGAATTCAGCTAGTTGTCAAAGAATATAGAAGAGTGAAGCAAGGTTTGATTCCACATTCCCTCATGTGACCAGATCAAGTCAAATTTCAGCAGATAAGTATCAAAAGAGGTATCGTGGTATCATATACAATGGCTAAGACCGATGACAATCACACAGGATCAGCCCCCAAGAAGAATGGGTCCGGGGACCGTGAATATCTATAGAAATGATGGAGACGTCGATCTAAAGTTAGTTTTCAGAATCAACAGGAATCGGCACAAAGTCATCTGCTGCAGGATTAAGCCTCTGACCAAGTTGAATGCTCTCCCGCAGGATTTGGCGCGCAGCGTCATCACTAACATCCATATCTTCCATGACCAGACGGACCGCGAGCTCGGGTACAAGAACCGATTGCGCGTAGCCTGCTACGCCAGCTGCCTTGACAATATGGTCGGAGGATGCTAGTCGACGCAGTTTCAAAGAGAAGCGATCCACAATGGCTTGTAACCTGCAAATCAAGTTAGTGCTTGTAAAACAATGACTCCAGATCAAAGATGTGCCTACATCCTCGCCGCTCCTTTAGTCCCGTAGTATCCACAGGAGATCGTCTCAATTCCTTTGCCAGTGAGCGTAAGGCGGAAGTTCTTGGCCTGCCCTGATTTCAACGTTGTATCTAGAATGTTGCGATAATAAGATGTGCAGTCTGGGACCAAAAGCTTCTCCAGATCCGTGTAATGCTTCTGCACGCGCTCGTCGAATGTATCCCAGTTGATATCTGGGTATCCTGACGCCTCCCATTCTTTTTCGGCGGTGTTTTGCTGGTGCGAGGCACAGAATTGCTGTTGTTCGCGAATGCGCTGCTTTGGCTGTGCTTCAAATAGCATGAGTAGTTCTGGATCGACTTCTTTCTTGCACATTGGACAAAGTGACTGACGAGGCGCTGGGGAGCCTGGAGAGCTGGGCGCGGAGCTGAGGGATGAACCGGACGTATCGTCTAATGACATGGATTGTGGGTCATTTGAGAATACAGTGCCAAGCGAAGAGTTTGAATTAGAGGCCTGTGGGGCAGTGAGATCGGTTGATCCCTTAGTGTCGCCGCTGCGAGGATTCGGGGGACGAGTAATGTCGACTTGCGTGGGCATTCTGAATGCTGGAAAGGTCGGCTTCTTTGGGCTGTCATTCTTTTTCTTTTTGGACTGCTGTGAGAGTTTGTCCGGCGTAGCAACGGCAGAGCGTGCGCTCGAACCGGGGAATGTTGAACCTGATTTCGTTCTTGAATAGCCATGGGTCCTCTTCGTCCGCTTCGAGTTATCCCTCCAAGAGGAAAATATCTCATTCTCAGACTCATTGTCACTCTTTATTTCGCTATATGTCCTTCTAGGAGCTTTCTTGACTTTGTCCTTGAGCTTCTCCGCGTCGAGCTTTTCTTGCAATGTTTTCTTCGTTTTGATTTCCGCACTTTCGTCGGACTCGAACCCGCTAGAGCTCACCGGTTCATCGTCCGTCCCAGGCTCATCCAATTTGCCCTTAGAGTGGGACATCGGTTGAATACCCATGAAATCGTCATCGTCGAAATTAAAATCATTTTCGATAGAAGGGATCTCGATATCCGTCTCAGACGCACTTGCTTGATCCTTCGATGCAACTTCCGATTTGACGTCAAGTTCCTCAATAGCGTTGGAGCTCATCGTGCTGAGAACATCATCGGAATCGCTCTGGGGCTCGTCATCTGTGTCAGGTTGCCCCGGCTTGGAGTCGGGTCCCGTCGCAGGTTGAGCAGCGTTCTCGGTAGGCGACTTGTTGAACGTAGAAAGCAGGTGCTCGCCGCCCTTAAGATCATATCGTGTAAGGTGGTTCGACGCAAAGCTCGAATCGGGCTTCGGCTGAGCTCTCATTATAAGGTGGTGTCGAGGGTTCGGGAGGTTGGGGAAGGTGGGAGTCGTGGCTCACGCGACTAGCAAGTCGCGTCGGGAAGACAAAAATGTAGCGCAGCTGAGCATGAGAATGCAGAGACCGGGACAACCCCGATGCGATTGCGATTGCGTGAGATTGCGAAACGGATGGACAAAGACAATGTGTGAGGGGAAACGCGTGACGCGACGCAGTTGAGGGCCCCACACTTGGTTTCACTTGAACTACTTGATGCCATATTTAATCTGATATTTGATGTCTTTCTATACATTCGACAGCTATATACTAGTTTCACTTTCCGCCTGTCTAAAGCAATGCTCTCTAGCTTTGAGCGAGAAAATAGAGGCACTAAAGCATATCCCGTCATTATTCAAACGTCATGGAAATCTCCCCATGCTCATCATCGGCCCAAGCATTAGGCTCCATATCCATGGCCCCGACAGTAGAGCCAATATTCGTAGGCAATGTAGAAGAAGACCGTAATTCTGGCCGGACGGGGTGTTCAGATCGAGGTTGAGGTTCATGGAAGGATGTATCAAAGGTCATTTCAACCGGATCGTCTTTCGGTAACAGGGACGATTTCTTGGGATCGTAAGGGGACATGCGGCCCGTACTGAGCCGGGGCTCCGATGCAGTTCGAGCCGCAGAAGAGGACTCGGTAGCTTTCGAGTCCTTCGAGTCCTTCGAATCCTTTATATTCTTTGAATCCTTCTCGGTTGGAGTTGCAGGCGTCGACTCCGTCGGAGGATTCAAATCAAGCTTCATCGGAGGAAGTGTTGACTCAAGCTGCTTCACTTCGATCGCCTCCGATGCCAATTCAGCTCGAATGGCTTCAATATCGAACAGTACAGAACCCGGAGCACTTGCTGGGTCGTTGGAGTCACGCGACGCGGGGCTTCTGTCAACGTCGTACGTCTCCCACGACTTCTTCTCGGCCATCCTGCCACGTTTGAAAAGACCGAAACGCTTCTTCTCGGGTTTCAACTCAGCCTGCCGGCGGGCTTCGTCAATCTCACGAATCAGCTCGCGCTGGCGCTCGACGTGGTTATCCGGGTCTGGATCTTCGATTTCGGCAAATTCATCCTCAAGGACTTCCCAGCCGACCGCTTTCAGAATACGAGGCATGGCAGCACGGTAGTCCATGTGGCCATTGACCGTATCTGTCAGGTCGTAGTTCTCGAGGCCAGGAATACCCTCAATTGGCGCCAGACCGGACACCCGCATTATACCACCACCGGTAGCCCGGAACAGATATCCAAGAATCCAGTCGTTCTTGGAGAACCCATTCACGAATCGCCCAGCCACCACACTGCGAATCTTGAGGTAGTCATCCTTGTTCGCCACGACGGGTGATCCAAACAGATACACATTTTGAACAAGGCCATGGGCACCCCTTTCAGCTAATTCCTTCAAGCACGAGAAAATGACTCGTGCACCGAGGGAGAAGCCGAGCAACGTGACGGGTCGGTGTCCGAGGTTTCGATCTATCAAAGAATCGGCCAAAACTAGACCCGCAGCATGGGCGCGGGCGAGCGATACGTTCCACGGGTTGTCAATTAAGTAGGCGAGTTTAGTAAGGACCAAGGGTAGCTGGAGAGAGGCCACTAAAGCCATCAAAATGGTACTGCCAAGCACTTGTTGCAGTCCCTGAGTCAATGCCTAAAGAAACAGTCAGTCTTGAAATGTACAATTGAATCATGGCAGACTCACCTCTGTTGCAAGAATGTTGATCGTGTCACCCATGCTGCGAAGCATCTCAGGCTCCCACAAAACAGAGTAGATATCGCCCATGATTGGATCCACCGTACTGTACGGCAGTCGAACATCGTCAACCTTACCAGTCATCCAGCCGGATACCGTGACGATAAGGTTCAGCTTCTTGTTATTGTGTAAAGGACGGTACTCAAATGTTTGAACTGCGCCTGTTCGTCGCTTCGAGGCCCTCATACCGATGACACTACCGCTCAGTGAGGCAGTGGAGGCGATCATGGCCGTTCCACCAGCGCCTCCCAGGAACGCGCTCGTTCCGGAGATTCCCACGGTCGTCAAACCGGCCGCAAGACCAGCGCCAATGACAGGGGCTAACAGACCGGCAGATAGACCGATAACGAGTCCACCACCGACTGTCGCTAATCCCATAACCATATACCGGCGTTTGAGAGCTCTCTTCCGGCGCTTCTCCATGTGGTCGGACTCATCCCATGTCTCCTTTTCTGCTTGTTCTTGCATTTCGAGGGCATCTGTAACGCGCTTCTCAAATCGGGAGATCTGAAGCCAGGTTACATCCATGGCTGCTCCAACTCTTTCTAGGAGTACTCTTGACCGAGCGTCGTAAGCCGAGTCAGCAATAAGCACAAGGAACAAATCACACAGAACGGTCCATCGAAGATCAATATCGATTCGATCAGAAGTAGGCAATTGGGACGGCGTCCGGACCTCTGGGAGTTCCTCGCCTTCGTGGACCTCATATGGCGGAGGAGAGCCGGGTTCAGATGCATGGGTCTCTGTAGAGAACCTTGATCGAGCTTCATTCTTCGTTGTCGGGGACGAGACAGAAGATGTAGATGTCTTCGGTTCATCCTCCGCCATCGGATTCTTGACGCGAGCATTTTGCATCAACGGTCGGATCAGATCACCAGGCTGCACGCCGTGTTCGGCAAGTTGTTCAATCATGATTTGCTCAGCGGAGCTGATATCCATATGCATATATAAGCGGCCCATCATGGCCTGGCCCCATTTTCGCATGCCATCCACAGCCTTATGGATGGTTTTTTTTGTGGACTTGGACTTGGTCATAGGGATTTTAACCACCTCTTGGTTCATCTCGTAAATTGCAAGTCGAACCACGCCCACGTAGGCGATCTTTTGCGTCTCGTTGAGAAGGTCCTTGGTGGCTTGGAGCTGGCTGACAGAATCACGAAGTTCCTCGCCTTCAAGGCCAGCTTGATTGTCGCCTGTCTCTCGGAAAAGATAGCTCGTGTCTTCATCCATACTGGTGGCAGACTGAGCGTCTTCGTCAAGCTGAACTCGAGTATAGCCTCGCCCTGCGCCACCTAGTCCTTGATATACGGCCTCGTTGTCCTCTGCCTGGTCTCCTTTGGCAATCAGCCGTCCATAGTCATCGTAATAGTCGAATTCTCCGAGGGCAGGCATTGCCTTCCAATCTCCATGTTCTTCCTCCTCTTCACTCTCGTTGTGTTTGTCATGAGCTTGAGCCAATCGCATGTGTGACCATTCTGATATTTCGGCATTTTGTGATTTTGATGTCGACTGTTGATAAGGAGGTGGAGGATCGGAAGGTTCAGAGGGTTTCTCAGTAGACGCAGGTTTTGGTCCCGATTCTTGAAATTCCAGCTTCTTGTCCGGTCGTGGTGCTTGTTCCGGCGCCTTCTCTATATTTCCAGTGTCCAGCTTCTCCGGATTTTCCGAATTCTGGAGGGGTTCTTTGATTTCCTCCACATCGTTCTTGGGTTGCTGTTCGGCTTCAGGGCTGGCAGCTGCATCTTCAGGCTCAGCACGGGTATCTTCGGCAGGAGAATCGCTAGAGAATGGATCGGGTGTCAAACGTAGTCGAATAGGCAGGCCAAAATCATCCAGCTCTGGGGGTGCTTCCTTCGGTTGCTGTGCACCTGCATCTTGTGGCGACGTGGTCTCCGTACCCGGCCTCAAGCTCCCCTTGTCATTATCAGTGCTGTCGTCGGAGGTGCTCGTATTCGACGGCTGTGGCGTGTTCGAAGGAGACTCTGTGGTCTGGTCGGAGGTGCCGCCGACGGTGACACCTGCGGCGGGCATTATTTCACATGGACAGGAGGCCCTTGCGAGCTGGTGGTTTCAGGGTTTGGAGAGTCGGCACAATTCGATAAACTCGAACGTTCACCCATTCGGACCAGAAATCCCCACAAAGATAAACTCGATCGTCTGTTGCCTGGTGGAACCAGTGGTTGTCATTGGACATGGGGGGAATCTCCGCAGATGACGATCCACGAAAAGGAGGTCGCGCGGGGCGGACAATGCGGCGGGGAGTACACCACTGCAGTACCACTCTCAAATGTACTCTGGATGATGTTTGAGCCTAATATACGCAAATTGACGGTGACTGGCATGAATTGGGAGCGCCTAAGTTTGCCAAAAAATATTGAAACCAAGAAAGTTCTACGGAAATGCCGAAAGCGGAAGTGTGTCGGGGCCGGGAATGTGCGTTTCTACAAACATCCGTTGTTCAGTCTGAATGAAAACAGCATGAACACAGCCAACGCACTGCGGATAGAGTTCATTATCCACCCGTCAAGTCTCAAGTCTCACGTCTCATGTCTCATGCCTCAAGTCTTCGACTTTCACCTGCCGAACCAGACGGCCTTCGGCCGACACATGCCGAAGGGCAGTGCAAGAGCTTCACGTTTGATAGGGCTGCAATGCACACGAGCCGAGCCGCAGTATCTCACCGTCTCACCTCTCATCTGATCCAGTGAACGGTGCACACGGGATGAGGCAGTCATGATAAAGGTGCAGACAGATACGAAGGGCGAAGGACGGGGCGTCATGCAGATCATAGTTCCCTGTTTGAGGCTGTGCACCCCCGGCACTGAAGTTTGCCCGGGTTTCAAACTCGACGGGGAACTTGAGGAATATGTCCGCACTAGCGTAAAATAAGTTGGTGATCGGCTTTTTTCACCAGATTCAGACCAACGAGAGAGCCCGGGGCTCTTACCATGGCGTCATGAACGGGACATCGGGGCGCGCTGACGGGCTTGAGTCACTTGATAGGCGACTTCGATTGAGGCTCTACCCCCGCGTCTGCATCCGAGGACATACATGCAAGTGGATGCCTGTGGCAACGTATTTCCCTGCCACCTCTCTCGTTCTTAAGACATCGCTCCTCTTTCTCTCCTATACCTCACTTCTTATGCACCTGGTCAAAATGTTCAAAGCACAAGGTAAGGCTTCTTTCACTCAGTAGCAGCCCTGAACATCTCTTTGATAATCTCCGCACAGGCTCCGATGCTTCCTTGGTTGGAATCGGGGACGCTGGCATTCGCCTGTCTCTGGTGTTGAACGCAGCGGCATGTCAACTCGCGCAGTATGGCATTGAAATCCACAGTATCGCTAGGGGTATTACGCTCTTCGCATTGGCTCTGAAGAATTTGGGGAGAGCTCTACAGAGCACGGACTTGGAGTATTCCCCCGAGGCTACAGATAAGGCCCGGGAGATTGCTAGCCAGGGACAGATGGCCTTCGTCGAGATTGAACGCATGCTCGACAAACTACAGAGCAACGATGCAGATGACGACTTCAAACATATACCTATGCAGGAACGGCTCAAGTGGTGTTTCCGGAGACAGTACGTCACGTATCTACTGGCACAGTTGGAGTCCCTCAAGCTCAGCCTGATTGTGATGCTGCAAGTCCTGCAGCTGGGCAACTTGGCCAAACCAGGGACCAGTGATCTCGACTCCACCGCGATGAATGCAGAGGACGAGATTGCCGAGGGGAAAGCGGAGATCCAGAACATGATTATTGTGCGGTACTGGGCAGTGAAGCGTCTTGATCGCTTATGGGATGCTGCGGAGCAAGAGGCTCGGGACGTCAATAGTACATCAACAAGCCAGAGGGTTACCACCAAAGCTGCCGATCTTGCAAAGCTGCGCACTGTGACATTTGGAGAGAGTGATTCCGATTTAGGAGACATCGAACGGTCTCCGAAGGATATGGTGCACCTGTCTGAGAGGGCCTTGAGCCGCCTTCTGCTGATCTGGATACCGTCATTCGATCCTACGAAGATTTACAATGCTGGCAAGCAAGTCCATCCTCGGCCTTCCGTATCTTCAGACACGGACGACGATGGTGAGAGCCTTGACTTTGAGAATATTCACTCTGGCGGTCACTACCTGGAGGGAAATACTGTGGACTGGCGCAAGCCCCATTCTCAAGAGGCTCGGCAAGAAGCAGCGCAGCGACGTCGTCAATACTCCGGGTATCAGGCGCACGTGGAAAGCGACTCTGAGATCGAAGCGCCTCGTCGTCACGACTTATATCCAGAAAAGCCACGATCAACGGTCTCAAATGACGAAGTCGAGCAAAGGTCCAATCTCCGCCAGCCACCTATCAACATCCCCACGCACCACCGCGCCCATTCTAGTAGCGTCCCCTCCCAATACCCTCCGACGTCGAACCCTGTCGGCAGATCAGCTGCATATCCCAGTACGAGCTACCCAGCAAACCAGCCCGTACCTCGTGCCCCAGCACCGCCGCATCTACAAACACCGCCATCTCACGCCCCGGGACCTCCCCAGTACAAGTACAGTCCTCCACAGAGCTATATGAACACAGTGCCCCGCTCGATCCTGAAGAAGTCTAACCCAACCACAATACCGAACTTGTCACGACACACACCACCAGGACAAATCGACAATCCCTGGGGCCGACCTCAAGCCTACAACTCACACCAATCACACCACTACCCCTCAACCTACCAGCTTTCAACATCTTCCCCAGAAACCAGCCTCCGACCATCACCGCCTCGCTCGGCGCAGCGATCCCCATCCCGCCCTAATCGATCCTCACGTGAAGAGGGAAACCGGCAAGAAACCAGGGAACGGCGCAAACGCAACGCAACTCGAGGCTTGGTCGGACTGGGAGCCATAGCTGGATTTATGGATGCACTGGAGGCATTCTCAATCCTGTGATTTTTCTTTTATTCCCCCCCCCCCCCCCCTTTTTAGGGTTCTCTGTTTCCTTGTTTTCTCATATTGGCTTGGATACTACATTACCACTGGGTCTCATATTTAGGCCATGTACATTGCGTTGACGGGAACGGGCGTCCCATAATGACTGAAGACTAACGAATGGCATGAACTGTACCACGACGGGTTCCACTCTACTTCATCGTATAGTCGTATCCAGATGACTGATGCTTACGTTACTGGGTCAGTTCACTAAGTTAAACCTTTCCTAAATTTTTGACCTCAAAAAGCTAGCAAGTTTAATCAATTTGATACACTCTTGAACCTTTGCCCAGCACTCGAGCACAAACACGATAGCGAATTAAAAATCCTTCAAGCTCAACCCTCAATTACTCAAACAAATTCCTTCTCAGACGACGCTCGCGAGTAAAATCCGGGCCTAACAGCCAAGAGCCCAAAGTCCCCACCGTTCTGTCGTGGACGGTTGAGTTTAGGCTGATTTCCAATTTTTTCGGTGTCGGAGTTGATGATGAGCCCGATCAACCACCGCTAGAGCGGAACTTCCGTTCCTACCGACGCTCCGACTCAACGCCAGCACGCCATTCTCTACAGTTTGGTTGAATGGGGTAATTGGGGAATTGTATGGAGTTCTTGGGTGGAGGGGATTTATCTTGGATGAGACTTAACATCGGTGGTATGCTGTGGGGGCTTATTTTTTTTTCTTTCTTCTTTCCTTGCTTTTTGCTGCGCTTTCTTACTTCCATTTTGTTGGGGCCTGCTCAGCTACAACTCGGTGTTTATACTTTGAATCCCTTCGAAACTTCATTTTGTACTCGACTCGGGCATTTATGATGTTGGAGGTAAGTCCTGATTGTATTCATGAGATTCGTTTCGTTCTCTTTGTCTTATAATTTGCTTTCCATGTGCTCTTTCTGATGCACGTATGCGAGCAGATGCTTACATACTCGAACAGAACAGCCACTCTCACTTTCGCCCTTTGAGCACTCTAATAAGCTAGTTCTCAAGCTTGCAAGCTCTCGCCAACTACCGATCGACGATCAAAACTCGGGCAGAGGAGGCATGCCGAAGATGCTCCCGTCCGGAAGCCACCCATCCAGCTCCATCCCTGCCCTCGCTTGTCCTCCTTGGGGAGGCATTCTCTGCGGATCATACGCAAACTGAGGAGGAAGGGTAGTCTGTGGGTGAGAAGGTTGGTAACCACCAGGCATGGACTGGAAAAATTGGGGTTGACCATGACCATCCATGGGCCACATCCCAGCGCCGCTCATAGCGACGTATCCATCTCGCATACCATCCATGCCAGCTGGCATATGTGGTACTCCCGGCTGAACGAATGAATCGACCGGCGCATTCACTGCGTTCATGGGCACAGGCCGTTCCTGAGAGAGCTGGGAAGACGGGATCGGCTCGGTGGCCGTCGACGGAGTCTCGGACATCATGGTAGGCCCGGAATCACCAGCTCCTGAATACCGTTTCTCTAACCGGTCAAGCCAGTCACGCCCCCGAACGGCTACCACTTGGTACCACCGGGCTGGAATCTTATATTTGCCCCCACCGCTCGCCTCGCCCAACTTGTTGGCCATCATGTCGAGGTAGTAGCTTACATTTACCGCCTCGGCCGTGACTACTTCGCCTAGGGCACCGGTCCGGACGGAGAAGTGGATCTTCAGCAGTGATGTTACTGCTGATCCGAACCGTGTGTACATCAGGTTCGGTAGTCGTCGCATTGTCTCCGTGCTGCAGGCGAACATCGCGTCTAACAGTTCCTGTGCTGCACTCATCCATTTCACGTTGATATCGATGCGGATTGCGCTGAGATGGGGTTCTGCGGGTATCGTGTTGCCGTCTTCGTCTAACGTTGGGAGAGTGAAGTAGCGTCGCTTGATGGCATCGGGGTCTCGGTACCCTTCTCCCACGCCCAATTCATACATGGCGAGAACGGCGGATCGGTATTCGAGGATCATTGGCACTAAAGAAAGAAACGTGAGCGGATTAAGATACGATTTCGAAGAAACCGTTCTTACCTGTGAGCATGTCGATTGGCGTACTCTTCTTCCACGTCTCCATTCGCTTGTCAAACCACCGCAGTACGGCTTGAACACGAGATTCAGTTAACGGTGATGAGGCACTGGTGTCATCTAGACCAAATGAAGACATGGCTTCATCGGTGATTCGCTGAAGTTCAAACCAAACGGCCAAATGCTGATCTGTTCGGTGCGGCGACCGTTCCAACTGGCTCACACACTCGGTCATCCAGTCGTTGAACTGTAGCAAGTTCGGACGGCGTGTTTTCATGGCCACACTATCGGTACCAGTCGTCAGTCGTGGCAGTTTCACCCCGGAAGTCCTCAAGTTACTTACGTGGATCCTAGATGGTAGCACCCCAGAAGGGCCCTCGCCTGCTCCGCCAAATGCTCGTCGTGCGGATCGTGCCTATTCTTTCGGTCGGACTTCTTTGAGACCCGTCGTTTGGTGGCTAGTCCAATTTCCAAAGCCATCGTCGAAGCGATATGCGTGTACTGGTAAAACTGCAACTTCAAAGGCGAGCCGGGCGGGAAATAGAAGATGCTCATGAGCAACAGTGCCTGCACTAGTTCCAACGATTTCTCACCCTCGATAAAGAATCGATCGGCATACAAACGGATCATTTCACGATTCAAAATACCCGCCAGTCCCGCATCGATGGATAAAGATGCTGCTGCAAGCACGGAGAGAAAGAGAACGGGCTTCGACTGTCGCATCTGTGCCGCCGTGGTACTGGTCGGCAGAACCACAAGAGGAAAGAATGAGGCAAGCTCATGGATGAAAAAGGCGACCAACTGCTCTGCATCGTCAAGCGTGATGATGCCTCGATCAATAACATCCTCCACAGGAGGCCTGATCGGATCGTGCGAGAAATTCGTATGCAACCCGGAGAACGATGGCGGAGCCGAAAGAGGGCCACTCCCCTGCATCCCTGGATGGGACGAATTGACTAAATCAGGAGAATAATCCATGTATCGGGCAGAGTCGGCCGTGCTGGCCGGGGCCTCCGAGATGGTGCCCAGATGGTCTTGAAAGTCCATTTCGCCAGTTTCCTCCCGCGAACCCTCGCTACCCTCAGGCGACTCGGGCTCACTCTCTTCTCGGATGCGACCTTTGAGAAGGGAGCGCATCATGCGCATCTCCTTCTCGAGCTGGGCCACGCGCGAGTCGGTCCTCTTGCGAGGCCGCCGTCGCTGCGGAGCCACGAACACACAGGGCTTTTTGCCCTTTGCACATCGTTGACACTGGTTTGGTGTGGATGGGTTGGGCAGACAGCGGACTTTCAGACTCCTGCAAGATTCGCAGGATCGGTTCAGCTGGGGGGTTGGCTGGCCTATGCTTGGATCACCCTGGGAAGTGGAGGAGGCCTCTGACATGATCACCGGGTGGGATGTCAGGAAAAAAAGCAAGGAAAAAAGCAAGAAAAATATGCAAAAGTCGCTAAGCCGGGGGGTTGAGTCTCATCGTATCGAGGGGACATGGAATATGACATGAGACCACCGCGACTTCCAAGATCGACACCAAAACTTCACAGTTGATGGGTGCAGATCGAATTGGTTACGGCCTCGTCCGGAAAAACTCAAGACTCGGCTGCAGTCATGTGCTTCGACAGATGCCGAAGCTTAATGCGTGAAATTGAGTAGGAACCTTGCAGTTAGGTAAGTGGGATGAAGTCGGGCATGGAAAGGCACACACTCCACTGCTGTCACTCGGTTGGATTGTTTCAATATGGGGTAGCAACCGGCAGCCGGGTGGTTACTAGTCCCAGTGGATTCAATGTTTCCACTGGTTCCAGTAGAGCCCAAGAACGCCAAACCAAGAAACGCAAGACCCAAGAAAGAGAAAGGGTCCAACGGGCCGGTGGCTGGATTAGGGAGGAACAGGCACCGACCGAACCAAACGGTGATTGTTAATAGTCGGGCGCGAATGAAACGAGCCTCGAAGGATGACTACGGCGACGATGAACCCTAAACTTAAACCTGGCGAATCATCCACGGTGGGCTCCACCGTCAAGACCGGGGCCTTTTCGTGAATTGGAACCAATGTGAGGGAGGGGATCGCAGCCGAACGGAATCGACCGATTGCCCAAATCGGTGTTAATCAATTTAATCAGTTTAGTCATGGCTCGCGGTGGGCTGCCTGTTTCTCCCGAATTTCCCGGCTTTGTTCGGGCTTCTCAGATTTGTGCGCCTTTCTCTTTTTCCTTTTCGTTTGGATGGTTTAAGTTCGGGATATTCGGGCGGTGAATTTCGTAGATTTCGCTCTATTCGGCTTCACGTTAATATAAAGGCTGCCTAGGTAGAGAGAGAGTTCAATAGCCTCCAACGAATCCACTCTATTCCAAGGTTTTCTATTGTGTGATATTTTGCAACTATGAGTGCAGCGGATCTGATCCAACGGTTGGACATCGACTTGGTCTCGGCCCTAGATGAAACCGAGCGACGCCAAGTGTTGCAAGCATGTGATCGACTGAAAGCCAAGCTGGAGACGCCCATGGATACAACGGCTCGTCTGGTCTTCTCGGTATGCCGTAAGAAGAAGGAAAGAAACATGGCAGCGACAGTGCTGACAGAGTACATAGAGTCACCAAGCCATGGCAGTGAGGTTGGGGATCGATATGAAGCTCTTTGATGCCATGGCCAAAGCAAGCAAGTTAGCCGAGGATCCCTTCAACGTACAGGACTGGTGTGAAGAGACTGGGTCGGACCCATTGCTAGTGAGTAAGTGATGCGATCTTGGCATTTCCAACCAGGCTTGTGTTCACAATGACAGGGCGCATAACTCGATTCCTTGCCGCCATGGGGGTGATTCAGGAAATAGACGGCGATTCATATACTCAGACGCCACTAGCCGCGGCCTATGTGTCAAGCTCTCCTCTTTCGGCGGCGGTGATCCATAGGTAACTCGGCCCTGGCTCGGCCCCTCTTCGGCTGTATGTAGTCAGCTAATCGAAGACAGCACGCATTTCTTGACCGTCCTGTCAAGACTCCCCGAGTATTTTCATGTCAATGGGTGGAAAAGTCCCGGGGATGGTCTCGATGGTCCTTTCCAATTTGCATTGGGAGCCGATGGCCACTACTTTGACTTTTTGAGCACGCATCCTTATTACAGCCAGGCATTTAACACGGTGATGGGCATGTCGTTTCGCCGACGTGGGAAGGATTGGTTCGAGGTTTTTCCCGTCGAAGAACGACTACGAGTGTCAAGTAGCAGTGATCCACTGATCGTCGATGTTGGCGGGGGCCAAGGCGAAGATCTCAAAAAGTTCCAGGAACACTTCTCTGATTTGCCCGGGAAACTCGTTCTCCAAGATCTGCCTGCCGTAATCGAGGGTGTCAAGGATCTATCGGGGATCGAAGTACAAAGTCATGACTTTTTTCAGAAGCAACCGGTGCAGGATGCGAAGGTGTACTTCCTGCGGACCGTTTTGCATGACTGGCCGGACAAGCAGGCCATCCAGATTCTAGGGAACCTCCGCGATGCGATGAGTCGGGAATCTATTTTGCTGATCAGCGAGATCATGCAACCCGAATCTGGGGTGCCTTTGCCCTCGGTCCTATCCGATATGCAAATGATGGGCTCGTTCGCTTCATTAGAGCGGACACAGGCGCAATGGCAAACACTGCTGAAAGCAGCCGGGTTCGAGCTCGTTCAGGTCTGGCTATCCGACAGGAGTCCGATATCTCAAGCAGAACAGCCCGCTTTACTTGAAGCTCGGGTCTCGGAATCCACAATTTAAGAGTTGGACAAGGGTGGGGTCGAAGCTACATAAGGCGATGGCGCGCAACACGGCTCAGATGTAAACAGCGGAGGACGCGTACGCTCGCTAAATCCGGACATTTCGGAATCAGTTCTTCCGCGTTCTTTGACTAAAGTGCACAGTACTAGATCCACGAGACATCTGGCTTCCGGGTCATTTTATTATTATTTTTTTTTGCCTAATTTCAAAGAGTGACAATATAAGAATGAATTCAATACTTAGGTATAGAAATTACGAAGTTTGCCAAGAAACTCGTACAGGCAACCCCATCGGTGACGAGCCTCATGGCGGGTCAAGTGGCGGAAAATGAGTTTTACTCGGCTCATCCACGCTGACGACACCTTGGCGAATACGAGTCCCTGGTCAAATTCCGCCGTGATCTCCGCCCGGGTTAAGAATCAAGATAGGACCTAAGACGTAGATTTCATGGTCAAATTAAACACTTATCCAGTCTAAGCCATGCTCTTATCACCGAGTACGCCACATTTACATTTCAGTAGATCGCGGGAAAGTCGGGGTTTACCGTATTGGGCAATTGACCACACGAGGTCTGTGGCTGATTTCGTTTCCACTCCGAACACCGCCCCGGCCTCCCCTCAATCTTTCTTCTTCATCTCCTCCCCTCTCTACATCTCCCCGCTGCATGGTGTATATACCCCCTTTCATCCCGTCGTTACACTCGTTATCCTATCCTCCCCGCCCCCTTTCGTACCGCTATCCCTAAACGCCGAACCTCCCGGTCCCGGTACGACCGCTTGCATTTTGTATATACGCCACCGAACACATACGATTGTCCTGAGTTTGATCTAGCCATGCGATTCTCTCTCCCTAGCCTCCTGGGGCTCTACGGGTTGCTCTCGACCAGCGCCATCACCCTGGTCCGCGGAGAGACCAATACCACCTTCATGAACGTGCGAGAGAATGTTGTCAAAGACTATGAAACTGAAGGCTCTATCCCCACGACAAAATACTTCAGTAAGTGCTCGATTGCGATCTTCGATAATCTGCAAGCCCTGGTGCCGAACTTAAAAAAGGAATTCCAACTGACTCGTGGGTCTTAGCGGAATCTTCGTATGTCACACCTGGAAGAACGAACTCTGGTATATGATACTAACCTGGACATCACAGCTTCCACTATCACTACGACGGCCGGTATGCGCGACCATGTCGATCCTTTCTCAGCCTGTGCTAATGGTGTCACAGATTTGCGACCAAACAACTGCCGGACCATGATGTCACGCCCCATCTCTCCGCCTTGATACAAACGTACCTCACGACCATGGACTCCATCGGCGCGGAGACTTGGATCATGCACGGCTCACTTCTTTCGTGGTGGTGGAATCAGAAGGTGGGAATGTTCCGAGCGTCCTCGAGATATTGCATTTGCTGACGACCGGCACAGCTTTTCCCCTGGGACAATGACCTCGACGTGCAGATTTCGGAACCGACGATACATTTCCTGGCCGATTACTATAACATGACAGAGCACCACTTCGACCTTCCCGGCGTCACGGACGGCCGCACATACCTTCTAGAAATCAACCCCAACTACGTCGTCCGCAGCACCAAAGATCGACTGAACGTGATCGACGCGCGATGGATCGATATGTCCTCTGGTCTCTTTATCGACATCACCGCTGTGCGAAAGGACGACGCTAAGCGGGCAACCGGTCAGAAGGGTGCGCTGATGTGCAAGGACCGCCATCACTACGAGGAGGACCAGATCTTCCCGTTGCGCCAGAGCTATTTCGAAGATGTGCCCGTCAAGATCCCCTACGCCTATACCGAGCTGCTTGTGGAGGAGTACGGCTCAAGGTCTCTGTCGAACAAGAAGTTCCAAGGGTGAGTTTTTTTCCCCACCTTGCTTCCAACTTGAACGTGAGCGCTAATTATTTCCAGGCATGAATTCAACGAAGATTCCAAGCTCTGGGAGAGATCTCTGTAAGTTTCCAAGGTTTCTCCATTTTGCGATCCGTGGATCCCTGGGCTGACCTGTATGTAAAGTAACATGGCGAAACGCTTTCTCCGACGAGGCTGGCGAGGCAATGACCTGCCTACTCGATCGGCTAGTAACGAGCCTCTCATTCGCTTTGACGAGGTTTGAAGACATTGTCTGTGGATATGTTATTTTGCATTCATGGTGCATTTCGAGCTTTGCATTGTGACCGTGACAAGCTTAGGAGCTTTCTCCTACTCTTTCCCTTTGCATTTAGACGGCGTTGGACTTTTGGATATCTGCATAGGCACCCGGGAATCTATATCGGATCCTTTTTTTTGTTTATGATTACAAGCTATGTACATAACTATTCATGAGAATCTGTATATTTGTGGAACTCCAGGGCTCGAGTGACTTCTATGATTGAAGGCTGCTAGCACCAACATACGTAACTTTTTTCCGACATCGCACGTGATAGATGCCAGATGTAACAACCTTGTACTGTACATTCGAGTAAGGTTTGATCAGATACGACGAGATCTTCGGCGACGGACTCGGGGATAAGTAGACTCCGAGAAAGTAGCAGGCCCAGACCGAGCTGACTCACTAAAAGTCACATGTGGGTTTTGGGTTTGGCCCCCAGAAACCCTGGCAAACTCGGTCAAGTTCGACATCTTTATGCGCTTCTAAGATCCATGATCCATGGAAGAATGAGGCGATACCTGCGCCATGTATCACTCAGCTTCTCCGGAGGGGTTGAATGCCTCCCCCACTGCCAGTGATAATTCTCCAAATGCTCTCCACGCACCCACCGCCCCCCGCCTTGCCCCAGATGCCAGCTCGCGGAGCTGTGTCACTTGTCGCCGTCGCAAGGTCCGCTGTAACAAGCGGTCGCCTTGTTCCAATTGTATCAAAGCTGGCACCGACTGCATCTTTCCCCCGCCTGGTCGTGCCCCGCGCAAGTCCAAACGCCCGCCCGATGCGGAGCTCCTTTCCCGCCTTCGTCGCCTCGAGGGCGTCATCGAGCATTTGAGCGGGAAGAACCCGGAGGCCGCTTCGACTTCGGTTTCGCCGACTCAGCCTCCATCTTCGGGAATCCCGTCTGTTGGTTCTAGTGCTACAGCTGCGACGTCGACTGCGATGGCTCCACAGCCAGCTGTAGCCCCTGCGGACTCTAAAGATTCGACTGGATGCCCGTTTGAAAACGACCCCACAAAGTTGAATACTGGAAAGTTTGAAAATGAGTTTGGAAGACTGGTTATCGATGAAGGGAGGAGTCGATATGTTAGCAATCGACTTTGGGCCAGTTTGGGAGATGAGGTATGGCATTAGAAGATACCCTTTGACAAGTATGAGATAAACTGACATCTTTCAGGTCGAAGAGCTGCAGGATATCCTAGATAATTCCGAATCCGAGGAAGAGGATTATCCATCACCAGAGTCCTCTCACTCCGGTTCTCATGATGGATTCCTCTTCGGCTTTTACTCCTTGTCGCACTCTCTTCGAGAGTATCATCCACCATTTCCCAAGGTGTCCGTCTTCTGGGACATCTATAAAGAATGTGTTGCTCCCTTGATCACCATTGTTCATAAGCCAACCGCAAGGAAGCTGTTGGTTGAAGCGGCGCGGAATCCTGATTCCTTGGATAAGAATTCAGAAGCTTTGGTATTTTCGATATACCTGTCTGTCATTGTGGCTCTAAGTCCCGCCGAATGTCTTGCAAACTTCGGAGAAGATCGCACCCTTGCTGTCAAACGGTACCGCTTTGCCGTGGAACAAGCACTGGCGAAAGCCAACCTGCTAAACACCCAAAGTATGGTACTCCTGCAAGCAGCGGTTCTCTTCCTGATCTGCATACGCAGAGAGGATGATTCCAAGTTTGTGTGGTCTATGAACTCCATAATTCTGCGCCTCGCTCAGGGCTTAGGCCTGCATCGCGATGGCACGAATTTCGCCTTAAAGCCATTCGAGACGGAGATGCGCCGACGGTTGTGGTGGCATATTTGTCTCATGGACACTCGCTCCTCGGAGGATCATGGGACCGATCCGCTCATTCATGACAGCATGTATGATACTCGTCTTCCGCTGAATGTCAACGACGACGACATTTATCCAGAGATGACGGAGACGCCCACGGAACGAGAGGGCTGTACAGACGTGACGTTCTGTCTGGTTCGCTGTGAGATCACTTGCGCGTTGCGGCGAGCAAACTACTCTTGCCCGGGAAGTCGAGCATTCAAAATGGTGGGCGCCACCGGGCCATCGATTGAACGTTGTGAGAAAATGATACAGATCATCAGCAGTCGTGTTGAGGAACGGTACATCAAGCACTGCGACATGAATATCCCCATTCATTGGGCATCTGCGACAGTCGCCCGGTTAATCCTCGCAAAGCTCTGGCTGATTGTCCATCACCCGATGACTCGCAAAGACCGCATCGCCAGTGTATCCCAGGCAACTCGCGAAAGCTTGTTCCTCACCGCAATCGAAGTTCTTGAATTTGGCCGTCTGCTTGAATCCGACCCCAAGACTGCTAAATGGGGTTGGCTATTCCGTACCAATATGCAGTGGCATGGAGTCGCGTTCGTTCTATCTGAAGTATGCGTCCGTCCGATCTGTCCTGTCACCGACAGAGCCTGGAACGCCATCAGCTCGCTTTATTCAGACTGGACTCTTCAGGCCACTCACAAGAAAGGCATGCTCTGGCGTCCCCTTGCTGCGTTGATGAAGCGAGCAGCAGCGACGCGATCCAAGCAACAGGAGGAACTACGAAACAAGTTCGGACCGAACCCCACAGCTTACAAGTCTACCCCCAACGACTTCGCCACTAGCCATCAGCACACACTCCCGCAAATCCATATGCCGACCACTTTAAACGCTGAACCCGACCAAAATGCCCCACTGAATCCAACGAGCATCGATCTCACCAAAGGAGCCTGGGATACGTTGCAGTACATGTTCCCCGATACAAACCTCCTAGCTCCAGTAACCCTGGATAGCCCCCCAGTTCAAGACTCAATTTCCGCAGTCAACATTCCGACTGGACTACCATTATTCAACACCCCCTTGAGCAACTCCTTCATGAACCAGGAGAACATCCCCGAGACAAACTCTCTCAGCTGGGAAGAGTGGGACAAAGTCATGCGCGATTTCCAAATGGACGTTGAAAGAGAAGACGAGGCTGCCCCTGCGAATGGGACCCACGTTACAGAATGGTTCGCATAATCTTGTCGTTGACTGGAGACCTGCACGGTTCTATTTTCGGGCGTTCATCAATAGATGTCTCGGTCTTTTGTCCTTTGCTCCGGCGACTTTCTTTTTTTTTACGATGTGATGATCTACGGCGTTCATGTGATGGGTCTTGGACTTCCCCTTATTCCTCCACTCAATGTTTAAATATCCCTCTTCTCTCTGCAGAATACTTTGATATACCGTCTGCTGCTTGTGCGGAGCTTCTTGAAGTATGAATTCAATGTTAACACAAGTTTTGTGGCTTTTTCTTTTTTCTTTTTCCTTTTTTACTGTCGCGTGTAGTTTGCTATTACTCTCGAATGTAGCTTATATATCAGATATTGCAAATATTATGGATTGGTAAATTCTAAGGTTTTTCTGTCAGTATGACGCAGATTGAAGTCCGCGGGTCGGATGAATTCATCTGGACGGGCTAGTCAAGGCTGGTGTTCACCCATACAATACAAGACCAAAATGAAAGCAGGGTTAAAGAGCCAATCGCTTAGACCGTTTCACTGGATTAACATAGTCTCATCCTTGTACTCCGTAGCCCCAATAACTCAAGTATACTCCGCAGGTGGACCGGTATCAGCCACGTGACCCGCGATAACGAAGCTCCAAGCTGGCATCAATTGATCTTCCCTTTCCCCACGCCATTGTATCCGCCAGCGACGTCGAATTCCCGGGAGAGTCCAGCGCCCAATCTCAAAGTCCCGAGAACACACTCTAACAATCATCTCTCCCGCCTAAATCCGCACCCTCAATTCCCGCAAGTATGCCTGCCAAACGACACGCGGCCTCAACTACCTCCGCATCAACAGCATCGACGCCCGCAACCCTCTCCTCCGGCCCTGCTACTCTGAAAACCAATGCCTCGGCCGCTCAAATCGCCCAGCATGTGTGGCAGCAGTATCTCACCACGACGCCGCAACGTACAATGCTCCTCGACGCTTTCATGGCTTTCCTAGTTCTCATCGGCGGGTTGCAGTTCTTGTACTGCGTGCTGGCTGGAAACTATGTATGTCTTCTCCTGAGGCTCCAACGAGGGTCTTACAGGGTCCCCGTTATGTCTCAATCAATGAGCTGTATACTGACTGGACTTTTCAAATCTATAGCCCTTCAACGCCTTCCTGAGTGGCTTCTGCGCCGCCGTCGGCCAATTCGTGCTTACTGCTAGTCTCCGTATGCAGACAAGTGATGATTCTCGAGCTGTTACGAGCAAGCCTAGTTCCAAGGGAAAGAACGCTCGGTTTGCAGACGAAGATGTCGAGGAAGAGGGACCTGGTATTTCGCATGAGAGGTGAGTTCCACATCTTTCCTTGGATTCTCAGTATTCTTCCCATCGCCAGCAATAATTCAGTGACTAACCCATACTCTGAACAGGGCTTTCGCCGATTACATCTTTGGAAGCCTGATCCTACACTTCTTCTGCATCAACTTCATCAACTAAGCCGTTGATGACCTGTTTAAATACCTCGCATCAAGATACTCTTTCGCTTTCTCTGGCGCTGGTCCGTGATGGAGAGCTGGAAGTTCCTAGACCTGGTTTCTGGTGCTGGGCTCGGTCTTACTGCTCGCGAATACATACGGGAAGTGGAAACTATTGTACAGCAACGGCTAAGACCCGCGACGCTTGGTTCCATAGGTGTCGGGGGCTGTGTTGACATAGTTTGAATGACACGGTACGATGGAGTGGGGTCCATGTTATTGAACGTGTTTCTAGAAGAATCAAAATATGCATAACCATGACTTATTCACCCATGAGGTAATCTACTTTCGCCCATTTAAAACCTTCAGTATTCTATATCACTCGGGTATCTTGTTCCATATTCAAATGGCCCTGGATTTACCTCCCAGGATCATGTATCTAGATGTGCTTTTAGGTACTGTACAAGAGGATGCGTATATGTTCGGGATTAGAACGTCCGTCCTGGCCGGCGTGGTATCGTAGGTTTTTTTACAACGCTACCACCTCCACCACCAGGCCGTGACGAAGACGAAGCAGTAAGACCACCGACTTTGCCAGACCGTTTAACGACAGGACGCCGCACAGCAGATTTCCCTCCAACTTCAACCTCCGTCTTGCGGCGGGCGGGATCATTGCGTTCCCCCTCGCGTGTTTTCTGAGCTGCAGCGCGCTCACGATCCACGGCCATTTGCGCTTCAATGTCCATGCGCTTGTTGAATTCCAGTTCTGTCACACGTCGGTCGCGCTTTGAATAGCCCTTTTCTTTAACGGAGTAGAAGACACCTCCAAGTTCGGCGAGCCACTGGAGATGAGTTAGCTGGCGTGAATACAGAGATAGGTGGAGGAAAGACTTACGTGTGGGTCGACGGCCGTCACGGTCGACATGTACTCCTTGGCTGTCAGGATCAATTCGTGGTAGACTACGTACTCTGGTACGTAGCCGAGACCGTACAATGCACTGGTTGGGTGCAAGGCCATGGTTACACTAGTGCGGAGATTGATGAACTCGCCGATTCCCTTGACGCGCGCAGCTTGGTGGTAAAAGCCGGAGCAGATACATTTGCGGATGACATCCCAGTCGGTGCCACAACTGGACAACGGCATTTTCTGAACGGTCATGATATCCTGGAGCTGGTCACGGACTTCCTTGGCGCGTCGGAGGGATTTTGCATGGAGGAAGTGCCTGATACACCAAGCGTCGGAATAGCCATTTGACTTCCACTGTGTGTAAACATGAAGCAGAGTCAAATGGTCTGATTCGGGAACGAAAAATTTCTCACGGGCCGAGTCAGACTCTTCCTGGCGTTCCTTGGGCCGGTAGAATACACTTGGGACTGAGAGCATGGAGACGATGGTGAGCATCTCTTCGCCGCACTCGTATTCCTCGGAAGCTGTGATGAGGAGCTTGGCGAGGGGGGGATCCATGGGGAACGGTGTCATGCGACGACCCAAGTGTGTGAGTTCACCAAGGTTGTCTAGAGCTCCAAGTGCCCAGAGTTCGAAAAGGGATGTGCTAATAGTCTCCTGAGGTGGAGGATCCATGAAGTCAAAGTCCATAAGATCCTTGACACCCAGAGACTTCAGCAGCAGCACAGTGTTGGCGAGACTTGTGCGCTGGATCTCAGGAATTGTCTGTATGTAAAGCTCATTCTTATAAGCAGTCTCCGTGTACAGACGATAAGCCTTTCCAGGACCGGTTCGCCCAGCTCGCCCAGATCGCTGATTGGCATTAGCCTGGGAGATCGGTGTGATCTGAAGAGTGTCCATGCCCATGCGTGGGTTGTACACCTTGAGCTTCGAGTAACCTGAATCCACAACGTACATAATACCGTCAACAGTCAAACTAGTCTCGGCAATGTTCGTGGCCACGATGACTTTGCGCACGCCGGCGTCTGCCCTCTCGAAGATTCTTGCCTGTTGTTCCGCAGGCATTTGACTGTAAATAGGTAGAATACTGAGTTTTGGTGGATCATTCAGCATTTTTAATCGCTCTTCGACTAGTTCGCAGGTGGACTCAATATCCTCTTGTCCCGTCATAAACACAAGAATATCGCCCGGTCCTTGAGAAACATGAATTGCCAAGACCTGCTTGACTGCACTATCGACGTAATCCTCGCAAGGCGTGCGCGAGAAGTGAAGATCGACTGGGAAAGTTCTACCCGGGATGATGAATTCGGGGGCACCACCATAAAAGCGGGAGAAGCGCTCTGCATTCATCGTCGCGGATGTGACAATCAGCTTGAGATCTCTGCGCCGAGCTAGCACCTTTTTGAGAAGGCCCATCAAGACATCAGTATTCAACGCTCTTTCGTGAGCTTCGTCCATGATGATACATGAGTATTTATCAAGGTCTTGCTGAGTCAAAGACTCTCGCAGAAGTACACCGTCGGTCATATCTGTTCAAAAGCATGTAAATGGCTTGTTCGCATCTTAGAAGCTTGTCCGTGCACTCACATTTGATCATGGTCTTGTCACTAGTGCAATCTTCGAAACGAATAGCATAGCCGACCTCTGCACCAAGTTCAACGTCCATCTCCTCACTGACACGTTTTGCGACACTCATAGCCGCCACACGGCGGGGCTGCGTGCATCCAATCATGCCAAATTTCGAGTAACCGTCTTCGGCAAGGAATTGGGTCAACTGGGTAGTCTTTCCAGAGCCCGTTTCGCCAACCACCACCACGACCTGGTTATCGCGAATAACTCTTAGGAGATCTTCACGTACTGCAAATGCAGGTAAGAACTCTCGCTGCTCGCGCAAAGTCTTGCTTTTGCTGAACGCGCTGGCGCCGCCCTCATCCTTTTTCATATGCCGGGCAAACTTATTTCCACCACCCTTATAAACTTCCTCAACCGGCGCTGCAACAGCACTGTCGCCTTCGTCCTCGTTGACGCCTGTCAAATTGCCCAAGGCTGTGCCAGCCATAGACGTAGCCTGCTGAGCCTGCTTCTGTCGCTCGCGCTGTTGCCGGCGATCTCGGACCACCTTACTACCCTTTCGGCTGAAGACAGCCATGTCGCTTTGGGGGTCCCGGATGGCAGAGATCGGCTCGAGCTGTTTGGTGAAAATCGTACGGCCATCGAGAAAGGGTGGTCGGAGGTCGTGAACTAATAAATGAACTCGAGTCGCCTCTTCATCCTCGGGCATAAAGTCGCCATCAAAGTCTCGTCGCTGTGCAACACCTGACGTGAGCATGCGATTCGTTTCCCAGTTGTCAATGTCCTTGCGTTTCGCGTCTCGCAGTTGAGGTGGGAGGTTCCCAGAGCTCTTCTGCCTTTTGGCTGGCGGTCCCATTTCGTCGCGCGCCATGCTGGGATATTTGGCCAAATCCGTCGGCCAGGTTCACCGGAGTCGTAGTGAGTTGATATCTGGGAGAGTTCGAGCTCGCATGGCCAACGCCCAGTCGTTGGAAATCATGAGCAAACAGTGCAAACTGTTATCAATCACGTGATATTGGCACTCTTCTGTGCAGTCGCGTAACTGATGTCAATTGCCTTGCATTTTTATTTTGAAGAAGATAATGTAGTATGAGAGTATATTCCTAGAATACAGGACTTTTAAAGCACTCTTATCTAGAAGGATTGTTTACGGTTAGTAGTGACCTGTAGGCGAACGTCCCATAGTGGCGGCCGAGCCCGCGAAATCAAGCAAGCGCCCCGCATTGTCATCTCAACTTTTGAGCTCTTTACGCTGCAGTTGCCTTGAGCCCTCACACATTCACCATGGCTAGCCAACAGCAAGTGGATCCCAAGAAGCAGCAGGGTAGGCCCTGTCCAGCCCATTGGACGATGTGACGGCGCGGTAGCTAACTTCCCTCATCACAGAGCTGCAGCTCCAGTACGGAAACTTCAAGAACACCCTTCAACAACTCGCGCAGAAGATTGGCGATATTGAACAGGAGGCTGAGGAACACAAGTGAGTCTCAGGGACCTAGACGCTGGCGAATTTAGGTTCTCAGGAGGAGTTCGCATTGGGACCCGCCCAAGAGGACACTGGACTCGGCGCTTTGCGTGGCGATGAATGCTAATTTGTCACACGTATAGGCTCGTTATCGAGACATTGGACCCTCTCACCGATGACCGCAAATGCTTCCGTATGGTGAACGGAGTTTTGGTCGAGGGGACCGTGAAGGATGTCCTCCCCACACTCAAGACAAACTCGGACGGATTGAAGCAAGTACTGGAGGAGATGCTGAAGCAGTACAAGTCCAAGCAGGCTGAGCTGGATACCTGGAAGGTAAGCGCATTCCCGATCATGAGGGCCTATAGCCCCACCCCGGGCAAGGCACTCGTGTATCTTTGTCAAGAAACCATGACCAGATATTGACCGTTTTGCGCTTATTACAGAAGAAGAACAACATCCAGGTTGTGCAGCCCTGAGCAAAGCCACCCTTGTATATCTTGATTCCCGGCTTTCTCTGGGGACTGTCTGAGCGTGTGAGCAAGATACTTTTGGCGTTTGTGGGAATGGTACAAAACTAGACAGAATCTAGCATGGTTTCTTTTCATCATAGCTGGCTGAAACTTCCGAAAAAATAATGCCAGTTGACGTGACATTCATGGATGACATTCAGTACAATCTCGAGTATAATATTAATCTACGGCACCAGCTTATTAGCATCACCACTGAAGTATGATGCGCTTTGAGAATCAAGCCACGAGGTACACATCAAGGCTTTCAATGCCCAAATACCGGGCTTAATGGTTGCTTTTCCACCGCTTCAAAACGTGTTGAGTTATGTATGCATGCATGCTACGTGATGCAAGCCCGAGTGCCTGAATCTGCAGACCAGTTTCGTCAATCCCTGGGCAACCCAGCTTGCCGGGCACGATCGGAACATCCCATCGCCATATTACGGATTTATTATCTTCAAAATTCCGATGAGACGTAACTAAGAAAGGGATCTCGGTGCATTTCATATTGGTATTTAAATTACGATTTTTTACATGAAGCGCAGTACAGATTTGAAGTATGTAAGGTAAGATAAGTACCGGAAATACTGCCTGAGGCCTTCCGCGATCGGAACCTCTTCTTTGCCTTTGCCCTCTTTCCTTTGGAACTTATTGACTTCTATCATTGATCGGTGTTGATTTTCAGGTTCACTGAAGCTTTACATCGGCATTTTACCGTGATAGACATTGTTTTTCGAGCTTTTGGTATCTACTTGGTAAGGAGCCAACCGAAAGCCTCCTGTGCTGAGGGAGATCTGGTTCGCCAATTGACCTCAGGCTGGATGAACGCGGACCCTCCAACCACTTGCAACTCCGCTCTGACCATTTCCCATCTCAGAACGAATCGGAGATCCTGAAATCTACTTCTTCAGTCCCTCTATACCCCAGTGAACTGTAAGTCCATATTACCCCCCGGGATATTACCCAGCGCGTGCGACTGTTGGGCTTCCCCCTCACCCCCCAATCCCCGACCCACCTCGTTGCTTCCCGCGTCATAAAGCTCACGAGGGTTCATTCGACCCAACCCGTGAGGCGCGCATTGTTATTTGCACTGCAGTGCGACGCGATCGCGTTTCGCGCCCTTCATATTCAATCTATTTTCAGCCCCCGGAATCCCAGTCTAACCGGGTCATTGCGCGCGTCGCAAATACAGCTCACGCCTTATTGCCAAATCCCCCACTCGGCTGACACTGTCAACTGTCCGAGGCTGCTGTGAAGCGGTTCGTACCCAGCCACTGCACCCCCTCCTTTGACCCCAGCGAGTCTTGGGCTTCTGCATCGGATCCGATCGCGCGCCAGTTCAGAGATCTGACGTGGTCCTGCCCAGAGCGAACCAGCCTTGTCGCCCAAAGGACCTGCGCGAAATCCGAACCACTCATAATCATGTCGTCGACCTCTCCCTCGAAAGAGCCAGATGTTGAACCCGAGGTGCAATCGGGTGAAGACCAGGAGCAAATGGACAAAGATCAGCAAGACCAGATACATGGACAGGGCGAGTTTGAGGTGAAGGAACAAGATCGGTGGCTTCCGATTGCGAATGGTTAGTTACGTCCCCTTGCAGGCTTTCTGTTGATCTGATTTGCGCGTACCTGGCTACTGGCTGGCCACTGCCGTTTACTCCTTCTTGCCAGCCCCGCCTTTCCCACCTTTCCAGAAGCTTTTCTGATCGCCTGTCCTTTTACGTTCTCTATATGCTGTTCATTTGACTGTGCTGCTTCTTTTGGGCGAAATGTTGCACATGCCAAGGAGCTCTCTTTTATGAATGTTTTCCGCCCTGCTCTTATGGCTGTCGCATGACCACTCCATGACTTCCATGTACTTTGCGAACGGTGATCATGGAACGACCATACTAATATCAGCACTCTACAGTTGCCCGTATCATGAAGCTGGCTCTGCCTGACAATGCGAAAATAGCAAAGGAAGCCAAGGAGTGCATGCAAGAATGCGTGAGCGAATTCATCTCGTTCATCACCAGTGAGGGTGGGTTTTCCGCTTCGTTTTATAGAAGATCGACTAATTACTCGATCAGCTTCGGAGAAGTGCCAGCAAGAGAAGCGCAAGACCGTTAACGGCGAGGATATTCTGTTTGCGATGACCTCGCTCGGTTTCGAGAACTATGCCGAGGCTCTCAAGATCTATCTTTCCAAGTATCGCGAGGTCAGCCCCATCCTGCCCTGACCTTTTTACGGCCTGATGCTGACTGTAGTTTAGACCCAATCTGCACGAGGCGAGAACCAGAACCGACCCCCGAGCAGCGGCTACGGTGCTGGAGGTCCCGTCGGAGGCGGTCAGGGTCGTTTCCCTGAGGGTGCCGAGGGTGCCAACGCCATCATGAACCCAAACATGGACCCCTCTGAGCAAGACACCTCTGCGTATGGCTATCCCGCCATGGTTGGCCAGCCTCACAATGGCGCCGGAGGAGATTCTTACTAAACCAGACCCAAAGTTTCCGGGTCCAAGAATGGAAGCGTGAGGCGCGCAGGCGTCCTTGGTTCCTTTCTCCCATGTCTACTAGCGTCATATGCTAATCTCTCGGTGATTTGACGGATGCGGGCTCGGCGAATTCATTGATACTTTGTTCGGGGAACGTATGGACTCTCGGCTTTTTGCGTTATACCTTTACGAGACCAATACTCGACAGATTTGGAGTTCTGGGAATTGGGCGGACAAATGATCTAGGCAAATTTGTATTTAGGACCGTCTAGAAAGAGAGGTCTATAACTATACTTCAAAATCTCCGCTTCTGATGCACGATAAGCCCGTTATCAACGCCACCGGGATTGGCCACACATTGCAGATTGGCCACGTAGAATATCTAGGATATCTCGGGCATCTAGGATATCTAGGTCTCATTTTGGGTATATCTAGAACTAACCTGCAAACTCCAAACAATCGTAGTTTTCGCGTTACATAATCGAGCTTCTCCGCATCCACGTGAGCCCTAGACTCCACACCCGATCCCGCAGTCCTCGACTTCCCGAACTTTTTCGTTGTCCCCAGTCGCATTGACTGCCCTTTATCCTCGGTAATCGTTTGACACGATGCCCTGAACCCTATTCGACTGAGAATAATGCAGAGCCGTGGCCAAATCGCACATGGAATGATGTCGATGGTCCTCCTGCCATGTCCTCCGTCAACGATAACGCCTCCTCGCCGCTCGCGGGCGATGGGGTGAGCAAGCGCAAGCAAGGTAAGTCCTCTGTGATCTACTCGGGCTCTCAATTCACGGCGCCGGGGGCTTTAAAGATACTTTGCTTCAACTGCCGGGCCTTTCAACGCCGGTGTAGATCACCAGATAGCTGACCAGGTGACTCAAAAATAGGCTCCGCCGCCTGCGTCCACTGCCACCGGCGCAAGGTCCGCTGCGATGCCCGTATGGTCGGAACCCCCTGTACAAACTGTCGCACATCTGGAAAAACCGACTGCCGTATTCACGAAAAGAAAAAGCGTCTGGCAGTGCGTTCAATCCTCGACCCTGTTCCGATCCGATCTCGGCCTCTCCCGACTTCTGAACTCGCCGCCATTCCCTCAACGACAGCTGGCACGCCTCAACCGCCAAGCTTTCCCACTGCTTTCCAAGGTGGCCCCGCGACAGCACCTCTTGCAAGCCTTGCAAGCAACTTACCGCCACAAACATTCTTATCGAATGCCGCGCCGGAGAATTTCGGGCGCCAAGGCCCGGATCTGTCGCATGCCCACGAGGCACATACGGAGATGGAACAACACCTCGTCAAGCTTATTGATGAGGAAGAATCTGGCCGAAGAGAAATCCAGAGAGGTGTGCGCGCATTTTATGTGGGGCATGAGCATTCGAATATGTCCTTCCTGATTCGCCAACAACGAGATCAGGACGACAATGTATATCACTTTGCAAGCAATGAGATCCCGCGACGACAGACGAAAACCGTTCAGGATCAGCTATTGATGGATGCATTGACTCTACCCGAGCCGGCTCTGGCAGATGAACTGGTGCAGGCATACTTCTCTTGCGTCAACCCGGGATATCCCATTATTGACGAAGACCTCTTCATGACACAATACCGGAACCGCGACCCGTCCGATCCACCGCCCATCTTGCTGCTCCAAGCTATTTTGCTTGTAGGAGCACACGTCACCCGCCCGAAAGTCGAGCGTGATGCCCTAAAAGAAATATTCTTCCGTCGCACGAAATACCTATTTGATAACCGTATTGAGCGCAATCGAGATATTCTCGTTCAAGCAGCTCTGCTTTTGACTTGGCATTCTGACAGTGCCGACGACGATGTGGCAGCAGATGCTCACTTTTGGGTTGGTGTGGCTGCACGAATCGCCACCGGACTTGGAATGCACCGCAATCCTGTGTCCAGTAGTTTTGTTACGCGAGACAGGCGCATGTGGAGGCGAGTTTGGTTCATTATGGTACAGTTCGATGTGATGGTCTCACTTTCATACGGCCGTCCTCAAGCTATCAACTTGGACGACTCCGATGTGTCTCCTCTGACGCTTGCGGACTTTGAGAACTGCGGGCTTCGTGTGCAATCCGAGTTTGTAATTCACTTTACAGAACTTTGCACTATGATCTCGTATCTCATTCGGGATCGGTTCGGACTGCGTGCCAATGATGAACGCCGGAAAGCTGTCCTTCAAGAAGCCGATGAGTCCTTGGCAAGTTGGTCATTGAAGCTTCCCGATAATCTCCGTCTCCGAGCATCTGACATGGATCCTTGGTCTGCTATGCTTCATCTTACCTACAACAACTTCCTGATTCTGCTGCATCGGCCTCATCCACGAGCCTCTGCATACTCGGACGACTACGGCCCTCACGACGCGGAGATTTGCAGCGCTGCTGCCGGAGTCATCGCTTCTATCTTCGAGGAGCTTAGACTCAACGACCGGCTCAAGTTCCTCTGGTACACAGGTGTTCATACTCTGTTCACAGCCATGATTCAAGTCCGTGTCGAGCTACGATTCTCAAATCCGGTCCTGGCGATCAATGCCTTGCGTCGTTTCGATTCGGCATCTTATTCGCTCCGGGAACTGGCTCAGTACTGGGTCCATGCAGGTACAATCCTGCGACTCTTTGAAGACTCCAAACGTCTACAGGAAGACTTGCGCACGGCTACCAGCGATCGATCTAAGCCATATAACGGTGCTTCTAAAATACCAGTCACAACGCCCGATCCGACAGCGGCTATGCAGGCTGTACAGACACCACGGCCACTTTCCTTCGGCGTTCCTACCCCAGAATCTAGCCATACACCGATGCAAGCAACATTGTCGCCGCAACCACCCCAGCCGCAGTTTGATAACTGGATCACTGCACCACTTCGGCTCAATGTTGGTCCACTGGAGCGGAACGACCCTTATGCCAATACGATGCAGGTGGACTCCATGGAGCAAAGCCGCGACTATCCTGATTGGCGCCAGCTCTTCTCCTTTGCAGATTCCGAATTGCCCCCACCCATGCCCATGGAAGGACTCATGGAATTAGAAGACGAATGGCGGCAGATCTATTGGCAAGATATCCCAATGGCGGATCTCATGCAGGACGGAGGCTGGATCCCCGGCTAGACTTTCCGTTGTAAATACCCCGATGCTGTCTTCAGTAATCATTCGGGAAATCTGATCTTCATACCTTCTCCGACACGACATTCCTGGGAAGTCAAAAGGCTCGAGGTCTTCCCTTGCACTATTTTCTCCTCCAAATACGCTACTGTGACCCCACGATGAGACGAGATACGCAGAGCACAGACTTGCACGAGGCTCTACATACAGGCTTTGCACATGATACCATGTCGTCAACGACTACCTTCACCCTTCTATAGAGATATACATTGTTCTATAATTGCCAGAATACTTACAGGGTTTCATTCATCACTGATCATTGTTGATTTCGTCTCCAGCTCCAGATAAAGCCAGACGCCATGCAAACAAAGTGTATATCAGAGCCATCCATCGCTAGACCGTAGACCTTCGAGCCTATTCCCATTAGCCAAAAACAAACCGCTTCCAATTATCCGCAAGCAGCTGCACTCCATGCCTTAACTCCCACCCTCGCAAATCGCAGATCTGCCGCGTCACTTCCTCCAGCAAGTGATCCATCTGCGGCCCGGCCACATGCAAGTCACTTTCAACCAGAACGCGATCATCCGGCAAGGCCCTAATCACATCACAGACCTTCTTCGCCTGCGGCCCGCTGAAATTAATCGCCGCGGAAAAAGAGAAGTAGACATCCGATGGGTTCGCCCTGTTCAGGAACTGACGGATCGGCTCAACAGGCCCGGAGTAGGAATGCATGCAGATCCGGGGAGGGAACGGAGCAGATGAGCGGTTACTGGATTTACGCGCTTTCTCTTTTTCTTTCTCGTCGTCGGAAAGTGCCCCTTCTGCGTCTTGTTGTCGCTCCCTTTCTCGTCGGGACATCACGATTCGTTCGTGGCCGGCCCAGAGTTCTTTCAATGTTTCTAGGACTGCGCCGTGTGCTTGGACGCTGTGTACGGAGACTGCGCGGCCCATTTCTCCCGCAAGACGGAGCTGCGCGCCTAGTACGGCTCGTTGGTGCTCCATTTTCACCCTGTATGGTGATAGACGACGTCCTTCGCGTGATCCTGGCGTGAGCTGGGCGTCTCGGTTTTCCAGGTCTTGCGGTGTCCAGGAGCCGGGTAGTCTGAATGACTTGTCTAACCCAATCTCACCTACAAGGGCATTGGGGAACTGCTGTAGGCGGTCTCGTGTTTCCGATATCAGAGCTGAGAGTGCCTTTGGTGTTGGAAGGTGCTTGATGAACTCTGGATCATCGGGTGTCGGCGTAAGAACGGCTTTGTAGTGGGCTTCTTTTTGCACCGGGCTTGATGGTGAGTCGTCCATGATCTGGTGTGAGAACCACGGATGCCATCCGAAGCAAGGTAGTACCTTGTGAGCTTCATTGCCATTGAGTGACTCGGCTATCTGCTGCACGAGCTCTTGGTCTTCCCCGCGCGTGGCCATGACGGTCAATGTTTTGGCTTTCATGGCGGGGATGCTGGCCACCGCCGCCATGGTATCGGTAGGGTGACAATGGGCATCATGGACGCCAATGTCCCAGGGAAAGTCATCTTGTGACATGATGAACACGAGAATGAGCAGATGAATCCTCGGCCCCGGATGATGTAAGTGGGGATGTCACATGCATCTCCGCATCGCAAGTAAATAAACCTTCAACTTGAAATCTTGAAATCTTGAACCTTGGAACACTTTCTCCTTGATGAGGCTCGTCCCTCAATGTGCGCCCTCGTGAAGACCGTGTTGGCGCTCCCGGTCCTGGGCCTTGTCTCGATCCCACTACTTCTCTCAGCATGGGTGACCATTTCCTTCGCCCTGCTCACCCTATGCGTTCGTCTGGGCATCGTGTACATCGAGCTGGTCTTAGCATTCCTAGTCAATTTCTTCACGCTCCCAATATCATCTTCATCCTTTCTGACATTCGCTCCATCTGAGCCTCCGACACCAATCGCATCAAGAAGGAACTCGGGATATGGGCCCATCCAGTCTCACAGAAGCAATGACTCTCTTTTAACATTGGGGCTTACCCACGATGAGAACTCCAAGCCCAGGCAGAAGAGCTACGCGCGCAGCATGGTCGAGGCGCATTTACCCGCGACTCCGTTCATCGACGAAAGTCGAGACTTCGAAGGTGTCGGTGGCTGGCGCTCGTATCACGACTCGAAACGGCGCGGATCTCACACGAATGAAAAACCACTGAGTTCAACCTCATCCTCAGCGCCGAGCATCGCAGGCGAGGTCGACATCGACGACGAAATCGACGATGAACTAGCTTGGCTATCACTGAATCATAGGCTTGAATTACCTTCTCAAATCATCGCTTTAGGATCCGCCGCAGGATCAACTGTCCATAGCCCGATCCTCAGTCCGCGCAGCGTGAACAATTTCCACGCATTCATGCCTGCGTCTTCGAGGGTTCACCACGCACAGCCTGAACAGAGACACCATCATCGCTCACATACAACGTCATCATTGACTACATCTCACCGTCGAACTGGAGGCGGTCTTTCTCTCGGCCTTTTATCAAGACGGGATCAGTCTCGAGAGAGTGGTCATTCTATTTCGCCATCAGCTTCGCGTGCTGCTCCCTTCATGACTCCACAGCCGTACTCACAAGCGCAGTCACGACCTCTTACCCGACCTGGAAATGGGGTTCATGTGAATGGACACTCGCCTAGAGATGGCTCGACTGACGGTACCTTTGGAAATGGCGGTGGATACTTCGCTATTTCGCGCCCTGGGTCATGGTATATGCCTTCGCTTTCGGGAATGGTGAGTCCCAGCACGAGTGGGTATACGACATCTGGAACGGGGTTGTCAAGTGAAGAGTCGTTGCATTTGACTCGCTTGGTGGCGCATTATCCTGCAAGCGTCAGACACCGGAGGCGGAGTATTTCGGGACCTCATGCGAGAGCAGCTGGGCTTGGAGAACGAGGATGACTTGTTGCAAGACTATTTACATAGCATGCAAATATTGGCGACGGAATGCCCTTACGATAATGACTTATGACAATTGCAGAATAATCGAAATCTCTTTTAAAAAAAAAAAATTCACAATCTATGTCTAACGAATATATACCTAGTAAAATTAAATAGGATAGTCCTACGGTGGTAAACACGGATTTGGACAAGTCACAATTCCAAAGAGAAAGTATACACGGCTTCAAGCACGCTCGATATCTCATATACCATTACACATGGCCAAATGCCACGACATACTCAAGTTCGCGACACCCTCTCGCGTTGATTGACTTCTTCCATTTCGGACAGGACGACCTTGTTGAAATCCTCCCATCCGTCAAGGTAGAGGTGGTGGCCGGCTCGGTTAATGACGACCACCTTGGCGGAACCTTGGTCATTGCGGCGCTCTTCTGGAGTGGCGTTGGCTAAGACTCGCTCTTTTTCTTCTTCGAGGCGCTTCGCAGCATTGTGTCCGCCTGAGACGTCCATCCAGTCGTGGTCACCGTACATAAAGACGATTGGGAGGCCGTTCTCGCGACGGGGTTCTTGTTCGGGGACGGGGGCGTCGGATGAGGGGATTGGGTGCGGGCTCGGCGCATCGGCGGGTGTAGATGCCGCCGCTGCGGACTTGCCGAGGATCGAGCATGAAGAGTTGATCGAGGTGCTGGGGTGCGGGAGAGAGTAGGAGGAGTCCGCCTGGATCATCTGTCGGCCGACGCCGTGGATACGGCGGATCAGAGGACTGCGGGCGAATGCGCCAGGGGCGAGAATGTACGCTAGAGCATACTCGCCGCTGCCACGTTGACTGAAGATTGAATAGGAGTAGTCGTGGAGTGCTTTGGCCTCGTCCGCTGGGAGGTGGGAGAAGCGGCGGGAAGTCCACCCAGATACGATCCGGGGACCCAGAGGACCGGTCCATCGTACCAGACTGAAGGGGGAGATGTTGGCATCCCACAGATAGGCGAACCATTTAGGCATGTTCCGGCGCGGCGGCCGGTTTTGGGCCTGGGGCTCGGGGTTGCGGCCCGTGATGAAACTGCCGTCGCTGGTTTTGGGTGCAGTTCCTGGTATAGCGCCAGAGGTGATTTCATTCTGGTCTTGCGTGAGCTCGTTGGCCAGCGTAGACTCGGTAGGCTCGGGGACATCCGCTGTCACCGCATATGGGTCCTCGGGGATACCCACCGGGGACGCCAGGATGAGCTTGTTGAGATGGCCGGGGTATTTGAGGGCATAGGCGACGGCCATATAACCACCCAGGCTGTGACCGAGCAGAGTAAAACGATCGATCTTGCGCTTAATACGCCATTCCTCCAGCGCATCAACGAACCAGGCCTCGGCCTCCCGGATAGCATCTTCTCTTTCTTTGGCCTTGATCTTGAAGGGCGGCCGGGTGCTACGACCCATGCCCAGCATGTCCAAAGCATGCAGTTGCCAACCCTTCAATCGACTAAGAGGCTCGAAATTTTTGTAAAAGAAGCCAAGTCCGGCGCCGTAGCCGTGAAGCATGACCAAATGTTGGTCTGCATCTTCGCCAACGCGCTCAACAGAGAACTCATTAAGAGCTCGATCTTTTCCACTCAGTTCCACCATGCTAGAGCTCCATCGACGGGGGCCATAGGGATCGTTGAGGGAGTTGGTCGAGATCTCGCCTTCTTGGTTGTGGTCTGCAGACTTCAAACTGCTCGGCGTGGAACCGTTGGGGAAGTCCGCTGTGTTACCGGTTTGGAGGTGGGTTGGTGGTTGGGCATGCAGATATGGAAGATAGGTGAGGACCTTATGCTCTGCAGCTGCAGCAGGGAGACGAGCCCACTGGGCTTTTGGTTAGCAAAATGTTCGGGCACATGCTTGGACGACTTCGCTTACCCATTGGCTAAAGCCTTCACGGTACCCCAACGGAAAGAATGAACTGGCGGCTGCAGCGCCTGCAGCGGCGCGCGCAGCGTAAGGGGTCCCTTCTTGGCCCTGCGTGTTACTTCTGCGCTGGTGGTGTTCTTGGTCCGATTCGGACGAATTCAACGATTCGGACGCCATTGTTGAGGATTGTCGAGGCTTCAAAGCGTAGGTGGCAAAGAGGACGGGGCGCGAAATATGCGCCCAGCGTCGCGAGACTGGGAGAAGAGCGAGACGGAAAATGTTGACTGTGCGAGATTCAGGTAGATGGATGGATGTAATGAGCAGACGTTGAGAGGCGAGGCTCATGAATTGCGCGTTTAAGACACGGAGACAAGCGGCGTGGCTTAACCCCGACAGGCAACCATAAGCATACGCAAAGTCGGTGGATGACAAGCGAAGGCCAAAGTTGACCCTGTGGGAAGTGATGTGTTATTCAAGTAGAGCAGTAACGGCGTACCAGCCCTAAGATGGAGAAGAATGAAGCCGAGGAAGACTATACAAGGCAAAAGTGGGTGAAGGCGGAAGATGATGTCGCCGATCTGCACGTCTTCAACTTCCCCTTCCGATTTCCGACTTCCTCCTTCACCATGACGATCATACCGGGCCGCATCGGCCGTTGAGATCTGACTATTCACATTATGGTTACACCCTTAGATCGTATCGTCAAGGGTGCAGTGCCTGAAGCCCGGGCGCCTGCGCCGGAGCCATTGCATGCTTCATCTGCCTCCCCGCCCTCAACGCCAGATCCGCTTGCCACGCTACCGTCGTCCCCTCCCCAGATCTACCTGAACCTCTTGATACTTGAAGCTTCGCTTCGAGCACAATATCTAGCTCTACGTGAGCGTCGTCGCCAAAACACTTTTTTCGTGCTCCTTCTGGCTACTTGGATTGCCTACTTTGCATACGCGCTGTTCCTTCGCCCGCGAGAAGATGGTCGTGGTGTCGGCGGCTCCGTGTATTGGGTGGTCGAGATGGGAGAGAAGGTCGCCCTGCTCGGTGGGGTGGTGACAGCTCTGTTGGTCTGGGGTACTGGACAATGGGAGCGTGGGATCCGGTGGCCCCGGCGCTGGCTCGCGGTCTCTAATCGCGGCCTCCGCGTCATGAATACCAAGATCATTGTGATCCGTGGTCCCTGGTGGCAGGAGCTTTTGTCCTATATCTCATTCCTCTTCCCCTTCTCTGTGCCCTTCTTTCCCTCTCCAACCGGCAACTTCCACTTCGTCGAGCGCCATTCCTCCGAGAAACGCGGTAGTCGGCAGCACTACCAGCAGTACTATAACGGCGGCGACGCCGAGTCCGGACTGGTAGAGGAAGACCTGAGTCCGGGTGGCGACTACATCCGCCTACTCTTACTACCGAAGTCGTTTTCCCCAGAGTTCCGCGAGAACTGGGACGACTACCGGACCGACTTCTGGGAGAAGGAGAATGAGCGTCGAACTCAGCTGCGCCATAGATTGCGCGAACGTGAGCGTCAGATTGCCCAGGCCGAAGGGGGTTGGCTCTGGCGGATCGGACTAGGCTGGCGCGCTTCTCAGCGCCGCCGTTTGATGGCAGCTACATACAATCGGTCTCTCGAGCCGGAAACCAAGCCCAGACTTCATCCTCACCACCAACATCAACCATCCATCTCCTCTAAACTCAGCCAGGAGCATCGTGCTCCTTCAATCCGGCGCGGTACTCGGTCCGAGTCATCTCATTCTCGCACCTCCTCTCGCAGCACCACTCCGGTTGATGCCGAGGACCGACCACCTTCCCGATCCTCAACATCGGGCCGTCCACGGCGTGGTAGTACTACTCCCTCGATGTCCGGTCTAGAAGCTAGTCCGCAGCAGCGGAAAAGAAAGGGGTCCAAGAGTCTGCGCCGCGGTCTGTCGCCTCTGACACAGGCGCAGATTCGCGAAGGTGTACGGACTCCGTCATTCTCGTCTGATGATTCTGGCATTTTACCTATGACCGAGAAGGATAAGGAGTCTATGCCAACCTCGGTGCCTGATCCGAATCATGCTGTTTAGATCACCAGATATCCCCACTGTTCGATATTCTCGTCTTTCTGCAGTATCCCACATGTTGTGTTGTTGTTAGAGAGCTCTATGTATCGTTTTGGCTCTACATGGCCTCTTACCCCGTCTATAGATACCACAGGCTGTGTTTGCAGCTAAAAGATCATTCTTGTATGACCTCCATTTCATCTCAATTGCAGACGTAAGCTTCTTAACCATGCCAGCCTTGCCCCTCCAGAACCTTTCAAGCTTCGTGTTCTCTAGCATAAGAAATTCGTTATACTAGTACGACGATGGGCATAATCTTTCTAATGTCAAATCTAAGCATGCATATATTCCTGACTAATTGTGCCTAATGCATATCCTCCATTCGTCGACTCCATACTCCATACACAGAAGAGAAACATGATATCATCCCAATGCAACGACTTTAGAAGCATGCTCATAAACAGGACCCCAGTCCTCGTAATATCTCGGATCCTTCCAAAGATGAAGGTATAAGCGAAAGATAAGCCTAAATCCGGTAGACACTTTCGTCTTCGCCTCCGAGGTACCTGGTAATTAAGTCAGTCATAATTCAATAAAAAAAGTAGTGATAAGGGTTACTCACATCAAAAGGTTCTCTTCATTCATTACGGTCAGGGCTTGGCGAGCCTCGGGCTGCGAGAAGACATGGGCTGCGCCCAGAGTAGGGGATGCGCGGATGGCTGTGTTGACAGCTTCGATCAGATCGTTGACAGGGACCTCGTCGCCCTCAGTGAAGACACGAGTCATCAAAGGACCCAGTGTCTGACGGAAGACGGTCATACGAGCTGGAGTGATGGGGTGAGCCGATGCAGCAGTAGACTGCGAGTCATCGGTTTGGGACTGCACGAGTTGCGAGGCCGGTTGAGATGATGCCACGGACATCTGGGACTCGCTCTGTGTCTGGGTCCGAGTATTCTGGCTGGACCGTGTGCGTTGGGCACGCGGGCTGGCTGTGTACAGACTATCAGGGTCGTCATCTGGAACTGTAGAGCTGGCGGCAGCTTGGGATCGTATTCCAGCCCGGCCGGGAGTGGCGGTTGATGTACCGCGGGCCGTGCTCTCTTCTTCCTCCTCGTCGTCGAGATCGGGATCGCTCTCGTCATCGGAGTCCTCATCGAATATTGTAACCTTACGTCTCTTGCGACGGCCAACCTCAACAACTTCCTTGAACATGGCGAAGCGCAAAATGGCTTCGGCGTGCTTGGCATCCTTCTCATCAACACGATTCGACAGACGGGCCTTGGCATGGGCAGTGGATAGACGAATCAGCGTCTCGAGGGTACGCGGTGTGATGGGAGAAGTGCGGCGCTGGTTGCCCGAGAGGTCGTCGTTTCGCAGAGCCGAGTAAGTGGCAATGATGTGATCGGCAGCACCCTTGGTCAGGACGGGCTTGACTCGGGACTTGGCGTACTGGATGTACTTCTTGATGAAGGGAATGCTGATAATCTCCACGTTTTTGTTGCGGCCGGTGCTGCGGCCGGCGGGGACCATGCCACCGTGAAGCATGACGTTGAATTTTTCAAAAACCTCTGTGGGCTGGTTGGCATCTTGGCGATCCTCAATGCCCACCCCCAGAGTCTGGTTAAGCTGCTCTCGAACAGGTGCACCTTCCTCGGTTCCGGGCTGGCGGTAACGGTGCATGCGCAGAACGTGCTCCGAGATAGTACGATCCTTGGCGTCTTCGATGTCATCGGTTACAACAAACAGCAAATCGAAACGGGAGAGAAGAGAATCGGGAAGAGCGATGTTCTTGTGCGGGTCCTTGTGCGGATCATATTGTCCATAGACAGGGTTGGCGGCAGCTAGGACACTGCATCGGGCGTTCAGACTTGTGTGGATACCAGCCTTAGCAATCGTGACAGTCTGCTGTTCCATGACTTCGTGGATTGCAACACGGTCGACATCACTCATTTTGTCGAACTCATCAATACACACTACACCACGATCACCCAGTACCATGGCACCAGCTTCCAAACGACGCTCGCCAGTCTCCTTGTCAGATGTCACCGCAGCAGTCAAACCAACACCGGAAGATCCTCGACCGGTCGTGGCAATGGCCAGCGGAGCAGTGTTCAACACGAAACGAAGCAATTGAGACTTGGCGGTGGACGGATCACCAACCATGAGGATGTTGATGTCACCACGAAGGTGAGTACCGTTGTCCAAATTTTTCTCCATACCACCAAGCAACATGAGTAGAATAGCTTTCTTGATATGATCATGTCCGTGAATACTGGGTGCCAGCGAAGTGGACAGCAACTCGAAGACATTCTTCTTCTTAGCGACCTTATTAATGTTTCGAATATCGGTGTCGGTGATAGTGGCCTGCGCGATACCGCCGCCAGACTTTGAGGAGAGTTGAATAATGTTGTTGGCCATCACCACGGTACGGAAGGTGGAAGATCCAGAGCCGGCATTGCGGTTACCCAGGGTACGGTAGATACCAACAAGCTGGATTCTGTCACCGGGCTTGGCTTTATCGACCAGATCGTCATCGAGAATAACATCGACACTGCGGGGCAGCTGACCGGCTGGAGCCCGCTCGGGCATTTCTTGGATTGAGATACTTTGATGATCCATGTAGGTCGAGTAGCCGTACTCGGTAATGAGCTTTAAACCATGTTAGAAGATCCCTTTAATAGTTTCTTTTCTCGAGATTGTACCCACCGGGTTCTTTTCATCGTCTTCCTGGGGGTAGACATTCAAGCTTGTTGCACCACTCGCAGTCATAGTCTGATCACGGTATTTTCTCGACAGGAAACGGTCCTTCTTCTCGCTGTAGTGCACACTCTGGATGACCTTTGGTCGAACCAGAGAGCATTTTGTCACAATACCCTCGAGGGATACCATGTGGTTCAAGTGTTGAGATCCCAATGTACGGGGGTTGCAAGAAAATTCACCGAAGGCTCCAACGTAGGCACAGTAGTAGCCCTATTACAATGTTAGCTCCCATCTTGTGTCGAGTGGAATCAATCTTTGAGCTAGATACCACTTCATCTGCTGTCTCCTTGCTTGGCCTGTTCGGCAGAGATTTGACAACATCTTTGAGGGCCCGGTCGAAGGCCTGCGAGTAATCGAAAGGGGCGGTGACAAGGCTGTACAATTAAACAATGAGCTTTAGGCCTTCAAAGTCCGTAAAGAGACTTGTCTGCATACCCTTCGGCAAGTTCGCGATTGTGTGCTCGGATTTCATCGATGCTGACCTGCAGAATCATCAGCAATTTCTCCCACCATTCCAGGGAAATGATAACGAACAGTGAGACGTCGCAACCCCCGATTCAGCATCACCACGATCTCGGCACGATAACTGTTTTACATGGTTAGAGCCATTGCGGGAGCAAAAAGTCGAACCGACGAACCTGCGTGCCCGTGCATCGCCTGGAGGAAAAAAGTCATGTTAGCGAGCTCCTGTTGACCACAACGATCGCAAGACCTACCGGGATCAAGAAACTCGGTGGCGGCCCGCACGCGATCCTGCGCGGCCTCATCACGCAACTGAACATCCATGGTTGCGAAATTAAAGGTTTTTGGGTGTTGAGATGGCGAGTCGAGGGGGAGGCAGAAGCGGTGCAAAGACGGCAGGTGCGCGCTCGCCCGATCGGGTAAAATTGGAACGCGTCAACGCGTCAACGCGTGTGATTATATAAGCAGGTTTCTATTTGATAAATAAGTTACTTCAGGCGCAAAATATAAAGATTGACAGATTCGAAGACAGAAATATAATACATTGGTTTCTATACAGACAGGATATACGCAAGAGGCTAATATAACAAAACACTGTACATGGGAGACGCTCAATACGTCTCTTTGCGTCTTGGGGACACTTTCTCCACGCGCTCAACTTTGCGCTCACTCAAGCCACTTAGCTCACTCGATCACTTTCATTCAAAGCTTCTGGCTCAACTGGCTCAACTGCATCATCCAGTCCATTGACCTCATCAAAAACTTCGTCACTTCCTCCATCAAGTTCGACTGGTCGATTTACCTTTCCAGTCCCATGTGAAGCCCTTTGGACCTTGATGTTCTGTTCCCTGCGGCGCAATTTCTCTTTAGCATTCGCTATGCGGCGATGGTGACGAATATCATTCTCGATATCAAGCAAATCCTCGCGGGAAAGAGGGCCTTCATGCGGGTCTTCAAGATCATCGGACGCGAGCAGTTCGGTAAGAGCTTTGGACGCATCGTCTGTGGCTGAAACATCCATGTATGGGAAACTCTGCTCCGTTGCATGATCAAGACGGGGTAGTCGTCTCGATTTAGCTTTAACGCCTGGGCCGAGGACTCCGCCAAGAGCAACATGTTGGTCAATGGGGACCCCTTCCAAGTCGGGCCCGACTTCTCGGCCACGTACCAGCACTCCCTGGTATTTCTCACGCCAGTAAGGCATATCTCCGAGAGCCTTCATGGTCTCTGGTGCCTTTTGAAGAAGGATTTGTAGATCATGGCTACCACTCAAAATACTATCTTCTCGAACGCGGTTCAGTGACGCAGAGAGATACACCATAGTGAGATAGGTCGGCGAGAGCAGGTCAGGCCGTATTTGATTGAAGTGCTTCCGGGCAGCTTTTCCAAAGAACTTCTGGCTTTGTCGGTAGGTGGAGCGGGAATCTTGTCGAGGGTCTTCAAGCTTGTGTGCAAATTTGGAAGACTTTTTAGTCTTTAATATGTATCCTCGCCGAAGCGGGCCCCATCCAGGGAACCTTGGCATGAAGATGCGTTCATTGGTCTTGAAAGCCTCCACGATATCGGGCATTCGATCCGAAGCTGCCATCATCTGCACATAAGTTGACCAATTGAAAGTGGTCAGCTGGAAGCCAGCAGCCTGAAGCTCTGCCGTGGCCGTGATAATCTTCTCGGTCTCATTCTGATAGGCCAACGCCCGTACGTAGAGCGAAAATGGCTTCGACAGAATGAAGCGTTGGCTAGGAAGGATCTTAGGCTTGGCCTGTCCGTCGGGATGGTCACCAAATGTAGCATCTGAGCAGCTCTTGTTGGCCTCCGCCAAAGGTTCCAAATTTGATGCTTGTAGAGGTGGGCTTGACGAAATTGGGTCAGTTGACCTCTTTAGCTCCGAGTCGAGAACCTCCTGAATGTTGATGCGGCTTGCCATTCTGATGGCGCGAGGTACTTGAATCTGCCAGCATTTTTCCACGCTCTCGTAGTCTTCCGCCCGTAAATGGGCAACCATCAATGCATTGACAATGCCGAATGGGCCATTCTCAAGTCCGTCTTCTGACGAACTTCCAGGTAGCTCGGTATTGAGGTATTGGTGGAACAATTTACGAGCTCGTCCAACTGCGCCTCCCTTGCCATATTGTTTAATGAGATATTCATAGTGCAAGGTAGAAAAGGTGTTGGCAGATGAATCTCTTGAAACACCAAGTGACGAGGGTTTGGATAAAGACGTATCGGTGTCCGCTTGAGACATGGCTGACATCAAGAATCGTTCTGCGGTTTCCAATTGCAGGCTTTCACCGTAAGGTCTGAGGCCTTCATCTTTCATGATCTGCAAGTCACGCTCAATATCTGACTTGAGTTTTAAAAGACTCAACTTAGTCTCGGCTCGGCCGAATCTCTCGGTGATCTCATTGAAGATGATGTGAACCATGTCACGATTGCCAACCCTGAGATATCCGTACAAAATTATGGCATAGTGATGCTGCGTGGCGTGAATGATGTCTTTTTTGTGTAGGTTTCGGAGAAGCTTTCGCGCTTGGTCCGGCCTGTTCATCAAAACCAGGCTGAGCAAACTGGCAGAGCACGTTGAAGCATCCGGTGGCAAGTTAGCCCTGTCCATCGTTCTCTTGACACGACGGAAAGCTTCGACATCCATTCTGAATGCGTGGTGTAGCAGGAGCGTGTTCCACATTCTTATGGGAGACCCTTCAACATGCACACGTAAAGCTGCCTTCGCAAATTTCTCGGCCAGATCCAATCGCCCGTTGTTGCAGTAGACTCGAACAACGGTATCGAGCATTGGCATGGTGATTTGGACTTGACAATTTTGCGCCTCTCTAAGCAGCCAGCGCGTATTCCCAATGTCACCGCGGCTAGCACAAGTATCCATCAGTGTACCAAAAGTGTGGGAGTCAGGCGTCACGCCATCTTTCAGCATCTCAGAGAATACCGAAAAAGCGCCTGCTAGGTCATCCGCCTTGGAATAAGCCTTGAGAAGAATGTTCCAGCACACTGTGTTCGGAGTGAGTTGAAACTCCTCCGTTATTTTTTGAAACTGATCGTGTGTTTCCTGCACATTGCCAATCTGCGCATAGACGTCCAGGAGCGGAGTTATAGAATAAAGACTGCGAGGTGGCCCATGGTCCGCAACGCGTCTTTCAAAAAGAGACTTGACCTTTGCGACCTTTCCAGCACGGGAATATACCACCATGGCCTGTCTGTATACCTCAGCGGAAGGCCTCTGGTGGAATTGAGACAGGTCATCCAGGAATAGTTGGATGCCATTGATGATATCGAAAGACGCTAAAGCGCAGATCTGCTTGCTGAGAAGTGGCGCAGGCGGTTTCACCTCGGGCATTTGCCAGCGCAGGTGTCGGTAAAGAACAACTGCGCGAACAATATTCGACCTTTTGCTGGAAGACTGAAGAGTCCGCATCATATTAAAATAATGATCTCCCTTCAGCAAACCCAATTGTTGGTGTGTTCGCAACATCTGAAGGAGAAGCTCTAGTGATGTGTTCTCGAGGAGCTCGAAAGATTTTGATACATTTTCAATGAGAAATCGCGCGAGACTGAGGGCGATTTTGTTGTCGGAGTGATTTGTGAGGAAATCTCCAAGTTGAACGGTGATTTCGGGCAGCGTCAGGTGATCGAGCTGAGGAAGTAATTGCTTGAAGAACTTTGGACGATTGCTTCCCCCTTTCCCAGCCGACAGATGTCCAGGGCGTTGGTCCATTCGTTCTTTTTGACATAGAATGCGCAGGCCAGTGCGCAACAGTAGTCTTCAACCCCTCTTGAGACAGCTTCTTCACATATTGATTTGATTTTCGAATGGTTCTCGGTACGAAGCTGCGACTGAGTGATGGCGAGGAAATCATTGGCGGACCGGTTATCGGGTGGAAGTTCTTGAAACAATTGCCAAGCACGATCTTGATCAACAATATGGGGCGATCGGCTGAGATAGGCGCAAAGTGAGGAGCGAAAGTGCTGCGGTTGCCTAGCAGCAAGGTAAAACACCCAAGCTCTGTCGAAATCATCTCCCTGGTTTTCTAGCAACTGTGTGAGCTCCTCTGTAGCCTCCTTGGGAATGTGTTTGCCATCTTCTTCTTCTGCAAATGAAGCGTATTCATGGGCATGGGGTTCATTGAGGAGAATTTGCTGCAAGTTTGAGGCTTCTGTGGTATATGATCTTGAGAAGCCGGCGAGTGGCTTCTTCCTCCGTCGAAGACCTAGCCTCCTCGAGGGGCGCGAAAGCCGCAACGCTGCAAAATCTTGCGTCTTTCTTGGGTAAAGGAAGTCGAGAACAGGCGGGCCTCGATCGTAGGCAGGCAGGCTTTCAGGTAGACTAGAAACGGCGGCCGGGCGTTGACCTGACGGGTGTACTAGGGCGAGAAACCAGCTGGGGGCGTCTCCTCCGGTGGCGTTGTGCTTCCAGAAATGTCGAGATAGTGACCTCCGACTGCGAATCGCGCCATTGGGATCTCGAAGGAAACGCCGACCCGCGCTTTCGAAGCAGCCGGCTGCCCGTTCGAGCATTACCCCCGATCGTCGCGGTGTCGAACAGTTAAATCACCTATAACGATCTCCTTTCTGCATTATAGCGAGTCTCAAAGGCCTATTGAATGCAAGAATGAGTTAGAAACAATCTTGTGGGAGGTGCTTCGACAAGCTGTTTGGGGAGGATGGTGCCAGCCGTACCGAGGAAAAAAAGTGCTTCACGCGATCTTGGGACAGTGAAGCTCGAGTGATCGACCGGAAGCAGATAGTCCAACTGCACGACAGGTTCAGATAACCGTCGGTTTTGCAAGCTTCTGCAGGTATGAGAAGCAATAAGCTTGGGGGAAAACACGCAAAAGAATCGGAGGTTGGAAATTGCCGGGCACATCGGACCACTCGTTTGACCGAAACGGGGCACCGCCTTTACGTCGCAACCCACCAACTCAAGTCACCCCCGTTCACTCGCCCCCCCCCCCATTCCATCCAGTCAGCACGGTATGGAGATCACTGATTATATCTTCAAGGAGCGAGAAGAGGTGCTCCTGGTCGGTGACTACAATGCCTACCGGGCGCATGCCACTCGCAGGCTGCACAAACTTCGCAAGAAGCTGGGACAGACAACCCCCAAAGGCCGCAAGTACACTGCGAAGGCGCCAGTAACTTCTGATAATGTCGCTACTAATGTATCGTACGTTTCACTGTCTTCGTTTTGCCCCGGTCAAAAGCTGATATCGTCATTACTAGATATGTCCACCTATTGCTTCTCGCATCTGAACGGGCGTGGGCGCAAGCCATGCACATGAAATCGACACATTCCGCCGATCCATCCGCCAAAGGTATCTCCGGGGCTGCTCGCCGCCATATCATTTCTCGCTTGAACAAGGCGACCGGTTACGCACAACATTTGGTTTCTCTGCTGCACGAACAGTCGACCTCGGGGGCGAGCGATATCGATATCCTGGAAGCACGGGCTTATCTGGCTACAATCTCGGGTGCGCTCTGGTTGGAGAAGCGCAAGTGGGAGCAATGTCTTCACGACTATGCTATTGCACGAGTGATTTATACGGCTCTGGGCCAGAGAGTTAAGAAGGATGCCTTCCGAGACCTGCTTACTGGGACTGTCGATCCTAGCATGCGCTATGCCGCTTATCAGATGAAGCTTCCCCGCTCCAAGCCGACTTCCTCTTTGGCAATTGAATATTTCCCGTCAGATTCGAGCATCCGCTCGGAAGTGGAGAAGATTGACCCATCCTGTCTCGCGCAGGAGGCAGCTGGCACACGGAGAACTGCGGAGGGTGAAGTGCAAAAGTTGCCGGAGTCCGTGACATGGAGATCACGTACCGTTGCGCTGGAGGATGCTTCTATTTCCCAGGCTTTGGCTGCTGCGTCAGCCGCAGAGACTGGCCTCGCCGCTTGGTTGGCTGGCGAAGGAGAATCAGCTGCCGCAAAAGATCAGGCTGCTGCATATGACAACGTCATCATTGCCAGTCAGGATGCCGTCGATGCTACTAAGACAGCTATCGATGACCTGGCCAGCGAGGGGGTGGATGCCGGTGACAAGAGGATGCAGGCGCTGCAGATCACCCGGACCGCAGTCAACTACAGTCTGGTTGGCTGGCGCGTTGGGCGCAATCGTGTGTTGTGCGGTGAGCAGGACGGGCTGACCTTTGAGGACGACCAAGCCAAGAGCGGCAAGGAGACGAAGCGCCGCGGAGGCAACGGAAAGAAACTGACCCAGCTCCGCGAGCGTCTGGTGCTGTACGACTCCACCCTGCAGAGTCTCGATTTTATTCTCGAGCTGCCGGGTGTCGCGGCCGATTCGGCCTTTGTTCAAGACCTTGAAGCCAAGCGCCATTATTTCCGGGCCCTCAGGTATATTACTCCCTCGGCGTCCTTTCTTTCGCACCGTGTCACTAACATTTCTTTGTTTAGATGTTTGACCCTGGGACGGTCCCACGGTCTTCTGGGTAAGCCCACCGAAGCTCTCGCCCTCTTTTCACAGGCCTTTGAACTTGCCGGTTCGGCAAGTTCTCAGGCTTCCGCCCAAGTGGAGGGTCCTCCTCAGCTTGATGTGTCCCGTGCCCGGGTAAATGCCTTGGGCTCTACACTCCGCGGATTGGTTGCTCAGTATCGCGGCCTGGTCACTCTGGAGCGATTAGAGTCCGAGTCCGGCTCCACTCAGAAGCGACCTGTCATCGAACGCCTGCAGCAGTACCAGACGGGAACCGACCCCAGCAACCTGGTGCCTTACCCGCCCCGGATGCAGCCGGTCCCCGTGAAGCCACTCTTCCTGGACGTGGCTTGGAACTATATCGACTACCCACACCTCGCAGAGGAGCAGGCTACTGCCGCGGAGCCCGAGGAGAAGAAGGGCCGTGGCTGGTTCGGCTTTGGACGATCATAGGCATCATTATTTGTGCATAAGAATTCCAATCAGAATTCCCATGTTTACCTGAAGGAGAGGCCAATGGGAAGCATTCCAGCAGCACTTAGTCAGTGAAGGTGCTTACCTCATGCCGCACGTGCCTCCAAGAAAACCCTTTTGTTGAAAATCGCCAATCAAGAGACAGCGGAAAGTCGGTAGCCGAGTCACGCTATCTCTGATTAGCAAGTATGAAACTACCTGGTTGATACCTCCTTGCATCTGTAGGGCGCATAGTGATAACCGGTATACCCGGAGTACTGCGGAGTTTAGATGAGCATACTCCCGTAGCTTGCGCTTGAACCTGCACCTATACCGACAACTACTGCGTAGTGCCTGGTACATTCCTTCACCATCAAAAAAAAAATTTCAAACAATCCTACTTTTATCTACCTATAAGGGGAATTGTCTGATGAATCTAGTGAATGGATCTAGGAGTAAATTAATTTAGATTTTGGAACGACCGAAGTAGGTCCTATCATGCAATGCAAGATTTGATCGCGGCGCGCCGAGCATCCGGGGCGCGGGAATTGGCGTTCCCGCCCCTGACCAATTTCATTTCCTTTTCCTCCTAAAGGTTCCCCTCTCCACTCTCCTTTGTGTCGGGTCCTTTCAGTCGTTAGACTTTTCCTCTCGTTATACTTTGGTTCATTCACAATGGTCAACATCACTGGGAGCTTCGTCTCCCCGTCCGCGGATGCGACGGTCACTCCTCAACTTTTCGCGCCGGCCGGAATTCTTGCCTCCGTGCTCGATGGATTCACGATCTGGAAGCTGATTTTGACACTGTTCCTTGCGGCCATCGCCTATGATCAGTGTAAGTCCAATTGCTCCCGAATTGCTCCCACGGGGCTTTGCGAAATGTGACTTGAAAGCATTTACTTACGGAGGGTTCCCCTATTTACAGTCATGTACCACTACTACAAGGGCTCAATCATCGGTCCTGCCTACAAGATCCCTTTCATGGGCCCATTCCTGCAATCTGTCAACCCCAAATTCACCGAGTACAAGGCGAAATGGGACAGCGGAGATCTGAGCTGTGTCTCCGTTTTCCACAAGTGAGAATTTCCGAGTCCCACCTTTCCAATGGCCTTTCTGGTGACACGCTGGGCCTTGTTGGATGTTTTTATATTCGCAATATGCTGACATTTTAAAAGATTCGTTGTTATCGCGTCGACTCGTGACATGTCCCGCAAAATCTTCAACTCTCCCGGCTACGTGAAGCCCTGTGTCGTGGATGCCGCGCACAAGCTTCTCGGTAAGACCAACTGGGTCTTCCTGGATGGCAAGGAGCACGTTGAGTACCGCAAGGGTCTGAACGGTCTCTTCACCCGCCAGGCTCTGGCCTGCTACTTGCCCCGCGCCGAGGAGGTCTTCAACGAATACTACAAGAAGTTCCTCGAGAAGTCCGAGGCCACCAAGCATACCCCGACTCCCTGGATGTCCGACTTCCGTGAGCTGATGTGTGCTCTTTCTTGCCGTACCTTCGTCGGTTACTACATGTCCGATGAGGCCGTCCAGAAGGTTGCCGACGACTATTACCTGATTACCGCTGCTCTGGAACTTGTCAACTTCCCCATTATCCTGCCTTACACCAAGACTTGGTACGGAAAGAAGGCCGCCGATATGGTGCTCGTGGAGTTCACCAAGTGTGCCACCAAGAGCAAGGCTCGCATGGCTGCCGGTGGTGAGGTTTCGTGTATCATGGACGCTTGGGTCAAGGCGCAGCAAGACTCTGCCAAGTACCGCGAGAAGATTGCCAAGGGTATCCAGGTTGATTCGTCTGAGAAGCCTCCCCAGGTTCTGCGTGACTTCAGCGACTTCGAAATCGCCCAGACGATCTTCACCTTCCTGTTTGCCTCGCAAGATGCTACTAGCGCTGCTTCCACTTGGCTCTTCCAGTTGATGGCTGACCGGCCCGAGATCCTTGACCAGGTCCGCGAGGAGAACCTCAAGATCCGCAACGGTGACCGCTCCGTCCCCATCTCTATGGACCTGCTGGACAACCTGCCTTACACCCGCGCCGTCGTCAAGGAGACTCTCCGCTACCGTCCCCCCGTCATCATGGTTCCCTACCTTGTCAAGAAGGACTTCCCTATCACCGACAAGATCACCGTCTCCAAGGGCTCTATGATCATCCCCTCGGTCTGGCCCGCTACTCACGACGAAGAGGCATACCCCAATGCCGACTCATTCGAGCCCGAGCGCTGGATCACCGGTGACGCTGAGGCGCAGTCCAAGAACTGGCTGGTCTTTGGCACGGGTCCCCACTACTGTCTGGGTCAGACCTACGCTCAACTGTCTCTGATGGCCATGATCGGCAAGGCCAGTATGGAGATGGACTGGGAGCACACCCCCACTCCTGAGTCCGAGGATATCAAGGTGTTCGCCACCATCTTCCCTCAGGTATGTTTGTCTCTTCCCTCAGTATTCCTTTGTTCGCCAACTAACAAGCTTCTAGGACGATTGTCTTCTCACTTTCCGCCCTCGCGCTTAAAGTTTTCATTTCTCACGATTCAAAAGCAATGAAACTGGAGCCCTGGCCCCCACCTCCGGATAGACGGGCTTGGTCTCATGAACATGCACGGCCTTTCTATCCTGGAGATGGAGGGGTCGATTTCCAATTTTCTTTTCTCTGGCGGGACACTTTGATGAACCACTTGGATTAAGGTCCCGTCTTTTCTTTTTGCCACAAGGATACCTCGAAGCCCTTGGCCCTGTTCTATTGTACAGAGGGATTTTTTATATGGATGCGACCCGTGTGGGATCGCGAGCATTCCTGGGGTTCCGGTCTTTTTCTTCAGTTCAGGCATTCTTTGAGCCACGCACCTTAAATAATATTAATGCTTTTTTTCCATTCTTCCAATATCAGATTTGCATATTCTCGCGCTTGAAGTTACAACAAATCCAATAAAAGCTGGAAATAACTTAAGTTGACTTTGTTCAAAAGTTGAAAGACTAGCGATTACATAGTGAGACTGCCTGCCCAAACTGAGGCTTATGGAAGTTAAGTCTTGCTTTAAACCCTTACTGGCTCTATGGCGGCATCTTGAGCACAAAAAATAGTCAGTCGTGACAGACTTGCGAGGTTCATGCTATAAGTGGTGTTAAATCGATGGTAACGTATGGTTAACTGTTGATTTTTGCGGATGATTCTGGGTGCAGCAAATGTTACCTAGGTACTCAGAAACAGAAATCATGCTCCGAGGCTCAGCAACTACACATCTGGGTACTACCTTCTTGACTGGATTTTGATAGTGCAACCTTCGTTTCGAGGTTGCCCATGTGACTCAACGATCAATGCACTTTACCAGAGCCGTGCCATGGATATTGTTTATAAACATTATGAATCTTCAAGTATCCTGTCTTATATCTATGCACCCAACTTCCTTTTATTTTCTTTGGATCATGGGTGGTTCGTCGTATATCAAAGGCCTCCGAACCTGGCGCCGAGGTCCAATGGCGTGCTCTTGCGGAGACATATATTTGGACTGTGATCGGTACCAGCCTAAGGAGAGGAATACCCGCCAACTCTGCTACAAAGCGGTATCGTGTAGCATCTGAACTCACAAAGCTAATATTTAGAATGGAGGAAGAGTGACATAAATACCTATTAAAGATAACACCGGCGCTGGTTGTACGTGAGGATGCATTGAACCTGGTTCGCTGGTTTTCAGTGAAATAGATGACGGTAAACGGGCCTTTCATCATAAACTACCATGTATGATAAAGCCCTATACGAGGGCTCGTATAACCGTTAGAATACGGATTACATAAGGAATAGATGGCACGTAACCTGGAGCTTGTACCATGTGGTAGCTACACCTCAGCCACCCCATGAGAGGACCGTGGCAGCATATAAATCATCTCAAGTGGATTTTGTATCATCGTGGGTGACTCGGCTACCGCCATATACGAGTCTATCGCCGGCGTGATCAAGAGCAAGTCGGTTTCGAAAACCTGGACCCTGACCTAGAGATTAAAGTACATATGGTTACGGCAGACCCACAATAAAACAACATTGTATGGCGGAGCGTAATGGGCGTGTACAAGCACACAGGCCGAGGAAACCAACTACACTAGAAATTGCAAGCGATGAAGAAGCCATAATCCTTGTCGCTTCCGAACATTCCAACCACCAGGGCCCTATGCTTGATGGGCACTCAGATATTTGCCCTCAAAAGTCTCCTGGGCGGGTTATTGTGTTCCTTTCTGTAGGAACAATACCATGGCATCTACATATTTTTACAATCAAATATTTACCAAGCAAACACACAACATTCGAGTTGATAGACAAAACATCTAATAGCAATCTAGAATGCTCCAATAAACATCTGAATCATGTTCTACTTATCCAAACAATTGAAGGAGCAGAAACCCAGCGCCATCTCTAATCCGAGGATACCAAATTCAGCAGGCGGTCACCGCTGGCACTGACATCACGCATCACTATCTCCGACGAGCTCAATCTCTCGTTTCAAAGAGTCCTACAAACAAGAGCCACAGACACCATGGCCTCGCAATTACCATTCGCTATCCGGCGCACTACTGCCAGCATTTATTCAGCCGTCAAGGCCCCTATCCGGCCAACGCTCTCGGCTACCCCATTCTTCCAGCGCCGATGCCTCTCCGCAGCTACCCGTGGACTCGCTCTCTCACAGCGACGAGAAATCCTCGCAGGATCACACATCTACAAGCTTCAATCGCAATGTAAATTCAGCTCAAAAAACCAAATCCGCCGATTCAACGATGAGCCGCCTACTCTTCGCGAATGGGGATTCGAAGAAGTACATACCTTTCCCCTCCAAAGCCACCCAACATAAGAAACAACTAACAACCCTAGATAAATACCTCCCTCCCCTCCTCCGCCACCTCTCCAACTCACAAACCCGTGATCCTAATCGACGTCCGCGAACCCGCCGAGCTTAAAGGAACCGGCATTATCCCCTCAGCCATCAGTATCCCGCTCGCCTCCCAGCCCGATGCTATGTACCTGACAGCCGACGAGTTTGAGGATCGCCTTGGATTCCCGAAGCCGCAGGCTGATGTGGACGGGACGCTTGTGTTCTATTGTAAGGCTGGTGTCAGGGCTCGGGCGGCGGCGCAGTTGGCTGTGCAGGCGGGGTATAATCCGGAGCAGATCGGGGTTTATGAGGGGAGTTGGTTGGATTGGGAGAGGAATGGGGGCAAGGTTGAGAAGTGGGACGGGGATGATTATTAAGTGTTGTGTTGTTGATGTTGAAAAGCTCAACTGAATTTAGGAACGAGGTGACTAGTGAAGTTGTAAATAGCACTGTCAATGATCCGTGTTAGTCGGGACTATATGGGTAACTCAATGTACGTTAGGGTAGGAATCCAGATCTAACAACATTGATTAAAAGCAAGTATAACAAAAAATCTGGTATAAGCCAGGTTTCCCTTTCCCCCTTTCCCTTTAACCAGCATGTACAGGTGAGAGGTTCCTTTTTGTCCTGTCCATTCCATTCAAGCCGTAATCGTTCATGGTATATCCACATCGCAATCAAAACAGAAACTTTTATTTTCACTTGATGGAAATTGTCATGTCGTGACATCCCTATATGCATGGGAATGTCAACCTCGTAATGCACTCGGGGAGAAAGCGGGATCTGGCAAGATGGGTGGAAGAAGCTTCCACACATCCCGTGTGAGATGCTAAGCACCTCAACTGATGACTGGGAATTCCGCTCAAGGAATGTCGAAGACGGGCTTGAGCTTCTTGACCAGACCCCACTCCTCCATCGTGACCTCGGAGCGGTAGAACTCCTTGAGGGTATCAATACTAGCACGCGAGATGTGCGAGTACAGAAGGTCCTTCTCTTCCAGGTGGCGACCGTACAGGGGCTGGTTAGGACCCTCGACCTTGATGGCGACGGATGGCTGACCCTTCTTGCAGACCTGGATGGCCTTGTGATCACGCTCGATGGATGTCCTGTTGGAACGTTAGAACTTGAACGAGAGATATTAGAAATAAAAAATTGGGAAAACTTACACTCTGCCAATGTCGACGACCTCTTTCACACCGGCGCCATTGGTAACAAGAGCCGCCAGCGGGGTGTGCATCCGCAAGCTTCCCTCGATCACATCAATACCGATGACAATAGGGTCCTTCTTATTGAAGACGGCAACGGGTTGGATCACACAAGGGAAGATAGCAAGCAGCTTGCTCTCCTCCTTGCGCTGCTCAGTCAGCTCAGCCATGTGCTTGGTGAAGTCGTCGAACAGGTGGTAAATGATGTCGGCAGTGAAGATCTTGACGCCGACGTCAGCAGCGTATGCGACGGCTTCCTTGTCAACCTTGACATCGAAGCAAAGCATAACAGCGTATTCCTTGGCCTTCTCTAACATAGCACCAGCCATCATGACATCGCGCTTGTAGACGGGACCGATGGAGATGTTGGCCACGGGAATCTTGGAGACCCTCAGGAACTCTAGAAGGGCCTCAAGGGAACCCAGAGTAGAAGCCTGGACACTGACACCGCGAGAGTCGGTAGAGACCTTGCTCAAAAGGTTCTCCAGATCAGACATAACCTCCTCCTCGAGGTCCTCCTCATCATCGTCAGGGCCGACAACCATCAAACGGGAACCAGCAATGGCGTGCTCTAGATCGTTGGCAGCAATCTTGACACCGAGCGCCGCCTTGACCTCCTTGTTGTGGACGTACGCCGACTTGAGACGCAACTCCTTGAGCGGCGCGGGTGTCAAAAGTGCCCGAATATTGGTTGTGATAGGTCCGTTAAGACCGCACATGACAACTCGATCACCCTCGCGCAGGATACCGTTGGACAGAATAACGTCAATGGTGGTACCGAGACCCTCGATAACCTTGACTTCCAGGACGGTACACTCAATCTCGGACAGGTACATCAGGGAGTTGGTCATACGCTCCTGACTCAGCTCAGTGAGAAGCTTCAGCATGTCGGGAACACCCTCGCCGGTGTGAGCGGAAGTGGGCACCAGGGACACATTGCGAGCCATGGACTTGTTCTCGTAGAAGAGCTCGGAATTGAAACCCTGCTCGGCGAAAGCGAGCTTGGTAGCCTCCAGACGAGAGCGGAACTCGTTCTGAACACCCTTGTTCTGCATGTTCAGACTGTCCTCGAAGCCGTTGTTATCGATCTTCTTCCAGCCATACAGACGATCAATCTTATTCAGCGCCACAATGAAAGGAGTCTTGCGGTCACGCAGCAAACGCATAGACTCGAGAGTCTGGGGCTCAAGACCGTGCATAATATCGACGACCAGAATGGCGATGTTGCAAAGAGAGGAACCTCTGGAACGCAGGTTGGAGAAGGACTCGTGACCAGGGGTATCGATAATCAACAGACCGGGAACCTTGAACTCGAACTTGCCGTCCTTGTTCACGACAGAGGTCTTCTGCTGAAGAGCCTCGACGGGGAAGTAAGTAGCACCAATCTGCTGAGTGATACCACCGGCTTCACCTTCCTGCACGTTGGTCTGACGAATCTTGTCCAGAAGCTTGGTCTTTCCAGTATCGACGTGACCAAGAATACAGCAAATGGGCGAGCGCAGGTTGTCCTTGGAACGAGCAGCGAGGGCCTCCTCGTGCTGCTTCTTCCTCCGCTCGGCAGCCTCGGCCTTTCTCTGTGCAATAGCTCTTTGGTTGGCAGACTGCTCCTCGTCCTCTGAGTCTTCCTCGGAAGAGTCATCGGAACCGGAATCGTCATCAGAATCGCCATCCTCCTTCGAGTCGGCATCCTGAGCATCGCGATCGGCAGCGGGCTTCTCATCCTCGGAGGGAGCATCCCAGCTGTCCTTAAGGTCGTCATCAGCAGCGGCCTCCCAGTCTTCCACGGCATTATTGTCCTCCACAACAGGAACAACATTCTTGGCGGCCTCGGCTTCAGCCTTGGCCTTCTCCTCGGCTTCCTTGCGGCGGCGTTCATCTTCAGCCTCACGCTGGAGACGGGCACGCTCGGCAGCAGCCTCAAGATCCTCCTCTTGCTTTTTGCCGGCCTTCTTCTTGCGGCTCTCGTAGACGGGGCGCTTTTTCTCGGCACCGCCCTCTTGCAGACCGGCAACAGTGCCCACACCAGCGGCAAGCATCTGCTTCATACGCATCTCATTGCGCAGCTGAGCCTCGCGCTGAGCCTTGGTCAGAAGCTTGCCCTCCTTGCGGAGCTGCTCCTTCTTTTCACGCTCACGCTCACGCTTCTTTTGACGGGCCTCTTCGCGCTTAGCCTCTTCCTCCGCTTCGATGCGCTTCTGCTCCTCCTCGAGGGCCTTCTGTTCGGCAGCAAACCGCTCCTCCTCCTCACGCTGTTGGCGGAGCAGCTCCTGCTGCTTCTGAAGAGCTGCCAGATGAGGAGGGAGCTTCTTCTTACCACCGGTGGCCTCCGCGGCGGCAGCTGGGGTGGGCACGTCCTTCTTGATCTCGGCGGCGGGTTTGGCGGCCTCGGTCTTGGGCGCGGGAGCAGTCTTCTTCTTTTGGGCGGCCTAGATAAAAGAGTATGAGTTTAGCACAGGCTCTAGAAAAGGCAAGACAGTTCCTCAAACGTACTTGTTCCTTCTTACGCGCCTTCTCACGCTCCTTTCTCTCCTTCTCCTTCTCCTTCTTGGACTTCACACGGAACTCGCCCTCCTCAGGCTCTTCGGCCTTGGGAACAGGAATATCCTTGATAGGCTTCTTCGCAGCCTTGCCGGCGAAGACATCATCGTCATCGAAAGTGCCCTCTTCGGGAGCCTTGCTGTCGAGATCAACGGCAGGGTCCTCACCCTCAACGAAGTCGTTGACCTTACCCTTCTTCTTCTTCTTCTCCTTGTTCTTCCTCAAGGCAGCCATGAGGCCACCGCCGCCCGCGGCTTCCTCCTCTTCGGCATCCTGGGGCTGGTCGGTGGGAGCACCGGCGGGGGCAGACTCGCCGAGATCGGCTTCCCAGTCCTCCTCTTGCCGCTTGTTACCCTTATTCTTAGGAGGCATTGTGTCGGGCTTTTGTGTTTGGTTTTCTCGGTGTTTCGGGATCCGAGTCGAGGGTCGATCGGAGAATCGTGAGCGCACAAACGGAGCTAACCGTTCACGGGCGGGTCGGTTGAAATTTTGCGTTTAAGCAAATTTCAAGTTTTAGAAAGAGATCGAACAGGTCGAACACGGGTCCCCGGAAAAGAATGGTTAGGTGGACCTAGGGGAGGGGTGGGAGTGAAAAAGAATTTCGGGAAGAATCAATGGTGGGGAACAATGTAGTCTGACTTCAAGTTGGTTGCCACTGCTACGTGAGCCACTAGCACTCGAAGACAAAATGACACGGTCTACTTTTTGCATAGAGACTTTGTAAAACACATTTTCAGAGGACTCCTAGATATTGTCTACAAAGAAGTTCACATTTAAGCAGACTTATTTAATACGTAGCATGAGATGTCACTGCCCGTTTACTCAAAAGTTACACTGTCGTCAGAATACATACATGTGAAACAAAATCGCTAGAAGTTGGCCATTCGACGATGAATCAAAATTGCACCTGCAGCAAGGTGCGGAGCCAGTGGATGATGTACCGGTCATAATTCCACGACTCTCCCAGCACCTCCTTGGCTAGTTCCCGAACATGGGAACCGAAGAACTCTGCCTTACGAGCAGTATCAAGCCTCAAAATCATTTGCTCAAGATATTCAGGATCATGCTGAGCAAGACGGGCAAGGATGTCTCCGTCAATATAGCGGTTGTCACTGTGAACCTCTTCCCACAGAGGGTTGGTGCGCTTCTCACGCGGAAGTGCAGATGGACATATAATTGGGTCTTTGAGGCACATGTTCTGCAACAGCCAAAGGAGCTGTAGCTCGTTCTTTCTCAACAGGGAGAACCTGTACACTGCACCATTGAGTGCAAAGCCAAACATGGAGGATCCTCGCTGCCAGGGTGTCATTGGTGTAAGCTCGCTCATGGAGTCGAGGACGAAGCGAATGATCGTATCTGATAGGCGGATCTCCGCTGGTTGGGAAACAGGGCCCATGCCATTGGGATCTTTTCCTAGTTTGGAGATGCGAACACCTCCACCACGGCTGGCCATGAATGCCAAAGGAGTGCGACCTGGGCAAATGTAGTGAGCTACGCCATCGCGCTGCACATCGTCCCATTCGCGTGTCTTCAACGTCCCATCAACCACTTCGAAGATCATGAATCCATGGCGTGCGGTAGTCACGAAAACAAACGGTCCAAAGACGGTGATTGCTACTGCTGCCGAGGGGAGCTTCTTTGAGGTATCACGAGCCCATCTAGTCTCCGCACTGCGAGCTGTCACTGGGAATATCATCCTTCCTGCCCCGACAAGCAGACTGTCACGGAAAGGTGCAATTGCACGCACAGGACCATAATCGAGGCCAGTCACATCGTGCACATACTTCGTTGTGAACTTTACACGTGACGGATTGATTGGATCACGATTCGCATTCAAGATGATAACCCGACCCTGAGCACCCTCTGCATCCAGTGCTGGGAGTGAGGTGCCCAGCACGATGAGATGGTACTTATGACCGTTTTTCTCAAACGACCAATCCAGAATGGAACTGATTGTCTCGCCTGGAGCGCTCTGAGGATTCTCGGGGCTCATCAGATTCAGCTCTTCCTGATGCTCGACAGCATTCTGTGAGTCGGGATCTACACATTCAATATACGAACGTGTTGTGATGTGATTCGGGGCCGAAGGATCCTCAACCCTGCTGATGCTGTAGGAAACAAGGAGGCTTCGAAGATGTTCTGAATACGTCATTTTGGTGGCGGTTCCAGGCAAACCAATGCGCCGAGGAATCATCTTGGGCCCCTTGTACAGATGGCAGATCAAAAGCTCTCCATCTGCGAAACAGAAAAGGTTCCCCAATGCTGAAGCTTGCGAGCTAAGAAGTCCGCAGCCATGGAGCTTGATGGGGAAGTACGCAGGCTAGCAACCGTTAGATTTCGTCGCGGGAAAGGTAAACCGTATCATCAACTTACGTTGTTCTGTTCTGTGATCCAGACCCTATGTAAAATGCAACCCCATGGAAGCCCGTCAAGAGGATATGTAACCCGCCAAAGCTCGTCTCCACACACGAGCAGCGCAAACGTATCCTTGCTCTGTACCCGGACAGACGTGGTTCCAATTCGTTTGGGATCTTGCTGAACGAGGGCTATAACGTGTATTCAATAAGCAAAGGCATTGTAACGAATATGTCTTTCACTTACTAATCAGGGAAGAACCCTCAAAGTCCACTTCGAATGGGACAAGAATTCCACTTCGTAGACCACACAGCAAGAAAGCGTGCAGGGTGCCGTTCAAGGTGACGCGAATGGCGGAAAGACTGTCGATTGCTCGCGAGATATCATCACTATCGCCCACCTTTACTGACGTCTTGCAGAAGAATGTGATGACACCATTCTCAACGCGGAAGACCCTCAATGTTCCACACCCAGAACCCACGAAGATAAACATCATATCCCCGAATTGTTCAAGGGATACACAAATGGGCTCAAATTCAATCTTGAGCGCCGGACCAACGTCTAGACGGACTTCATCATCTTTCACAATAACGTTTGCAAAATAAAGGCTAAGAACGCCATTTTGCCGTAACGCAGTTACCACAGACGAGTTCGGGCCGTCGACATCAACTGCCAGAAGGAAAGTGCCAGGTTCGTGTAGGAGCCGGGCATTCAATGACAGATTTGGAGGTACAAACAGATGTGTCGCATTTTCAGTGACCTGAATAATAACACCCTCAGGAGTGCAGCCAGCTGCTAGCGTCTCAGCAATATCCAGCCCCGTCTCACTCTCATCAAGGGCGCCGATGTCTCCTTCCGGAGTCAGATAGAGAAGCAGGGTAAACACAGGATCGGTTATTAGAATGTAAACACCGCCATTGACGTCGTCGTTAATTGCCCACAGGTTTCGAATGCCTGTAAAGTGTCCAAGGGGAGCCTGGAACCCAATTTGAGCCTCAATACCATGTCGAAGCTCGTGGAGTGCTCCGTGGGAGGAAGAGGACGCAGAGCAAACGAAAAGACGATCCCGAGAGACCTGCTGGCGCGGCGTACATTTGGCATCCCAGCGTATCATGACCGCATCGGTGACTGGGGCCCAGTTGAGGAATCGCTGTTCGCATATGGGTGGTTTCCTCGCCTCCAGTTTGTAGAGACCACCGTCACCCATACTTCCCGCTGCCATGATGAAGTCGCCACCCTCATGGCCCATATCAAGAACGTCGAAAGCTAAGTCAACGTGGAAATGAAGCTGGCCCAGGCTGGTTGTGAGTTCAAGTTCGCCCTCGTTCGAAAATTCGAGATAGTATGTCCAGCCGTCTTCGCGACAAAGGTAGATTCCGTCATATTTCTGGCTATAGAGCCAGTTGCGCGCAGGTCTCGCCCAACGAGTCCATAGAGGTGCTTCTGCCACTTCCTTACTGGGGGCAATCAGAGGATACCGCGCGGGTCGAACATAGTTGTTCAATGAGTAAACTGCCATGCCGGTCGTAGTAATGACCAAGAAGGAAGATTCCTTGGTCAACGGCGCGATCATGGCCGGCATTCTGTCTGGTCTGGGCAACTTGAACTCAAAGTGCTGTGGGGGATCGATTGCAGGGTCCTGGCCCTCCTGCCATTCATAGACCGAGCCATATGTAAGCCCCTTCCTGACCAGAATGATAAGCAAGATGATTTGCTTATCAGTCACGCTTTTTGGATAGAGGAATTCCATGAACATGATGATTCCCTCGCACCTATAGAAAGTTTCCTGAATTATACTTGGATCAGCATATGCTACATAGATACATAGACTCCCACGTACTTTTTGGATCGGGTCCAAACGGTCTTGAGCGAGCTGGAGTTGAATTTCTCGAGAGGATTTGAGCCGCAAAAATCCAAAATAGTTGCTTGAAGCACTGATTGCGATAGCACGAGACCTACATAATGATTAGTATAGACATCTACCAAGCCTTAGTAGAGATGGCCCTACTTTGGATCAACAGCAATGTGCTTTCCGAATTTCTCGGGTAAGTTGACATCAATTGGAAGTGGTCGGCGGAAGGTGATAAATTCCCCTGGTGAGGAAGGCGAACAGCACAAGAAAACAAGTTGTTTCATTTCCAGCGAGAGAACAAGAATATGAGAAGGGAGCTTGTCAAGGACTTCTGGAGTGATATAATTTCTGGCGGATGGATCATGAGTCTGTAGCTGTGACTCCCAGGGTAGCTGGGTGCTGACGCTGAGGACTTTGGCCCCAACGATAGAGCCGGTAAAGTCGGTTTTTTCAAGCACATCTTCGAGGAAGCCACCCACAGTAGCCTGTTTGATTTGGACACGTCGTTGTCCCACAAAGACAACATCGTTGTGATTCCTGTTCCGGAGCCTCGCTGGGAGTATCCACTGCGTGACGGGACTAGGGAGAAGAGTCTGGGTGAAGACGCCGAGGGGCCCAGTGAGTTCTTGTGGCTGTTGAATTTCAGGAGACGCACTTGGGCGGCTCTCTGATATTTGCGAATTCATCGTTTGTAGACGTCAAGATGAAGATATAACATGGGGGAAGGAGGGAAGTCGCAAAGGGAGACCGGACGAGTCCAGGAGATGCACAAGACCCGACGAGATCACTCCAAGACCGATAGAGCTTGGGTATAAAGCGTGGAAAGAAATATGGTTTCAAAATACCCCGTTCGCCGGGTTTTGTACAAAGTGGAAGGCCGTATGATTCTCCAAACCAGAATATCACCTCTCCAGGCAATAATTGTCGAAGACCCACGTCTAGGACTGGAACAGGGAGTAAAGATGTCGATCTATAGCAGGGGTTGCTATGCCATTCTAAACAGATATGAAGCACTCTCAGTAGAGCATCAGTCGTGTTACTGGCATGTATGGATGCAGATGCCGTGTTGATCTATCGTTGACTTCACCGGTTGGGAATATCCAGAATATAGACCGAGTTGCAGTTTTTTTGTTGAAGCAAATGTTGAGCGGTATCAAATAGCCTGAATGTGCCACGTTAATACACAGCCTTAGAGATGGAAGCAAGAGTCAGATGGAGATACCCTGGGACGTCAGCTTCGAGACGGGGCTCCAAAATATGAGCACGTGAGAGACCTTTTTTAATGTCACTAGACATCAATCAAAAAGATCGCCAAGTGCTAAAGCTAGTGATAAAGCCTGCTAGAATGTTGTATAAAGTAGCTCTGTCCGAGCTACGTGCACCACCTGCGGGGTGATTTCCCTGATGACTGTCGACCTCGGAGATGGAGGCCAACCTGATGATCAAGTTGCGAGAGAATATCACGTGCCTTTGATCTCTAGTTCTGCGATCTCCCCAGCCGGATCAACAGTGGATGCACGAGTGCTTGTGAAGTGAAGCTGCCGTGTTTTTGCAGGTGGAGGGAATCACGTTGTTGTTGCCTCAGGCCGCGAGCCGGGACCGCGCAACTCGCTATCTCCTTCATTCCAATATGCACTTATCATCAGCAAGTTGTGCATAAAGAAACGTTTCGGTCGGTCTCTGAAGCTCTCAACGACTCCCAGACGGCAAAGCCTTGTATCTGGAGCTGCTGGGCTTATAAAGCCAGCAATATTGCTGCTGTACCCCCTTTCAGAAGTCGACGTCAATCAAAGTGTGGGATACTTGGCTGTGCGCCGGAGAGCACACCCAACTAGCTTCGGGGCAGCTTCCCAAATTTGGATTGTGGATTCTTGTTACGCATGCATATCTCTAGATAATTACGGCCTAGTTGTGGAATTCGCTGAACCTCCACATTGCATGAACCGCAGCTATGGATTCATCAAGCATAAAGCAGCTCAATAGCAGCACTTCAGAGGCATCGGTCTCCACGGCCGATGAGAAGCCCACCAGTTTATTGACAGATCAACCAGCAGAGTCACTGGAGTCTCAGCAAAAGGCCAAAGCTAGAGCGGAGAAGGCCGAAACCATTCGTCAGGCATGCGACGCGCGCGACATAGAGACATTGATATCCTCTGCCATCACCAAAGGCGGGCTTCTTGATGATGAGCTGCGTCAAAGAGCCTGTACGTTCAATTCAATTTTGCCTTTGAAGGATACGACTAATAATATATGCCAGGGCCAATTCTACTACAGTGTGATGAAAGCACAAGATTGGATGATTCGAAACCCCTGAAAGACCAGTCGCGACATCTCGACGAAGACCAGGTGCAGTTGGACGTTGACCGGTCCTTTGTATACTATCCAAGTGGTGGGTTGAGGTACAAAATTGCATGGTGTCGAACTTGACTGACGGATATTGTCTAGCCCCTGCAGAAGAACTATCCGAAAAGAAGAAGCAATTATCATCTTTGATCACTCAGATTCTCAGGAATCACCCGATGTTATGCTATTTCCAGGGCTACCATGATATTGTGCAAGTCCTTCTCTTGGTTTTGGGCAAACAGAAAGCTTTACCAGCTATGACACAACTATCTCTCTTCCGCATCAGGGACTATATGTTACCGTCCCTCTCACCGGCCGTGAAGCACCTGCAACTCATTCCAGCCATTATCGAAACCGTCGACCCGGTGTTACGGCATCACCTCTCTACTATCCAGCCATTCTTCGCCCTTGCAGCGACACTCACGCTCTATGCTCACGACATCCAGGAGTACAGTGACATCGCCCGACTCTTTGACTACCTCTTGGCTCGCGAGCCAGTGGTCGCGATCTACCTGTTCGCGGCAATCATTCTTTCTAGAAAGGAGGAGCTTCTTGATATCCCATTGGAAGAACCAGAAATGCTTCATTTCAAGCTTTCAAAATTACCATACCCGCTTGACTTGGATAGTCATATTTCGAGCGCCGAGCGGCTCTTCAAGGATCATCCTCCCGAGTCTCTACCCTCCGGCGCATGGAAGCATATCCCTAGCTGTAGCGTTCTCAAAACAACGCGGGACCCTTATCACGCGTACACCGTGAAAGAGGCTGAACGACTGTTCAAGCAGCAGACGCGACAGCTTCAGAACGAGGAGCGCCGTCAACAAGCGCTTGAATTTGCGTGGAAACACCGCCGGGCTGTTGGATCTGTGGCCTTGGCCATTCTTGTCGGTGCTGCATCGATCTACATTCGCAAGAAGGGCCTCGATACATCCATTTGGTCCTATGTCGGTTGGCTCCGGGGTGTGTTCAAGGGCTAGATCCTTTGTTCACCCTTTAAACCTCCTTATCCGTGCTGCAAAATGTATAATACTGGTCCAAATGGCTTAGTACTATTATGGTCAAAATCAAAAAGTAATATTTATCAATCAAGACTCAAATCAATTGAAAACGTACATTTTCAAGTAAGTCAAGGTGAGAGCTATGGAAAGCGGAGTGGCTAAGTGTGGCGCTCTCCCGCTCGGGGAAAGCTGATGTGTACACTTCCCAACTCCCGATAACAACTTCCCAAATCAATCCACCACCATGGCGAACCGTGGCTACGACGTTGTTGTCGACGTGGACGCCGAGGTAAGCAGTCATGATCTCTATTCGTCTACCGTTAATCTCTCACACAGCAACAGGGCGATCTCGGACACACCGACCTGCAAGAGGACCTTGAATTCCACCCGTCCAGTGAGCCCCCTCCAACGGCAACAAATCCCCTTCTCAATCCAGGTAACTAAACATTGGACTCTCACCGTGTCTCAGACTTTGAAAGCGATCAACGCACCGCCAAAGCCCAAGCCGATTCCGCCCCGTTCCTAGGCGGCAGCTCCTCGCGCGGCCGTGGCCGTTCCCCTGGCGGCACGCCGACAAAGCACACCTGGTGGTCCATCCACTACTACGAGCGGTTCTTCGATGTCGACACGAACGAAGTAATGCGCCGCTGCATGGCAACCCTGTACCCACGATCGAACTTCCTGGACGTGCTCGAAGGCAACGCCGACCTTTACGGACCTGTCTGGATTGCGACGACCGTTGTAGTAATCCTGTTTTTGACGGGAAGCATCTCCCAGTGGCTCTCGAACAATGATGACAAGCACTTCGAGTATGACTTCACGCTGCTGTCTGGGGCGGCGGGCTTGATTTATGGCTACACGGGTATCTTGCCTATTGCGCTGTGGGGAGCTCTGCGCTGGTTCGGGAGCTCAACCGCTGATTTGATCGAGTGCTGGGCTCTTTACGGATACTCGAACTTGGTCTGGATTGCTGTGGCGCTCGTTAGCTGGAGCCCGTTGACTGCGCTCAACTGGGCATTAGTTGGTGTTGGTTTTGCTTGGACTGTGTTCTTCCTGCTGCGCAACCTCTATCCGGTTATGAATGCCACGGATGCTAAGGCCAGCAAAATTCTCTTAATTCTGGTTGTTGCGCTGCACGCGGGTCTGGCTATTGCCATTAAGATCCTTTTCTTCGCGTGGGTCTTTCCTTTCCCTGCAGTTAAGTTGCGACTAATTTACCTTCACAGCCACGGAAGCCCGGTCTCGAAGAAGAATAAGGACACCGGCAACGCCGATGACGACAACCAGCGGATGATGTTCTAAAGCACAGACCGAAAGAGTGGAAGTCTGGCGGGGTTGCGATTCTGGACACTTTAGCAATTTTGCTCCGGTAGCAATGGATTCCTTGTGTGCTTTTTTGGCGTGGTCTTTGGGACTCGATCATGTATCTGTATTGTATGTGTTCTACGTGCTGTCGGCGGCTCGTACAAGTTCAATGAGTAATGCACCTGCAATCAAACATTGCCTCTAGCCATTACGTAGTTAAGGTACTCCGCGACGCGTTATGATAAGACTCAACCGAAAGCACCAATCTAGACCCTCAATTGCAGTTACCCCGCTGTAGTAAAAGCAAGAGAGTTCTGGCCAATCTTGGGTTGGAGACCACATAGCATACGTAGAGCCCAAAAAGCTTTCCTACAGAACGAAGGCATAGCCCGAGCAGTGTTGGAATGTTTTGAACTTTTACTTCAATTCATGGACACCGGGCTTGGAAGCCGAGAGGAGCCAACTAACAAAAGTATGACTGTGGCTGTGATTGTTTCATCATTTCTTTAACGCCATGTGTAAACCTCTCCATGTCGCGTTCCAGCCATACCCCAGACCTGGATTCCTGACCACAGCACACCGAGCACAACACCAAAAAGCGAGTCATCTATTTGAGCTTCTTCTTGGGGCGGAGCTGGTTGGTGTGACCGCATTTCTTCTTACGGCAGTTGGTGGCACGGGGAGGAAGACGGGCCTATGCAGAGTTCGTGTTAGTCTATTGTTCTGATGGTAGTCGCAATATGCCGTAATGGTCTCCGGGCATTGTTGGAAATAGCATTGCACAATTCAACCGGCATATCCAAGGGGTAGACGTACGTAGCACTTGCGGCAGATGGACTTCTCGCAGTTGTACTTGGAGGCAAGGGCCTTCAGGGAGGGCTCGATGATACCACCACGCAGGCGCAGGACGAGGTGAAGGGTGGACTCCTGTAGTTGGTGCCATGTCAGTCACTATTCCACCAAAAACTAGTCGCGATCACAGTAAAGGTCCGGGCTTGATCTTCCTCTTTCGTGTCGCAGACAGTGTCGTAGTTGTTGGCGAATGTCAAAAACCCCTTCCACCTTCGAAGCAGATCATGTTCCCCAAGCCCGGTCCCACCATGAAAGAACATCGGATCCGAAATCTCGTACCTTCTGGATGTTGTAGTCGCTCAGAGTGCGGCCATCCTCGAGCTGCTTGCCGGCGAAGATCAGACGCTGCTGGTCCGGGGGAATGCCCTCCTTGTCCTGGATCTTGGTCTTGACGTTGTCGATGGTGTCGCTCGACTCGACGTCGAGGGTAATGGTCTTACCCGTCAGGGTCTTGACGAAGCTATTGAGCCGTATTAGTCCATATTCATTGATTCCTCCAAGTGCGTGTTGGGAACGGTCGCGGGGCGGTTCGCGGGCAACGAAGTGGTCGGGGATTTAGGGTGACATACATCTGCACTGAAAGCGCGGGAAAAGGAATATGTTAGCTCATCATGATCACACGGGTCTCAGGAATGCGTTGGCATGATTTGTAGGGCACGTACTGGTTGCGAGTTCTCGTTGGTGTCGGCAGTCGGTCGCTGAGTTCAAGGCGGAGGAGGCGATGCACATTTGAGCCTTTCTCGCTTAGCAAAGGTGGACCGACGGGGAGTGCCCTAAGCCCTAGCTGTCTTTCCGCTTCCGTGCCTGTCACGTGATATGCCCCAGTTTCCATTTTTGGATCGTCGTCATCCCGGACTATACCCTATTTTTGCGAAAACAGGACAATGTTCATCGCAGTCTAGACTCGGATATTTCGGTTCATTTCTACATATAGCAATTGACAGATATCCAGACTCTAATGTAATAGCAATGCTATCAGTATAAAAGCTGCTACATTTCTTGTCACGTTCAAAATTTGAATGGATTCATTTCTTGTAATCAATACCCATCGCTCATGCAAATGAAACCCATATCTAGAATTCAACTATGCCTAAATCATGAACCCTCTTTCGCCTCAAATTCGGACTTTTCCTCGTCTGTCTCATCCATCTCGGTGCCATCGCCGTCATCAACCTCCGCCATGCCCCATTTAGTCATATAGGCTTCGCGCCGCTCGTCTTCCAGCCATTTGGCAATTCTCCATTCAGTCACAGAAACAGCTCGCACGAGGGTTAGCAACGATATGGAAGCCAGATCTGCCACAATTTCATAAAATCTGCGGGCTGTTTCAGGAAGTTGAGACTCCCATCTATACCGACGGTACCATGATCCTGGTCGAATTCGGTCTGCATCTTCGCTTGGGTTGACTGGTGCGCGTCCAAGGGCGACCATGACAGATTTGAGAACTCGCTCAAGAGCTTCATTGGGATCGGAAGACTCGCTCTTTGGTTGATTGTGTGGCTGCGATCGACTGGGCGAGAACAGGTCGGCAACGGGGTGCTTTGACCTGTAATTATCTAACCAGCTGCTCTCATACCAGTCCATATACTGGTCCAGCTGATCGGGCTCCATTTGTAAGACGTCGTGATCGTTGACTCGAATAAGCGTCTCTTTGTCGAGCTTGTCGTCTTGGGCCATGGAGAGGTGTTCGAACCATTTCTGATTGTATGCCCATCTGGACCAGTCCATGGTCTGGGTGGCAGGTTCTCTATGTGAGGCCGTATACCGCTTCACATCATCAAATGGGAAAATAAGCTTTGTAGAAATGACAAGAAGTACCACCAGCTGCACTTCCGGTAGCTTGAGCGAGTCCCTTCGTTTTTGACTTTCAAGCACGCTTGGGTATGTGAAATTGAAGTCAATGAGTTGTTGCAGAGTCTTGACTGTGTCGTACACATCGACTAGATATTGTCAGTGTTATTTCTCTACAGCATGAATGAGTGAGATAGGTATACTTGGAATGGCCAGCCTTTTGATGTGTCGATAAAGAATAAGAGGTGAATTCAACGGAGGAAGCGCAATTTCAAAGCGGCGTTGATAGTATATCACCAAGTCCCTACATCCAGTATGTATTTGTTCCGCTTTTGGGAGATGCTTTACATAAAGGTCAGCAGACGTTTGACTTGGTCAAGCTACACAGAGTGAACCACTCACAACAAGGTCGATAAGCGAGATTAGCTCGGGAGGGAGTTTATCTCGCATGTCTCGGGGTACACTTCTGACCGCCCGGATATAGGGAATTTCCTGGCGTATAATCAAGCTGCAAATTTCAAAACATACGTTAGAGCATTTTTCATAGAGCAAGAAGGCACAATATCCAGGACGCCTAGAAAGACGTCTGTGGCAGGTACGTACTGATAAAAGTCACTGACACAGATAGGAAGTCGCATCAAGAGAGCTGCCAGATAGCAGAGACCGACCGTGTCAAGCATACGAGGCCACTGAAGATATTTTCCTCTTGCCTTGAACCCAAGATCGTCGGATTCGTCGGTGTCAGCGGCCTGAGAGCTGAAGACTTCGCGCTCGCTCTCATCATCTTCGTCATCTGCGGACGCATTGATCCGCAGTGTAAAGCCTTGAAGCCGTAAAGCCCAGAGATCTCGAACAACGGCCTGAACAATGTTAGTTCCCGTGGTTTGTTATTCATTTCGAAGCTTGAGGGGCCGTTCCTCGGACTCACCTCGAATTCCTCTGGGAAGCCATGATCATTCACCAACGCATCGCATTGCTTCCACAGAATCAACTGATACGCCTGTAGGTATAAAGTAGCAGCTTGTCGACCACGATAGGCTATTGCTCACGTTTAGCGGTTGAATAAAGTCGACGGGATCCGACATACTCCTTCGAGACCTCTCCTCCTTCTCCTTCTTCACCCGGTGCCTTTGACCCTGAGTCCCGAAATCATCCGGATCTTCTTCAATTTGTTGACCCTGCAAACAGTCTCAGCCATCGAGACCAACGAATAGCAGGCTTCCCCGCTTTGTGACTAGTCAAGATGCGGGGAGGGGGGATTGAGCGCAGGGCAAAAAGAGACATGCATACTTCTTGTAAGTGGCCGCGCCGACAAAACCAGTGACCGTTGTCGAGATAATATCGTCTCTCACGGCATCCCTCCTGGCCGCATACCCCGCGGGTGACATAGTCCATGCCGAAGCAATGTGAGCATGCTGGTCAGGCAAGGAATGTTCGCCTGCCAGTGAATGTTCGATTTTCCGGAACATATTTTTTCTGCCCAGCGGACCGCCGATGCACCCCTCCTATTTGTATTGACCTCCAGGGATGCAACGAGAAGCTTTAGATATGTCAAAGAAAATGTAGGATCATATAGTAGTTTCTTATTTCCAAGTCTGTCTGCACTCTTTTGTAGTCACTTCAAAAGTCTAGCACTTCGGTGTCCACCACAGCCTTCTAAAGTTGAGAATATCCGTGATACACTGCATGTGGGGATATACCTTACGATTATGGAGAAAAAAGAATTGAGCACAAATAAGATTTACGTATTTATTCGTTCGTCACACTATCATGAGATGCTGGAACTCAGACTGGTCTTCGGCCAACGGGTATGATGTCAACCAAAGCAATCCTTCTCGTCGGTACAGCCTACATCCAAGGCTAAATGATGGACAGATCTTGATCTTTTGAAGCAGCAGACGAAGTCGTCAGTTGTCAAGGATTGACATCCTCCATGGAACCATTGAAGATGAATTTTTTGGGGGGACAGAAGCCCCATTTGAAACGTAAAGGTTGACATAACATGTTGGAGACCCGGGGGTATTGCACTTATTTGCCCTGGGGAGCCTCCTTGGCATCAACGGCAGCCTCCTCACCCATGGCGGACTGGATGATGACGTCTGAAATCGGATCGTTAGAACGGAAAGATTCGGGGGAGATTGCCGGTTGACTTACTGGTGTCCTTCTCCTCATCCTTGAAGAGCTTGGTGATACGCTGACCAATGTCGTTGTCAGGGACCTTGACATCATCCTTGGTGTCACCGTCCTCCTTCATCAGGGAAAGGAAACCATCATCGGTGATATCGAGCTATGGAGAAACCGCAATTAGTACACGGTTGTATACAAGAGACATGGGCTTTAGCAAAACTCACCAGCTGGTACTCAGTGCGCTGAACGTGGGGGACATCCATGTTGTGGGTGGAAGGGGACAGATCCTCGAGCTTCTTGCCGGTGAAGATATCGAAGGCAGTGATGTTAACCTTGGCGTGACCGTGCTTGCCGGTCTTGGAGGTAGACATAGAGGCAATCTTGCAGGGGCGACCCTTGATGACAACGTGACCACCCTGGCGCAGAGCAGAACACTGCATGGGGTAGGTGGTCGAGGCGCCGGCATCGGCAGAGTCGAAAGTGAAGTCCTAATTCCATGTTAGTTTGTGGCTGTAAGGTGGGCGAGAGGGGTTGCGTGGTGTAAAAGAGGGGAGTCGCAAAAAGATGCGGGGCTCAGAGAGCCCAAGGAGCCAAATGGGTCGAGAAGAAGGGTGTAGAAAAGATTGTAATAGGGGAAGGCAACATACCCGGTCGTCAGCCATTGTGATGGTAGTTTCGAAGGTGAGGTGGGTTTTAAAGGAGTAAAAGTCGAGATGGAGGAAGGAAAGAGAAGTTTTCTCGACAGAAAAAGCATTTGTGGTGGGGGGTTTGGTCGCTACGTCCTATTTGGGTTTAGTGTCTCCGGGGCCGCTTTGGCTTCCAAGTCTCGATTGTATTGTACGTGTATTCTACGCGATTCCCGGCTTTCGATTCCTTTGCTATTTCTTGCGAATGATGTGGCGCGATCGCATTTCAGGCCAATCGACTCCCTCGGGTGCTCCTCGAAATCCTTCGTTACCTCGTCGATCCTCCTCTCAGCTCTCCCGTGACCCCTACAATCGCCCTAGAGCCGCCTCCAGAAACTCGTCCACTTCTCTGCTGTTAACTCCGAGCGACTCGACGACATCTCTTCCGGGAACAGGAAGACCTTCCAATGGCGTAGGCCTAAGGCAAACAAGCGCGCAGCGATCGCGCCCGGCTGTTGTACCTGACCCGTTGGAGGTATTGAACGGGATCATTGGCAAGGAGAAAGAAAAGAAGCACATTCCACATTTATCGACCGTGCCGGATAGACCAATAGAGCTGGTTGAGGCTATTAATTTTGACGGATTGAGTCTGGAGGAGTTTGCGGTCAAAGCCGACCCGATACCGACTCGAAAGGCACGGGGCAGTGAGATCAATGCTCAGACGGTTCAGCAATTCGAACAGGAGCGAGACAAATTCGAGGAGCTGCACACATCAATTGCCGGCTGTGACGATGTGTCCAAGTCAGTGGAGCTGTATTTGAATGACTTCCAGACCGAGCTGGGGGCGGTGTCTGCGGAGATTGAAACGTTGCAGACCCGCTCGACGCAGTTGAATGCCATGTTGGAGAACAGGCGCAATGTGGAGAAGCTACTTGGCCCGGCTGTGGAAGAGATCAGTATCTCACCGAAAGCTGTGCGTACGATCGCCGAGGGGCCCATGGATGAGAGCTGGGTGCGCGCCCTGAATGAAATTGATGCTCGAACAATGAGCATCGAAACCAAAGCAGCTTCGTCCAATGGATTCAAGGCCATTGAGGATGTGCGCCCACTGTTGGTTGACTTAAAAAACAAGGTAAGCGACGGCCAAGAAAATGGGCATTGGGCTGCAATTGACCACGCGACAGGCGATCGAACGCATTCGTGATTACTTGGTATTGCAGATCAGAGCAATGCGATCACCGAACATCAACTCGCAAATTATCCAGCAGCAGCGACTACTGAGGTTCAAAGACCTGTACAGCTATCTATCAAAAGCCCACCCCAAACTTGCTGGAGAGATTTCCCAAGCATACATCAACACAATGCGCTGGTATTACAATTCCAACTTCACCCGTTATCTCCAAGCACTCGACAAGATCAAAGTTTACCCCAGTGATCGAAATGAAGTCCTCGGAGGTGATCATTCGCACCGGTCCGGTTGGTCCTCCCGATCCACATAACTTTTACACACGCTGATGATCGATAGGGAACATTCTCCCAGGCGGCCGAGCTGGCTCTGCCGCACATGATCCTTTCTCATTAGGTCGACGCATTGATATCCTTCGAACCGGAAACCAACAGGCATTATCCTCTTTCCTGGCCGAAGAAGATAATACATATCATGGCATCGAAGCGCCATTCCGAAACTTCAATGTCGCTCTAGTGGACAACATATCTGCTGAGTACTCTTTTATGACTGAGTTCTTCTCTCCCCTGTCATTCCACCAAATCTCGCGCAAGGCCGTGGAAGTATTTGAGCCTATCTTTGCACTCGGCCAAAACTTGACCAAGAAACTTATCGAGAATACCACTGATTCTCTGGGTGTTCTCATGTGCGTTCGCCTAAACCAAAGATCTGCATTCGAGCTCCAACGACGCAAGGTGCCTGTAGCCGATTCATACGTGAACGGGATCAACATGCAGTTGTGGCCTCGCTTCCAGGTCATTATGGACCTACATTCAGAGTCACTCAAACGGGTTGGCTCCAATACCGGTCGCAGCGCGGTCTCCGCCTTATCAATCGCAGGCGGAGATGATTTGAAGAACTCATCAGCCCCGCATTTCCTCACGCAACGGTTTGGACAACTCATGCATGGTATCTTGGTCCTAAGCAGCGATGCCGGAGATGATGAGCCTGTGTCGAACAGTCTGGCCCGGTTAAGCACCGAATTTGATGCCATGCTCGCCAAGCTGAGTCGAAATGGCACGGATGCAAAGCGCAGGGAGCGATTCCTATTCAACAATTATTCATTGATCTTAACCATCATTAGTGTACGTCTTCGAAGGACCAAGGACACCCGGACCAAATGCAAATGCTAATTGGAAACAGGATACCCAAGGCAAATTAGCAGTCGAGCAAAGACAGGTCAGTTCTTCAACTATTTTATAGAATTATTTCATACTAACTGGCCTGCAGCATATGGAGGAGATGCTTAAGAACTGTAGCAAGCGTTAGCGATCGTATGACATTTGCGAATATGTACATTCTGGAAATTGGCGTCAATGGCATTGTAAAGCGCTCCGAACATAATAAATTAACATACCCTTCCAATAAAGATTGAACTTCATGGTCGTAGTCACAGTTGTAGCTGTAGTTGCTTTATGGTTGATCTCGGACAAGCTCCGCCCCGCGTCAGCGGAGCCCATTATCGCGCAATTGCGGGGCCTGCTTTATCTCTACAGCTTCAATTGCTGCCCACAATTCTCCCCTGGCAAAAATGCTCGCGCGTGTCTTGAAGGGAACACCGGCTCTGCGCCGCTGCTTTTCCTCCGCGAGGGTTTCGCGAGCCGACTTTACCCATGCGGTGAGTCCTCCCCTGGGTTGCTCCGGTTCCTCCGTCGGATAATACCCTGAGCTGCATAGCAACAACCCAAGAGCCCCCCCCCCATTGACGCGGAACAGGTCATCGGCGCGGGCGTCGTTGGACTGGCAGTCGCACGACAGCTTGCTGCACGCGAAGGCACCTCGACGGTCCTCTTTGAACGGCACGATGCCCCCGGCACCGAGACTAGCAGCCGCAACTCAGAGGTAAGAACTCGAGAAACCGCTCCGCCGTGAACCCTCAATGGCAATTATGATTGAGTACCTAGAATAACACAACTAACTTTAAGACAGGTCATCCATGCAGGCCTCTACTACCCTGCCGACTCGCTGAAAACGCAGCTCTGCATCCGCGGCCGAAACATGCTCTACGATCTTTGTGCCAAGCACGACATCCCCCACCGTAACACCAAGAAATGGATTGTTGCCCAGACACCGGAGCAATGGGAAGCCTGCCTAAAGGTCCATAGACATGCACAGGGGCTGGGCGACGCGCCGACCCGGCTGGTCGGCAGCGACGAAGCGGCCCGTCGTGAACCTGATGTGAGAGCCGACGCGGGTATCGTGGAGAGCGAGACAACCGGGATCATTGATAGCCACTCGCTGATGACATATCTACATGGTGATTTTGAGAACCTCGGCGGCGACACCGTGTTCAAGACGCGCGTGACGAATGTTGAGGCCGTCAATGGCGAGTTCAAGATCACCGCCGTCTCCGACGAGGACGGTTCGGAGACAACTATCACCACGGAAACACTGATAAATAGTGCTGGACACGGGGCATGTGCTATCAACAACCTCATTCTCCCACCCGAGCGCCATCGCGTGCCGCACTATGCCAAGGGCACATATTTCTCCTATGGCGCCTCGCGACCTCGTACTTCCGTGCTTGTCTACCCCGCCACATTACCCGGCCACGGCGGATTAGGAACGCATTTGACGCTCGATATGGGTGGACGAATCCGCTTCGGGCCTGACGTGGAGTGGGTTGATGATCCGACGGATCTGAAGCCCAGCCCTACACGGCTGGAGCAAGCCATTCCAGAGATCCTGGCGTATATGCCCGGCGTTGATCCGTCGGCCATTGCGCTGGACTATTGTGGGATCAGGCCTAAGCTAGGCCGGGGCGCAGGTGTCAATGTTGGGAAGACGTTCCAGGACTTTGTGATACAGGAAGAGGAGGGCTTCCCTGGATTTGTTAATCTGCTGGGCATTGAAAGTCCTGGGTTGACGAGCTCGCTCGCTATTGGGGAAATGGTTGACGGCATTTTGTACAAATGAATTATTGTGTCCTTGCATAGCACAGCGTTGTTGCTTTTACACTATATAAACGGCGGAGCGAATAATGAACTTCGTGGATAAGTACGTACTAGGGACGAAATTCAATGAAAGTGACCTTTCCTGATTCATGTCCCAAGGCAAGAGTATTGCCTTTGACCGCGGAGCACACGGCTCGATAATCAGCGGGCAGCCATATTGCTCGTTCGTTTGGAAGCCTCAACCACATATTCTCGACCAGGAACGTCTTCGCCTCTGGTTTATCAAGACTGAGAGGAACTGTCTGACGCAGGCTTGGTATTTCGAAATATCCCAGGTTTGTCCTAAGACATGAACCATCTTTGCAAAACTCCAAGTCGGTGACTTCTCCATTAGCCCTTGAAGTCTTCCGAAGTTTGCCTGTGGCTGTATCCCAGAGGCGGATGGTTTCATCTTTCGAGCCTGATGCTATCAGAAGACCGTCCGGCGAGAAGGCCACCGACTCAACTGAGCGGGTATGCCCGTAAAGCTGAGGACGAGTAGTACCTGTGGCCGTATTCCAAAGACCGATAGTTGAATCCTTGGAGCCAGATGCTATTAACGAGCCGTCAGGGGAAAAGACCACTGACATGACCGGGGCCGCATGACTGCTGTTTGGTGGGCTAGATTGGACACCTGTGACTGCATTCCAAAGAATAATTCTGCCATCATCCGAACCAGAGGCAAGTAGGCGACCATCTGGCGAAAAGGCCACCGAAGTAACCCAGGATGAATGTCCTCTAAGTGTCCGTAGTAAAGAAGCGCCTGTAGCAGTATCCCAGAGACGAACGGTTTTATCATCGGAGCTGGTCGCTAGTAGCCGACCTTCCTGCGAGAAGGCCGCTGAGGTAAGTTGGTCGCAATGGCCCTCAAGGATCTGTTGTAGAGCCCAAGTGGTGGTTTCCCAGAGACAGACGTGGCGGTCAAAGGACCAAGAAGCGAGTAATTGGCTATCCTGCGAAAATGATACTCTCATTTTGATCGGGTCTGAATGGCCCTCCCGAAAGTCTCGCACCTGCAGTAGATCGCCCGTGTCCGTATCCCACAGTCGGACGGTCATATCGTTGGAGCAAGAGAACAAACGACCATCCGCTAAGAAGCCCACCGACGTAATTGTTGCCGAATGACCCGGAAAAGTCCGCTCAAGTTCGCCTGTAGCCGCGTTCCAGAGTCGCACCGTATTGTCGTCAAAGCAAGAGGCAAGCCGGCCGTCTACGGAGAAGGCCACCGAGCAAACCCAACCCGAGGGGCCTGTGAAAACATGCTTTATAGTGCCTGTGACCATGTTCCAGAGTCGTACCGTACTGTCGATAGAGCAAGAGGCTAGCTGGCCAGCCGACGAGAAGGCCACCGACAAAATCGGGTCCGAATGGCCTGTAAAAGTCCGTTCCAGATCTCCCGTAGCCGTGTTCCAGATCCAAAGTATTCCGCTGGTAGAACCAGACGCTAGTAATCGACCGTCTTGTGAGAAGGCTACTGACCTGACTGAATCATCATGATCGAGAGTCATTTGTAGAACGCCGGTGGTCGTATCCCAGAGCCGAACAGTCTCATCGTCAGCGCCAGACGCTAGCAAACGACCATCCGGCGAGAAAGCCACAGTTTGAATCCACCCTGAATGACCCTCGAGAGCCTGTAGCTCTGCGCTCCATCTTTCTGGAATATTGGATAATACACGTATCCAAGATGGGAGATCTTTTTCAAATTGCTTCCGAATCAGAGCCATTGTTGGTGCAAAAATAAGTCCTGCTCGATTGATTTGAAGAGGAAACTCGTCCGCCATCTGGCGAATCTTTAGAGCAAATCGTTTCGCATCATGCAAGAACTCGAACAGTCCCGGGTTTCATCTCTCTGTACATTTCAGCAAAATAGTAGCCAAGGCATCTTGTGGGCAATACGTACCTGTAATACCGACTGCAGTAGATCGATGTTTGCTACAACTTCAAATGTAAGACCCAGAAGGCACATTGCTTCAAACCAGTGCAAGAAATGGGTCTGGAGAAACGCGAGAACATCATCTACTTCGGTGATCAGCTCTTTGCAACGAGCTAGGTGATACACCCAGTAATGAGAAGCGTATTGAAACCCCAATGATAAATGTTTTTTGATGGACTGGGCGTCGACCTCTGTCCTTCGGATTGTAAATTTTGATAGATCGCAAATATTCTTTTTCAGCCCCTTAGAAGGATGACGCATGGCTGCAAGGCAGGATTTGACAATATTCTTGTGTGTCTTTTGCTCATCCACGCGGAAAGGACTCTTTGACAGAACCAGGCAATCTCGAAATGACAGGTGGAGAGTCCTAATCGGTATGTCGTCGTCGGTAGGTATGTTTAAAACCGAGTGGAATGATCTTAGTAGAGTTTTGATAGCCCACACCCTGATGTTGAGGAGCTGGGAGAAGGTATTGACCGAAAGAGGAACAGCAAGAATAATTATAGCGCCAATTATGTTTTTCAAATTTTCAAGTAGTTGTGTTGAATCTTCATCATCTTCACCTTCAAGGAGCCGCTCAAGGATTGGGAGATATGTCCGCTCCATCTTTGTGGCATATTTACTTTGGTCCTTGAGTAGTGCCTCAAGACGCACTGCTGGTTCAAACTTTTCATGTTCAAGGAATCGGCACACGGTGGCGGCAGAAATGAACAATGGGACTGAAATTGCAGTCAAGGCCAGAATATTTTCATTGCCAGGCCAGCCTGAGGGAAGGTCATCTCTACTATCTCGCAGCTTTGCAAAACGGGCATAAAAAAATAGCGATATGTCGCCTTGCGTCACTGCCTCTGGTATATTCTGAAGAATCAGATGTTGATGGTCTGTAATCTTCGAAAACCCTTGATTAATTGGTAGCTCCGGTCTGCTTGTCAAAAAGACTCGTACCCGTATAGCTGTTGGCTTCTGCAGTTGTGGGAGAAGCTGGAGGATAAGTTGAATGTCCTTGTCGCCTTCGAATTCGTCCAAGGCATCAATCACGATGATGACAGTCTGTATCTGGCCATGAGCAGACTTCAAGCTCAACAGAGGCCGCAGAAGAAGCTTTTCGAACTGCTCTTTCAGCGACATAGCTGCGATATCGGGTTCAGCAGAAAGTGCTTTCCTGATATGAGGAACCAAGCCAGGAACTCCCATCAATAAGCGTCTCGTAATTGTAGTAAAAAGCTTGGTGGCGCTCCCTCGGTCTTCTTCTCCCCTCCTGAAAAAGAAGCTAGCTCCCAAGAAGTTTTCATTCTTCAAGGATCTTGCCACTGTTCTCGAGATTGTCGATTTTCCTGTCCCTGCCAGGCCTTGGAGCCAGAAAATACACTTTCCGTGTGGCGACGTAGTCCACTCCATGATTTGCCTAAGAAGCTCGGTTCTGGTTCCCGGGAGACATTCATCCTCGTGTTGATTTATATGAGAGTTGAATTCAGCTCCGGATGCAGATGGTAACTTATGAAGGTCTAAATTTTTGTCGATGTCCTCTGTACGCTGATCCACGACGACCAAGATACGTCTAAAGACACATCAGCCAGATAGAAGCATAGAAGAGGATTCTGTCCATAACCTACGTCCCATCAATTTGCAAAGCAGCAAGAAATATTTCCCTATCTCTTCTTAAGCCTTGAATGATGCTATCCGTTTCTGCGCGCTTCAAAGGCCATTTCAAGGCTCGAACACCAAATCGCTTCATCAGTTGCTTTCCTTTCCCTACTGGGTCTCCGGGATTGATTTTATCTTCCAAGTCTTTCAATCGTGCGGAACAAACATTAATATGGCTGCATAGCTGCGAGGAAGAGCGCAGCTTTTCTCCACGAGGACTTGAAAGCAGATCCTTGAGCTCATAGAGCACTGTTTGAATATTTTTCAGTCTCTTGTAGGCGAAATATATCTTCTCGTGCATTCTTCACTTCCTTGATATAGCCCCCGCATATTTTCACAACAGTACCCGTGAACTGAATTACTGCGAAGATGGCCGAGACAGAGGAAACACCTTCCATACCGAGAAGATGCTGGTTCCACTTTTTAGGTCAAGCTGGTATTGCTGAGGGTTGAGGATTTTTGGCTAAGAAAAGCTGCCCCTGGCGGCTGAAGAGGGGTCAATTGGGCTCTCAGCCAAAGCGAGGCTGAGCTACAGCGTATCTTTTAGGCGCTGGGAACGTAGCCAGTCTGTAGCGTGCTTTACCAAGCGCTAACAAGGATGGACACGTATTCTCTTCTTGCAAACCTCAAGCTTGGAGTAAGCTCATCGAAAGTTTATGATTGAATGCTCTGATTCTACCCTGCTTGACGTGCCATCCTGGTTACCCTCGTCGTTTGAGGCGGAAGGCGGCAGCGAGACCGAGACATGTCCTGTCCCTGATAGCACGACTGGAACATTTTGAGACTTTTCCCGAGCTTGAAATTGGGTAATTACCAAATTGCGACACTGGTATACACGTTGTCTTGCTTAGCGCCCAGAGCTGGGTCTCGAGATCCATCTACGGGCGAGTGGGCGACAGTGGAGCGGTAAATCTTGCTTTCCAATTGGCTAAAACAGCATATAGCGGAACCAAGCCCTGGCTTCTGTTGGGCAGATGAGTTCCAGATGGCAGTCACTGCAAAAGGCAGGATGGTTGTCGGGCCCGAACATTTGAAGGCTCATGCGGCTTCTCACCTATATCGCACTTAAGTTCCACACGGTCCGGGCTGCACCTATCCTAAAAAGCCACAAAATGAAAGCGATTTTCTCGAAGTAAATTATATGTCATTCCGGTCATATTCATCTAATCACCTTGAAAGCCCTGTAAAGCCGATCCCACCAACCCATGAATGATAATACACGAGAACACAAATCTAAGACCGGGGCCAGCACCCCAGTCAGAAAAAGGAGTGGCTTTACTCCACGTCCATCAGCACATCACTCATAATGTGCAGCACGTAAGAAAACTTCTTGACGCTCCACTTCCCAGAATCCTTAAGCAGACTAGCGTAGTCCAGCAGGATCCTCCTGGCAGACTGGTATCCGCCCTGGAAAGGTACACCACGGAGGTAGACTGTGGCGCCATTGCGAATGAAGTTCACGGCCGGGTCATCGGTTGGTGAAAATGATTGGCTGCCTCTTGGTTCCATGAAGCTCGTGAAGCCTTCAGTGCCAACCTGCTGCCAATCAACCTCGTCCAGGAGCTCGATCGAGCCGACGCTGGAAGGCGTGCCGGCCGAGTTGGGTACCATGAATGTGTAAAGGCCCAGAACGAGGGCCGCGGAGAAGAGGGAGAAGACGGAGTGGAAGGTTGGATGGTCGGAGGCTTTGCGGTTGGTCATGGCTTTATAGATTTGCGCCGCATGAAGACAGGCACGTCGGGCTGCGGGGGTCTGTGACCATTCGGTGATGTCGTCGAGTGCTTTCCGAGCTGGAGCTGGCCCAGCACGACCTGCTGCGAAGTCGAAGATCTGGATGTCGGCTGTAAGCATCATACACATGTGATGCCACATGATGAGAGCATTGGGGTTGAGCCGGTCCATCGTTTCACCGTAGCTAGTCGCAATCTCTGATTGGAGTGACGGGAGACACCTTGCACGGCCGTCCATTGCGTACGTATGACAGGGCGCGAAAGGATATCCTGCACGATTTGAGAGAAGGCGGTGGTAGGCCTCTGACTGGCGAAGTTGAATCATTGCCAGTACTGCTTGGATGCAGAATTCATCCATGGGCCCTTCAAGCGTCGGGATGTTGATGTTCTCAGAAGGTGCCAGCACCGTTGGCATCAAAATCCGCTTGCCGCTACGGATGAGCTGGGTCCATCGCATCGACGAGTGAGCGCGGAAGAGGGCTTCGCTGCAGGGTATGATGATTTGGACAGAGTCTGGGATAATGACTGGGCTCGTTGAAAGAAGCGAGGAGTACCAGGAGTCCACAAGGAGGAGACCGATGACGACTCGTTTTGCGGATTCAACTTTGCTCCACGCCTTCCATCTCATGTCGATGTCAGGCACTGCCTCGAATAAACTCATGTCGAGAATTTGCCCTTCAGTCGCTGCAAATAGCCCATGTCGTTGAGTGATCTATGGAGAGCATTAGTATGGGAGCTGTAAATAAAAAGGGTGGACGGTGTTTGACTCACAGACATGAGATTGACGTACAGCATCTGACACTGTTCCAGATGGGCTTTCTCCTGACATAGAATTAGCATCAATTTTCAATTTCAGATGCAAAAGTTACATACTCCTGTCAGAACCGCTAAATTTAGAAACAAGAAAGCCGTTGCAAAGATTGACATGGCACTCGCTGGCGATTCAGCTCCCATAGTGCACCTTGCCAAGTCGGCTGTAATTTTTTCTAGGACGAACTGGTTGCTGTTAGTACTTGGTAAACGCATAATCGAGAGTCAAGCGACTCACTGTAAAATTCTTTGACACAAAGTTGGCAGTGCCTTTGGTGCCCAGCAACATCATACCAATTAGACACATTACGTAGAGGAGTGGTAGGCGGGTCCTCTTCGCAGAGAAGGTCGGGAGGTGGACGAATGGGACGAGAGGATGGAAAGTGCGCAAGTATAGATCTAACGCCATATCTAAGATCTCTGCAGGAGGAAAGCTTGGAAAAGGAGTGGAAGCTGAGCCAGTGGGAGTAGGAGAGGCAGCACCGTTTCTCGGCGACTGCATTTGCGGATATGCGAATGTCTGACCAAACGCAGCTTGCAGACGTCGTCTGCAGTCCTCGTCCACACCACATCTTGATCCTTGAAGCAAACCGCTGTCAAGCGGGGCCTGGGTGGAATGAAGAGAGAAGATATTGTCAACGTCCGCGTAGACAATGTCTCGCCACAAGCTATTCATGAGACGACCTGTGTGATTTGGGGGAGCAAGCCAGTAGCGCTGGACTTTGGTGAAACGCTCAATGGGAATGTTATCACCACCCAAGTTGCCGTCAACAGAATGGCGATTTGGCTGATCTGGTGTGACCACCATATTACTCTCACTCATCAGGGGAAAATGAGTATCACGCAACATGTCGAGCGAGCCATGATTGGATCCCGTGTCCGTGCGAGGCTCGAGCCATAACTGAAGCATATCATTTGGCACACTTTCAAAACCCATGCCATTCCGTTGAGTTTGATCGATGGGAGTTGGTTCATTCCAGCCGAAATACTGCTGCTGCTGGTCGTCCATGAGCATCGAATTGATGTCTGGTTCTGTTCGGCCATGATGCGCCGAGATATCTGCAAGGAAATCCAAGCTCGAGGGGGGAATTCCGGTGGCTGAAAGCGTCATATCGCGCGGTGTTGCAAGATTGGGGATTTGATGCGGATCCGTGCCAATAGTGGGCAGAAGAGGTGTCCCATTTTCAGGACCGCCCACCATTGGCGATGCGCCGGCTATCGCGGAGGGGCGCCGATTTTGAGCTTGCTCTGCCGTCGAAGCTTTCGCTGCCCCTGCAGTCGCCGCGGCTTGGTTGTGGCCTTTGGCGTGTCGACTCAGGACATCACTGCGGGTGAGTTAGTTTTTTCTGCGATAGCGCGATAACAAAGTTCCACCACGATGCGCCTGCGCGATTCCACGCGTTTGGAATGACCTTACCTTCTCGAAAAGCTTTTGTGACACACGTTGCATTCGTAGGGGCGCTCTTTGGTGTCTATATGTAGGTCAGCATCCAAACATGGATTTTTGCGGGACGCGGGGGACTGACGAGACCGCTCATGACGCTTGAAGTGCTCCGTCTTCTTGAACCGGCGGTCACATATGGTACACTTTCGAAGGACCATGACGAAGCGCACGGAGAAGCATTACAGAAAATGGGTCATGATTTCCGAAGATGGTTTGGGGAAGCTTCAACAGAGGCGGAGAGGGGGCCCCGGAGATCGGGTTAGTCAGCTCCGGGGTTAAGCCGATCGTTTGGTGACGCTGCATCTTTATGCCTTTGGAAACTGCTTTGGCTTAAATCTACCGAGGATAGGCCATCTAATGAAGCTAGCGTGGAGTCAATTCTAGGTGTTTTACGAGTCACGCACGAATGAGGGGAAACGGGCTGACCACCAGCATATCGCATGACCCCTAGCGCAAGCCACTGGAAATTCCCCGTGGGGAGAGAAAGGAAATCGCTCCGAACCCTAAGTGGCCCAGCCCCAGTTATTCCGCAGATCAACACAAGCTAGTTGCGAGCTCTTCAGAGATACTGCTGCAAAGAACGGGCTCAAGGCGCTACGATTCAGCGCAGAGAAAGAAGCAATCGTGACGGAGAGTGAACATGGGATGATTCAGCTGGCTTGCCGGGTCTCCCATTGGTCACGCCGTCAAATCGGCAATTGGTGGTGGCATCAAATACCGACGAACACACTGTAGATTTCCTCTGGATAAAATACACATGCTTCTTATTGACGAACAAGCTGCGCTAGACGGTCGTCATCGTAGAAAGTCTCTAACCGTTCCCTGCGAGCCTCGTTGTCTGCCTTGACTTGCTTGAGAATCTCCTGGATGTTGGGGTATGCAGAAAATTTGTCCTGTAATGATCAGCGTCGAAGTATGCCAATCCAATATTATGAAACTTACCGGCAGCGCATCCCACACCTTGGGGTCTGTGCCTTGGTCCTTGAACGTTCCACAGCCGGAGCGGGCATACTCCGTAAACAAGAAGGTTCGGCTGCTCTCAATCATGACAGTCATTTGATCTTTGGTAGTCAGCAGTGGTTACTTGTTATAGCTCGAGAAAGAACATCGACTCACCCTCAAGAATCTTGCGAGGCTCGTTCACCTGGTTCCGCATTTCCCACACATAGGCGTCGCTGAAGTTGCCGTGCGGGGGTGTGGCTAATCTCCACGCTGCCTCCTCCGGGCAGGAAGTCATCAGAGCGACCGAGTCCATTTCCATACAGACTGGCGAGGAACTCCGTAGCCGAGTTACGGTGGAAGTAAGGTAGGCGGAACGTGTTGGATGCGACATCCCACCGCGGTCCAAACCACAAGAAATCAGCCAGCGGCGTGACCGGGTCTCGAGATGCAGCTGTCAGAACACAGTTGACCGACGGGTCGGTATGATCCATGGATGTGGCATTTTGAGACGAGAACTTGGTCAAGTCATACTGATAAGCCCGTCAGTATCCATCGTCTCTCGATGTGGGGTAAAGTATGAGAGACTCACTTTGTAGGGAACAACATTACCATGCCAGGCCACCAAGTCGAACGGAGTATGGTCCTGCTCAATGGCATTATACAAGCCGTTTGCCTTGTTCACAATTGACCAGTCCTCGTGGAGATTTTCATCGATGTACGCAACGGGATGCAAAAAGTCTCTCGGGTTAGCCAGTCCGTGCCCTCCAAGGGGGCCCAAATCGGGCAATTCCCAGCGAGATCCCCAAATCTCAGTGATATAACCACGGGCAACGCTGTGACCAGGGCCAAGCCGAACAGCAAAACGGATGCCGCGAGGAATGACACAGATTTCACCAGGTTGCAGGAACAACTTGCCCAGCTCTGTCTGGATATCCAAATTTCCCAGCTGAGCGACGATCAGGAAGTCACCATCTGTGTTACAGAATGCCCGGTGGTCCATGTCGGTGTTGATCATGAACACGTAGAGGGCAATTCCCTCGCGCAGATTCGGATCTCCACTTCCGCCCAGTGTGTGCAGTCCGTCGACAAAGTCTATCTTCTCGTCCTCCTTGGGCAAGGGGAATGGTGCCCACTCGCCCTGCTCTGCTAGCGTCGCAACCTTGGGGTTGAGCGTCAAGAAGCAGTTCTCGATGTCTGCTTTGTGTGGGATATTTGCCTTGTAGCCATCTTTGAATCGTCAGTACAAGGCTTTCCATATGTCCTGATTGTTGGTGAAACATACTGTGAGCGGCAGCTGGTCGTACCCGATACATATAAGTGCTGAAGTTTGCGTGGCGCGGGGCTGCAAAAGCAGAGTAGGTGAGGCCCTCCGTGTATAAGCCAAATCGAACTTCTTGGGGGTTGTTTTGACCTGCGGGCAGAGTGCCAGGGATGACTTCGGATTGATGGCGGCTACCAAACCCCGCTAGGTATTCGTAGGGATCGTTGTCTCTTGTCGGCTTGCGAGTCATGGTATCCGTATAGTGAAAGACCTTTTGTAGGTCCTTCACCGGCTTCCTCTCCTGCATTGGCGGAGCAGACATTTTCGCAACTGTTCAGTTTAGTTTAGTTTAGAAAGATGTTTCGGGGTATTTGGTCAAGAGTATAATGAAATGGCTAAAAAGGTTGCCGCAAGGTTTACTTCATTTTAAAACTCGGTCATCGGTCCCATCTAAGCTCAAGACCCATATGGAGAGCTCAGGTGAAGATTTCTCCCACATAGAGCTGGACCCACATTGACCTGCCTCTCGAGATCTCGGGTTCTGTGGATCGCGACCGAATACGGCTTCTTGCGGGGCCACATGGATGTGGAGCAAATTCACACTGTTTGATAATTTAATGCAGAATGCTGGGAGGCCATGGTCTGCGGTACATTGTGTCGGCCAGGGGGACTGGATCAATGCATGCTATTTCAGTCGGTTGAGAATGGCGAGAAATTTACGACTGATGATGCTATGTACAATGTAATAATTTGAGACAAATCTATGCTCAGCTCTTGTGCACGATAGCACTATTTGATTGCTAGCACATCGTCCACCATCCGCGACGAAGCACCTAGGTAGTTGACTGGATCACACAGCTGGGCCAGTCTCTCCTGGCTCATCTTCGATGTAACCTCTTCCTTCTCTGTGAGACACTCCAGCAAAGTCCGTTTCTTCTCAATACTCTCTTTGCAAGCCTCGTAGACAATATCATGAGCTCTTTGGCGGCCCACATGCGGCGCCATGCCCATCATCACTGCCTCGCCTACAATCAATCCCTTGGTTGAATGAAGGTTCTCCAGCATCTGCCCAGTGTTGACAGAGAGACCCGAGAGCGCGAAGTGAGTCTGTGAGAGTGCCCCAACAGCAATGACGAAGCTTTCTGGGACAGCAACCCACTCCAAGTGCCAAGGACCAGATGCACGCTCAAAGTCAGCCACCATCCCATCGAGGACAAGGCCTGCATTGGACCGAAGAATTTTCGAGGCGGCCAAGATAACCTCGCTAGAAATCGGATTGCGCTTCTGTGGCATAGTTGAAGAGGCACCACGGTGAGGAACGAATGGCTCAGAGACCTCGCTCAGCTCATTGGATGACATGATCATAACATCCAAGGCCACCTTGCCCATTGAGCCGCCCATGAGGGCCAGGAAATTCGCAATTTCTGCCACACCGTCTCGCGCAACGTGCCATGTAATTGAAGGATCGTTCAAGCCAAGCTCCTTTGCCAGAGCCTTCCTTACTCGAAGACCATCGTCACCAGAGCCCAAAGAAGCAAGCGAGCCTGCCGCGCCACCGAATTGCACTAACAAAGTGCGTTCTCGGAGTTGTTCCAGGCGCTGCAGGTGCCGTTGAAACCCAGAAAGCCACACAGCACACTTATAGCCAAAAGTCACCGGTAGTGCATGTTGCAAGTGAGTGCGTCCGGCCATCGGGGTATCCTTGTATTTCTCCGACAGTTCGCGCAGAGTCTTGATAACGTCCTTGAGAAGTCTCTCAACGATATCCAACCCCTCCTTCATCTGTAACACACTTGCAAGGTCCATGATATCCTGAGTCGTGGCACCCCAGTGCACATATTTACCAGCTTCCTCGCCGCAGATGGCTGAAAGCTGACGAACCAAAGGCAGGATTGGGTAGCCGACAATCTCAGTCTCATGTCGCAGTCTTTCGAGATCCAGCTTGGATTCTTTTACTCTCTGTGTGACCATGGCCCCGATCTCGGAAGGAATCACGTTGCATTGTGACTGCGCTCTGGCTAGAGCAGCTTCCGCATCCACGCAACGCCGGATGTATGCTTCGTCGTCGAATACCTAGTTCGGGTCAGCATCAAACCGATGATTGAGATGAGTGTAGATACCTTTCGAATCTCTTCTGTACCGAATAGAGTACGGAAAATGCTGGAATCAATAGCACTGACGGAGCCAATCGATCTTCGGCCAGTAATGGCGACGGGCACGACGGGCCGAGCTGTCGCCCGCGACAGAGGACGTACGGCACGTATGAACATCGACATTGCGCTGAAGTGAGATGATTGAATCGAAAATTGGGAAAACAATTGAATGTGAGCTTTTTTGAAGCAGTGCTTTTTACAATTGGACGGTCTCATCGAACAGCAGCCCCAGACGGGGTGAATGGGGCGATTGTTCTGCCATGCGGACAAGCTCCAGCCCCACATCTTAGTATGTGGGGCAATGGATGCCATAACAGACCGATTCGGAAGCATGAGGACATTGCTGATAGAAAATGCCGAGGTGTAGTTATAGCAGGAATACAGATGGCCGGAGAGAGCTTTGTTTGATTGTGTTGACTGAATATAGTTACGTATCATGTCCTATGTGCAAGTGCTACAGATTTGATACTCCGCAAATGTGCCTTAGCAGTGTCTATTCCCGAATGAAGAGAGATGCAACCCCCATACCAGTGCTAAGGTGAATGTTAGTAGAATATCGAGCCTAAGAGGTGAGAGACCTTACCTAGCACACATGCTGACAATACCAATCTCCTTATCTTGCCACTGCAATTCAGCCAGCAGAGTAGCAACTTGCCTGGCTCCAGTGGCCCCAACGGGGTGGCCAAGGGCGATAGCACCACCATTGGGATTGACTTTATCCATATCAAGGCCTAGCTCACGGAGGCAATAGATTGACTGGCTGGCAAATGCCTCGTTCATCTCAACAATGTCAACGTCCTTGTTTTCAATACCCAGGTACTTGTACAAGTTTTGAATAGCGAAGATGGGCCCAACGCCCATCTCGTCTGGAGCACACCCAGCCACCTGAGTGCCAGCAAATCGGGCAATGGGTGTCAGGCCATGAGCTTCAGCCCAGGACCGGCGAGCGAGGATGGTGCTTGACGCCCCGTCAGAAATTTGTGACCTGTTAAGTAGCAAGATGGGTTAGCATGGTTCACTCGTAGACAGACATGGCCAACTTACGAATTGCCAGCAGTACTGAAACCATTCTCTAGCACAGGTTTGAGGGTCGCCAATTTATCGACGGTAACGTCGTGACGGATACCCTCATCCCGGTCAACCACTTGAAAGCTCTCTTCGTCGATTCCCTGACTGATATGTCTCACTCGAATCGGCACGATCTCCGAGGCAAATCTGCCAGACTTCTGAGCCTCACTCGCCCGCCTCTGGCTCTCTGCGGCAAACTCATCCTGCTCACGGCGAGTAATCCCATATCGTGAGGCAACATTTTCCGACGTCTGCAGCATAGGAAGAATACAGTCACGCGCATCTTTGACATCTGAATCTTTCAGATCAGGAGACACATCGGCTGGAATTCCCCTGGTTGCGTAATTCCGAGACATACTCTCGACGCCACCACCGAGCCCAACATCGATCTGCCCAGCCAGAATCGAATGCGAAATATGGGTAATGGCCTGCAGACTGCTCGAGCACTGTCGGTTCACTGTATGGAAAGTCGTAGAGTTGGGGAAACCTGCTGCATTGAGGGCCATGCGCCCAGTCTTTGCGAATCCTAGCTCGGCGAGGACATTGCCGATGAGGGCGTCGTTCACTTGGCCCGGCTCGATTTTGGCTCGTTGGACGGCAGCTTGCATAACCTAGACTGGTCAGAAATCTTCCGACCAGCAAACAAACGAACTCACCGGCATCAGGATCTCCTCTGGATAAGAATCTTTGAACCCGCCCTTAAAGGCACGTGCAATGGGACTCCGCAATGCGGAGAGCACGACCACATCGTTCGGGCTCTTCTTCAGTACTTCTCCCGCCGTTCTTCTCAACATCTTGTTCGTTTGTATGAAGTTTTTTCCCGCGAGGTGACAGGCTCAAGGTGTAAAAGCACGTTTAATCTGCTGAATGTGGAGGTGGCTCTAGTTGCATCATGGAGCTCTGGTCCTGTTCCTCATGGTGGGGCGCTCCCACCCCTTGACGATCTTTGTTATTTTGGTTTTGCGGGGCGTACAGGGATTCGCTAATGATGTTACAGGGGACGGGTGTGGTTGGTTTGCCTCTTGTCGGAACCAACTTCCAAGGTTCCAGGCGGTCGCACTTTGTGAGGCGGTCGCCATACCCCGGGTAGTCGATTCGGGAATGCCTATCTATTGTATGATGGGATATAGATCTGGTTTGGTAGTGTCCAAAAGATTTCAAACAAATACACGAGCGCAAGCAACTTGCTGGGCGATAAAGGTATTCAGTGAAGTACGCATAGTACTATTCATTCTTTCCAATCCCTGTCCCTACGTCCTCGAGGACTGCTCTTGCTTCTTACCACCAACACATTGATTACAACTTCGTCGAATCCGGACTCGGACCCACTCCCAGTCCTTCGGGAGCCTCATCTTTTGCCGACATTTCCCATCCACGTCCACGATACCGCGCAGGCCAAACGCCAGACTTTCCAGGAGCCATAATACCATTCGGATCCAGGCAGTCCTTGATCTTCTCATTGAATTTCATAAGCGCACCGTCATTCCAATTATAAGTCCCAGCAATCTGATCCATGAAAGCCAGATGGGTCCGATATTCACCATAACCAAGCTTCGCAGCATCGTCAATCATAGCTCGCAGACAGGCCCGTACATTGTTGCGCATGACAGGCTCATCGCGGTTGAACACAATCTCAACGATCAGATGCATCTCGCGTAGACCCACCACGAAAGTAGGGAATAAGTCTAGATCGAACTCCTCACAGCGTGTTCGCGCAATGTCCCAAAGAGCCGTGGCATCGTGTCCTCGCACTGGCGATACGGGGCTGAACGCAGCATGTCCGCCGTTCGGGTGCCAGTTTACCCAGCGCAGTTCCTCAATATCAGGGACGCCGGAGGCAATCCGGTCGCGTACCCAGAAATAGTCAGTCGTCGGAAGAGTCGTTGGATCGATACGTCGCGCGCCTGGAATCTTCATGAACTCTTTGTGGATGATTTCAAGCTTGTACTTTCGGATCTCTCGGGGTCCGTACGCCATGCCGTAGTACAGCCAGGAACAATCCCCTGACGATAGTTTCTTGGCTGCTTCGTGAATGATGCTGTCGGGAACTCTTCCTTTCCCGGCGTAGTAAGTGCTTCGAGGTTTGCCTTCGAGGCCAATCTGCATACTTACGTGACGCAGCTGAGCGACATTTTCGAGGATCATGGCGATTCGCAATGGGCGAATGATCTCGATCTAGGACATTTTCAGTCACGGCTGCGGTCAAAGACGGGATAGATTGCGTGTCTTACCAGCTGGCTCAAATCCTCATCCTTCGGGAATGTGTAGAGCTATGGTATGGTCAGTGACCGAGACACCATCTGGGGCTAAATACATACGTAACTCTCATATCCGCCTGGGTTTGGCATCAGTCCGAATCCCATCTTCGTCACGATGCCCAAATTCGACTGTGAGAAAAGTCCACTGAAAACAAGAGTCAGCTATCATGTAGTTTATTCTCGGAGAATCATACTCAGGAGTCGGCCCAAATCCATAGGGGAAGAGTTGCCAGCTATTGTTGCCCGGCAGCGCTCCCATTCCCGTTCTGATGACCTCCCCCGTCGGAAGCACAACCTCCATACCGGAGTGCATCATCCAATGATCTCCATATGGGGTGTAGCCCACTCCTCTATCAAGCGCATTACCCATAACCGAACCGCCTCCAATATCAGGCACATCGGCCCACAGATGCTTGAAGCCCCGATCCTGAATCTCTTCGTAAAGCGCGAAATAAGTGACGCCTGGCTCGACCAGACAAGTACAGTCATCAGGGTTGATATCCAAGACGCGATTCATTCGCCTCCCAAGGTCAATGACTACTGCACCCCGGACTCGAGGAGCGGCGCCTCCGTAGCCATCTGAACATGTCAATTAGCTTGATGGATTGAATGGATGTATTCGAACATACAGTTTCGGCCAATTGAGATGGGCGAAATAGGGATCCGGTACTTGTTAGCCCAGTGTACGATCTTTTGTACTTCTTCTGTGGTGCTTGGATAAACTATGGCCGAAGCAACAAGGGCGTCTTCTTCTGCCACATGCATTGCATCGTGCGTATTGGGGTCTGTTGGACCCTGCATTAGTGAAGGATCAAGTGGCCATGGGGAATTAACTAACTTTCCATATACCTGGCACGGCATTTGGTTAGCTTATTTTTCAGTGTAGACATTTACGTTCTTACCATCCATCATTCAGCTTTGTGACAAGTTCCACATGGTCTTTACCCAAGTGTCCACGGAGCGCATCGATCGCCCGATGGAACGTACTCTCTCCGACACCCTGGGGAAGTGCAATCGCAGTTCGATTACTCTGGGATTTTGTGGCAATTGCTGAGATAGCAGATTTGGCCTCCTGGGCCTTGTCGAAGAGTCGTGCGGGGATCCCATTGTGCCTTTGTGATAGCAGAGGCGTCGCGGAGATGGCCGGCTTAGTACTCATGATGAACAAGTTTACAAGTTTAAAAAAGCGGAGCTATAAATGGAACACGATAACGAATGTTCTTCATCGATTTCGGTCGAAGCTACCAGCAGGAAATCTCGATCTTATGTACACAGTGCAGAGGGGATTATTCCGCCTTGCTTCACTTGGCGATATAATCCACTACTGGCTATCTCTTGATTGGATGCTATCGGCAGACATGCAGGGTAGGCGGAGAATTTACTACATAAACACGAAAGGTAACGACTGTCCCCGCCTTTAAGTGAGGCGGGATAAGCCCGTAAGTGGGAAGCAGATGCACGCAGAGCGGAGAAGTGAGAGGACAAGGCCAGCCCCGCCCGAAGATCTGAAGCGAGTGTCGAGAAGTGTCCCGTGACCGTAAGAATGCAGCATCCGAAGCATCACGTTTTCTGCCGATGTCAGTCCCGACTGTAAATTACCTGTCACGATACCCGATTCTTACCACAGTGAACCTTTCAGCCGTGCTTCAACTGCAGCTATTGTGTGCTTCATCTTCAACAGGTCTGAGACACTCTCCACGAGGAACACCCTCCACAAATTGCTACCCCCTTGGCTCACCCCGCACGAACATGGAGGCCCCCCAAGCTCCCCGAAAATTAGCCCTGATGGAGATCGGGTGATGTTGTGGGGTCGGCTTCCGATGCCGGCAAAAACCTTTGGGGCATCGCCGCGCTCACAATCCGACGTGTGGGGAAAACGGCGCTGCCACTGCCGGGTAAGCGTTTTCTCGGCTTCTCTGGCTGAGTCCCTAGCCGAAAACTGCGAATATGGGGAATGCCGTCTTCGTGATCGTGCTTCCTTTCTTCTTCTTCTTTCTGCTGGCTCAGAAAGTACTATAGTCATTCAGAGCTCGACCATGTCGCGATCTGTTCCTATGGTGTCGGTGTTCCGCCCCATCTGGCGGCGGAACTTCTCGGCTTCCACCACCAAGAGAGCTATTGACAAGCGATGCGCCTCCGCCAACGAGGCCGTCAAGAACATGAAGGGCCCGGCCACCGTGCTGGTCGGTGGTTTCGGCTTCTCCGGTGTCCCCAACACCCTGATTGATGCTGTTCGCGACCGTCCCGATATTAAGGACCTGACCGTTGTCTCCAACAATGCCGGCATGCCTGGCGCTGGTCTCGGTATGCAATTGCCAATGCGATTAATGCAATTGATACGGATTGAACATGCGCTGACAGCTCTGCTTCCCCACAGGTCAATTGCTCGAGTCTAAGCAGATCACCAAGATGATCGCTTCTTTCATTGGCGAGAACAAGGTCTTCGAGAAGATGTATCTCACTGGTGAACTCTCTCTGGAGCTGACTCCCCAGGGCTCTATCGCTGAGAAGTGTGCTGCTGGAGCCGCTGGCGTTCCTGCTTTCTACACCCCTGCTGCTTTTGGTACTATCAGTAAGTTGCTCAGGACCCCGCAAAAAGGGGCGCAGCTAACAGATCGCTCTCGATAGTTCAAACTGGTGAACTCCCCGTTCGCTACAACAAGGATGGCTCTGTGGCCGAGATGTCCAAGCCTAAGGAAACCCGCGTTTTCAACGGCAAGGAATACCTTCTGGAAGAATCGATCTACGGTGACTACGCTCTGATTAAGGTCCACAAGGCCGATCGTCTTGGCAACTGCCAGTTCCGCAAGGCTATGAACAACTTCAACGAGGCCATGGCCAAGAACGCCAAGGTTACTCTCGTTGAGGCCGATCACATTGTCGAGGTTGGCGAGATTGCTCCCGAGGACATCCACCTGCAGGGCATCTACGTCGACGCTATCATCCAGAGCAACGGAAAGACTCAGATTGAGAAGGTAACCTACGCCAAGGACCCCAGTGAGATGCTCGCTGCTGGTTCCGGTGAAGCTACCGCTCGCCGTGAGCGTATCGTCAAGCGTGCCGCCAAGGAATTCAAGGATGGCATGTACGTCAACCTTGGTATTGGTATTCCCCTGATCGCCCCTTCCTACCTGCCCGAGGGTGTCGAGGTCGTTCTGCAGGCCGAGAATGGTATCTTGGGTCTGGGCGGCTACCCCCAGCCCGGTGAGGAGGACCCCGATTTGATCAACCCTGGCAAGGAGACCGTCACTCTCGGCCGTGGTGCTTCCGTGTTCGGCTCCCATGAGAGTTTCGGTATGATTCGCGCTGGAAAGATCGATCTCACTATGCTTGGTGCTCTCCAAGTCAGCCAGTTCGGCGGTATGTCTTCCCCCTAACATTGAATTTTGTAAATTGGTACTAATTCTCTTCAGATCTTGCCAACTTCATGCTTCCCGGTAAGGTCAAGGGTGTCGGCGGTGCCATGGATCTGGTCGCCAACCCCGAGAAGACCAAGGTCGTTGTCACCATGGAGCACACCGACAAGAAGGGTAACCCCAAGATTCTGGCCGACTGTTCCTTCCCCCTGACCGGCCCCAAGTGTGTCTCTACCATCATCACAGACTTGGCCGTGTTCGAAGTCAGCCCCACCGAGGGTCTGACTCTGATTGAGCACGCCGAGGGCGTCACTGTCGAGGACATTCGCAACAAGACTGCCGCTCCCTTCAAGGTCTCCGAGGACCTGAAGCCCATGCAGCTGTAAATTCATTATACCAAGTAGAGTTGGGATCGCATACGGTGTCATTTTTTCTTTGCAATGGTCAAAACTGTATAGACTGAAAATTGAGTCATTTTTGAAAGTTATTTACTTCTATTCGTATACCATAGTCCATACCGATTCAACATCCACGGAGTCAACATATCAGTGTAATTATCTGTCCCTAGCACACATTCCGCATCTACGTTGCCAAATGTGCAACTGAGCCCATGTGGGGTCGAACCCACCTGCAGATCGAGCGGTGGGGCTCTCCACGAAGCAGCACGCGGAATAAAGCAGAAGCGGGCGTCATCTGCTCCAGAAAGTAATTCTCAATCAAGGGGCCTGATCACAATGCCATTCCTCATGAGTGGCTTCTGGTTATCGCGAACGGCTTCAGTGGTGCGAGCCGCTCCTGCCCTGGCACGTCCAGGCAGGTTAGGGTTCATCCGAGAATTAACAACGACTCCGAATGCGAAAAAATTGCCATTGGCAGGAGTTCGCGTGTTGGACATGAGTCGGGTATTGGCTGGGGTATGTGTTCGATATGCCAATGGAACACTTCTGAGGGGCACGCTGACATACATATCCGACAGCCATATTGCACGCAAATACTGGGCGATCTAGGGTATGTCCTGGAATATTCGATCCATGTGAAATTAGGATGCTAATTGGATTTCGTGCATTAGCGCAGAGATTATCAAAGTCGAACACCCCGTCCGAGGCGATGATACACGCGCGTGGGGACCGCCCTTCGCAGCCTACAAGGACGGTCGAGAGGGAACTGGCGAAAGCGCATACTACCTTTCTGTATGAACCCCCAGCCGCCTTACGATGGAAATACTAATCTTGACAATCCAAGGTCAATCGCAACAAGAAATCACTCGGTCTATCTTTTGCCCACCCAGAAGGCGTCGAAGTTCTGCATCAACTTGCCCGCGACTGCGACGTCCTAGTCGAGAACTATCTCCCGGGCTCTCTAAAGAAATACAACCTGGACTACGAAACAATCCGCAAAATCAACCCACGTCTCATATATACAAGTATCACAGGTTATGGACAAACAGGCCCCTACAGCAACCGGCCTGGATTTGATGTAATGGTGGAGGCCGAGTTCGGCCTCATGCATTTGACTGGCACGCGCGATGGTCCGCCGGTCAAGGTTGGCGTTGCGGTGACTGATTTGACGACGGGGCTATATGCGTGCAACTCGATTATGGCGGCGTTGTTGGCGCGCGCGAATACGGGAGAGGGTCAACATCTTGATGTTTGTTTAAGTGATTGTCAAGTTGCCACGCTGGCGAATATGGGGGAGTCGGTGTTGATCAGTGGGGAGAAGGATTCTGGGAGGTGGGGGACTGCTCATCGTGAGTGAGGTGTGAACGACTCGGGATTACGGGGACTAATGTGTTTTCTAGCGTCTGTTGTCCCGTATCAGGGTTTCAAAACTGCGGATGGGGATATCTTTGTTGGAGGTGCTAACGATCGTCTATTTGGGATTCTGTGTGACAAGATCGGCAAGCCAGAGTGGAAAACTGATACCCGCTTCGTGTCCAACAATGAACGAGTCAATAACCGAGCCGCGCTGGAGCCTTTGATTGAAGCTGAACTGGTCAAGCGCACGACAAAACGGTGGCAGGAGATCTTCGAGGGAAGTGGGCTGCCATATGCCGCCGTGAATGATATTCAGGGAACGATGAACCATGAGCATGTGCAGGCTCGTGGTATGGTGCAGTCTATTGACCACCCGGCTTGCGGTTCGATCAAGGTTATTAGCCCCCCTGTGAAGTATTCTAATGCGGAGCCTAGCATTCGTAGCCCGCCTCCTTTGCTCGGGGAACATACGAATGAGGTACTTCGCGACATTGGAATCAGTGCTGAGCAGGTTGAGGAGCTGCGAGGCAAGGGTGTGGTTGCATAAGCGTCAAGAATGTATCATAGATCGAAACATAGACTTCAAAGTTCTGTCTTATTGTTTATTAAATTCCAAGACAGGGCGATCAGTTCTCGCAGGCGTCTGTTGTCTGTTTCCGGGGTTCCGCTTGGATGAACGGCCCTAGAAAATGTAGCATATGCGGCCGCATCTTGTCACCTTCATGAGACACACCATCGACAACAGTCAAATGACTTGAAATACAATCTCTTTCCCATGCTCTCTGCAGATCCCGGAGAGTTTGCAACCTTCCCTGTCTCATCGCTTGCAGCTCTCCATTCTGTCGATCCTCGCCTTTGCCCCTTTTGAGCTGTTCCAGCCAGTTCCAAAAGTCCTCGCTCCCATGGACCTGATCATCTGCAGATCCCACAGCCAACTGAATAGGAACTTGTTGAATAATTTCTTTCCTGATTGGTCGGGAAAACAACGTTTCCACGTTCGCCACTCCGGCTGGCCATGGCTGCTCTGGATTCAACATGGATGTGCGCCCTGGCGCCCCGATGCTGACTGCTAATAGTCTCTCCGGATGTATATACAGAAACCGTTGAGTGAATTGGCCACCCCCTGAAAACCCCATCATGAAAACCTTGTCCGTTCGAATCCCTGGCCAGCGAGCCGCGATCTCCTCCAAGATCGACAACAATGCAAGGTCCGAAGAGAGTGACTTCGATCGAAGTATTTTGTAGGAGTTCAAGTCATCGGGTCCATCAAGGCCACTGGGAAATAACGGTGCGAGAATAGCACAAGGTGTTGAATTGGCAAATGAAACCATGTCTTCGGCATAGAAGGCTGTCAGTTTTCGGAGGGTACCGTGTATCCAAACCAGAAGCGATAGCTTCTTCGGGACTGTGTCTGTGTTGTAGTGACCTGGTGGTATATAGAGTGCGTATGAAACGCGAGGGTCTGACTCTAGTGCTTTGAGCGGTGTGTGGCCTACCAGGAACGCGGCGTTGAGGAAATGAGGAGGGACATCGGCTGCCGACAATGATTTCTGCATGGTAGAGGTTCTCAAGAAGATAGAATTAGACAGTTATGAAAATTTTGACACGTAACAGGCTCATTAAAGGCAACATTCGAATTTGTAGGGCGTTAACGTAGATGAGCGCGAAGCCAGAAGCGAACATCGCTTATCAGGGCGAACTTCGCTTCACGAAGTATCCCGCTTTCCAACGCTCGTTCCCTCAACTCGCCCCTTGGATAAGTCAAATTGCTATTTCCGGAAGACTTCCCCATATTCAACCGCGCCATGTCGATCTCACCACGTCCCGCTCAAATCGCTTCTGTGCGCCTCCATTGCCGAAAACCGCTTGTTGATTATCCGCCTAGAATTTGACTGACTACCCTGTTAGTTGATTCTGGGGTATTTCCAGACTACGCAACATTATTTAGATAGGCAGTAAGCCTCCAAACGTCCAGCAACCAAGCAATATTATCATGTTGTCAGACTCCATCCAGTACAAAGAATCCGACGAGATACGGGCTCACCACAGCCATGAAGAAGTGCACACCGAGAGCGACATTCTTCTGTTAAAGCACCGCAGATTGAAATGGAAACTGGATTTGTTCATTCTATCACTAATTTCAAGTGTTTATTTTTTCGCGTCGATGGTACGTTAGTGATAATAATTCATGATCACCCGTCTAACTTTGATCTAGGGTCGCTCGGATCTCGCAAATGCCCAAGTTGCTGGTCTATCCGACGACCTACACGTATCACCCCAAGGCTATTCCAATGCCGCCACTATACTTCTAGTGGGCTATGTGGCTTTTCAGCTGCCGGGTACACTGTTAATTAAACAGATAGGTCCTGCTAGGCAATTTGCTGGAGCAATGGTGATTGTGCGAGGATAGCACTCCAATTTTGTTATATGTCAGGTCACTAATATCGCGTGGTCAATTGGTAGTGGGGAGCAATAACGGCGGCAACAGTTTCAATCCGAAACACAACCCAGCTGTTAGTATTGCGATTTTTCATTGGCGTCGCAGAGGCATTCGTCCAGGGTGGTGTTTTCTGTGAGTTTAGATTTCCATTTCTGTTTTTGATTGAATCGAATTACAAAATTCTGATACAATCAAACCGCATTTCAGACTTGAGCTTTTGGTACCAGTTCAGTGAGCTTGCGACACGCGGTGCCGTTTTCTATTCTATGTCGACCTTGGCAGGGGCATTCAACGGACTGATCGCGTATAAAATCACCAAAGATTTGGATGGGGCGAATGGCTGGAGAGCATGGCGCTGGATCTTTCTTATCGAGGGCATAATGCCATGCGCATTTGCCTTCATAGTATTGTTTCTCCTGCCAGCTAGCCTCGAAGCGCTTCGTTTTGGCTTTAGTCCAGAAGAAAAAGCCCTGGTTGTGCGTCGTGCCCGGAATGCTTATAATACATCAGAAGCGAAATTTCAAATGAAGAAAATACCATTAGTTCTCCTGAGCTTGCATTTTTGGCTTCTTCTGGCTATCGCATGCTGCGGTCACTTTTGTGTTGGCTCGATGTCGAATTTTCTTCCTGCAATTATTGAGGTACCAGCCCGCTGCTACTCAAGACAGGGTTTGAATGGCTGATTGGATTTCGAAACAGAGTTTTGGTTATGATGAAGTTGATACACAAATGTTTACGGTTATCGTGTACGCGTGTGCGTGTCTCGGTATATTGTTTTGGGCGCAGGTATCCGATCGATCCAATGCACGAGGCCTCACTCTTGCTTTGTCGACATGCGGGGGAATTGTCGGATATGCGATGCTGGTCGCGGTAGAGAATGAACACGCACGATGCGCCGCGACTTGTCTCGTTGCATTCTATATCTACCCAAGCATTGTGCTCCAGTTGGCCTGGTCGGCTATGAGCTTTGTTGGCTATACACGAAGGTAGGCTGAGTACTCGCACATAACGGGAGATCGGAATCCTGATTAAATCATTCATGAACAGGGGTGCTTCTTTAGCTTTTATGAATATCTTCTCGCAGTTATTTGCCATCGGCGGGACCCAAGCATATAATGATCCGCCCTTCTGTACGTGTTAATCGTCCGTTTTATACCTATAGGTGCACCTGATTACTAACAACACAATTGATTACAGACCGGAAAGGAAATTATTGTGCCCTTGGACTATGCTGCTGTAATCTGGTTCTCTCCCTTCTGTTAAGATGGTATTTTGGGGTTCTGAATGCGAAAAAAGAGAAAGCTCAGCATACAGATGAAGCCAACCAACGGAGACAGGAAAGCTTAGAGGACCTTGGGGACTATTACCCTGGTAAATTTGTCCGCTCAATGCCCACCGAGACATCTACTGACTTTGCTTAATGCTACAGATTTCTATTATACAATCTGAACCGACTGACCAGTTTGTTAAATCGCCACTAGTGATTATACTCAAGGCTTTCGCTTTTTACGTGCAGATCTGAATGACCCAGACGTTCAGACTTAGCTCACAATTAGTCCACAATGAAACGTTCGAAAATTGAAATTGGTGAAAAAGTTCAAGAAACAAGAATAGTGCCAAACCGTAAAGTCCAAAACACAAAGTAATATCAAAAAATAGCTTCAGATCCATGGATGTTGATACCTGTCTTCCAAGGCTTCTTTCCCCGTAGTATACATGGCCTTGGCGGAGAACAACGTGGAGCTCCTGTCCGCTGAAACTTACGACCACAGCTACGTAAGATTCTATGAAGTCTATAATGTAATTGTTCTCGCCATGATTTCCAGTTCAAAATGAGGAAACAATCAATTGATGTGTCTCATAAAGTGAGACTTGGCGAAATGGGTAACAATTTGTAAGATCTAGGTAAACGGTGACATCACGTGAGGTTGCTTCCCTTGGATCTTCCTCGTCCCTCATTCTTTCTTTTCTGTTCGCAAGTGCTTGCAACGACTTAGCTCGAGATCCCAGTCCACGACATTATTATATCCTGAAACTATCAGATGCAGCCTCTGTTTGAAAAACATCGAGCCTTCTTTCTCCCTCATTGACCAATATTCTCATTTCCATTGTCAACATCGCGACGTGTTGATCGTTGCAGGCATTGGTGAAAATGGAGGAAGACACGCAAATCCGAGGCGGAGGTAGAGCTTCTTCTTCTAAACGCTCATCCATGGCATGTACATCGTGTCGGCAAGTCAAGGTAAGTCTTTAAATTGGATCTTTGGATGACCATTGACCTCACATGCTCTTTAGTTGAGATGCGATGCCACTAAATGCTTCCCATCCCCATGCACCCGTTGCCAGAAACACCGCATGACCTGCAAATTTGACTCAAAATTTAAAAGAAAGCCAATGCGAGGGTAAGTTGCTGCTTTATAATCTTGTACAGAAATTCAATCTAAATCTTCCAGATCACTTGAAAAGATGATGGAAGAAAATGAGCGATTACGCCATCTTATCCATGATTCAGGAACAGCGCCTCCTGAATCGAGCCTCGACCCAGTCTTGCCTGTGGGACCTGCCCTTCCACCTCCGCTAGAGGATCAAAACCCCCTTTTACTAGATGAATTTACCTGGGAGTTGCCAGCATTCCAGGTACTCGGAGAAGTTCAATTAGATGGCTTGACTATCCGTGAACTTTTTGAGCAGTACGGCCTTCCGAGCTTTGGCGACCGGAGAGATTCACGTTGAGCTAATGACTCGCACAGCTTTGCTCGTCATTATTTTCGTCACCTTCCCATTCTGGATTTGAGAAAACCCATCGATTCTATGAGGACCGAAAGCCGTCTTCTTTTCTGGACAATCATAGTCACCGCTTCTAGCAAGCATCCGCTACATGAAAACCACTTCTATCCACTACAAGTGCCGTTCCAACGGTTGCTGTCGGAACATCTGACTCGCTCCATTCGCAGCATTTGGACTATTCAAGCGCTCTTACTTCTTTGCCTATGGCCTTTCCCCGTCGCAAGTCAATTGGATGATCCGAGCTGGGAATTTTGTGGGATTGCCGTCGCCGCTGCGCTGAAAATGGGCCTTGACGACTCCCCAGGGCACTGGGGCGAGGCTATTCGACCCACTCCGGATGAGCTTACCTGGCGGTTAAAGACATGGCTTGGATGCTTTCTGGTCAGTACTCAGTGAGTCTACCTTCTGCATAGTACCGGGTGATCATAATAATTGACAAATTCTAAAGTCTGGCGGCTTGTCTCTCGCTGCCACCGCCAATGGCCTCTGTCGCTCCACTGATGCCTAAAGTTCGCGACAGTATCAGGAGCGGTCTTTCTGATGAATTTGTGGCGCTGCTGGACATTCAAGCCTATGTGACCCGAGCTACCTCATTGCTGAACAACCAAATCGACCATATGGCCCAAAGATCATTCATAGAACTTCTTGATGCTGACTTGGATGCGGTAGAAGCTCGTATGCCAAGCAGCATCTCTGCGTCTCTTCAAATCGGTATACTTGCAGCACGTCTTCGGCTGTATTCACTGCCACTATTGTCCCGAACATCATACAAGACCACAGATGATTGCTCAGATGCCCTTTCGAAAGCCATTTGGTACAAAGGCTTCCATATAGCCATGCAGTTGGCGAACACTTTTGCTGGCTGGACTGAATCAGGCCGGGACGAAAACAGTGACTCAACAGGCGAGACATTCAACATTTATTTCCCGAAGCAATATTTCCACGCTCTTGTAATGGCGGGGATGTATTTTATCAATCTGCTAGTTATCGACACCAACATATCGACACCTAACAAACTGCTCGCCCGCAATCATATCAAACAAGTATATGAGACGATTATAACCCAGTCAACAGAGGAGAAAGATGAGGCTTCACGAGCAAGCAAAGCCATTGACTTCCTCTCACGCCATATCGAGGCGCAGAGTGCATCGCTGGAACTGCGCCAGTCCACCCGTGGAAATCGGCCCTTGAACATTATCAATAACGGAATGAGAATGGCAGGGCATTTTAGAAGTAAGCTACGTCGCTCTGCGGAGTCGCATGCATCTCAAGTCTCACCTGCTGTGATTCCTGAACTGCCGGTGTTTGAAGATTTTGCGGAACTGCCTCCATGGGGGGATGAGTTGTTCGAATGGAACACTTGGTTCGCTGGCATGGATAATATGACCACAATGTTCCAAACACCGGTCACAACTCCCTAGTACTAATTTGAGGAGATGATTTTCCTCGCAACGGAGTTCGCGACAGTCCACCTCCGAAAGGGCGATACGGTAACGCCAAAGCGAAAATCGCTTAGCGGGCCGAAGCTTCTGCTAGTACCTCTTAATCGGTATTTGAGCTTACGATCGCCACCATGGCCATTAGAAATAATATTCTTGGCAAGTTCTTGCATCTCTTCATCTTGAATTGGGTGATCCATTTGCTTTCTAACTTGAAGATTATTGCCGCCATGGACTCAATTCTATCCGATCTCGCCAAGGCCCTGCCCGAGCCTCTATGCCAGATCATTACACCAATTGGGATGTTAGGCTATGGGTTTAATATGGCGGATGTCGAATACGGCCTTCAATTAAGCTTCCAAAAAGACACTCCGACTGCGATAATTCTGGACTCTGGATCGACGGATTCTGGCCCAGCAAAACTTGCATTAGGTACCATGACTTGCCCTCGGTCGGCCTACGAGAGAGATCTTAGCCAACTGATCCGGATTGTGCGACAATATCATGTTCCTTTATTGATCAGCTCGGCCGGGGGCGATGGAAGCGATGCGCATACCGACGAGTTCCTAGATATTATCCGCGACATTCTCAAAGCCTCCGACTCCAGGTGAGAAAGGCATCCAAAACAAGAGCCTTGATGCCGATAGAGCGCTGATCTGAATTCAGCGACCAACATAGCTTAAAGGTTCTGTCAATTTATAGTGAGACGAGCCGAGAGTGGCTATTGCAGCACCTCGAAGCTGGCAGGGTATCTGGTTGCGGCCCATGTGTCCCTGTTCTCACTGTGCAGGATGTTGAAGCCACTCCAACTATTGTTGGCCAAATTGGTCCCGAGCCTATGTTGCAAGCAATGGCTGCCCATCCCGACTTCGACATTTTGGTTGCCGGAAGAGCGTATGACCCGAGCCCTTACGTGGCATTCTGCGCCTTGCATTCTTTCAAGAAATCCTACAGCAAAGTTGTAGATTTGAGCCCCACAGCACTTGGTGGATTCACGCATATGGGTAAGCTCATGGAGTGTGGAGGAGCATGCGCGACTCCCAAGTGTGCGGCCTCCATGGCAGCCATTTACCGTGATGGATCCTTTGACATACGCCCCTTGGCTTCTGGCTCACGTTGCACCACCACGACTGTTGCTGCGCATGCTCTATACGAGAAGTCTCGGCCAGATGTTCTATATGGTCCTGGAGGCTATCTCGATCTAACCACTGCGACCTATTCTGTTCTAAAAGATGGCATCTCCGTCCGCACCAGTGGCTCTATCTTCAAGGTTTCCAAGCATGAAAGCATTCCTTACACGATAAAATTTGAAGGAGCCAAGGTCACCGGATATCGCACTATCTTTATGGGATCCTTTTGCGATCCAATTTTGATTCAGCAGCTTCCGTCACTTTTGACTCGCGTGAAGGCTTATGTTGCCCAGCAACATTCTCAAATCAATGATGCATGGTCATTAGACTTTCATATATATGGCTTTGATCCGAAAAGGCCGGCGGAACTCCTAGGGGAGGTCTTTCTTGTTGGTGAGACACTAGCCGAAACCCAAACTTTAGCAACAAGTGTTGCTTCATCCGCACGTGTCGCATGCGTCCACGGTCCATATGAGGGTCAAAAAGCAACGAGTGGAAACTTTGGTATGGGGATCGGTGGGAAACTGGAGATCGAGATGGGGGCTTGCAATGAGTTCTCAGTATATCACTTGGTGGAGCTTCAGGATGGCCAGGAAGAGGCAGAAGAATTTCAGCATGTCATGGAGCCAGGGGATACAGAAGGGGCCGCGAGGAAGTTTATCAGATGGAAGATGCGCTTACTGGGAGACGGGCCTCGACTAGAAAAATCTGATTGCCAATTCCTGGAGATAAAAGATGAAAATGAGCGATCAAACGCGAATACTACTGGTTCGAGAGTGCAAAAGGCTGCATCTTCGGCAAATCCCAAAACTCTTGGCGATATTTCCAGCGTTATCCGATCGAAAAATGCAGGTCCGTACGAAATTACACTCGACGTGATGTTCGACGATGCAGCAGCCTATCACCAGATCAAGGAATCCGGACTCCTGACACCTGAGCGTATGGCTGAGCTTTACGGCATTGCGGTTGCGGATATCGTGTGGTCTGGTTTCTTTGACCCAGCGCTGGCATTTAAAGCTACAATCCCCCGCCGAAGACATGGACAGCTACAATCATCGGGGGGATTTATGGAGAATGATGTGCATGGATCACAGAATCATTTGCCTCTAATGAATTTGTCAATTGGAAGCTATCTTTAGCGTCCTTTTTTATTCCTTCATTTGTTGAAAATGGGGAGACGCATCGGGCATTGGATCCTCCCCTAAGAAGCTCGAAAGACCACCCCTTGTCTTCTACATCTACCATATCTATCAAATTCCCGGCTGAAATCAGGATTATTGCGATCCCTGACTACTCAGGAAATACTATCCGTCTCATCATAGGGATTATTTGGATCGTAAGGGAACTTCCTCACCACAACATCTCCGATATAGTCCCACAAGCTGAACTCCGTCGGCGTAAAGTCCAGCTCACATGTCTCGTCGTGTTGTCCGAAAGTGTGAACCGCCGAAACGTTCCCATCGTCATATTCAATTCTGACCATGTTAACCGTTTCCCGGCTTGGATCGCCCAGCAAAAAGTTCAGCGGCATGAACTGCACACCGGAATGCGCGGTAGTGAAGACTGTGTTGGGAAGGTCACCTGTGTGTGGAACGTGATGCATGCCCAGATTCAGCCACACAACTAGATCCTGCTGTGTAAGGTCCTCCCCATCGAAAAATTCGTTGAAGTTGATGGGTGGGTCCTCTACATCTTGATTGTTTTTGGGATGAGCGGACCGAGGCTCCGTGTCGTGGTGCTGGGTCACTTGAACATCGTAACCGGCCCACTGACCAGCGTTACGAAGGTTGGTCGAGTTCTCCACCGTCAGGTGGATGGTTCCCGTCGAGGGTAAGATGCGGTATCCCCGATACTCGCCATAGGGGGTCTTCTCATCCATGTTGATCACTTTGACCTGGGTGGCGGAATTCGCAGCCCAGTTGAATCGGCTCTCCATCTCACTCTTGATGTGCGAACGTTCCAGTTTCATGGTATTTCGAGTTTGGTTGGACCATGCAAAGGTCTGAGTAGTAGGTACTTGGTGAACCAACTCCATGGTATTGTTCACTCCCAAAATGTCGAAGTCAGCTTTGAAATTCAGGACATGATCATGCATTGATCCGGAAAGAGCATCGTGGATCTTGTAGCCGAAGTCCTCGTTATGAGCGTAGTAGGCCGACTGGATGTATCCAGAGGCTCGCACTTCAACGCCGATGGATCCATCCATATAAAAAGAGTAACTTGAAAAATGTTTTGTCAGAAAAATCCGATCATATATTAATTTGACCGTGCAGATCTTGCCCACCTGAACATGTAATCGTAGTTGCCAACAGTAGACACAGAGCGGACGGTAAAGTAGATGTTCTTCGTCACGGACACATAAGACGAGCTGCTATGCCGTTGTATAGGATAATCTGCATCATATTCAAATAGACAAATACTGTGGACATGCGTATGGGTGGTTTCGTCTTCGTAGAACGTGCTGTTGAGATAGCTCGCGTAAGCTGGGCAGTCGTAACCTTTGGCCAATTCAAAGGCATAAGGCCCGAATCCGTAATATGAGTCAAGATAAGAAGTCAAGGATTGAACAGGGTCATTTCCTAAAAATTATTAGGCATTTCGCCGTGGAGAGACAGAAAAAAGAACACAAGAAAACATACCCGCATAGTGAGCCATAGCCTCTTGTAGACCTAGTTCGTACAGAATGCGTTGGCCCTTGTATCGGATATCATGAAGGGCCATTCCCGTATCATGGGCGAAACTAATGAAGAAGGAAAAGTCCATCCACTCGACATACTTCTGTGCCACATCTACCGCGAATCGTGATCCGGAGGGGGCAACGGAAACTGGGGGATAAGATCGATCATACGGCAGGACCTTTCCCTGCTGGTCGGTTTGAGCCCATTTTCCCTCTGTATTTAATCCCAGCTTTTCAAAGCCTGGTTTATAGAAAGCTTGTCGGAATTCCTCAGTTGTGCTGTAGAAAACATCATTGTACAGCCACCCCAAAAGCTTCCATTTGGATGGGTCTCGGCCTGTTACATCTGAACGCACATAAAGCCCCAAGGGTAGCAAGGTTGAATCATCAAAATCACCGGTTGGTTCATTCCAGAACTGATCCCACCGGGTGATTCGACCTTGTTCCTGCGATAGGGGGTCGATTCCCCATATGCTGATCGTATCATTGTCCAGCCCTAAATATGTTGCGTTCCACAAACTGAGAGTGATGTCAGATACTGACCGAGATATATCTAAAAGCCAATCGCTATATATCAAATCGTCGTCTGCTTCGATGTTCCGGACTCTTCCGTTGGTCTTACGGGTGTACGGATACTCGAGAGGCACCCATTGGGTGGTTCCATTCACAATCGGCAAAGGACCAACCAGGATATCCGCATAGTATGGCTGAATAGTCGCTCGGTGGTCAATTACGACGTGAGCATATCGAGAAGGGGCTTTGCCTCCGCGATCAATAAACTCCAGTGCGTGAGACTTATTGGGTTGCATGAGCTCAACAAGTTGGCTGTACGGATTAGCCGAGAAGCGAGAAATGGATCTGAGTCGACATACATAGTATTGTCCCAGTCTCCTGCTTTGCTTGTGGTGGTCAAGTTGAGATCAGTTTGATCAAACAGCCATGACAAGACACTGGCCGCTTCGGGATCCGTAAGGCCAGTCCAGATGTTCGTCCGTGGGGCAAGGACCTCGGTGAAGTTAGACTCAAGGCAGGGCCCGGGATCAGTATGACTGCGCCCATAATCCAAGTCACGGTCATCTAGTTTTTGCCCCAGCCCGTGGAAAAGATCACGTCTGCTATCATGGTTCTGTTTTGGGGATGGTCGTTTAAGACTGGCATGAAGCTTGCCAGCAGCTGGACAGACCAACCAGGCCAGCCCTATGGCTATGAAGAAACAACGAGAGTCGTAATGCATGCTCGATGTGACAATATTAAATTTTCTTGATTTATGTTGGGAAAAACAACCATATTGTCCGTTCTGGCCCTGGGTCTTTATACAAGTGGGGATCCTACCAGCTTCCGCTCGATACCGTACATGTCGCTACACTTTCACATACGGTGCTCTATTATTAAAACTTGTAAATGCAGGGTGATGTCTCACTTCGATATCCCGCACGTCCCTACGCTTTCACATACGGTGCTCTATAATTAAAAATTACAATTTCAACGTATTGTCTCACAATAGTTGGTGGAATGAACGGCGCACAAGAGATCTAGCAAGGTTCTTTGACAGCTAGTTCCTTCCGCATGGACCTTCTTCCACCAAGATCACATTGCTATTCACTACTTAAGCGATGCCGACCCCCTCATGCGGGATCTCCGCATATCCAGCCACAAACTTCCAGGCGCCTTATCAGCTTGATTGTTATCTCCCAGTTTCAACCAGTGATAGGGCATTTTGCTTTGAAGCTTAATACCTCTCTCCGCATGAACTTGCTCATTCAGGCGATGTCGTCTCTTACTAGCAGAGTCACTTTGGACCCAATTGGCTCAGATATACAAGACAGGTATCTAAGCGACGGTCACCACCAGGGCCCGTGTAGTAAAAACCCGCACTCAGTAAGCCTAGCCGCAGTGTTTCTATCAAGTCTAGCTTAATCCTTGCTATTCAAAAAAGGCTCTACAATTTTTTAATCTCATTGGGGCTTATCTTTATAATGCTCTAATGGTCCATCCTAGCTGACTCTTGGCAGCCTTGTGTGATTGGGTCAGATGCTGAATCTCTTATCTCATAACACTCAACTATCTTGTTGGACGCTCCATCTTGGAACAATGGCCGGATGAAGCCTGTTCATAAAAATGTCTGTAGTGCGCTTTGCCGAGTGGATGTTAGTGATACGGTGGAGACTTGACCTTTGTGTTCGATAATCGCTGGACTGGGGAGGATGAAGAAAAAATCTTAACAACCAAAGCACTTCCTCTAGCTGCCAGAATAGAGGAGCCTCAGAATTATAGTGGCCAACAGTCGATTCATAATTCTTTCGAACCGGGAGAATCTTAAAAAAATAGAAAATACTAGGATGTGGACTTGTAGCCCGACTGAGAAAAAAGGTTTAAGGTGTTTTTACACTTAATCCTCAGTTCTTCCTTCTTACCTTTGAATAAAATAATATTGAGTCAGAAAGTACCCTAGGCCAAGCTTTATAATTCTATCCCCCCCCCCCCCCCCGCCTTTCAGAACGTTGGAACACAGTATGGTTCTAAAGCGTTTCATCACTATCCGGAATCAGAGCATGAAGAAAGCAATGAAAAAAGTGCGACTCCGATGGGAAGGTCATTATAAACCGAGTTAGGTGATGCCTAACACTTCGAGCTACATATCGCGAAGATTGATGTCCTCAAAAGTCATCTATAGCTTAAGCAAGCTTTTCTTCCACCACTTCTCTTCCTCTTCCACAGCATCAATACGACTCTTAGCCTGTCGGAATCCATGCCCTTCACCATGGAAGACCACAAGTTTAGGATGACGGCCAACCTTGACCATCATTTCAAGCATTTCCTCCGCCTGACCCAGGGGAACAACCATATCCTCGTCTCCCTGTAGCAACAACATCGGCGCGGTGATCTTGTCCGCCTTGAAGCAGGGACTGCGTTCTTTGAAAATGCGATCTTTCTCGGCCTCACTCGCACCAGGTTCGAACAGTAAAGCAAAAGCATAGTGGCTCTCAAATTTGTGGGTGTGTTCACAAATAGCTCGGACGTTGCTTATACCGTATAGCGAAGTGCCACCGGCGAAGAGATTGGGATAGTCACAAAGAGCTTGTAGGACGATGTAGCCTCCTGCACTTCCGCCGCGAATCCCGACTCCGTTGGGGTCGATCCTGCCTGTTGAAGCTAGGTATGACACACAACTAGCAGTATCTGCAGTATCGAGGATACCTATTATATTTGTGAGTATCAGAAAATGATTCGAGAATCTGCGAGGTGAAGACTAACCCCACTGCCCGTTCAATTCATCCTGGTATGCCCTGCCATACCCGGAGCTTCCTCCGTAATTGACCCAAACAACAGCATAGCCTCGGGTAGTCCAGTATTGGTCTGTGGTATTTAGGCCAGTCCCGGTCTGAGCTGTCGGTCCGCCATGGAGACACACGATCAAAGGGGGAAGTGTCCCAGAATCCGCTTGATAACCTGGGTTTTGGGGTGCGTAAAAAATAGCATGGGACAGCCCTTTGCGGTTTTCACCGTGGACTCTTGGGAAAGAGATATGCTCCGGCCGGGAGACAAGGGAAGCTGGCATGGGGAACTCGGAAGCAGCTTTAATTGCATCGAGCTTGGTATCAGCGATGTCTAGTGTGTAGACGGTGTTGAAGCTTGTTTCGCTGGACCCAAGGAGTGCAATCTTCGTGCTTGAGAGGGGGGTTTGGGCTAATGTGATCGTGTCTGACACTGGCAGGTTCAGGTCGCGCCAGGTGTCGTCTGTCAGATCGATTAAGATGAAGCTCCACCGAGCGTCCTTGGTATAGGAAGCGATCATTGATGTAGAAGTCAAACTCAGGAATGTGCAGCTAGTAAAAGAAGATAGCCGTCAGCATATTTGTAAATACCGCCTTAATCTGGATTGAACATACCCTCCCAAGCGCCAGTCTGGTTGCGAAAAGTCCAACTCGTCCAGGCCACGGAGGGCTAATTTTTGGCCTTCGGAGCTGCTGGCATTCAAACGATAGAGTTGGTAGTGCCCTGAGCAGTCCCACGCAAAGTACAATGTGCTATCAGGGCCCCAACGGGGCTGGGAAGCACTCTGTTTCCCAGGAACGCCAGCCACAAGTTGAACATCTGCGACCTGGCCGTTATTCCACTTAGCCGTGTACAAACGAGCTCCTGTCCATGGCATATCCGGGTGGGACCACTGAGTCCAGCATATTCTGCTACCATCGGGAGAGAACTGCGCAGCGCTGTAGAAGTCGTCACCGGAAGCAATGTTGACTACATCCTTTGACTGCAGGTTAACAGCCACGAGACGGTTCCGAATCTCTGACGGGAGTGGCTTGGAGTGGTCCTCTTCGATGGCCAAAATCCATCCGCACTTCGCCTGCTCGTCAGCCAAAGCAGACGTGCACACATAGCGGAGGGCAACGTCAGTGTTGGTGATCCGCTCCACGTGGCCGGTGGAGGGATCGAGTTTGTGCAGATCCTGTGTCTCACGATCGGAAAAGACGATCTGCCCGTCGAAAGCAATCATCGAGGCGCCGCCATATTCATGGACCTTGGTGCGGGCATCATATCTAAGGATCATTAGCATACCTGAATCTCGTGATGGAATTTTAGTCTGCACTTGGTCGGTAGAACGTCGCGTCCTTCAAGACCAGAGTACTCGACAATGCAGCCTCGGCCCTGCTCTTTGGGACGACATTCAATGACATAAATCTTCCCATCGGATGTCTAAAGAGGTTATTAGAACATGCTTTTCAGGTGGGCCTGATCGACAGCAAACATACCGCGATGGTTTCAAACTGAACACCGTCGGCACCAAGCAAGGTTGAGGTGATTGGGCTCTTCCATTGGCCGAATGGAGCTGTGATGGGGCTTTTCATGATGCTTTACCGAGAGGCTTTTTTAAAGATCAGTCGTTTCTCGTTCAAGAGTCTGTTGGAGACGACGTTGTTAGACTGTCAATTTTTCTGAAACAATTTACCCCGCAGCCGCCGAGGTAGGATTTTAATGCCTGAGGTTGCAAATTTGATACCTGATGATTGTCCTAATACTCTACAGATTTCATTTCTACTCTTCTATGGTAGCCATGTCGGGCTAAAGAACCTTTAGATGTACTTAATTACAGTATCTCATAGATTTGTGTCGCATTTTTGACATGTCAATTGTCAGATAAGGTTCTTTCCCAGAAGACGTAATATTTCAGGATGCTTGCTATATCGAAGGCGGGAGACTACTTCTTGGAAAATGGAAGTCCGAGCAGATTGTCTCTAAAACCCCCTACTAAGACTAATAAAAAGACGATGCTACCTTTAAGCGCATCGGTATCGAGACTCGTCGCCCTAGTGGGGCCCACTGAACCCGCGATATCCGTAACCGAAATTGAAAGCTTGTCGCTAAGTGACTTTTGTGCCTTGCCCTGAACCTTTAATGTGGCGCTAGTTCTGAACGCTTGGAGGGCAATCTCCGCTTTTCGTCTACAGTATTCACAAAGGATGATGGCATGTAGGAGATGAAACCCAGAATTAAATCCTGCAGGTAATATTCTAATGTTTTCATTTTTCTGTAAGGTCGTACAGTGGGTTAGAGTTTAACTTTTTGTAACCTATTACGCAGCTAAAGCTGCGATGGGCAATTTTATTACCACGATCGCCCTTCCGATCAGGGAAGATTCGTAGAATGAGAAGCAGCTTCTTGAGATAGCCGACCAATGGCTGAAGACAAACATTGAGTTTAGGGTCTCTTTCAAATCTCATTAGATCAATTTTGCTAAACAAAACGGCTCTTGTCCTCCATTCCCACTGGTATAGATAGATTTAAGCGGTAAAATATTTTATCTTTTGGCTGATTTTGATTTTGATTTTGATCTTACTGCATTTAAGAAGCACAGAACATTTTCTCCATATCATTCTGGTGTCGTGTGCTAAACATAGCGATAAATGAGAACAAAAGATTCAAAACACTAAGCCTCGAGGCAGATCATAAAATTCAAAGTTTACCAGCTATAGCCGGGCGAGATTGACAAATTCTCCTGGGGCATGATAGGGCGGTACTTTCATCTGCAAAGCCTCCCCTGAATACCCGAGGTCTTCGGCGGTCAAAACTGCACATTTTTCCCCAATAAGAAGAGCAGTCTATAGTTTACCTGATTAGCTTTTTGATCATGGAGAATCAAAGCAAGAGTACTTACGCTGAAAGTGTTGCAACCCACATTATCGGGGCATATCGAAAGATCACAGACTTTCAGCCCTTTCACTCCGTGGACATTCAAACGCTCGTCCACGACACCTCCGTGGGGCGCAATGGAGCTTCCCTCCCGTGGTGCCATGCTGCAAGTGCCCAAAGAGTGCCAAGTCGTTTCGACGTGACGTTGAACTGCAGGGCTTTAGTCATCCCATCTAAAGAAAATTGGGATGTTTCAAGTCTTACCCCATTTCTCGATGTGTGAAATATCTTCCTTTGTGTATTGAAGCGAGCCACGGTCTTCATGTCTGTTAGAGCTGAGAACAGAGGCTGCTGGCTGCTTCCCAGGCTCCAAAGGTTGCGACCAAGAGCCTATGATGAGGTCAGCTCCTTGTTGATGAAATGAATAATCGGTGCGAATGATATCTTACCGTGCTGAATGCCCGCGGAAATATGATTCGGTCCGGCGTAGGCCTTGGTAGTTGCAAGATCAAGATCTTTAGCACTGGCAGGGGAATCAAAGGCGAATTGAGGGTGCATTCCAGTCACTTCGCCGGCATATGCATCCATTCGTCGGGCGGTCTCACGGGATTTTATATATCCCCAGACCATGGGTGCCATATCGCGCTTGTCATTCATAAAGCCTGCATCAAAGTCGGGCGCCTCATAGGGATCAGGCGATTGAATATGGGTGGAACCACGGGAGAATGGGTACTCCTTTTTTTGGTCGTCAGAATAAGGTAGGTTGACGAAATATTTGCACTCGGCACATTGAACTTACCAAAAAATGGAACATGGTAAAGAATTTGCCCGGTGGCATGAGCATATGATCTCCGAACCAGCTGGGTGTTTGTCAGGTAAGGTATTTCAATGAAGATGAACAAATTCTCGACTTACCCAGATATGACCGAGTAGTGCATCACTGGCTTATCGGGCTTGTTCTTGAAGTACGACTCCCATCCGCTTTCGAACCCGGGGGTTGGCCACTTTTTCATCTCGTTCAGCTCCTCTGGCGTGGGTCGAATCTTGACCCCAGCATCGATGCCGTTGGTTGCCAAAGGGCCGGTGCCCTTCGTGTTCCACTCTTGGAACACTTTCTCTTGCACTTTGGGATCCCCTCGGACGAAGTCATCAAAGGTCTCCACCTCCGGTTTGGCTCTGTAGACCGAGAAGGTGAGATAGTGATCCTGAAAGTTACGCCCCACCCCGGGCAAGTCCACCAAGGGCTCGACACCCGCACGGCGAAGCTTCTCCGGATCCCCAACTCCCGACCGCTGCAGAATCAGCGGGGAGCTGAGAGTACCGCCACATACAATGATTTGTTTGCGCGCCCGGAATATTCTGCGAACTGGCTCCCCTCCATTGAGAGGCTTTGTGGGGACTGTTACGACCCCAACTGCACGGCCATTCTCGATGATCACTTTTTCCACTTTAGTGTTACACTGCAAGTGAAGATTAGAATGCTTTGATCGAGTGCTATGCACATATGCATGGGCCGCATCACTTCGTCGCCCTATTGTAGGAGGTCAGCAGCACATTGCCATAATGAGCATCATCACTCACCAGTATCACGATTGATCCACTTGAGCCAGTGTTCAGCACCATGACTAAAATCCAACAGTAATTAGTACCCTTTCAAATGTATCCGTCTGAGGGCTCCATACGCAGTCTTTAAATCTTGCAGATCGTCAGTGGCCGGAATCCCTTGAGATTCAGCGGCACGGAGAAAGTCTTGTGCAATAGGATACGTGTGATTTCCGAAAGACACTTTGATAGGGCCTTCAAATCCATGCAGGTCTGGATTATTGCAAGCACGCTGATATGTCTCGTGCTTTTTCATGAGAGGGAGCAGCTCTTTAGTAGTCCAACCCTTTGCTTGAAAGTCATCGTAATCTGAGGCAGATGCTCTAGTATACATCTTGTGACGTTCAGTATTGACTTCAATTGTTCCATTGACGTGGAATGACCTACCATAAAATTGATTGAGCTTCCACCCCCAAGAATATTTGCACATGGAACGATCGCCCGACGGCCATCCAAATGCTCTGAAGGGCGAGAGTGATAGAATGATGCAGTTTTTGAGTCAAGCTTCATGTTCACTGGATAGATACCAGGACGATAGACCCTAACATGGTGTGAATATGCAGCACAATACTTAGTTCAATGAGCAGGTCGAACCATGGATTATTCAGATTACTCTCACCCGCCTCAATCAGCAATACGGAAAGGTTATGATCAAGGTTGGCGAGGCGGCCCGCAGGAACGCATCCTGAGCTGCCACCACCACATATGATGATGTCGACTTCTTCCGGGATGGTCATAGTTGAAGAAGATTTTGTTCGCAATTTTCTTGAGACAATTAAAATGTTTTGAGTGGAAGTCAAACTCAGCTGAATTGGAATCATAGATTTGGTCTTTCCGTGCTTTATATATCTTGTATGGTTTCCCCGAGACCCCTCTCGCGAGGACAACCACGAAGAGGTATCTTACAGGCCCGTCAAAGTCTGCGCCTCTCACAAGGTTCAACCCCGCGTGCGGGGGTGGAAGTAAAACGGTGCTAAGACATAATTGTAGCCATGTTCAGAAAGGCAATTAATTACAAGAACCTCGTTCTGTTACCTGTTCAGCCAATTTCCTGGCCCCACGTATTCTATGAAAGCGATGAGCCCCACAAGCTCATCTATAGAACATGACATGTAACGTATACAGATATCAATTGGGGAATTTTATCTTTATTTCGCATTCCGTCTGCTCCGCAGCTAATTGACTATCTCATGACTAGTGAGAATAAGTCTTTCGCCGGGAATGAAAGGCTTCCAGATTTCAGAATGCTATGAAAGATACGAATTCAACACTTTCAAATGTTGGCGCTGGCTCTCAGTGACTTTCAAAATGGGGCTTTCTAACTGGAACTAGGACATCACGAATTAGAGAAATTTCGCACCTGAAATGCACAGTATACGTTACGCTTAGGTTGCCAAGAATACTATGGCAGTATTTATTAATCTCACAAGCGCGAAGGGGAATTGTGGAAACATATATTATTGAAGGATTTCCAGCTTTTTTCAATTACCATATCACATCCTTACTATCCGAATTAGAAAGATTGTCCAATCAAAGGCTAGAAGGATAAAATGATGGTTGCTTTCTCCAGGAGGCTTTTCGGCTGTTTACTTCCGTAATCCGTGCGTCAAGAGTGAGGGGATTAGAGAGGGAGCTAAAGGGGCTTACCGCATAGCTGATATCCAGAGAACCGTTTTGATTGGAGGGGAAATATATCATGTGGCCGAGATGTGGATTGTAGTTTTACGTGGCGATTGAAGCAGAGCTGTTCTTGGCCTAGAAAATGCAGATCAGCCACTATGTGGGGGAATATGGGAATCTCCCGGTGCGGGGAAATCGTACTTTAAATCATCTTTAGTCACTAAGTCGCAGGTAAAAGTAGAATGAATTGAACTGACAATTCACAAAGTAAGCGATTATTACCTGGATGTTGTGTTATTTTTGATAATAGTGTGTAGTCCTTTCGCATAAACTTGTATTTTCCCTTAACACTACAAGAAGCTGTGCTCCTTCTCTATCAGAACTTGAAGAAATATGTATTCCACGGTCTTGGAATCGAAACGTGACTCCACACGCTGGTACATAAAAGCCCCACATCTCTTGGTCTAGGTTCTACTTCGGCCGGTCGATTGCCAGGGATCCAATATAGACTAGCGTGTTCCTAGGTCATTCGATTGGAAGACCAAAAGCCCCAAGAAATGCAGGCAGACTCCAGACCGATGGCTTTATATTACCACCCGAAATTACAAAAATTCGTAATATGGAGCGCCACAGTCTACAAGTGACAATCAGAGGTGTCTACGAAATTCACGCTTAAAGTGGTCGATCTTTGGCGAACAAGTCTTCTAAGAGATTTCCCGGGCATGCAGTAATCTGTTTAACTCATGTCAGGACCAGAGCTGACCATATAGATCTACGGTGCTCTCGATGGGTATGGCAGATTCATTCATCCGGTTAGTTTGGTCTACGCGTCATAAACGGGACACTAGGAATCTGTCTACGTAGAGTCTGACAATGGTATGTGTTTCGGACGGTAAAATGGTTTTTGTCCAATAGTACGGTGCATCAACCCAATCTAGGTGTCAACTAACAATAATGTCCAAGTAGATTGCTCTTCCTACCAGGCCAAAAGCTTAGTAGACTCTATCTTTCCGCATCGGGGGCAGATGTATCCGGCAGTGAATGACAATGAAACTGGCTTAGATAAGTCCTCTCTAGCTTTATTGAGTTTCTGTCAGGATCTTAAGACAACGGGGCTACTTACATAGCTTTATATCCCAGTAGCTTACATGTCAATGTGACAAGAGGGCTTAATCAACTGGGTATGGGGCCATACATATTATCATGGATCGCTTGACAGATGTTTTTTTCGAAGCTGCGTGAATTAGTTCAGGATTGAACATTGAACGCCCTTAAAATATGTGTTTCATTCATTGCCGCTCCAGTTAAATAGCTAAGCGGCATAAAAAATTGAGTACAAAGTGAAAAACTCACGAGTTTGAAATTGAATTGCGAATCGCGCTCGGGTGGGACATGGAATATGGAAGGAAGAAATGATGACCATCGATGCCAGTCTGCGATCAGTGAGATTATGTCGAAGGTTGAAACGTACTCTGTTGGCTCTTATCTGAGAGAGCTTGATTTTAGTTCGAAAATCGAAATACTGACAATAGATGCCGCAGAGGAGGATTCTAGTAATCAGACGGAAGTGGGATCCTGAGGGGCGAATTTGTGGTTGTCTTGGGCCAGAGGAAATGAACAGCCATGAAGTGAAACACGTCTAATCCTCGAATCTGAGGACGTCGTAGCTTAGTTAGTCAAGACTCATCGGGAGTTGTTGTTAGCATGCCAGCTGAAAAAACTCCTATGCAGGGTGGAAATTAATATTTGCACATTAATAGGACATATTTAGTCCATGAAGGGATACCTACTCTTGTTCGAGATGTATGGTGGTCAGACGGGTATACCGGACTTACGGGGGCGGAAACCGAAACATGACGCCATGGAGTTATCCGACCGGGAAGTTTACTACTCATCCGAGTAGCTCCCATTTTTGTTGATATTAAGCCTCCAGTATCTCTTCCTGAGACTGTCACTTTTTCAGGATCGCTTTGTTGTGTCCCCTTAGCTACCGCCATAGTCTTATTTCTCACACTTTCCACGGCCACACCCCGCTTATCACCGACACAACTCTGTTTTCCATAGCTAGCTTTACCATGTCAACCGACATGATGCGCGCTGTTATTATGCACGAGATCGGTGGTCCCGGGGTGCTAAAGCTCCAAAACGTTCCCAAGCCAACACCCGCCGCCGGAGAGGTCCGTATCCGCATCAAGGCGTTTGGTCTCAACCGTTCGGAAATGTTCACTCGCCAAGGTCATTCTCCCGGAGTGAGCTTTCCTCGCATTCTTGGCATAGAGGCAGCCGGAATCGTCGATATCGCCTCGGCGGTATCTGGCTTCCAACCAGGTGACATAGTTGTCACTGCCATGGGAGGCATGGGTCGTGTCTTCGATGGCGGATACGCCGAATACACGGTAGTGCCCGCCTCCCAAGTGCGACCTGTCAAAACTACTGTTGCATTTGGGCCTGATCATTCTGTGAGGTGGGACCTCCTCGGTGCCCTCCCGGAACTCATGCAGACGGCATGGGGGTCGTTGATGATCAGTCTTCAGCTAGTGCCCAGCGATCGCCTGTTGATTCGTGGAGGAACCACCAGCGTGGGGTTGGCTGCCGCATTGCTCGCTCGATCCCACGGAGCCTCAGTCACGGTAACGACTCGGAGTCCAGCTCGTGTTGATTCCTTGCGTGCACTCGGAATTGAGGACGTCATTGTTGACGGAGGATCTATACTGGAAGAGGTCCAGAAACGAGCTCCATTTAGTAAGGTCCTTGAGCTTGTCGGTGTCACTACCTTGGAGGACTCCTTGCGATGCGCGGCACCTGGTGGCACCGTCTGCATGGCTGGTATTGCAGGCAATAAATGGACCTTCGAACAATTCAGTCCGATGGCATCTATCCCAACGTCGGTCAAGTTGACCACATATGCAAGCACCTCAGATGCTCTGCTTGAAACCCCCATTGAATCGATCGCCAGGGATGTTGCGAACGGAAAAATGCCTTTGCCAATAAGAACCTTTCCAATTGAGGATATTGTGGAGGCTCATCAGTTGATGGAGGAAGGGGCAATGGCCAAAATTGTAATGCTAGTTTAGGTTTACTTTAATTCATGTAATATGGCAAGGCTGCAGATGACCACACAGAAATTGATTTTATTCAACCAGATGCTTTACCAAGACAGCGGGATCTGATACTTTGTCCAATGTCCCGAGGTATCGGCCTCCTTGAATTTTTCAATTCCACCCGCAACCCCGTCCTCGTTCACTTCCCAGTCACCCGTTTCAACCCGTTCGGCCCAGTTCAAAAATACCTTATGAATTTGCACGCCTGTTGAATCCATTGGTTGAAATCCACTGAAATTGAAAAACTGATATAGCTCAGCTGAGCCACCAGCGCGGGCTCCCTTTGCACCAAGATCAAACGGCAGCAGTAGCCTACTCCCGTTCCCAAAATCCACGGCCCAGTAATTGCACACAGATTCACTATATAAACCAACAGGGATGTCCAGTGCTTTCTCGTCAGGAAACCACGGTCGGATCCAAGGGGAAATGTTCAGCCCTTCACCTCGGAATAGGAGAACTGGGATGCTGTGTGGATTCTGATCATTTTTGCTGAGTCTTCGAAAATTATCGCGACGATCTGCGAACGGCTGGGATATAAATTCGGATGGGCTTTGTATCCGGATTCCTGGGGCAATATGACGGAAATTAATATTGCGAGCTGGAAGAGCTGAGAGAAAAGATCGGACGAAAGAATCTCTCGGAACGAAACATTCATCCAGCACTGAGTTCGAATATGGAAGTTCAGTCACCCAATTGCTTGACAATGGGGTGTGAGTAGGTCTATCTGAGGGGATCCGATATTCAATTGCATTTATCAGGCGTGTGAAAGCTGTCGTTGCTTTCTCAATATCGCACTGGGTGTATTGATGCATCTGCCAAGGAAAGCATGGCTCTGAGTGTTTGAACAACACACTGTCTTTGTCCGTGTATGTTGTGACTTTTCTTTCATCGATCATCTCTAGGTAAGCCGTGAGAATATGCTGCAGGGGCTTCCATGGAAATTTTTCTTCCGCGAAGGTAACGCATTCCCAGTCCGGGAAGAAGGCGGCCAAATCGGTCTTTTGGTCGAATCTGCCGCATATGTCAGCAAGGATCTAAAAATCTTGAGGAAACTTATAGGCAGGAAATAAAACAGGAGTAACTCACAAGATACCAGCTTCGTCATCACTCGAAACCGTTGACCCTGGATATAGCCACACATATCGATCACCCCTCGATTCTAACATATAGAATCGCAGAAGGTCCTTTTTCGACGCAAGGCCTCGCAGGTAATAGAAAAAATGGAAATCCGCGTCATTAGGTCTCCAAATCACGGATCTAGCCAGTCGTAGAAACAGTATGAGCTTGGGGCTTAGCCGGGAAGCGAGATCGAAGGTAATTGGAGAAGACTCCTCCCACCAGCTCGTCGAGGGGAGCGAAGCGAGATCTCGTCCAGCACCAACCCATGCATGCTCCAGGATCCTGTTGTGGAGCTTGGCACAAAGTTGAGGGTCAAAAGAGGATTCTGGCATTTTGCTCTTAGATATGGAAGCGCAACGGATTTGAGATTTAAAGAATTTCGAGAGCTATCAGGTTGCGAAAATGACCGGAGGCTGTCCGGGATGAAAGGGCCGCATCGTTCTGATCCACTTCTTATTGCACAAGTAAATTTACCCAATCGACCAATACTCTAGTAAGATGTGCTTAGAGCGCCCCATGCTTCTTCTACACACGTGAGCAGGCGGGCTCCCAAAAGGGTAACTCCAAAATAGTCAACTAGCACATTCTTAGATTTGATGCGCAATAGCCACTGAGCGTCTTTATTCCCGCTATTTTTTGCCAAATAATAGACTGCGATAATTTCTATCTAGAGTGCGATACCAAAGTTGCCCATGATTTTGTGCGGCAGGCTCTGGTCGTCCTTCGCAAACTCGGCCAGGCGGTTGTCACTCAACAAGAAGGATTTGGGCATCCATGATGGCGCTTCCTCCCCCAACACCATTCGAGCAATTGCCTCGCCGCATGACCAGGCCTTATCCATACCGTGGCCATTGTATCCACCCGCTACCCACTCACTATTGCCTGAGCGCCCTGTCAAAGACGCCGGTAATTGGCCAACCAATGGCAGCCCGTCCGCGGTGAGGCCCATGATGCCGGACCAGATGCGAATCATTTCAACTGGCTCAACACCCTGCAGTATCTCAGGCACAATCGAGGCAAGGTTGTCTTTGGCTTGTTCAGAGACAACCGAGTCATCATTATTCAGCAAGTCTTCGATGGACTGTTTCTCGCCACCAATCCACAAATCCCCTGTTTTGACATTTTGCTGAGCATAGTATAGGCCGATGTTGACGACATTTGTTGACGGATCAAAACTTGGCCTATTGCGCCAAGTCCATGAAACTTCATTTCCGAGCAGTGGGAAAGATGGGCCCAGTTTCTGACGAGACATGGTACCTCTTATCGGCCACAGCTTCCCTACCAGCCCCGGGACCAAGTGACTCATATGGCCGTTCGTGCAGTGGATGACATGGCGCGCACGCATTGACCCTCGCGGTGTCTGCAGGGTGTAAGCTGCGTTTGCAGCACTTGGATCGTGATTGATTGAAGTCACTGGCGTGTTAGTCTCCAATGAAAAGCGACCGTCACTTTTCTCGATAAGAATTTGATACAGCGCTGTAAATAGCCGGTATGGCCACAGAGCAGCCGAACCGGTCTGTTGGGCTGCACCAACGGTATTGCGACTGTATCTCCATTCCTATATCAATAGTCGAGTCAGAATTCCGAGGATGATTTCAAAGGGATTTAGTTACTGACCTTCGTTGCATGTGTCGTGGGGATGATCTTCTCTGGTAATGCGTCGGTCGACTTGGCCGCACTGACCTGGAGGTATTCAATCGCATGTTTGGCCGCTTCAAAGCCTTCGTTGTTGTCGAACGCAATGGTACTAATTACAGATCGCAATTCAGTCGCGGCCTGATCCTTTTCGCTCAGACCGGCAACTACTTCCTTAAGTCGAGCGATAGTTCTCTCGCTGAGATGGGCCACGCTCATCGCCTCCTCCATTCCCAACGCCTCAACCAGCACCGGGAAAACCTCGCCTGCGTTGGAAACCAGATGGCCTCCGTTACGACCCGTGGCTCCACTGACTGCATTGCGAGCCTCTAACATAGTAACTCGGAGCTGCGATGCATCGGGATGATTCAGAAGCGTATGTGCCACTCCGCAGCCGGTCACTCCAGAGCCAATGATGACAATGTCGACTTCAGTGGGCAGCATAGCTGACTGTGTGCTCCCAACAGTCGGGTGAGGTGGCTCCTGCCAGGCTGAGACTGTGGGATGAGGGCTGGGGAGCCCCGGAGGCCTGTTGATCAGGTCGTGAATCCGCTCTGCTAGTTTTGAGCTTCCATCATCAGTTAAAGGACAGGCGATTACTCACCGGCAATTCCCATCTTGAAGTATCAAGCCCGGAATAAGCGAAGAATCGAGACAGGTTCAGATCATTACTGGGGTAGTAGTCGAATACCACATCATTTCTGGAATGCTCCAGCCTTTTATGCCATGCCAGCAGTGATTGAGGTCTGCCCGCGGGTACCGAGTCTTACTTGGCAACTCGCGTTCAGTCTGTAAACAGATAGTCCTGCCGAAGCGGGAGATGGCTATATGCTGTACCTAGCATATTATTTGTGAAAGCGGAGGCGCGTAGCTGGTCATTTGAGGGGCAATTCATCTTATCAATGCTCCGGTTAATGCTCCGGCTTATCGGAGAGGATCGGAGTTGATTAGTCATGTCGAGTGGAGTAGTGGATCCCTTTTGTAAATAAATTCAAAGGGGAAGGGAAGGGTCAGGTAGTTAGTTCTCTATTATCAGTTAAAAAAATCATTTCATTATGATTTGGCTTATAAAGACAAGTCGCTCAGATTCTATGCCAATCGACATTGTTGATTTTATGTACTTTTGGGCCATAATGAGCCTCCATCTTGACCCAGCAATTCGAGATTAAGAGTGAGTCGTTCATCCAAATCAAACCAACGGAATACTGTGCCCGAATCTCTGGTGCGCCAGACTGATAACAAAAAGGCCCTTATCCTATACTGCATCACAGGCGCGTAACGGTCCACAATTTCCGAAATCTTCTTCAATATTTCTGCTCTTTGATCTGCCTCCTTGATCTCCATGGCAGCGACAAGAAATGGAAATGTCACAATCCTCATTCTCTGCTTCGTGACAGATTTGGTAACTTGGATCTCTCTTAATAGGTCATTTGCTAGCTTTGATGCATGCGTATCTTCTTCGGTGAAAGGATAGCGTAGCCGATGGATGAAAAGAAGAGCTGCAAGTCGATATACATTCGCCTGACCCAGCATGTTCACGACCTCCTCGGTTCTATAACATTGAAGAAAATCTGTTGGAAAAACGGGCTTCCATTTTTCAATATCTGATTTGATATTTGCCAGATTTTCAAATAATCCAGATATCTCTCCTTCGTCGGAAGTTAGGAGAGCATTACTCACTTCACAAATATCGTATAAGTAAGGAAGGAGAGGGCTGCATAACCCAAGATATCGATCCACGAAATCGGACTGGTCAAGCTTTAATCTGATGGTCGGGATCATGCGTCGCGAGAGGCATTCCATAGTTTCGAAGAAAACTAAGCAGACGACAAATGGTAGCATATCCGCGTCGCCGTCAACACAGGAGGGGTATTGAGGCTTGATCTTGCGCAGACAATAGGTACAAATTTCCGCCACATTCGAGCCTATAGAGTAGCCAAATGTTGCCAACCCGATACTAAGAGCGATACACAGTAACGCGTCCTCGGTACTGATCACAGTCATTGACCGTAGTGAAGCTAGTCCAGATGACGCCCTGCGTAATGTCGCCTCTTCCTTTGTATTTGCCCCACGGGCATCGTGGGAGAGAAGTAAGGATCCTATGCAAGCTATATAGACATCCTTAATTTCAGGAGCTCCGCAGTCTAGCAATTTGAGTAGTGCTTGCCGTTCGGACTTGTGGAAAGAAGGTCCAAGAACATAGAAATCAAGCAAATCGCTCCGGTTAAGAAAGTGATAGATTGCGTCCTTTTCTGCTGACGTACAGGTTCGGAGGGGGGTCTGTAGAACAGGGTTAAGGAAGACTTGTCGTTGGTGTCGGTCTGGAACGTTGATATCTAGTGTCTCATTGTAACCAGGACCCGAGTCTTCATTCGAAGGTGAGTACTTGAAAACTTTGCTTTTAGAGAGAGGCCTCCGACCAGCACGTTGAACTGGGCGATCTGTTTGACATTCGTATCCAAGCCTTGAGCACCGGGAGCATTTGGATGGGTCTTCTGCCGTCCGGCATTTTTCCTTGAGCGAGTAGCATCGGTCGCAGGCTCGACTTCTATGAACGGCTCGCTATATGACTTGTCAACATGGCCTTCCAGTCAATGAGACATGAATCATACGACCACTTACCATTTTTCGAGGGGCGGATAGAAGGCAGTGATATGAAATGCAGCACACTAGCAAATGAGATGTCCAGGAAGCGGACTATCCGCAATGTGCACGGGGCTCTAATTGCACGTGACATCATCCTATTCGAGCTGGTTGTACAGGTGCGTTGTCTTGTGTTCATTGAAGTCGCTTGCTTCGCCTTTGAGGTTGCTTTCCTAAATAACTTGACATTGTTGGAATTTGGTTTTATCATGAATGTGGAACCACAGGGGGCGGCGGTTATAGTGTTCTTCTCGGACACCGTCATAGGCCTATGTGGTTGGCGGCTTTGTCTAGACCTTCGACGGATTCAATACTATGATAGGATATTTCGTCGACTTATTATAAATGGACGTCATCTAATGATGTCTCATGATTGGAAAGAGGACCAAGGTGCGGCGGGGGGAGGATGTTGGAAAAGATGTCCTTTCTGTGGAAGATATATATTTGCTATCGTAAAGGACGCTACGTATATCATTCTCAATTGAGAGAGATTCCAAGGAGGATGCCCAGTTGTCAGGCAAATTTTGGAACCTAAGACTTCAATGAAAATCAAAGGTCGCTTACGAGACATTGTTGCAACCCCAGAATTCACCTCTACGTTGGGTCGGGCTTTCACCAGCCTGTTACCACGGGCTCGGCCGAGGTTATTTTGCCCCTGCAACTCAAAGCAGTCTCTGGATTCAATTCACTAATGACCGTCATACAGGTGCTCCGAAAATTCTACTAATGGTTTCAGCATAGTCTGCGCCAATTGTTGTTATGTTCAATGTGCAAATGGGAGGTAAACTATATTTACAGGCTAACTAATTTCCTTTCTAGATCCACGCTAACTAACCTGTAGGCGTGGATAGTTCGACCTATTTGAAATTTCCTGTTCTGATAATACACATGTCCGACCGGTGATCGATAAGTTTGACCTACAAGAAAAGCGTTACTATCGTTAAATAAATAACTAACTGGTCGGTCACGGTTTAACTTTTCACGGGCTACAATGACATTGCTTCTTGGTAGGCGAATGCCGTCAGGTTGCCTAGTTGGCACCTCTCAAGTCTTGTAACCCTCGCTCTAACAGAAAGTTTTGCACCTCGGCACCGATAATATACCAAAATTGGCCGTCTCGTGCAATATTAAAGCCAGCACGTGAGGTGAAGTTCTTCGCTTATGGTACAGAATAGACAGCGGGTGGAACATTTGGAGTCGGCCCTGAAGTCGCCAGTTCGTCTAAAACTACCTATCATGTAGCATTCTGGAATCAATATACCCCGCCTTCGGGTACTTGTTCTATTTGTTCGCAACCAAGGATCTTTCAGGCGCTAGTGGAGATGTTTCGTGTGGAGGCTGAAAATCAAAAGCTAATAATTGCTAGTAGCAGCCTAAGCGAGTTTTGCCCACCTAACAAAAAAAAAAAAGTAATGCAAATACAACCGACAAGAAGATGGGACGCGGTGTATCGACTCTTTTCACGAGTAGGAGGCACTGGGAGGCATTTGTTCAAAATTTATTTGAGAGTGCATCCACAACATAGGTGGCGCTGAAGACCTGCCCCCCACGGGGCGTCAATTGTACATCAGGCCTCTTAGCTATAGAGTGGGGTCCCAAAGGGTCGAAGAATCACAATGCTCGAATATTGGCGTCACAGCATCCCATGCTAGATGGATCAGAGCGATTAGCTTTTCGAGGGGTTGGAGCAGGTCATGCCGTAGATCCGGCTGGCTCCGTGAAATTTGACCAGATAGGTCAAAGCAGAAACCAAAAATAACAAATCAACAAAGAAGTCGAATCAATCGAATGGGGATCTAGCGCTTAGACCCATCCAATGGATGTCTCGGATGTTCGTGATTGATCGCATCCTCGGACCAAATTGGTGCCTGGGTCTTGAGGTGTCTGAGCTCGTCCTTCAATTTGTTGGTTTCCCCGCCTAAGCGTAAAAGATTAAAGTACGCGCCTTCTTTTCTCTCTCCAATAAAGATCCCGTTGGAAAGCCTCCATTGATACTTGAAACATTCATAGTTCTTTAAACCTTGAATGGCACGATTTTTGGGATTCATGCGCTCGCCGAGGCGACCCTTACCCCTTGACGGTCATCATGTGCCTAATTTCAGAGTGGAGCAACCAACTCCACCGCCAAGGCCTGAGATTCGACCCTGAGCGGGATCTGACCCATCGTCTCCCATGAAGAAAATTCTTTACTATACCTATCACTCTGCAGGTGTAGACACGATGCTCGTGCACAAGGAACGAGCCCCATAGATAACGCGCGGTGTTATTGATGTCCACGCCAGCAGATCCGGAACGAAGCCGAGGATCGCATTCCGGCTGCAGACTGCTCACAAGCGACGCAAGGTCTATCGATGTTGGTATGACATGTGGAAGCTGGTGTTCTGGACCACGGTAGGATCAAAATGGGATCTGTATCTTCAGCTCGGCATGCATGATGGCCGAGGTCCATAGTTCGCATCCTGTTCAGTGGCGGAAAGCCACCATGCCTAGAAGATGGGTCTTCTTCAATTATTCTGTGTAACTCCGCAGTTTGCATGCGCCTGCTACAGATACCAGATAGGCAGATTCCAAGTTAGTTCTCCTGGAAAGATGGAAAGGGGGAACTGATGAGCTAGCAGGCTGGTATTAGTCCGAGATGCATCGTGGCTGATCGGAGGTGTCTTTTTGTGAGTTCGCAGACGCTGCGCAGACTGCACACTCTGCACACTAACTGCAGTTTCCCCTGAAAGCTTCGCCAAGAACCAAAAACCTTGGGCATGACTTCCTAAAATTTTGGATGTCTCGCAGGAGAGAAATCGCCTCTAGAATATGATAGCTGAAACTTAATATTCTGTTGCTAAAAACCCGGTTTGAGGCAACCCCTGAGCGGCCGATGCCACGAGTTCAAAAAGAAGAGATGGAGTATGTTGGATGCACTAGTCGAGCCGGGTATGCGCACAAGCAATCAAAAGCGACGCTACTGTAACTAAAGGCTGGGGGGTGGGGCGCGCAGTACACATAGAGTTTGATGTTCAGAATTAGTTCCCCATGCAGGCCGAAACAGGCCGAAGTTGTTCATACTGCCAATAAATGACAGGGGTATGCCAATCAGATGCTCAAGTGCTGCGAATAGACCGGTCTGGTCTTATTCAGGTACCGTTTTCCTGCTTGGCTGCCAGTTAGCCCTGCAGATCGACACAGACGCCCCCTTTTTGCGAGATTAGTGTGGAGATGGAGGCCAGGGTGCTTCGTTCGGGAGGTATAAGGCTCTTGACCTCCACCGTTATGATCTTCCTTCTCTACACACTAACTGCTTCATTCTCTCGTTAGATCTTGTCGTCTGTCACTCTTTTTGCTGTCCTCAGCGTCCACTCTTTCCTCGCCTCTATCAATCACGCCTTCTTTTCTTAATTTCAAGTATTCTACGTTAATCCCGACAAGATGAAGCAGTCTATTATTACTTCCCTCGTTGCCCTTGCGGCTTCTGCCTCCAGCGCCCAGGCCACTGAGAGCCTGATCAGCATCCCCGTTGGCCTTTGCACTGCCGTCCTTGGAGAGGTTGAGTGCAAGCAGACCAGCACCAGCAATGGCTTGATCAATGTTCCCGTGAACGCCTGCCTTGCTGTCCTCGGCCAGGCCAAGTGTGACCAGGCCTCTTCTTCCTCCAGTGACAGCGGTGCCCTGATCAACGTTCCCATCAACGTTTGCCTGGCTGTCCTCGGTGAGGCCCACTGCCAGCAGAGCTCTTCCTCTTCCGGTGGTTTGATCAACATCCCCATCAACCTGTGTCTGGCTGTTCTGGGTGAGGCTGATTGCCAGGATTCTGGATCCAGCCCTGCTGCTTCCACTACTCCTTGTGACACTGAGACTTCCGCCATTGTCTCTTCCACTGTCATCTCCAACTCCCCTCCTGCCGAGGCCACCACCACCCCCTGTGACACCGAGACCTCTGCCATCGTCGAATCCACCGTCATCCCTGGTACTATGCCCACTGGCACTGCCCCTGTCGGTACTATGCCTACCATGCCCGCTGGTACTATGCCCGCTGGTACTGCCCCTGCCGGTACCATGCCTACCATGCCCGCTGGTACTATGCCCACTGGCACTGCCCCTGCCGGCACTATGCCTACTATGCCCGCTGGTACTATGCCCGCTGGTACCGCTCCTGCCGATACTATGTCTACCATGCCCGCTGGTACCATGCCCGCTGCTTCCATGACCGGTCCCTCGGCCCCCGGCATGTCCGGTGCCCCCGGTGTCTCCGCTGGCCAGTCCTCTGTCTCCAAGCCTGTTGTGACTTTCTCCACTACCACCATCTGCCCTACCTCCGGTGCTTCCATGACCTCCATGCGCCTGATCCCCACCGCTCCCGCTGGTGTCTCTGCCGGATCTTCATCTGGCTCTGGATCTGGATCTGGCTCCAGCCCCGCTGCCTCCAGCATCGGCATGGTCAAGCCGTCCTCCACACCCGTTTTCAACGCTGCTGGTCGCACCACCTTCTCCGCTGTTGCCGTAGTCTTCGGCGCTATCTTCGCTGCCGCTATGCAGTTCTAAGTAGTTCACTCTCCTTGAAAGTGGAAGGCAGCAGGATTTGGCGACAATTGGCACCATTTCACTGTTGACGGCGATGTTTCCATTCGTGTTAGACAAATGAGTCTTTCTTATATTTATTTCCATTCCTGATGGGCCCCTCCCGTTTTGAATTCAGCAACCGTTAATACTATGATCTATGTCTCCTAATTCGCTCCATTGTCAATACTCGCGTTTTAATGTGTTTATGAGAAATACATTGTCTGTATAGCGTCGATATAGTATGGGTTTGGCTGCCTGGCATTTTAATTCGTAGTTTCTCGGCGTAGAAAGCATGATTGATCTGTAGACCGACCTCAAGAACAAGGCTTAGCGTGTAAAATGAACTAGATCAATAAATTACCCTCCACCCGGGAATAGGACCTGCCGAGTGATATTAATCCAAAAGAATATTTAAGCGAGACACAGCATCGGTCCGTCATCCCATGTCAGGTGACCGCACGCGTGCATTGCAGTTCAGCTTTATCCCTTGCTGCTCCTTTTTTGTTTCAAATTCATCCCAAATGACTCCAAGTCTGCCACCTTTGACTCCGGCTCGTGCACGGTGTTAGTCTGTTTGTTGCTTTTGACCATCATATCGCCGCATTTTGACCGAAGCCATCCAATTCTACAATTTCACAGGCATAAGCTTTTGTGGGGCGTTTCGAGAATGACAGTGAGTGCCTATTCGCCACGGTCACCATGTGGCGCGCGGTCCACTTTCATTTCCCGAACAAGGGTCCACCAGGAAATGCGCATTGTCTTTGCTAGAAAGCTTTCAAAGAGTTCGATGCTTCTTTCCTCTGTGTCAATAGGAATACTTGACCAATGCATTTGGCACGAGTCGTAAACACTCATTTGCGAATGACAGGCAGCTTTGCTTAACTACTTCATCAAAACCAGCATCGAGGATCTCGCAGCTTGATGCGAAATCGACACCAGATCCATCCGAAGATACCGAGATCGCCACCTTTCGACGAAACGGCTCTTGCGGCAAGTTTCGGCCGTCATCGAATGACTGTACCGCGCAATTTCGGCTCCAAGAAGACAACTCCCCACCCAAGGGTCGAATGACAGGCAGACCCATGAAAGCTAAGCTCGCCCGCTAAATGCTTAGATCATTATTCGACAATTCAGTGGCGCATCGGCGATACTTGCAATCAGACTCAAGCGCTCTGCCACCTTAGTGGGTCTCCTATTCGTTTGGAAATGAGACCCTAGGGATATTGTTCATTTACTGGCTCGGCCCACTATGATTCATATAGCCAGTATACCCCCCCCCCCCGCCCCTCAAAAATTATCCCTCTTGCTGCCGCTTCCTTCACCATCTACTGTCAACTCAAACAATGGCCCAGGTTGCGAATCTGGCTCTCGACCGGGGCGATCCTCGGCTTCATGAGAAGGAGCGTGAAGTTCAGGATACACTTGTTTCGGCGCAAGCTGTGGGTGTCGCCCTTCGCCCGCAACATCGCAAGCTCCACGATCGCAGCGTCACGTTTGAAGAGTACCATTATTATGCCCAACGGACTCGCGCTGAGGAGGACTTGTTGACTGAAAAGGAAACCGGGGTCCTGTCGATCATCTTCCCTTCCAAGAATGATTCGGGTGTCCAGCCTGAAACCAAGAATGTGACCCGAGATGCCTCGACCATGAATATTAGCAGCGTGGAGAATCGAAGGCTCATCACCGACGAGGAATGGATCAATGCCTCTCGCGCGCTTCGCACTGCCAGCCGAGGTGCTATCTTCTATCTTATCACAACTGATATCCTGGGGCCCTTTGGCTTGCCATATGCCTTTGCTACCATGGGCTGGGGGTAAGTGTCGCGTATATCTTTTGAAATTGGTCAAGCAGAGCTAATTGGGACTTCAGCCCTGGTGTGGCTTTGTACACCGTCTTCGCCAGCCTCGCGGGCTATTCAGGATACCTTCTATGGGAGACATTCCTTGGGTTGGACTCTTACCAGTTCCCACTTCGCAGTTTCGGAGATATGGCCTTCCGTCTGTATGGACCGTGGATGCAGCATCTTTTCAACTTCCTGCAGAGTGTCCAACTTGTGCTGAATGTTGGCTTGATTATCATCTCCAACGGAGAAGCATTATCCCAGGCCGCCCAATTCAAGCTCTGCTATATCATTTGCTGTCTCATCTGGGCTCTGGTTGGCTTTGTCCTTGGTCAGGTTCGTACCTTACAAAAGTTTGGATGGCTAGCAAACGCAGCTGTCTGGTTTAACCTTCTCTGTATGTTCATTACCATGGGTGGCGCTGCCCACACGCCTCCCAACTATGCGGGCAGATCCCAGTCTGCTGGGCATAGTATCGGCGATGGCTCATCTGTCGAGCCTGTGAACGGCGTCTTTCCATCTGTGATGACCACTGGAGGTATCCCTAACACTGGCGACTTTGCTGCCACCGTTAGCGGGGCCATGCAGGCAGTCTTTGCCTACGGTGGTGCCATGGTCTTCCCGGAGTTCATGGCTGAGATGAAGCGTCCCAAAGACTTCTTGACCGGCATGTGGGCCGCCCAAGCTTTCATTTACTTCTGCTACATGTTCTACGGACTGTTTATGTACGGTTATCAGGGGCAGTACTCTATCAACCCGACATATCTTGGCATCAGTAAATACAGCATTCAGACTGCCGGTAACGTCTTCGCTATGCTCAGTGGAGTCATTGCAGCTGGTTTGTATGGCAACATCGGCCTGAAAGGTATGATCCCAAAGCAACTAAGCACCATTCGATCAATAAACTAACTATATTCTAGTCCTCTATAACAACCTTCTTGTCGGTCTGTTCGGTGCTCCTCCTCTGACAAACAACGCCGGAAAGTGGCTATGGGCACTACTCATTCCGATCTACTGGGGCATTGCCTTCGTCCTGGGTGCCGGTATTCCGAACTTCTCCGGCCTAACATCCGTGGTCGCGTCTTTCTGTATCCTTCACTTTACCTACACGTTCCCTCCCATGCTCGCCACTCTTTTCTGGATCCACCGAGCAGCCATGGACGATGGAGAAGGGTTTAACCCCATGACCGGTGCCACAGTGCGACATGACCACGGCATCAAGAGACTGGCTCGCGGATTCGCTTCCCTAGGACCCAAGCGGATTATGCTTAGTGTATTTAACATATTCTACTTCTTTGGTGCCTTGGCTCTGGCGGGTCTTGGCGCCTACTCCGCCATCGTCACTTTGAAGTCTGCTTATGCGGAGAGCGTGACCACTTCATTTGTGTGCACGAGCCCAGTGGATGGTTAGGTCGCAGGGTTTGTATCTAGATTCATTGTTTTCATTGTCCGTCTTTCTTGCAACCCACATGATATAGTGAATATCTCAGATTCCATGCTGCGGAGGACTTCACAGCTCAGTGTTCGAACGATCAATGAGAAAGGTTTTATTTACTTCACTAAAATATGCATCTTATTCACATTAAAACACTTCGGAAGCAACCGGGGCTCTCTACTCGGAGCGATGTTCAACCGGCGAGGAATATGTATTCCGCAGGAGCGGTGGCACATGCCAAACAAGTGCTCAGGAGACAGCCCCGGAGACTATCCAATTCATATAATTTAATCCAAGGCACAAACCAACTGCCTATTTCTCTTCAAGATATGCCTCACCTGCCAACAGCATGGGAAAGACCGTCATTGTCACCGGAGCCAATGGCATGATCGGAAATGCCGTAGCGAGAGCATTTGTTCGCGCAGGATGGACTGCCTTTGGACTCGTCCGCAAGGAATCAGCCGTCGAGGCTCTTGCAGCTGATGAGATTCGCCCGCTCCTTGGATCACCCTCGGATCTATGTTTCTTGGAAAAATTGCACGCTACAACCAAGACGCTCGATGTCATCGTCTCGGTGACCGAGGACCTCAACAACTATCTTCCTCACTTTGAAGATACTATGAATCTCATCCGAACCCTCTCAGTGACTAGTAACCAAGAGGGAACGCGCCCTCTAGTGCTTTTCACCTCCGGATGCAAAGATTATGGAATGTCTTCTTCTCTCCATGGTTCTCCTGGCCTGGAGCCCCATACCGAGGAATCCCCGATTAAGGCCCCAGAGATGCTGAGACCGCGAGCTGAAAACGCCCCCAAAGTCTTCGAATATCCCGAACTATTTGATGGAGCTGTCCTTCGCCCGACTACTATCTATGGCCTTAGTGGCAGTTATTACGGTATCCTTTTTGATTTCGCAGAAGAGGCCGCGAAAGGCGGCATTCTTATCTTTTCCGCACCCCCTACTTCCATCCTGCACGGTTGCCACGTCGATGACTGTGCTGAGGCCTACGTGGCGCTTGCCGAGCACGAGGACCGACAGGCGGTTGCAGGCCAGTGCTTCAACATTTCGGGACGCCAGTACGAGACACTAGAGCATGTGGCGAATTCTCTCGTCAAGGAGTACGACATTTCCGGAGGCGTCAAGTTTGTAGAATCGACGCCAAATGATGCAGCTGAACTTGACAACTTGGTGATCAAGTTCCCGCAGTGGGTTAGCTCAGATAAAATCCGGAAGCTCACTGGATGGGAGGACAAACGACCATTGTTCACCGAGGGCGTTCATGTCTACCGAGCCTCATTTGAGGCACTGGCCGCTAGAGGAGATCAGAATGTTGCTAGAACGAGAGGAATGGTGCAGATGCTCCGAACCCAGAAGGGTCCCAGTTCCAGGAGTGCTTAGTTTTTGATAGTAGTTACGAAAAGAAGCAAATACCAATGAGTATTCAACTGTGCTGGACGAAATGACAGATCACTCTGCGTGCGACTCTAGAGCAAGAAATCAACATGATTCAAGAAAAAAAAAACAAGAAAAATATATAGATCATCAATGTTTCCATAGGCGTTCGACTTTAATTCTAAATTTGTCAACTGATGACTGTTCATTCAGGCTATAATGAATACTATACAATGACGGGAGTGGGTTTGAAAAGACATAGCGTATTAAACGACAGATAGTACGCCCAGAAAAATTCACGCAGCCTCTGATCACCCGCTATAAACAAGATGCAAAAATTCTAGAAACCTTGAAAAGTCTGAAGAAAAAAGAAAAGATATAGGAAGAAATTCAAAAAGGCATGCCAAACACTTGAAAGTGATGGGTATCGGAACTAAATGTTCATTCCCCGGAATATCATTGTTGATGCCCAGGTAAGATACCCTTCTGTTCATCTAATAACCTCAGAATGTCTTTGAAGGATATAGGTTTCGTGAGAAAGACGTCGACGCCAGCTGCATATGCTTTCATGATATGTTCGTCGGATCCCAAGCCAGTGAGTGCAATGATTTTAGCTGGCGATTTTGTTTGTCGTGCCCGTTCGATTGATCGAATTGACCGAGTCGCCTCGAAGCCGTCCACTATGGGCATAGATAGATCTTATTCGTACTCAAATCAGAAAGTTGTTCAAGAAAAAACCCATCCAACTGTTAGGGACACAAAAAGAGCTACTCACCCATGAATATGTAATTATAATCCGCGGTCATCGTCTGTACTGCCTTGATAGCTTCTTGCCCGTTGACAGCTGTGTGTAGGATCTCATGCTTTGTTCGAGTAAGATATTTTTCGAGAAGAGCGAGGTTGATTGCGTTATCTTCTACTAAAAGAATCCGGATGCCAGCTCCGGACTCAGTCGGCGATGCCTTGTCGGAAATGTCGCCAGCTTTATTAGCTGTTAAACTATACGAAGATGGGTTGGCTTTTGGAACAAGCCGATTATGTATGGTCGTGGTGTTGGGTGCTGGATTGAAGTGTGAGGCATCTGACGCCAAAACGGGTCCCATGTTTTGCTGATCGGACAAGGTGTGACTCTTCAAGAGATTGTTAAGCTCAGAAAGGTTTTCTGTGAATCCAAGAGGCGATGGCTCGTCGAGCTGAATTGGTTGACTTGACCTCATACACTTGACAGATCCCATTAGGGTTCGAGCGAGTTGATGAGGGCCACAGGGAAGTGTAAGCCAGACGGTGTTTGGAGGTCGCTTGGTCGATTCCATGGTTGACCACGAAGGTCTTCGATGGCATAGAATCAAAAATGACGTTTCATGGTGGAAATTTTCGGTAAGATCCAAGTCACACTCATCGACAACCAGCAAGTCGACAAATGCAGTAGATTCCGAAGTTTTTTGAATCTTCATTCCGAACCAATCTGTCAGATAATTTTTGATCATATTGTTCGAAGTGGGAATGTTGGATGGTTGATCTCGGGCAGTAGCGAAACGCAAGGCCTTTCCAGTAAGCCCTGCCTTCACTAGCCCGATGAGATTCGACGCAGCAGGAACTGAGTCCACAACTGAGGGAGGTAATTCAGGAACTTTCGGTTCTTCAGGTTGCCCCAATGGAAATTTCATCTTTACAGTAGTGCCCACCCCAACCTGACTTTCGATTGTGATATCGCCATTCAGCGACCGGAGGATGTCGCGAACAAGTGAAAGGCCCAGCCCTGTACCTGGCGATAAGACATCTTCTTGGGAAAATGGTGTGAAAATATCGGATCGAAGATATTGACTTGAGATGCCTTTACCGGTATCAGAGACTGTTAGAAGAAGTACTGGAGAACCAACGCCTTCGGACGGGCTACCGCTTCCTTTAGCGTGGATGACTTCTAGGCGAACAGAAATTGATCCCTTTTGAGTGTACTTCAGCGCATTTCCAAAGACGTTCATGACGACACGTCGCAACGCCCCTGGTTCCAGGAGGAACTCCCAGTCCCGGGGTGCAGCATCGATGAAAACGTCGATTCGTCCAACATCTGTAGATTCTGTGGTTCCATGACTGCCTTCTGTGCCATCCAAAGACCACTTAAGTGCACTATTGCCTGCAGGTACTGCACCTGACAAAATGCGACCTGAGTAGACACTTTCGATGACATCTTCGATGATTGCGACAACATCGACTGACTTGAGAATTCGTAGCGGCTGTGCTGGAGAAGCGCCATTTTCTGCACCTTGGCGAGTGCGAGCAGACGGGGAGCTTGATCCGAGGCGCTGTCGTTTACTTGCGAAGGAGTTGATTTTGGCGAAATCTAGAATCTGCTCAAAAGTATCCAGCAGAGTTTGACCACAAGCACGGATCGTGTCAAGCAGTCTCTTAGCGAACTCTGATTCGACATACTCGGCAAGAAATTCGTTGGCTGCTAGAATACCATGCAGCGGACTGCGCAATTCGTGTCTTCAAACCAATTAGCATGAGATATTCCAACGCACCACTCAGGATTGCAACGAGGAGAGCAAGGATGTGTCACATACGATATGGTACTAATGAAGTCGTCCTTTTTCTTGTCCGACTCCTGACTCTGGATGCGACTGTATTCAACCATCAGAGAAGACCCAAACCCAAAAAATCCACCGAGCTCAACATGGGCGCTAAAAACGCGGGTCTCGAGACAGCTCCAACTGAAACAGCCTCCGAACCACCTAGAATTGAACGAGTCCCAAAGGGGGACGAACATTATTCTCTTTGCATTGGGGAAGTATTTCTTCAGTGCCTGCTGGTCTTTCTCACGCAATGCACCGAATGACTGCGGGTTCATCGTGAGTGGTGCCGAAGATAGATCAGAGGAATCGGGTTGAGTCCCGGAGCTGGCGCAGTCTTCATCAGAAGAGAAGGCTGTTCCATCTTGGTGAAAGTGCCAGAGTCCACCACGCCGGTAACGCCGCAAGAACCGGCGAGCGAAATGCAGATCCATCTGTGCAGCCGGGTGAGGTTGAAACACCCCATTGATGCGATCAGGAAGAGCTTCTGTATCCGACATGGCCCATATTGTAGCAAGTTTCCGCTTTGACTCTGGGTCTTGGTCCATATCAAGTGTAGACTGAAGCTCTACGCGAGCGTTGTTGCCGAAGATGACAACGCCTCCATCTTGACCCAGATTCAGGCTTTTCCGAATGGTGTCGGCGGCGCGCTGAAACGTCTGACTCATCCCAACGCTACCGGGACTCGATGGCAGTTTGGGGGCTCCTTTGCTCAATGGCTCGCGATCTAAAGAATGGGAAGGAGGCGAAGAAGGAGAGTGTCGGGGAGAGCGAGAAGAACGAGAACGGGGAGAGCGAGGAGGGCGAGGAGGGCGGGTAAAACGAGGAGCACCGGCATATAGGCCATCTGAATCATCCGCACTATTTGTTTGACTTGCTGAATGCCTTGGGTGAATGATTCCAGTATCTTTGAAATACGAGTCTGAATCGTTCTCAATGGTGGAAGAAGGAGTCTGATAAGGGCTCTGTGTACGGGACAGGTCCTGATCCCAACGGTCGGCACTCTGGTATGTTGTTTTCTTCGAGGTATCAGAAGTGACTGCACCTTGCACAAAGGAATTGAGTCCTGAAAGCACTTTGGCCAAGCGATCCGCTTCTAGCGATTGACGCGCCGTTTCCATGTATTCCATAACGGCATTCGCTATTGTCCCGAGGGTTTCTCTGTGAGACTCTGTCAAAGAAATGTTCGGTCGAGGATCGATCACATATAAACTCCCAATGGTGATTCCGTTGCTCGTTATCAAGGGCGTGCCTGCATAATACCGGAAGTGGGGAGCTTCGGCAACACAAGGGATATTGCAGTAGTCCGGGTGGCGTTTCAAATCGTCCACGATAAAAAATGGGTATCTTTGTTCGCTAGAGGACCGTAAGGTAATGGTTTTCTGTGTATGAAATGTAATCAGCGCAGTCCTTCATAGTACATAGTTGAAGGGAAAAAAAGGTTCCACATGAGGTAGAACTAAACTAGGCCACCGAGGCTTGCATGGAGTTTGTAGCTTACCTCGCACAGAGTCCCCGAAACAGGGCCGCGCGAGCAGCCCATCCAGAGACCGTCGCCATCCTCGTCATATAGTCCATTCTTGTCCAAATTGAGCGATTTTGAAGCCTCGGCTACAACGTAAAGCGTTTCTCGATCGATCAAGCTATAAGATTTCCAATTGTTTAGCAACCATCTCTATTCATCAAGCTCGGTGCGGTACCCCGTGCCATTCCGGTGAGCGACGGCAACGAGAGCCCCACGAACTGCTTCGTAAAATGATTGAAATGGGTGTGATATACCTAATGATCGCCCGCTGAACACCTAGCCTCATTGCCGCCAGTTGAGCGAGGGCCGTCAACACAAGATTTGGACTGGCTTTGGCCGGAGACTTCGACGTATCGATGCATCTTCCGGTCGACTTTTCAGACGGAAGAAGTGCTGGATTGTCGGGTTGAAAATAGTGGTACAACTCCCGTGCGCGGCGGTCGCCATCTCGAAGTTCTTGTGCAGAACTCACCATTTTTGAATCGCTCGCACGCGCTACGTTTATCTCTTATCTTCTCTTGTCCTCTTAGAGCAAAGCTCCTGCGAACGGCGAGAATCACCCGATGTCGGAAATCGTCAATACCGTCTCAGTCGCTGTCTGTGAAGGAAGATGGAGTGGCAAACATATGAAAAGTGGTAGAAAATCTCGGATCGCCGGTCGCAAGAGTCGGCAGATCAAGGTACGTCTCTACCCCAGCCCCACCGATGACGTAGGGCGACCCCTCCAGGCTGTTCTCGGCCTTCTTCAGTGAATCCGGCCACGAGATCGATGGTTATTTTAAGCGAGCCTGCGTAATAATTTATTAAGTTTGTGAGAGTCGAGAAATCCCGATTTGTGCCCAAGTGGCATTGGAAGGTTATGTGACTATCAACAGGCTCGGTAACGTATGGGCTGTGTGATAGTTGGTAAGATAGCGAGCATGCAATTCTGACAAATCGAAAATGCCGAGGTGGCGCAAGGAGACCTTCCTCGTCGGATTGGGGTTACAATCCAGTTACTAAAGAGGCACTGCCGTAGGATGTGAAGAACAGGGGCTCGCTGTCCGCACAGCCATGCTTAGGCCTCATTCTGTATGGCCACTTCGCAATGATCCCCTCTAGCGACTGCTCTTCCGGAGCTGCAATATAAGCTGCCCTAGAGTGATTGTGCATGAATGCATGATATAGCTGAGAACTGGATGGCTCCCGAATTGGAACATCGACCATTCAACAAGCCTCCGTAAGCCGACGAGGCCGAGGAATTGCGATCTGGTAGCTATTTTCGTCCCCGATGTCTCAAGTCAAGTTTCAATTCCATTGGATTGAAGGCATTGGAGCACAAGAGGGACGCATACTCATTATAATAACCAATCAAGTTCATCGACTATGGAGACACCCTCGTTGATTCACGTGGGCCACGTGGATAAGATTCCGTTCTTTGGCTCCGTGAGCGAAACGAGGATCCAGCATTTACGTATCCACAAATGTTAGTACAGCCGCAGCCGATAAAGTTTCTTTCGCCCCACCTCGGATTGAATGGAATGAACTAGATTAGTGAAAGCGAGTTCTAGAAGCTATCAAGTGTCATAAGAATTTACCTGTTCTGGAAGGGGACCGGTCTATCGGAGCTGAGCTAAATATAGTCGACTTCCAAAGGATCACTCGTGCACCCAGCAACCGAGTTTCAAATCATGCCATGGAAACCGCCGGGATCTTTGCTAGGGTTGGTCATGCTATTTGCTCATTGTCACGATAGATGGCATACCAATTGACGTCAAGCTGGAGAAGTCCAGATATTGAGAGTGAAGCTGTTATCAAGCTGTTCTCCGAGATTGTCGGCCCGCGGGGTGGTACCACAAGGTCGGTTATTGTGAGCAATTGCTAGCCCTGTATAGAAGCATTATGGAAGAACGCATGATCTAAGAACCTAAGATGTGGGCGGCCTACGGGGATGAGGAAAATCGCTGCTGAAATCAGTCGCTGCAAACAGGAGAGTTAAATCATTTCAGACGCTATGGTACCGAGAACAATATCTGCAATCTTCGTGAAAAGGCTTAGATGATTCTCCTAGATCCCGACTGTCGTTTGTGTGTCCAGTAGCTATTGTGTTGTTCGGGCTTTGAGGTCGTTCAAAATTGGAGAAAAGTCTGACAAAAAGATTGTCGTGTATTAAAACTGAAGAGAAGGACTCCGAAACCCCCGACTAATTAGTGTTCTCTGTTACTGAAACAACGTCGAGTGAGTCCAGGGTCTAAATTTACAAACCTGACTCGGGTCTTATCCATATTGCTTCTACCGGTAATCCCACCACGACTCATCCCGGCTCCCAATCGGGGTATAGAGAGGTGCTTTATGCTTGTGGGCAAGTGCTACGTTGGGCAAGAGGCCGGGCTTTTTCCCCGAGGCCGGGAAAGCTCAGTGCAGGAAGAGAGCTCTGCTCGTGTAAAGGCCAACGGGGCATAAAGAGTTGAACTCGTAATCCCTTGAAAAGTTCTGCTGCCCTGGTGGCAAATCAATATACTCATTGCAGCTTCTACAAACGCACTCCGTGTTAAGTGAAGCTTGAAATGCCGTCTGGGTGTTTAAAGTTGTTGAATTGATTAGGTCTTCACTAAGTTTCTCCTCCGTATCCTCAAGATACTTCTTCCAAGATTCCTAGTGACGCCAGCAGCTAGCCACCAAGTGCTCGTAGTCACAGACCATAGTCTTTTCCTGGAACGCGGTGCCGGGACCGCAAGTCTTCAGGACCGGTGTTCCACCAGCGGGGCATTCATAGAACCGATGGCAGTCCCAAGGATCAGCCCATGCCACGGCACCAGATGCGGCCTCGGCAGTCGGTGCGGCAGTAGCACAGTTGAAGAGCGCAAAGGCCACGAAGGCGGTAATGGATTGGTAGGTGAGCTGCATGATTTCGGCTTAGATGATTCAGTCAGTCGGAATGGTAAACAAAAGCGCAATTGTATCTCAAACACACCTGGTTGCTTCTCCCAAAAAAGAACGAAGATGGAGTTCAAAGTAGCGAGATCAAAAGGTTGGAAAAGCTGACGACTGGTGGTGGTTAATAAATCCGGATCCTGGGGCCAGCCTCTAGCTTCTTATATTCCCTGAAGTGTATGGGCCATCTGGTATGACAAACAGGGCGTCGCCAATTTTTGCCATGACTGAAGCTCAACCTTTTTCTTTCCCCCAAGGGTTCTAATGTTATTGACATGCAGCGTTCCTTCACCTCCCTCAGAATGATCGGTTAAGGGGCGTTGAGTGCTCCGAGTGGGATTCGGGACTTTGCTCGCATACTTTGCTTTCTTTACTTGTGGGGAGATATTTGAATGTAAGGAGATCTTGTGCCTTGTGGCTGTTTATTTCTCCCCACGGACCACCTGTCATGTGTCCGGTAACTTCGGCGAGAAGTTCCAATTGGTACACGAATTTGCCGTTTCATTCACCACATTTTACAAGAAAGCCAAATTTTTACTGCACTATGGTTGGAATTTGATCACATCGCTCGGCGTGTTACATCTTTTGGCTCAATGAAAATTGAATGTCTGGGCCTTTTGAAGGGCGCCCTTGGTAATGAATTACTTAGCCATTCTGGCCGATACATTCAAGGGGTTGAGAGTCTTGGCTGGGCGAGAGGCATTATGTTATTCCACCCCCAATTCCCCACATTCCAAGTCGGCAGCAATGGAAAATAACACTAATCACCTGACAGGTACATACATGAGGAAACCATAAACTCTTGGAGTGCTTTTCAAATGTTTGGGTGTAGACCCTGAGCTTATCCAGTCTCTTAGGACAAATGCATTTACTCACAGGTGCATATATTGAATTAGAGATAGATCGACTCGAAGCATTCATGGATGCTTTGAGTCAAATTCTCCACAAACTCCACTGGATTCCATTACTTGATCGAGCGTGTAGATTGTTTCCTAGGCTGGAAGGGACGTTTTCAATTGGACATGTCCGATGTCTCATGGCCATAACCCCTCATAGATCATCTCTATCTGTCTTTATGTGGTCAGGTATTGTTGGTTATTGATACTAGTGCTATGAACTGTTGATGACATGGTGGTGATGCTCTATCGCGCCCCAAAACAAAACAAAAGCATCTTCTATCGGCCTCGCATAGTCTAAATAGAGAGTGACTTTTACTCCATATGACAAGCCTGTGCTGGAATTCACGGAGCCATATGAGACACCTGGTGGCCGTGAAAGTCCTCGGTTTGTTCGAGTGCCCGGCACGTTCTACATGACCTATACCGGCTACGACAACACAACTATACGTCTTTGTTCAGCAACATCAATTTACTATGGTCCGTTCGGAAATATATGGCCCATTCTACGGAGTGTTACAGATGTGGAATACGATTAGCAGAACCCCACTAAACACGTACAATCTATGCGCAGGGTGGAGTAAATCTGGATCCACCTTCAATGAACTTCAAGCCGACGGGTCCTGTCGCATGCTCTTCGACCTCGTTTCTCTACCAAGTCAAGTCAACTGACCTGATCCACTAAAAATACAACAAATACGCCCTTCCATACGGGGCCATCCGAATATCTAAGAACAAGGAATCAAGGAAGCAGGACCCTGGCAATCAAAGTTAGGGATAGACAACGACTATAGGTCTACAACGGTGTCGCGAAGGGCCCGGGAGGCTTTACCCCGAGCCAGTATAGTACTAGGCAAATGCTCATTGACCCCGTGTGTTTCCCACTCGGACCTCCCGTGGCTCGGGTGCAGACTCCACTGCTGGAGCCGACTAGTGTGCACGACGTTACAGGCCAAGTGGATCAAGTCGTCTTCCCGAGGGGTTAGTTCAGACCCACGGCAAGTGTTTTATATTTTTGGCCTGGGTGACCAGTTTCTTGGGGTTACCACTGCGCCGGTTCAACCTTGAGTGGGGAGTTATTGGGCTAGTGAGTTCGTTGTAAGCTTTCCAATGGAAACTCTGATTTCGGGGTATCATTGAGGTTGCGGTGTATCTATAGGCCGAGATAGCCGGGCGAGAATCAAGGAATATGTCGTGATATTTATTCAACTGAAGGGCTGTTGATGCTGTGGTAGAAATTGAGGCTCAAAACAAGATATATCACTGCAGTCAAGTTGAGCGAAGGCGTTGGTTTCGTTGAAATAGTCCCAATCATCAGCAAAGAGTCCCATGAGTGTTTCTGCAGGGGGCTGTAGGGTTGTAGAGACCAGGTAATGGGACATTGACGACGGCGTATTGATGACAGTGAAAAACAGCTGTTCTAAAAAGGCCTCTGTCTTTTGACCAATAGGGCTTAATTGTGACATGGTCCCACAGAGAGAAATTCCGATTTGGACTTGGCTGTACCAACTTTGATACTCGCAGTGGTCTGAGGACTCCACTGTCAAAGCCAGCAACGGGATCAGGCATGCTTGAAAGAGGAAGAAGACTGCGTTCCAGCAGCAGAGTTTAGTTGGGCGCCACTCGGCTTGAATGCTGAAGATTGAATCTGCCGCAATATTCCGGCATTTTGAGATGATGATCTGGTCTTTTGTAGGTAGAGACTGAAGTGGTGCCCTTCTTATGACCGTATCGAGCAAAAGTGGACGATGTAAGAGGAATCGAATGTTTTGGTATCTCCATTTAAGGACCAGGCGAGCGTCTTGTAGACTGGGTGCATTGAAGTCATTGGACCGTAGGAATGGCGGTAAACTTTGAAACCAGTCAACAAGCGTTTCATCGAAGAATTGTATTTCTTCATATTCCAGCATTGGGTTCACGATGAGGCGATCTTGAATTCGATTCATAATATTGCATAGTTGGATGTTGTGGATCAAGGGGGCGTGGATCGTTGGTTCAGTCGGTGGAACTTCACCTCTCTAAGGAATGTCAATATGCTGTCGTTCACATCCAAAGGGAGCTTGAAGGCAGTTTCATAGAACATTCTGACTTACCTGGTCATCGATAATATTTTTCGGAGGATCAATCAGTATGCCAAGGGGGACTGGGGGCCTTCCAAGTGTCATAGAACCCCACGTGTCAAGGACGTAAATAGACCACCAATTCCTTCGCTTGACCTCTCCTTGAAGATTAATTCGCCCTTCAATGTCTTCAGATCCCCTCAGATGCAAGCCAAGGCTACTTGCGATACGATAGCAAGCACCAATAATAGCAGAAGCCATATGCGGTTGATTACGAAAATGCAAGTATTGCCCGCCCATGAGCATCAGGGCCTGTAATGTCTCCAGTCGTCCGCTGCCCAGGCTCGCTAATGAGAGGTACTGGTTGGCGAGGAGATAGTACTGGTAGTCGTCGGTTGAGTCACCTGCGGAGGAGGTGACACTACCCAGTGCGAGGACCATGTTGAGAAGAGCAAGCCACGATCTATCGGGGCTGTCCTGCCTTGTCGAATATTTATTGCGAAAGCTGGGCTCATGAATAATCGGAGCAAAAATATGAATTCCGGCAAAGTATTCGTCGATCAACCGCTGCTCTTCGGGGTACGAAGATACTCTGCTTGGAGTCGATGATGGGATGATTTGTGGGGTATGGGAAAATTCATTTGGTGAAGGATCTTTTGAGACAATGTGATCCCCTTCCATGATACGAGCTGGCAATGACCTTCTTAAATCCTTTACGGCAGCATCGACGAATGAAGATCGTTGTTCCTGAAAGAATGAAAGTGCATTCACGTCATCCTCTACCCCTTGGCGAGTCTCCGGTGATGTCTCATCCCAGTCGAAAACAATCGAATCCTGACACTGGAGCTTGAAAAGGCCCTCATTCGCTTCCAAGTGCGGAGCTGACCGTGGCTTGTTTGAACTTGTCATATCAGGAGACGTGGCGGACGAGCTTTGGTGACTTGTCACCGGAGAATAGTCGCCTTCTATTGTAGCACGCTCCAGCAGAGCCGCCCGGGACATGCCCCTAAGAGATTCAACCGGGCTATGTGGAAATAAAATCTTGACCAGTGCTTCACAGTCATCTTTGGTACCGTCGATGGCCAAGGTCTTTAGGCTTCTAGATTGCCCCTCCTTGTTAGTTTGAGTTGCTCTTTTCACTGTGAGTAGAGAGTGCTTACTTTCTGCCCCGCCGGCGGGCTTCAGGAAAGACACATTCGACCTTGCAAGCCAGACACCCGGTGCAGGGTTGAGTTCCAATACATTTGGTTTTCCGCCTGCGGCATTCCACACAGGCTCTCGCAGCGATAGCTCGTCGACGCTCAGGTGCATCCTTGGTCGAATGATGGTGTTTCGTCCCAACAAAGGTATTGAACATCCTGTCGAAGGTACAGGAAGAAGAGAAAATTTCACAATTGCCCCCTTCTGTCACCAGTTTCGTTTCTGACCACAAAGCTGACGATGTAGACAATCCGGGGCCCCGCCTTCAAAGCCCAACAACGAATAGAATAACGTTCATCAAAGCCGGCAGTGTATAGACTGTGGGCGTTGTGCATTGACCATAAACCGCTTAGATCCTGGGATCCTTGTCTGCCCGCTTGCTTTGCATTGGTCGATACTCCGGCCCCTGCAGCCTAGCGCATGGCATAGTCGTGGCAATCACCATGAAGATGAACTAGGGTCCTCGATGCAACCCTCGCTGATAAGGGCGTCAATGGCGCAGGATTGAGTGAGGCGTCAAGTCAGATATGAACTCATCGCAGTTCCTGGACCATAAGCGAGTTGGCGCTAACAGGGCTGTGCGTTCGCCGCGGGATCAGTTCTATGTTCGGCTTTTTTACGTCCGGCTTTTTTTACTCGCGAGTCTATGTAGGTATAGAGTTTGGGCTGGGACACATGCAAAGGATTGATGGAAGGAAACTGGGCTGTTAATGGCAAAGGGGTCTCCGCGGGGTCCACCGATCGGCACGAAATGTTAGGTGAACAGATCGCTTGGACTAGGTTTCCCGCGCTATCCTTATATTAAGTCGGACTTTGCGGCAATAACGCGACGCGCCGCCCCGACACTATTGCAATTAATCAATTCGTATTGGTTCGTAAACATTGTTCACCGAGATCGTGCGCAAGTCGGCGCCGAATATCCGTTTTCGCGTGTCCCGAGTCCCTCTGCCACACGCTTGAAAAACTGCCATGTTTGGCAACAGACGGTTGATTACTGTTAGGACCCGATGTATACATTGCAGTCATTCTTTGCTTCCCCGAATATGGCTCGGTTCAGTATATCTTGGTTCAAAAAAGATCCGAAGTCTTGCGTACTCAAGGGTAAGTTGAGTCTGCATCTGGGTAGTTGATTTCCTCTGCCATTCCTGATCCGTTTTGGTGCTCAGACCTCGCCGCTTTTTGCCCGAGTAGAACTGAGCACGCCTCTGCGCGGTCTGTTCTGTTTAGTTTTTAGTACACAAGTGACTTCAATTCGAGATCCCAAACAAGAGTGAGTCGGCCATCGTGCTTACTGTTCATTACTCTGCACTGAACTCATGCGTTCACACTTTTGATAAGGTGGAACGGTATAACGCTAGCATTGTTGACGATCACATTAATGCAACTATCTTTTACGACCCGGGCGATATTTAAAGTGCTGGCAGTCTGGGTCTCGACACTAATCTTGTACTCGCGGAACAGCTCTTGTGATAGGTTTTCTAACTCTGGTGCTGATATAAGTGTACGCGTAAGGTGAGCCTACTTAATTACTAGTACCAGAAAAAAGTTCAATCTTTGTCGCAAATGGCAAACGTCCCCGCAATGAGAAGACCTAATATATTGCGACCCCACAGGTCTTCATAGGTACGGCGGGGTCTGAGGGCGAAGCCGATACCCGAGCACCTAGCGATTTCCGTGCCGGTTTCAGATATCTGGGAAGTGTCGGACAATTGATGGAAATTGCCCAAGTGCGAAAGAAGTAGGCAATGCTTAAATAATAGGGACAAACAGCTTGTATATAAATCACACAGACTCTTCAAGAGCTTCAGTCTTTCGCTGTCAAAGCAAAAAAAAAAGAAGTTTTGACTCGCCATGCTCCTTACTTCTCTTGTTACTCTTCTGGCCCACACGGCTTTCGCCGCACCAAGTACGAGAAAACGAGGCGCGAGCAACCCCACCGTCAAAGGCACACCGCAAGTCATTGGTCTTCTGGCCGACCCGACCCTGAACCGGGATTCCTGTGGCTCTAATCTCTTTGGAGACCGTGCACTATGGGTTTGCAGAGACTCCCAGCACTATGACTCCAATGGCATCCCCAATCTGCCTCTATTCACCAGCTCCGCCTCGTGGACGAATCTCGTCTCTGGTGGTGGCACTCAACTGAGCATGTATGGCGACAACAACGATGACTCGTTCTACCCCCTCGTCCCTGGCAATTGTGACGACAACCAGGCTGGTGCATGCTCCGATGGCACTCGGTACCCCTTGTGGGCCAATGCTCCTCCACTGGTGACGAGTTTCAATGGTACCACCACCACAGGCTATACGTGGATTAGCAACTCGCATATTTCCGGTCTATCTGACCTCGTTGAAAACCCATCCGTGACACTATACAAGATTACCTACACATCTGGAGCCGACGATCTTCCCACAGCTGAGATCATCAACTCGGCATTCTGGGCACAGGGCGATGTTCCTTATGGAACCTACGGTGGTGTGGTGCAAGATGACACCATTTTTCTCTGGGGACAAGGTACTAATAGGGACGTTAACCTTGCGCGTGTACCTGTCGCCAGTGTTGAGGACAAGTCGAAGTACGAATACTACGTGAGCGGCACCTGGACCAGCTCCCAGCCTGTCCTCGGTGATACTGCCGCTACCATTGATAATGCCAGTGCAGGAGGCCAAGGCACTTATTATTACTCCAACCCCTGGCAGGCCTATGTGTGGATCGGTCAGCCGACCAACTCGGTCTCGGCTGACTTTTATATCACCACCGCCTCTGCGCCGGAGGGCCCTTGGATTGAGCCTTTCAAGTTCTACTCTGGGGTTAACGGCAACTATTCTCTTGGTGCTTATACTCTCCAGGCCAATCCGGCACTTTCTCCGGCCGACAGTAACGAGATTTATTTGACATACACTAAGACCGATGCCGTCGGAGATAACGTTGCGCTATATACTACCCCTCTGATCCTTGTTGAGTGGGAGGACTAGATGCTTATTCCAACGGGCCTTCTACTTTCTTAACAAACTAACACCTAGTGTCTGTTGATTTGGCTAGACCGCTGTCTCGGGCCGGTGTTGTGCATCTCGGATCCGGGATCGGATCCGGCTGGGTGCACACTCAGCCCCTCAAGTATAAGAATGCAGGCCGGATTCTCTCTGTGTTTCTAATAATCATCTTCAATACCATTCCATATCTTCGTCATCTACCTTAAATCGTAGTTTTCGATCACCAAGGCTTCAAAATGCATGCTTTAGTCATCGGAGCCAGTGGTCGCACTGGAAAGCTCGTCGTGGATGAGCTACTTCAAAGAGGTACGATACATTCATCTGCACACTACAAAGCCGGAAAACAGGATGTTTGCTAACTCCTAAAAGAGCACCATGTCACTGCTCTCGTCCGGAACCCTGCAGTGATCGAGAAGCGAGACGGCTTGAGCATCGTCAAAGGTAAGCTTCCCCATTCTACGACGTCAAAGCCTCAATCCAACGCATACCCATTAGGAACACCTACAAATATATCGGACGTCCGCAAAGTCTTTCAAAATCACGTCCCAGATGTGGTAATCGTGGCCCTCAGCGCTCCCCGCGCCAGCGACAGCCCATTCGCCGCACCCATTTCCCCTCCACGGTTGATGACCGACTGCAACACCAATGTTGTTACCGTGATGAAAGAATCTCGGGTAAAGAAAATAGTCATTCTACAAGCCCTTGGTGTTGGTGCATCGTGGCCGAATATGTCATGCATACTCCGTCTGCTGATGAGCAAATCCAACATGAGCTATCAGTATGATGATCACAATGAAACAGACAGGGCGGTTCGAACTAGTGGCGTCACAAGTGTTCTCGTTCGTCCTGCTCGGCTGGTGGATACTGATGTTATGGCGACTCGAGAATGGCCGCACGATGGCAAGGGGATTCCCTTGATGGCTACTGCCAGCCGTAAAAGCGTGGCTAGTTTCTTGGTGGATGCGGCGGCGGAGAATTCGTGGGATGACAGTGCCCCTATCATCTCGAATTGAGTTGAAGATTGTGAGATAGCTAGAAACAAGCAGCTCTGGTAACAACAGTCACGGCCAGAGAACTTTATGAGACATGATGAACCCGTTCATCTCTTAATTAGTGGAAATGTGCTTTGGGCATGTATCATTTTTCGAGCTTCCATCAGAATTGTATCCAGGTATCAAAGAATTACTCCGAAAACTATCATGCTTTTTTCGAATGATGTTTCCAATCTATACATTCAATTTCTCGATCTCGCTGCACACAGCATCAACCACCCCTTGGGTATTCGACGTGCCACCCAGATCGGGCGTCAACACACCCGCAGCACAAACCCTCTCGACACACCCCATCAGTTTGTCTGCCGCATCTTTCTCACCAATCCAAGTCAGCATCTCCGCTGCCGACCAAAAGGTAGCAACTGGGTTCGCGACGCCCTTTCCAGTGATATCAAACGCGCTACCGTGAACAGGCTCGAACAAGGACGGATTCTTGCGCGTCGGATCCAGATTCGCCGAAGGAGCCACACCAATTGATCCAGCCAGTGCAGCTGCAAGGTCCGACAAAATATCCATGTGCAAGTTCGTGCCGACAATGGTATCAATAGAATGTGGTTTACCGACCATGCGGACAGTCATCGCATCCACAAGCATCTTATCCCATGTCACATCGGGGAAATCCTTCGCAACCAACGCCGCGACCTCGTCCCAGAGAACTAGTCCATTCCGCATGGAGTTACTTTTCGTCACGACTGTAAGCTGCTTTCGAGGTCGAGACTGGGCCGTCTCAAACGCGAAGCGCATGATGCGCTCAATGCCCACACGCGTAAACATGGCAACTTCTGTCGCGGCTTCCCATGGCTGACCGACATGTGAACGTCCACCTTGGCCAGCATACTCGCCTTCTGAGTTTTCACGGACGAGCATCCAATCAATCCCCTCGGTCGCGGTGTTGAGGGGGCATTTGGTGCCGGGGAATGTTCGCACTGGTCTCACATTGGCGTAGAGTTGCAGAGGGCCTCTGATGGCAAGTAAGAGGCCCCACAGTGAGATATGGTCTGGCACATCTTGTGGATGTTAGACAGCGGCAAACGTACAGAATTGTAGGGTCCTACCTGGGGCGCCAACTGCCCCGAAGAGTCCGGCGTCGAACTTGCGCAACGTGTCAAGACAATCATCGGAGACATATTTGCCATGCTCTTTGTAATATGCCGTTCCCCATGGGATATGGGTGAAATCAATATTGAAGCTTCCGAGAGTTTTGGCGAGCTTTTCGACCACTTGGATGGTGGCGCTGACCACTTCAGGGCCGATGCCGTCGCCTGGGATAGACGCAATACGATACAAGTGAACCATTTCAGCGAGAATAAAATCTTATTATATCAGCTACAAAGAAGGGAATTGCCCGCATTTAAGAAATGTCACCTATGCCATCCCCTCAGGCAGTTTGACTCTGGCTGATGGTTCATCCCACGGTCGGCAGAACTTTCAGGCGATTCCTTCCCCCACCATCTCACTTTTCACCATCTCCAATCCATCCATCAAGAATGCAACGCCAAAGGACCAGTATGAAAGAAAAGAAGCCATCAAGAATTACTACCGCGTGCAATGCCTGTCGGTCGCGCAAACAGAAGGTGGGTGTTTATCATACAACCAATTCCATCGCACACTGACAAGAGTCGAATTTTAAGTGCAGTGGCAAGAAGTAAGGAACTCACAATCTAACAACCTGGAATTTTTCCTAAACTGATTGATCTCAGGCCTGTTTGTGGGCAGTGTTACGAGTATAACCGGCCATGCAATTGGCCAGAGCAGTTGCGGCGGTATGTGTGATATCTAGGTATGCGTTGAGAAACTCGTTAACGCAGTTACTAGAGGACCCGCAAGGGGATACGTTGAAGCATTAGAGCATCGACTGCAAATGACAGAGGGTGTTCTCCTGAGATTACTTTCTCAAGTCTCCGATCCCGACCTGTCCAATATATTCCCCGGAGACTCGTTACTAGGCGACAGGACAGGCTACGCACCACTGGCAAGACTTGAAAAGAAAGGCGTTGAAGAGTGGTCTCAATTTCCTCTTGACTCTGTACAGAGCGTCCGGAAATGGCAACGAGTATGTACAAGCCAAGGAAGCGATAGGCCAGATAGTCAATCTGTTGAGTCTGAGTGTTCTTCTACGGCAGTCCACGGGGGAGTGAAGCGGAACACGAAGGAAACCCATGAGCAAGAGCAGTCCTCTTCGCCAACATCCTCTGTGAAAGCCGCAGGCCAACAACCACTATCTGGACCTGGTAACCGAGCTGCCTTTGCAGAGATAGGGTCGGAAACACCAGACCATATGGATCATAGAGTCAGTGGGTCCGACTACGCCCAGGATGTCAATGCCATGCAGACCCGCAGCTCTTGGGATGGAGCACCGTCGATCAGCTTCCAACGGCAGTTTCTTTGGTGAACAGAACTAAAACGAAGTGAACTACTGAGCCGGGGTAATGGTGCGCTCGGAATTACCCCGGGAGCCGCCCCGCATTTTGAACGCCTGCTTCCCCGCAATCATGTACCCCGACAATCGGCTCCTATGATGGAATTAGTCCAAATGGTCCTGGCTAAGGTGGTCCTGGCTAAGGTGGTCCTGGCCCCACGGCGGGGGAGGGGTCTCTTTACTCAGTGCCTCTTGGTGGTTGCGATATAATCTCATCAATAAACCCGCCACCTTTTCAAGCGTTGACTGTATACGGTATTATGGCGATCAAGAAGGTGATACAATCAATTTCATAGCATCGGGCATCTAATAACATCCATAACAGGTAATCGTCGTCGGAGCAGGCCCTTCGGGCCTAATTCTAGGCCTCCTACTCGCCAAACAAGGCATTGAAGTCGAACTCCTCGATGCCGGCGCCCAGCTAGACGACCAGCCCCGCGCAGCACATTATGCCTCTCCGGCGGCCTATGAGCTAGAACGAGCCGGCGTCCTGGACGATGTCAAAGCGCGCGGCATAACACCCAAGGGATTCGCCTGGAGAAAGATGGACACTACCTTCATCGCGGGAATGAAGCTCGACGTGTTGCCAGACGACTATCCCTACAAGATGCAAGTCCTTCCCCTGGATCGCCTCGGGGTACTTTTGTACGAACATATTCAGCGCCAGCCTACCGCACATGTGAAATGGTCTCATCGTGTCGTTAAAATTGGTCAAGATCAAGAGAAAGCATGGGTTGACATTGAGACGCCCGAGGGCATAGTGCGATCCGAAGGAGACTATGTTATTGGTTGTGATGGGGCAAGTAGTACCGTGCGGAGGGAATTATTTGGTCCTGAATATCCGGGTGAAACATTGGATGCACAGATCGTCGCTACGAATGTCCGTATGTCCTTTTCTTTTCATTCGAACAACGCCACTCACGATGAATAGGTTTATTACGACTTGGAGCGCTTCGGGTACTGGGATAGCAACTTTATTGTCCATCCCACGAACTGGTACATGGCAGCTCGCATCACTGCGGACGGGCTATATCGTATATCTTATGGAGATATCCCGGGTCTCACTAAAGAAGAGTATATTGCCCGTCAACCTCAACGGTGGGAAGAGATTTTGCCCGGGAATCCGAAGCCGGATCAATACAAGATCGTCAATTGCAACCCGTATAAACTACAGCAACGATGTGCGCCGAGTTTCCGGGTTGGGAGGATAGTCCTTGCGGCAGATGCGGCACATGTTTGCAATCCATTGTGAGTACGGGCATGAGAGAGTTGAATAGATGTACATTAACAATGATTTCGTTGTAGTGGTGGTCTTGGCCTTACGGGTGGCATCGTCGACGTGGGAAACCTCTTTGACTCCCTAATGGGTATCCACAAGGGACTGGCGGATGACAGTATCCTTGACAAATACGCCGAGGTCCGGAAGCGCATGTGGGAGGAGGTCATTGATCCCATGTCTCGTGAAAACTTCCGACGGCTCCATAATCAGGACCCGGATAAAGCACGGGACAATGATGACTTTTTCCAAACACTGATTAAAGCTGAGAAGGATGAGGAACTTGCAAAAGGGTTTGCTCTGGTAAGTATTGTACCTATATTCAGATTTGGAATGATGGGATACTAATGCTTTTGGTAGGGGTTGAATGTGCTGCAGCATGATATGACACAGTACTACACTAAGAAGGATGCATAGCCTTCGAATGTATGATTTGAGTACATAGATTGAAGGTACAATTATACATCCCATATATTCACGGCATATAAATGACTATCATGCGACATGGATGCTCTTCACCCTTGCTCGTCCCTTATACCGGTGCTTTTGCACCGCTTGTGCCCCTTCTAAGCGGGTTGTGCCTCCCTCGCGCTTTTCGTATCATTTCTCCTTCATAAATTCCACATGAACGACCCATCATCGAACGAAAATAGATCAGTCTCAAAATTATTGAATTCGGTCGCGAGTAGAGATGATTGTGACAGATCAGGTATCTGAGGAGTAGAAGTGAACTGCGCCTGGGTATCAGATGGCAAAATAGCCTCATTGGACTGAATCTGCTGACATGTCAGCAAGTTCATGTATACCACATTTAAGAATTGATACCATTTGTGCAAAGTCTGCCAGCTGGAGGCCCATTGATTGTTCCGCAGCCGAGGTAAGTAAGTGTTGCCGACAGGCAGATAGAGCCTTCTTCGCTCCTTGCGAGATGATTCGATCTTTTTGTTCGGCTGTACCTCGAGCACGTACCGTATGCAAGACAACTGCTAAAAGAAGAACATCTTTCATATTACTGGCTTTCTCGCCGATTCGACGAGTCAAAGTGGCGAGTGTGTTCTCAACAGCGTGTACCAGGCTAGCTTTGCTATGCATCTGATAATGGGCTGGACTTTCAGATGAAAAGGCATTGGATGGTGATTGAATAGCTAAGTGTTGGTTAGAGAGTCTCATGTGTTTGCAGATGCTAAGAGCAGACAAGAGGATGTCATTCTGGAAGAGTGTGCCGAACGCGTTCCAGTACGTGTTCAAATTAGAGTCATCGAGGTCGGAAATGTCGGGATCAAATTGGTCTTGGTAGGAGATAATTGCCAGTGAAGATTCAAGACATATTCTTTGTACTTCGTGAAACGATGGGTCGTCACAATTGGTGGGGGGGTTATTGATAACAGGGCGATAGAGGCAGAGTAGAGGACGGCGGAGATAAAGGTCCAGAATAACACTCTGTAGGACAAAAGATGGGTCATGGCTTCCCAATTCGGGATCCGGCCTCAAGTAGGATGGAGTACTATGTAAAATCTGCTCGAGTTCACGTCCCAGTTTAATGCGCTCCTCAAGACTGTCACGCGCATTTGTATGTTGCGCAGTCTTCATAACTCTAATTCTTTGGGATAAAGAATTTGCTAGGGCAATTTGAGAAGACGAATCAGTTTCTTCATCCAAGGGTTTGCACTGTGGCAAGTCGGGTGTTGATTCGTCAAAGTCTCCATCGTCGAGATTATTGGGAGTTAGAGGGCCAAGAACAAGATCCGGTGTCATGACAGGCATGCCTGAGGCAATAGACGCTTGAAGATCCACCTCAACGATGGTAATCCATAGTCTGCGTCGGACCTCTGCCTGGTAAAATGACAGGTTCGTGGCTTTGGAGAGATTGACATGAAGACCCATAGTCATGGCAGATCGAACGAGGGCACCGCTTGTCTTCCATTGTTCTTCAACTGATACGAGGCGCAGTTGAGAAGAGAGAAGGTGAAGCGTTTGCACCTGAAGAGAGAACAGCTCGACTGTTTTCTTCCGTGGGAGTTGCTTCAGCCAATTTTGAATGAGGCGAGGTGCGTTTTGCTTCAAATCATCCCACGATGCCGAGTGTTCAGATGCAGGTGGAGGTGACTCGAAACAAGCAGCCACAGTCAATATTGACATAAGGAGTGGGACAAAAGATGATGCTGAAGGAGTGGAACTCTCGGGGTCTGAAGTGTCCCAGAAGACCTCGTACTGACGCAAAAGTGAAGGGATGTGAACAATTCTGAGCGTCCTCTCAAAATTCTTCATGTAGACCTCAAGCAGTTGGTCACAAAGAGGCTTTAGTGGTAGAGATTCCAAGAGATGCTGCGTCTCAGGTAAGGTGTCCAAGCAAGAGAGTGACTCCGGCGAAGAAATCGCCAATTGGGACTTAGACTGAAGAAATTGCACTTCTTTGGCCAGTCCCACGAGAGCCGAGTCACTGGAGCACTGGTTGATGAATTCTTTCGCATCAGCAAACTAGGGGGTGTCAGTGTCAACCCGATCTAGAAGGGGAGGTTGAAGTAATAGACATACCTCGTTGAGTAGTGTGACTCTGTTGTTCTGTCCATGATAGCGGGAGCGAGATCCCTTGACTACAAGAGTTCCAAGGAAGTCAGAATTCGACTGGGTTGTATCGGCCTGTGGCCTGCTTTGTCGGTCAGCTTGTGTGCACTGATGAGAGAAGTGTCTTCCTACCATGAACTCTGCACGGGGATATCTCTGATCGGCCCGGAGGTCCCTTGGGAACGCAGTGCGAGGAGTTGTTCCTCGAGCTTGACGACTCGCATCTGCAGGTCTTCAATGACGCCAACACCCGCTGTCACTGGAACGGTGGGTTGATCCTGATTCTGATCAAGATCATTGGCATCTGATAATTGGACTCTTTTCGACCTTGGATGCGACTCGGCTGGCTGATGATTATAGGTGCAGTCCGAGCGGCAGTCCGACTTAATACAGTTCTGACAAGGCAAAACACGGTCACATTTCAGTTTCTTTTCCCTGCATCGAAGACAGGAAACAACTGGCCGCGGCCTTTTGCGCGCCTGCGTGGTCTCCATTGCTGCGCTCACATTCGCGTCAGCAATGTGAAGATGAGAATGCCAAGCGCCCCAAAAGCGCCCCGAAACATCTGAAGTGGCGCGATCCCGATTTTTCACATAAGCACAACACCTTAATTTCGGTTTGCTGACTTGGCTTTCTACGATTGACGCCATTGCCCAGAAATATATAGAAAATTGTCAGTCTGTACTTTTATTCTACTTGAATTTCGATTTTCTGGTAGCTGTCCATTGACCCTTAAGGAGGCGCCGGTCTCTACGATTCCCCAAGACCCGTGAATCACCTAGGCATAATCACATCAATGATCAAATGGATCACATAGTTCATACATTCATTATTCTAAAAGCTGGGGTATTGCTGTCCGACAATATCAAACAAAGAGTTAAAATCCGCCCCTTGAAGCAGATCAGCCATATCCAAGTCGAAATTCGACCCACCAAAGTGACCTAAGTCTGCACTCTGGATATTAAGCTCCGAGGGCGGCATCGTATTATTAGCTAGCACCGTCTCTCCGTTAAAGCTACTTGGCTGGAACGATCCCGATAGATCTAACCCAGGTCGTGTCTCGCGGAGATGAGGGTCTTCAAACAGTCCATCAGGTTGCCCATTTTGCACTTCGGCCATTTGATTCGTGTTTGCTTGTAACTCGACAACTGGAGCCATACTTAAATCTTTGCGGCACATTTCAATCGAGTCAAGTGAGTGAATCTCTCCGGGGTGCCGTTGGGTATAGGCATGGGGGTTCGTGCTGTTAGCATGACGCTCGATCTGTTTAATTTTCGTAGACAGCAAGGACAATGCTATTTGGCAATGATTGGCGGTCTCCCACTGGGGAGACATGCGCTTTAGGAACCCTGAGCAAGCGTCAATTTCCCTGTTGACAGTTAGTGCCCCCGTTCATTTGGCGGACAATTTGACTTAGATCGTGACTCACTGCAAGCCCTTCTTCAGAACGTATTGTTTGAGTTGACAAGCAAAAGCCAAAACTAAGCCTGACATCCAAGCTGCTGAGACAAATCCCGGCCAGAAAAGAGCTTGGCAACTATCCACTTGCAATTTCAACGCCGCAAGAATGGACCGTGCAGCGCCAATGCAGGTCTGCAGCCCAGAACAGAATTCTGCAGTTGATGGGTCCAATGATAAGGACGGTCGATGGATAATCAAGATAAGATGCTGATAGAGGACCGTAAAAAAAGGGGCCGAAGTCAAATGGACTGTCTGAATCTGTAGCTGGCACCCGTTTGCCGGGATCGGATGACTTCCCTTGCAGTTCGAGAGGAAGGCTATTCCACCACTTATGAACGTCTGTCACTAAGAACAGGACGGAGCTGCGGCGCACCGAGCGCACCAAAATGGACTTATGCAAAAGTTCCAGCGCCCGGCCGGTGAGTGTTCCGGAATCGACGTAGCTGGCAAGCACACTTTCCTTTTTGCGGTGATCTGCGCCTGCATCTACCGGCGAATGCTCTCGAGATTTTCTGTTCTCGTGAAACAATGAGCTCCTAGACGACACACTGGATTGTAACTCCCTCAGTCGCCGAGGAGAATGCATCTCCGGCGCAGCAGGTAGACACACATCGATGTCCGAATCCTGGATCCCGAGCGGCAACCCCAATGCTTGGCTCAGGTATCGATCAATAGCATATGCACACCAGAAGATTCGTTTGCGCAATTGTCGATCATGCGATGAGAGCTGCGCATATCGGAAGGGACATCGGTGGAGGCCGGCATGCATCATGGATCGTAGAACGCATCCGCCGAAGGTAGATGCAAGACGTAGGGACATTTTTGCAACAAGGTAAACCTGGACGGCGAGAAGAGCTTGTAGTGAAGCAATGTCATGTCTTGTTGCCAGGCTTCCGAGTAATGAGGTTACACTGCCAGTCGATTGAATTAGACAGGTGGGTGGAAGTTCCAGGTCTGGACGAAGGAGACTTCCTAGATTGAAAATACATTGCAGAATTACCGTCCAGCATGTACTTCGATGATCCGAGCTCTCATCGGGGATTGGATTATTGTGGCCGGCGCTGGAATATAACTTCTCCATGGCCTGCAGGACAGTAGGACCATGTAGGAACGGAAAGAGAGGATGCCAAACTCGAAAGTACATCATCATGAGTTCTTTCGAACCCTCTAGCGGTGGTGCTTTGCCCATGAAAGCCACGATCGCTGGGTCGTAATTCCATGGTGCTGGTGACTCTGCCTCGCCGGGTGTGGCCGAGTCATGCCTGAATGATGCCGTACGTTGTCGCTTCCGTGGCGAGTCTTCTGCGCCCACGAGGGTGTCTTCTGCGGCTGGGAACTCTGTTTCTGGTGATCCCGATGCTTCCAACCCAGCAGAGAATGCACGCTTCACCGTATTGATGAAGTAGACGCCGCTGGAGCTGCCGACGAACTGACTGTCCTCGTTAGAATGTGCCGTCAGGGAACCAATTTCTGAAGTTCCAGGATTATACTCTGGTGGATCCATGAATCAATGCACATTTCACGGCGATGTGGATACTTCTAGCAATGGAATCTGTCAAGAGTCTTGCTCATGAGCGAAACTGGATTCAGTCAGTTTGCTTAGTCATCACTGTATCTCGAAATTGGCAACATCCCATGAGTCTTTCTCAAAGTGTCACGTCTACAAAGACACGTTTACGATTGAGCAAAGATTGAAATAAGCAATCGGGCTCTTGGCCATCCCATTGACTTGAACAAACTGTGCTCTCGAACCCAAGCACACAAGGGACTGCACCGCAAGACCCTTCCGCGAGGAGGTCATAACTCTATGTTACACTCGTGAAGGTTGAAAAGGGGGAGATACGAGGCAAAGGGGGGAAAGGTAGAGAGGAAAAGGTTGGGGGACAGGAAGAGAAAGACGTCACAAATCCCTCCCGGCAAACAATAAAGAAAGTAAGGTAGATCATAAGAAAAACCCACATCCAGCGCCCAAAGAGAAGAACTTTTACCGACCTGGGGACACAATGCTGTCCCCCATTGCGAGCTTGGGCATTTGTCCCTCCTCAAGAATCCAGGGTAAAGGAGACGAGAGAAAAGTCCACGCAGGAGTGTACTAGAGAGGCGGGATGAAATTGGAAAAAATGTCGTGCCGCGTTCACTAAACACCAGAAATAGGTGACACTAACACAAGAACTTTTCAAACCGAGGGATATCGAGATCAGAGGGAAGAGGGGAAAAGCGAAAAAGTGTCACATGGTAGTAGACAAAAAAAAGAAAAAGGAAAAAGGAAATGGTCATCAAAAAACGTGCGTTCCAAGATTTCCGAGCGCGGGCAAAGAAATCGTAATCCGAGTCCAGTTCACGACCTTCTGCACGGAGCTAGACAGAACAAAGTCATTTAAGACTTGTTCTCCTCCGAGGAAGCCTCCTTCTCGGCCTCCTGGGGCTTGGCCTCGCCAGCCGCCTCGCCCTCGGTACCCTTGTTCTTCATGTACTCGTCATAAACGCTGAGGGCCTCATCGACCTTAGCGCGAAGTGCCTCCTCATCATCAAGCCTGGAACAGTAAGGTTAGCATCGTGTTTCTGGAGGGGGTTGAGAATCGAGGGGTCAACACTTACAGGCCAAGAAGCTCAGCGTTGTCCATCTCCAGAAGCATACCAGTGATCTTGCCGGCAAGCTCGGGCTGCTGGGCCTGGATCTTGGGGTAGAGAGCCTCGCCGAGCATCTGTTTCTGCTGGGCAGGGGGGGCGTTGGCGAGAGCGGGGTTGCTAGAGGCAGGCTGCTCCTGGCCAGGCTGGCCGGCAGGGGCCTGACCACGGCCTTGGCCACGGCCCATCTGAGGACCACCACGACCGTAGCCGGGACCACCACGCATACCCTGGCCCATAGGCATACCAGGAACCTGACCGCGGCCACCAGCACCACGGCCGAAAGCGGGGCCCTGCATGGGGTAACCCATGCCGTTAGGCATACCGGGGCCCTGCATGCCCATGGGCATACCCTGGAAGTTGGGGGGCATCTGCTGGCCGGGGACCATGCCGCGACCACCCTGTTGAGGGAAGGGACCGGGGAACTGACCGGGGCGGCCACCGGGCATGCCAGGCATCACCATACCACCCTGGGGAGGGAAACCCATACCGCGCTGAGCAGCAGGAATGAAGCCCTGCTGGCCGGGGCCGTAGAAGACGGCAGGCTGCATGTAAGGCTGGGGCATACCAGCGGCAGCGGCGGCCTGCTGCTGACGGATGGTGTTGCGAGCCTGAATGCTAGCCTCGAGCTGGCTGCGGCGGACATCCTTGCGCTGGGCGAGAGCAACGTAGAGGGGCTTGCCGTTAACCATGCGCTGGTTCATCTCGGTCACAGCCTTGGAGGCCTCATCGGGGCTGCTGAAGCAGACGAAGCCGAAGCCCTTGCTCTTACCGAGGCCCTTCTTGTCGGACTTCTCGCCCTCCTCCTGCTCCTCGCTATCATCCTCCTTCTTCTCCTCCTCAGGCTTCTCCTCGGACTTCTCCTCCTCCTTGGTCTCAGCCTCATTGGACTCCTCGGTCTTCTCCTCGCCCTCGGAGGCGGGGCTCTCCTCACCGACAGAGTCACGCATGACCTTGGCGGAGGTGATGGTGCCGTAAGGAGTGAAGAGGTCGCGGAGCTTCTCATCATCAACGTCGTCAGTCAGGTTCTTGACGTAAAGGTTGACACCCTGGTACTTGGAGGCCTTCTCCATACGAGCAGCCTCGTACTGCTTGCGCAGCTCCTCCTCACGCTCGTGCTTCTTCTGGGCACGGCCGACATAGAGCTTCTGGCCCTTGATGTCCTTTTCATTCATCTCCTCCACGGCGGCCTGCGCGCTCTCGTGGGTGGAGTAGTTGACGAAGCCGAAACCACGGCTCTTGCCATCCTGGTCGTGGCTGAGAGTGGCGGAGGTGATCTCACCGAAAGCCTCGAACATGATGCGGAACTCGTCATCGGAGATCTCGAGCTCAAGGTTCTTCACGTAGATGTTGGTGTAGTTGGCCTTCATCTCCTCGAACTTGCTTTGGCGGTCCTTCTTGGAGATGTGGTGGCCGACGAAGACCTTCTTGTCGTTGAGAAGCATGCCGTTAACGTGCTTGATAGCGTTGTTGGCAGCCTCGGCAGTCTCGTAGTGGACGAAACCGTAACCCTTGGAGTTGGCGAACTCATCCTGGGCGACCTTGCAGGACAGAATGTTACCGAAGGCAGCGAAGGTATCGTGAAGAGCCTTGTTGTCAATGGCATTATCAAGGTTCTTGATGAAGACGTTGCCCTGGCCAGTCTTACGCAGGGCGGGGTCACGCTGAGACCACATGATACGGCAGGGCTTGCCCTTGATCAGGGTGTAGTTCAGGTCCTCGAGAGCGCGCTCACCGTCGGCGGTGTTGTTGTAGTTGACGTAGGCATAGCCGAGAGAGCGGCGGGTGACAGCATCACGGCAAACACGGATGGAAGCGACCTGACCGATGGAGGAGAACAGCTCGTAGAGCATGGCCTCGGTCACGGAGGGGTCGAGCTCGCCGACATAGAGGGAAGCGGAGTGGGGCTGGTTGTTAGCAGCAGCGCCCTCGCCGGCGGTCTCGGGAGCGGCAGCAGGGGCCGGGGAGCCGTTAGCCTCGGGAGAGGTGGCCGTGGGCTCAGCGGCCGGGGGGTTGGTGGCGGTTTCAGCAGACATTTTGGATAGCTGTCGTTACTGAGAAGAGTTTAGTAAAGAATCGTCCCGAATGTACAGGTGGGGTGAAAGTAGGACGAGGGGGAGGGGACCCAAGAGCAGATTCCACTGTAGAGCATGCAGTCTCTTTGAGAAGGAGACAGAGATAAATGAACACAGCGAACGAGGGCGAGGGGTAGACAATCACCAAGTGGAATAATAAATTCCAAGAGTGAATCGGCAAAACAAAGGGCTTTGAGGATATTGCACGGCGACAACCTAGGAACAGGTCGGAGTGACAATAATCTCAAGCAGACGGAGAGCGAGGCAAAGCGAGGGGAAATCGAGGACGCGACCAACCTGGAACGTGGAAAGAGGCGGTTGAAGGGAAATCTTCCACACACCGCACAATGGAGGGGATTGGAGATAAGATAAATGGGATTTTTGCTGGGGGTTTTTCGTGTTTTTTTTGAGGGTTTTTTTTAGGCTTTCGAGAAAGATTCGAAAGGAAAAAATGAGTTCCCTTGGAAAGAGAGAGGGGTGGATAGACGAGGGATGAAGAAGAAAAAAAAAGTTGACCCGCGAAACGCCTTCTCGAAAACTCAGAGAGAGAGAGGAGTGGTGCACTAGTCCTATTTCGGATTTTCCTCTTGCCGTTTTACTCATCATCCACATTAGGTTATGAGTGTCGCCGCTTTAAGGGCTTCGTGCCAGTCACGAGATTCAACTTTTATCTTTTATCTCGCGCATTACTGCTTAAATCCAGTACAACTTGAAAATAGAAATATAAAAAAGTAAATAAATTGCTAAATATTCACTATGTAAATGCCAATCGTCATCACTGCTGTGCTGAGAGTTGGACAATAGTCGCTTAGCTATATGCCACTATAATTGTTCGCCCGCGGTCCAATGAGCGGCCCGTCATTTCGACGCCGATGCTATGCATTCACGAATCAAGGTATCAACTGTGTGCCTACTTACACAAAGAGGTAAAAGAAAAAAAAAGACAGATGGAGTAGATGTAGGAAACAAAGGAGATGACATCGTTAACTTAGGTCAAATCCAGCTCCTGAGCTCACTGCATACAGCAACTTGCTCCGCAACGTCTCTGCATTAGAGTACCGCGGCAACTTCAGGAGGTTGACACAGGTACTCGTGCTCGGTAGTCGCTCCTGATCCTCACTGGAGTCTCGAATGCTGAATCGTGGGTTGAGATGGCTGAATCCAAGTAGTGGAGCCCGTGGTGTTGAGGTCACAAAGCGGAGGACTTTCTGGCGCTCCTCGTTGTTCATCTCATGCATCACCTGCCAAAACAGCTGCACAGTCTCATGCTCTTGATTGTCGTCACCAATGGTGTACACACCACCGTACTGTGTGTTTCGCCGGAGATCTTCCACGTCGATGTCGGCGTTCTCGCCGCTCACCAGAGTTTGCAACTCGGCTTGGTTGAACATGGACAGCCATGCGGGCTGAATGATTTGTCCGAGACCCTGCAGGAAAGCGTTGGTCTGGTATTGGGGTTGCAGTTGCAAGCGGTACCGGGCAATGTAGGAGATATATACCAGTCGGTTCTGGTTGGTGACCGGAATCGACGAACCACCAGGCCTTAGCTCCTTCGTTACTGTGCGCGTCACTGTGCGGTGGCCCGGTCCGGGTATCGAGATGGTGTCGGCTACTGTGAAGTCCAAGGCAAAGTCTTCAACGTCTCCTGAATAATTCTTAAGTTGCAACTAGATCGTACCTGTTAGCTATACTCATTTCCAGAAGGTTCCGTATACTCACAAGGCCTTGGTAGAGCCCCGCATCAAGATCCTTCAGATCATTCAGATTGGCCCGATAGGAGGACTCCTTCATTGCAGATCCCGTCCCTCCAGTCAAAGCCCATTTCAGCAGGAAAAATGGTGCAAAGTTGACATCGACCAGGATACCTTCGTAAAGACACTTTCCAATCACCCGTCCAAGGAACTCGTAGCGGCGGAGAAGATCGCGGATAGCCCCTTGCCATTCAGGACTAGACTCGCTCACACCACTCCCCCGTAGCTGTTCTCTACACTGTTCAAGGGCTGTGGGGTTCGGGTAGAGCAGGTGTTGGTCATTCTCGGCGAACATGCTGCTGGAGTCACTTTCGGTCTTGAATGCTTCGGAAGTGATGCTAGTCAAGAACTCCTTGGTCACTCCACCACCATCAATACCTGCCTCCATAGTCCCGAATCGGTCGATAAAACTGATTTGAATCGGTTCTTTGAGACCGTCACCAAGCTGGTAAAACTGTTCGAGAGCATCGTCAAAGACATGTTCTCGGCGGATGTCAGCTTGGTGCCGCGCGAGAACGGCTTGCACGGCGGGGTGGCCATCTATCATTTGCCCCATTGCGGCTTGGGCAACAGATGCGCGCCAAATATCGGCATCAACAAAGCCTCGTCGACGGCGATGCTGGTCATGGTAGATAAACTCGCGGAAGATCTGCACTCGGGTGGCAAACGGGATGAAAAAGGGCATGTTCCGCAGGATCTCGAGTCTAGGTGCAATGGCAGCCAAAATCCTACCGCGAGCAACTCGCTGCTGTTGGCGACGCATTGCTTCGACCCTGATAGTCTGCTGCGCGTGCCCAGCTCCAGCTAGACCAAGAGGCAGATTCGTTTCTTCTTCTTCCACGGGTTCGGCTTCGTCATTGTCCTCAGCCCGAGCTTGGAATTCGTGTCTTTTTTCCTCTTCTGCGACTACAGAGGGGATGAAACCTTCCATGTCAAATCGACTGGTCATAAGCCAATGGTCCTTGGGCAGAAATTTCCGTCGCGAACTAAATAATAACGTTAGAATGCATGCTTACTGCTATTTCACTTTTTCGACTTACTCTCTTTCATGCAGCATCCGAAGCAATCCAGTGACAAGTCCCTTAAAGTATTCGAGTGGGATGCCCGTCACTCCGGGGAGATTATTGGACTGGTTTTTGGTTTCCAAATCCTTTGTGCTAGGAAGTGATTCTGAAGATGCATTGGTTGTGCTGTTGAAGTATGCACTGAGGCTCACTGCTGTTGGCCGAAGCGCAGGCTCACTTAAGTCCACCGCATTCCAATAAAGGGTGAAAGCAAGATTCTTGAGGAAAACCGTCATATCCTTGACATCGTCCAATGGCAATGCGCTCTCTCGCGTCCATGATGTCTTGGTAGTTTCGGCGGATGCGAAAGAAGAGGCGCTGGAGAAAAATTCATCATCATCTGTGACCTTTAAGACAAAGGTGTAGAGCTCCAAGAAAAGAAGAATGGTTGTCCACTCCTGGTCTCGTTGGTCCTGGGGCACGTCGACCGGTTCCTTTGCCTGATCAGGCAGTTGCAACAGAGGAAGGACCTTTGTTGAGTCTCTGCTGATAATATCAAACACCCTGCTAGACCTGGAGGCCTGCCAGAAATATTTGATGGCGGGTAGGCCGGATACTTGGTCACCTGAGGGTGCAGAGCCGAGGTATAGCCACATTCGAATGTCGTCACCGCGCCTGGGGAAGATTCGGAGCAGGCTCAAGGCATATGTAGCAAGAACCCTGGCCTCTTTAGAAGCATCGGAGTCGCTTTGTGTCGTATTCGCCTGGGGGAGACGGGATGTGCGAATCCTGGAAAGAAGGCCAGTGACGCTATTCTGATTGACAAGACCTGTAACTTGATCTTTTATAAATGTAGGCAGAGGGCGCGCCACTTCTGGCTCGTCCAAGTCATTCGATTCATCTGCATCCAAGCCTTGCATGAGATGTGTGGCTGTTGAATTCAGCAAATCCGATACCACCGTCACAAACTCCAACTCTGGAGCATGATACTTGGCTTGGCTGCCAAGGGCATATCGTTGGAAGAATATCAGGTAAGAAAGAAGCCAAGAGCGAGCTTGCGCATCATCCAACACGCCCTTGGTGTTTGGGGCAAGGCGAGCGGATACCGCCAAGGCCAGCATTCTATAGTTTATCTCGCTAGCTAATCCATCCAGCGCGCCCAGATATGTCTCAAGGCTCGGAATTGTGAGGTAGAATGTCGCAAAGGCCTCGTAGGCTGTCATTGTCTCCGAAGTGATAGGGCGTAAAAGTGCGAGAACAGCTTCTTTGATGTTGGCCGGATTGATCCATTGGTCTCGTCGAGTTCCATCTTCGTCAAATTCTGGTAGACGCAAACTTGAGTGAGTCGTCGTGAGGAGTGCCATAGCATGATAGTACGTGTCCGCGATTTTAGCCATCTGCTTCGGAATCAAGCTAGACAAGAAAACCAAGGCTTGGAGAAGAGGCTCGATTGCCCCGAACGGAACAGCGGGCTTCGAAGCTTGTCTGAGAACACTCAGAATAGCTCTGCTCAACCGTTTGAGCAGGGTCGTCCACTCGCCTTCAGTAGCGATCGTAGGCAAACCACGGAAGGTCCGCTCAAAAGCGTCAACGAAGTATACGAGGCGGAGGATATCGTCACTCTTTCGTGCGGACACAAACTGAACGAGCAGCTGAAGCTGTAAGAAGCACTGGTCTGCTGTAGCATAGGGTGCGGGACGCCGTGCTGACAGTGTCCAACCTTCGCTTGACAGCGTGCCGGGGGTGGCATGCCGGTTTCCTCGATTCTGAATGTTTTCCATCGTCGCCCTGGTCTCCATGGCATCCGCCAGACTCCGTTCGACTGTATCCCATTCTGAGCGCCATATGTCATTTGTTGTCTTCCTGCTGCTGTAGCCCCGCCAAACTCGCTGGACGACACGGGCCGCACTCTGCTTCTCCCTTTCCTTCTCTCTTTGGATTCGCTCCTGGCGTGCAATTGCGACGGCGAGTTGTGGATTGGAAGCATGCGGGGTTTGTCGGCCGGGCGAAAATGCGGCGAAGGGATCGTTGACGCGGCCACTCAGGTTGACCTGCCGCGGCCGACGAGAGTTGCCAGTGAAAGTGTGATGCATCGTAAGGACTCCCAGAAGAGAGGGTATCTGAAGGATACCTGTCTATGCAAATGGCGGACGCTGGTGATGCAAACAAAAGAGACGAAGGCCCATCTCGCCAAAGCAAATGAGAAGAGCTATGACATACGCCGACTCCGATATGAGCTTATCGGTGTTAGGCACACGGTGCACGCACTTTGAAGGTGGTGTCTCTACTACTGCCACGCTCTGGGAACGCCCTCGGCAAAGATCTTCCGCTCCCATCGTCACGGAGAAACCAGAAAAAAAGTATTGAAGTTTTGGATATTACTCGAAATGGTGTTTTCTATATGCAAATGACAGAGGTTTCGCACTTTCCATTCCAATTTATCTCTGCAGCCTGGTACTGCAGCGTACACATGGTGGGGGAAATCCATAGGCGCTTCATGCTGATGGGTCCAGTATCGGCCCATTTTCAATCAAGTATGCTGTACATATAATACATGGAAGATGCGGTCGTCCAGCGAGCGGTAGAATAGTACGACGGTAGAGGGGGAGCCGTCGTGTGGACAGGGTGCTTGGGATGGCTCATTCCCTAGACGGTTAGAGACTATACAGAAAGATGAGTAGGACATCTACTCACAGTGTTACCAGTTATCTGGTCTCTCAGAGCAAACGCTCTGTATCTCACAAAGCATTTCGTTTATTGGCTCTTCGCTGGCATCTCTTCCGGCATCTTGTCCGGCATCTCGGCCGTCTCGAGTTCCTCAACGGGGTTCTCGATCAACTCGCGGTCGTAGACTTCTTCGCCATTGCGCTCAGCCCACAGCTCGAGGTAGTTTCGACCCGTCATCTTGTCGACCACGGTGTATGTGCGCCCATTCTGCTCGATCTCCTTGTTGTAAATGCTTCGCTTTGCCTCTGCGCGTTTGGTGACAAAGGGTGTAAGCTAGATGGTTGTCAGTATGCTGCCGATCATGATGATGTCTGCTAATCAAGCGGAATCTTACCTTGAAGTCTTTCAGGTCTTCCGGAACGGCGTAGGTGCGGACTTTCTTGTAGTCGATCACGTAGTTGCCATTCTTGTCGAAGCGACCCATTGAGCCTGTGCGATTACCCTTGTAGTAACCGCCATTGATCGCCTTGGTCGTCAAGCGCAGACGCGCCATCATAGGGTTCGTTGGCTTGAACATGTTGATGAATTGACGTAAAGGAAGGAGAGGGAGAGTCGCAGTTGAGGTTCAGGGCAAAAGTTCGGGTGGTCGGACCGCGCTAATCGCCGCGCCGAGAACTTTTTTTCTGCAAGCAAAAAAGTTGACCGACCGACACAAACCCCTCCTCCACGCAACGATAGGGTCTTTTGAGTGCCCTCGTGGACGGAATCTATATCTTTTTTCTTCCATCAATCCATTTTTCTTTCTGCAGCCATGCCTCGCCAGCAGACCCAACAGCGCGCCCCAGAAGATCGCTCTGCACAGAAAGCACCGAAGCACAAGTCTCAGCAAACCAAGAGCAGACGAGGTCTCGATGCTCTCTCTATTGCAGAGAAACAAATTCCCAAAAAGCTGGGCGTGCGTCGTAACCGCCTAGGTTTTTACGACGACGGAACCAACTACAAAAAGCACTCGCGCCGCGATGAGGACGACGATGAAGAGGAAGAAGAGCAGCCGGTCTGGAAGCGCCGCCGAACCGATGGTGACGACCTTGGAAGCGTTGACGGTGGAAGCGACAGTGATGGTCACGAATGGAAGCTTGGACAAGTGGACAGCGACGACGACGAAGAGCTGGACAGTGACGAAGCTCTAGGAGAAAGCGACGAGGAGCGATTTGAAGGCTTTACATTCCGCGGAAGTTCTACGACTAAATCCAAGCCGAAACCGAAGAAAGCTGCCAAGCAAAAGAAGATCACCTTATCCGAATCCGAAGACGAGTCCGAAGAAGAAGCAGACGAAGATGAGGATGAAGATGACGACGACCTTGGAGAGGATGCTGTGGATCTTCTTACTGCTTGGGACATGAATGCGGCAGAGGACGAGGAGGATGCCAAAAGGGCCGCCGCTAAAGCCAAGAAGGCTGCCGCAGGCAATGATAGCGAGCAGGATTCTGGCTCCGAGGGCGACAGTGAAGAGGCAGATAGTGAAGACAGTGATGACGATTCTGATCTATCTATGTCCGACGATGATGATGCTAAGGAGGATGGATTGGCCAAGCTACAGGATTTCGTCAATTCGATGCAGACCAACAAGACAACTAAAAAGTCTGGTCAAAAGGCACAAGAGCAAGGCAAGCCTTCAGAATACGGCTTGACATCCTCTCACAAATTGACCATTGCCGATCTTCTGCCTTCAATCACGGATTCGCGCCTCAAGAGCTCTCTCAAGCACGTTGACGCTACTGCCCACGCATCGAAATCGGGCATCCCGGGCAAGCTGGATGCTCCTCTGGCAAAGCGCCAGCAAGACAAGGTCGATCGAGTCGCAGCTTACGAAAAGAGTAAGGAAACTTTGGACCGTTGGCTTGAGACAGTCAAGAACAACCGCCGCGCCGAGCATCTTGTTTTCCCTCTCCCTGATCCCGACAACGAACAGGTCCACCGCATGGATGTGGCCAAGCCGGCCAATGACTTGGAAAGCACCATTCAAAATATCCTGGTGGAGAGCGGACTGGCCGAGACCAACGGTAAATCTGCCGAAGAAGAGATCCAAGGCTTCGAGGAATTGCAAGGTCGTACACTCCCCATTGAGGAGATCCAGGCCCGACGAGCGGAGCTGCGCAAGCGTCGTGATCTGCTTTTCCGAGAAGAGGTGCGCGCCAAGCGCATCAAGAAGATCAAGAGCAAGTCCTACCGCCGCGTCCACCGCAAGGAGCGAGAGAAGCTCGAGCAGCAGGAGCGCCAGGCTCTTTTGGAAGCCGGTGTGGATCTGGATGAGCAGGAGCGTGGCGAGAACGAGCGCAAGAGAGCCGAAGCTCGCATGGGCTCTAAGCACCGCGAGAGCAAGTGGGCCAAGAGTCTGAAGCAGACTGGTCGTACTGCCTGGGACGAGGATGCTCGCAACAATGCGAACGATCTGGCCTTGCGGGAAGATGAGTTGCGGAAGCGCATCGAAGGTAAGAGTGTGTCTCGCGGAGATGACGACTACCTCGGTTCTTCCAGCTCAGAGTCAGAGGAGGAGGATCCCTGGGCAGAGGATGCTTCTGATAATGAGAAGCGCAAGATGCAGAAGAAGCTCAGTGCTCTGGAGAACGACCAGGTCGAGGACGGCGATAAGGGACCCCACTCGGGTCTTTTCGCCATGAAGTTCATGCAAAATGCCGATGCCGCTCGCAAGGAGGAGAATGATGCCGAGCTCCGTCGCATCCACCGAGAGCTGCACGGCGAGGAATCTCAGTCTGAAGCCGAATCTGAAGTCGGTCGGCGCAAGTTCGGCCAGTCCAAGAAGGCCGAAACTAAGGCCAAGGCTAAGGTCTTACCAAGGAACGAGTTCGAGGAGGCTGCTGATTCAGATGCTGAGCCCAACTCGGATGTTGATATCGTGGTCGACCGCTCTACCAAACAAAAGTCTGGCCCCTCCGGTCCGAAGACCGCCCCTCGATCCACTACCAAGCCAGTTGTTGTGCAGGAGTCACCTGCAGAGGAAGAGAACCCCTGGCTGGTACAGACAGGGCGCACCAACCGCCAACGAAAAGGTGCAGATGCTTCGGAGGATATCGACATCTCACTCAACGACCCGCAACCTCAAGCCCCGCAGGCCAGCAGTTCCTCCAAGAAGAGCAAAACTACCAAGGCACCAGCCAAGCAGCGTGCTCATCAAAACGAAAGTGACGACGAGGACAACGTCCCCGTCCTGCTGAAGAACCACGACCTGGTGCAGCGAGCTTTCGCCGGTGACGACGTCGTGCAAGACTTCGAGCAAGAAAAACTAGACACTATCGAAGACGAAGGCGACAAGGTTGTCGACGAAACACTTGCCGGATGGGGCAGCTGGGCCGGTGATGGTATCAGCAAGAGGCAGCAGAAGAAGCAAAAGCGCGTCTTGACCAAGGTGGAGGGAGTGAAGCCCGAGCAGCGCAAGGATGCCAAGCTTTCTCGAGTAATCATCAACGAGAAGAGAGTCAAGAAGGTAAGATTCCCATTCAATTTGCCTCTAGATTGGATATCATCTAATATATTTAACAGAACGCCAAGTACATGGCCAGCCAACTTCCTCACGAGTTCGAGAACAAGACCCAGTACGAGCGTTCTCTGCGCATGCCGCTGGGTCCGGAGTGGTCGACCAAGCAGACATTCCAGAGCGGCACCAAGCCTCGCATTATGGTCAAGCAGGGCATCATCAAGCCCATGGAGAAGCCCATGTACTAAGCATGGGATTTCGAGTTGGAGATATGTACATTCAGTTAGTCGTTTATACCTACCATGGCCTAGAGATCTTCAGCCATGAAAAATACCATATGAGATTGTGATCTACATACTTGCATACTCGCTTTGAGCCTGAGCGGCAAGCGCATAACAATTCCTGGTTTCCTGTCAAAGTTCTTCAGACAAATGCCTTGATATTCTAATATATACCCACCATCACAAAATAGCTACTAGAATAATCCCGCTGCATTACCCAGGAAGCACAAAAATAGCAAACGCAGAATGGAATCGGCGATGAAAATAGCCGATTGTCAAGGCAAGTCCCCAACGCCGAACAAGGATAATGTTTAATTCTCTCAAACACCGCTGATAGAGCCTCCGCCAAGGCCTGCTGCGAACGCCATGTACCATGTTCTCGTGGCACCGCCGTCGATGAAGCTGTAGTCGAAGTCGTCGGCGGCGAAGAATTTCCACGCGGCTTCGGGGTCGACCAGGGCAAGGTTGGCATATAGGACGCCTCTCCAGCCTCCATCGACATTAGCGGCGGGAGTGGAGGCATTATCGGAGAAGAAGGATTGCCACTCCTGGCGCACGAAGTCTTTCTGGCGGGTGTATGCAGTGTGTGGAAGGAGAGGTAGCATGTGAATTCTGCGTCTTGTTAGCAACGTGTTCGAATGGAGAATTATTTGTTTACTAAGATCACATACCCTTGGATGAATTCAGGGTTGTTACCGAAGTAAGTCGTGTGGTCGACCTTGTTCTCAAAGAGCTGGAAAGAAATTAGTCTGGTGCCCAAATTACAGCAGTAGGTGTGAGGTACTCACAATACCAGTAACCCGATTTCCAATGAAGTTCGCGGGCTGATTCTTGTTGTTGTCTTTCATGAGGAAGTAGCTATCAAGGGAGCGACGCAGAATGCCTAGCATCATGTTCCCTCGGGCTTCCATACTAGCATCTCCAGTAGTCTGACCCCACATCTTGATGGCATAGGCGAACATAGTATCCTCGGAAGTGGACTCTTGATCCTTACCATCGAATGACTCGAAGAGACCCTTAGCCCAGGAGTGACCGTTATACCAGTCAAAGCCACGAGAGAAGGGGAAGTATGCGTCGTTCTCGATGGAATTTCCAGCATCACGGACGAGCATATTCACATAGTCTTTGTTCTCATCGAGCCACTTCGAGTCGAGGGCTCCGATGATGGCAGCCGCGTGGATGAAGTAGCCGTAATGGAAATGGTGGTCATTGTAAGCAGTGTTTCCGAAATCCTGGTTCAGGTCACCATCGTAACCGGCAGTGGAGACGACACCCTTCCAGACGGAGTCGTAGGCTAGCGGGTATTCCTGCTGGTTTTTCGTAAAGCGAGCAAAGGCCTCTTTCAGATCATGGAAGGCCTTGACACCCATGCCGACATTGTTACCGAGCTGGTTGACAGTGTATATCAAGATAGCAAATTTGCTCAGAGCCTTGCCACTGTAGTACATGCTGTTCAGATTGCTCTGTTCTTTAATGTCCTGGTTAATTTCAGTCGGGGCAACCTGGAGGATAGCGTGTTGGACGGCTGAAGAGAACGTGTGAACGCTGCCCTTGGTAGTGGTCCATGGTGCGAAGCCCATGTCGATGGGGAGATTGGGCTCAGTCAAGGTCCAGGTCTCTCCAATCACGGCAGTTGCATTACCCTTGGTAGTAGTCCGCAGGTGGATATCAGTCTTGCGACCAGCCGTGTTACGGTCGAACGAGTCAGTGTGGTGAGGCAGGGCAAACATGATCAGAGGAGAGGCATTGGCGTGGGTTCCTGCCTTGATCCACGACATGCTGTAAGTGCCAACATCACCAGTCACAGAGCCACTGACCTGGCCGGCAATGGCATAGACACCGGCAGAGTTGTCGTAGAACTTCTCACCCGACTTGCCAGCAGGGTTCTTGGCAACCTGGATAGAGCCAGAAAATCCATGTGGGCCACGCAGAGCTGTCTTTGAGACGAGCTTCATTTCAGGATCTTTACCATCATTGGGTGCGGCATAGATAATCCAGTTGGTCTCATCTTCAAGAGTTGCCACATACTTGTAAATACCAGGCTTAGGAGACCCAGCATTGACGACATTGCGGAAGAAGACACCACTCTCGATGACGGGTTGAAGGTCAGTGTAGACACCAGTCACGTAGCCCATACCCTGGACCACAGGGAACCTTATCTCCTGGACAGATCCACCAGAGCGCCTCAGGACCGCATGGGCAGAAAATGCCTTGGGGTCGTCAACGCTCATGGTGCTCGACTCATCGAGCTCGGTTGCTGACAGAATGATGTGCTGAAGTCCGACAGGGTTGATGTAGAACTCAACAGGCTCCCCGGGAAGCTTATCGTTCTTGGGGCCAAAGGCCAGCACATTCTCCTCGAGGTGAGAGACTGACATGCCCCAGCTCTTAAGAGTTCCAGCCCCGCGAGACCAGGCAATGGAGTAAGGCTGAGTGAAACTAGCATTGGTCTGCGATCCAAGGAATAATCCTGCATAGTACTTGTTGGTTTCGATAGGAGCCGTGGTGTTGGCCTGTTTTCTTGGTTAGCTTGATCCTTGAAACAGATACAATGTTTTCCTTACGTGTTGGTTCTGGACCGGGTGGTCATGGCGGACCTCGATGTTCGCCGGTGGAGCGTTAGTCGCAACAGGCTTGAAGATGTCCTGATTATTCATGCTGTGTGACTGATCTGCTATAGCCCCTGCTGTGGGGAGATCTGTGCCTGGATGTCGGTAAGCCCATGTGTTCACTCTTTCATACTACATCTTTGGGAACCTACCACTTGCGGAAGAGGAAGTCTGTTTTACAGAAGTAGTGGCCGACTCCACAGGCGTCGTGAGCGACTCAACCGGCGTAGTGACCGGCTGGGCAGGTTCAACGGGCGTAGTGACAGGCTCTGTAGTAGTCGCAGGCTTTGCAGACGTAGTCTCAGGCTCTGTAGTAATCTCAGACTCTGCAGAAGTAGACTCGGGCTCTGCAGTAGTCGCAGGCTCAGGATCAGCGCTCGATGTCTCCGAGGGCGCAACTGGCGCAACCGGTGGTGCTGTTTGTGCCGGTCTGGCAGATACAGCAGGCGTACCCTCAGGCTGCTCAACAGGCACCGAGTCGGAGTCGAAATCCAAAAAGCTGTCGAGACCGTTGATATAGCTGTCAACGTCAAAATCGGGCACCTCGTCCGGAGGTGGTGCAAACTGCGGGAAAGGAGGTTGCGAAGAATGACCCTGGTTTTGCAACGCCGTTCGATAGATCTTTGCAACCATTAGCATTTGAGAATGCCACATCTAATTCAGTAATTGAATACTCACCGGATGATCAGGAGCGATTGCTAGTCTCTCGTTCTTGGGCGGATACTGAGTCTTAAACGCAGTTTCGGGCTGAGTCGCAGACAGCTCCAAGATCTCAGCAGCAGTACCGTCAGGTCTAGGCAGACCGTGGACTGAATCTGCAGCAAGAAGCCAGGTTAGCATGGCTGTAGCCATCCATTTTGAACCCATGGTGAATCCCAAATGCCAAACAAATGACCAATTGGGCAAGACAAGATAGGATAAACAGCAAGCCTAAATGCTTCAAGAGTGTCCAACGTGTACAATGGACCAGAAAGCACAGGGCAGCCGATTAAACGAATCGTTTACAATCAAGCAAAAGGGGGGAAAGAGATCCTCGAGGGACAGGGACTTACAAGTATGCTATAAATTCCAGGAGGTAGATCCAAGCTTCACCTGGTTTAGGGCCTCACGTCCAAATTGGGACAACGCACGGGCTGGATTGTAGGGAATAGAGCGCAGGAAGAATTCCGGGACTGCAGATCTTCAAGGAAATCAGCCTCAAGCTTCGTAGAAACAGTGGGACAGTCAGATCCGGTGGGGATGGCGTTTCAGCAATGTAGGGCGTCCGCGATGTTCCTGGATGCACGCTCCGCTGTTGTCCCCACTACACCTGGAATGTTCCCGAGTCAACAGTGTTGGCTTCCGCGATGGCCCTTGCTTGGAGGTTAGAGTTATTTCGTGTTTCGCGAGTTTTCGGCAGAGTTCAGAAATATAGAGAAGTGTAGTAGATTTGATAAGGCAGCTGCGTTGCGGGCGGTGCCAAGGTGTGGAGCTCCACGTCAACAGCGGTAACTTTTCAGAATTATCCTTGGTGAATGTAGAGAAAGCGAAAGCGAAAAACTCGATTCAATCATGGCCAACCCCATGCCTCTGGCGTGACCTGATCAACGGATGAGCTCGCCTAGTTCCCGTATCACGGGCTGTCAATGGTAACATTCCAGTGCTCGGTCGAGGCTGGTCGGTTTACCCTACGCCTCGCCGTCATCCATGAACGTGCAGGTGACGATGCCCCCAGCCATGTGAGTAATGGCTGGGAGAAACGTGGATGGCATATACGTATAACTCTATCGGAATAAATACGTGATCGTGGTGCGCGTGAGTGGCGGCAGAGACGCGAAAAAGGTATTTGACAGGAAAGTGCACTACACTTGTGTCACTGATAATTTCAGATTGAAACATTGAATGTAACGGGGCTGGGGCTTCATGTTCAATCATCTACGTAGCACAGTCCTGGGGTATCGACGCGGATCAAACTGGTTGTGCCCGTCCGTGGACCTGGCCTTGAAAAGTCTTGAATGTTTATAGTAGTCTTACCAAGCCCTCCCAGAAAATCGAGAAGGTAAACTGGTGTCTATCTTTCACAGGTGAAAAGCGATCATTTATTTCTAGATAATGGGAGCCTAAACATAATTTTCATTGTTGCTCGAGCTTTCAAATGTCCGACATTGATCCATCCAAGCTAAGTCAAGGGTGTTCAGCTAAAGTATATATCCCGCATCCCTGGCCGAGAATCTTCGCTTCCGAGCACCTTCACGTTATTTTTATTTTTATTTCTATCACAACTTCAATCAAATTTCCAATGTTGGAAAAATCGACATTGCCATCAATTGATAGGTAGCAACTCTGAAGAGAGGGCTTTAAGTGTAAAAGAAAATCGACCCACCAGCGCACTAGACCCCAGGAAGATCCAAATCCACAACCCAAGGCGCGTTCCTCGGCTCATACCCAACCGTACAGATACTCGCATTCACGAAAAGGGTCTCCTCCCCAACCCTCAACGGCCTTCTACTCTCCCCACTAACATCATAATACGCCCCACGCCGCTCAAGCATATCCTCCATATCACTCCGCACAACCTCCTGCTTAATGCCATTCTCTGCACCCTCATTCCACACCCCGCGAATGGCGCCCCATCCTTCGTGGATATGACCAAATAGATAGACACGAGGTCGAGCGCGCTCAGCTGCGTGGAGGAGGTGCTCACACCCGACGTGTCTGTCTGGAGGCACGAGGTCCAGGATATGTGCGGGTGGACCGTGGGTGAGCATGATATCGACGGCTGGAAAGGACGGGACTGGGTTTTGAGGAGCGGGGTTATCACTTCCGGGTGATGGGGGGTTGAAACGATCTTCAGAGCGGTTATAGCCGAAGGCCCAGTTGCAGAATTCGGGCTGGTATGGGGAGGCGTAGACGGTTAATTTGGCGCCGGTAGATAGGGTGAATGAGTGGGTTCCTTCTTCGAGGTATCGAATGCCTGCTGCGTATGCGGATTCGTTTGTGTAGAGGTCTTTTGCGAGTTTGCAGTAGGATTTCATGTCTTCGAGTGGTGGTGTATTGGGGGAGCGAATGCTTTGCAAGAGGGGCTTTGGTTTTTCGTCATCTTCTAGGTATGTGTCTTGTCCACCTAGACGTTCAGGGCGGCGGTGGCGGAAGTAGCCAAAGGTTGTGAAGTGGTCTTCGTCTAGTGTTAGGTCGTGGTTGCCGGCGATGACGAGTTTGAGCTCGGCCGGGGCGGCTTTGAGCATTGCCACGGTTTCTTTGTGCTCAATGTGGTAACCGACCTTTGTGAGGTCGCCGGCATGGAGGAGAACATCGGCGTTGGGGAGGGGGTAGCGGTATGGGTTGTTGGTTTGTTGCGGGGGATTCGGAGAGAAGGTGTGGGTGTCGGAGATCATGCAGATGCGGGTTTTAATCCCCGGTGATTGAGGCATATTGGGAGAAGACTAGGAATGAAGAGATAATTGAGAGAAGGAAACCAAGTACGAGAACATCGAAGGGACCTGTAGGATGAGTTGGGTTGATGAGGGAGGGGGAGTGAAGTGGAAGTGAAGTGATGAGGAAGCGGCCTACGGCGGGGAGACGAGTCAACCCCGCGCCAGAACATCTACAAAGAACACATGAGACAAGTAACATAAACAGGAATCATTTCCTTGGAATTGACGGCTCAGAGCTCTACAGACATTCGCATCCGTGGATGCCCAGATCATGAAAGTTTTCTGGCAAACATAGCTGAAACTCCGATAACCACCCGTGCAACGACAACCCACGCGGCCACCTAACCGAATGGTTTTCCCTTTTTGTTTTTCGTTTACTTGCGGATAGCCTTCTGGTAGAAAGCCAGCTCGTCACCCTCGAGGATGTAGCCGTCAACGCGGCCGGACTGGCCAGGGCGGGAAGCCACAACAGCGTACAGACGACCGGACTCGAACTGGCGCTCGATGGCACCCTCGACCTTGCCCTGGTCGGCGAAGCGGGCAGCCTGCTTCTTCTCGACGGACTTGCTCTTCTTCTCCTCGGCGACCTCAGACTTACCACCCTGGCGTCTGCGGCCAACGGCCTGGCCGTAGTGGGCCTCGTACCATTGACGGAAGGGAGCAGCGTCGATCTGGACGACAGCGGACTTGGTCAAGGTGTTTGTGCGGACCAGCTCGTTGTTGGAGGGGTGGAAGGAGACACCGATGACACGGGTCTTGCGGGAGACACCCTCGGAGCCCCAGGAGAAGTTACCGGACTCGAGACGGAGGGCACGGAACTTCTGGTTACCACCACGGGTGCGGACCAGGTGAATACGCTTGGTACCGATACGGGTGTTGGAAGGCTGGCGGCCCTTCTCGAAGGCTCTGTTGGAAAGGAAACATCGGTCAGAATATGTTTGACAAAGGTGACGAGCTTTTCCTCCATCACGATCACAGGGTCTCTCCCCCCCCCTGCACACAAAACGAAAAACTCATCCAGGGCTCAATTGACGGAAATCGTACCTCTTCTTGCGGTAGAAAGCACGCTTAGCACCAGTGGCGCTGCGCTTGTGGCGCGAATCACGAGAGATACCCATATTTGCTGTTGATGGAGGGGTCTGTTATAGGCACAGAAAAATTAGAACTCGATCGGTCGAGGTAAAGCTCCTGCAGTATCCAAACGCTTCTGAATCGTTCGAGCGAAAATGCGAAGAGATATTCGGTTGCTGAAGATGTAGACGATATGTGGGAGAGGGTCGAGGACGAGCGAAGCAATATCGAATTGAATATTCCCCCGACGTAACTTTTTCGCACAAATGGCCTCGATTGTCGACTCGAACGAAGCAGAGAGAAAGGATGCAGGATATAAGGAGGTGTGCGAGGGGAACTCACCTCTAGCCGTGCAGCCCTTCACCAAAAGCAGAACGGTTGTCGATGGGTGTCGTGGAAGTTGCGGTCGTGGAGTCCGTTGAATTTCGCAGGGCGCACTGTGTCGCTCGCTTGTGCGGTTGCCCTAACTTGCACTAGTCCCAACATGTATTAGTGCATAGCACTTCGGGTCACATGATGCGGATGCTGACTCATTGTTTTCGCCACTTCGGGAAGGCACCCACAGGGGTGCTAATTCGGCTCTCTCTCGGAAGAATGTATATGAGGTAGACTGCTAGTTGTTTGCACTTTCCATTGCTTCTTCTACCTTGAAAACTAAATACAGCATTTACTGGCTCTTTTCGCCCTTCTTCACTCTCTCCTCCTTGACGATCTGCCCGATCCGCTGGAACGTTCCGAATCCCTCAATAAAGCACGAACCCATCCAAGTGCACCACAGTCCTGACATGACGGGCACGCCGAGCGGCTTCAATCGGAGGATAGCCAGCAGGGCCGACTCGAAGATGTGAATACCCACAACAGCCGGGAAAAGGAGCGGTTGGATATTGTAGACAAAGTGGGCAAAACTGGGAACATACTTGTATCCCAAGTTCTCGTAGACGAACGAGCCCGGCAGGAGGTTGCTGCGACTGAAGCAGCTGACATAGGTGAATAGGCACAGACCGAAGATGACGATCTGGACGCCTTGGGGTGCGCGATACTCGGTGAGCGTGACGTCGGAGCGACCCAGTCGCTTCAGACTGTCCTTGTGCAGAGCAACCAGGCGGCCGCGGGCCTCGGAGAAGTCCTTCATTGGCGGGTCGACGGGGACCACGTAGCGGATGCCCTGGGCGCGTAGGACTAGATTATCGAGACTGAGGTCCTCGAGGGAGGCTCCATTGGCTTCGCGCGTGGTGATACCGCAGAAAGCTTGCAGGTACAACTGGAGTGAGTCGCCGTGGTCGGCATTCATGTGCTTGATGATGAAGTCCTTGCCCGACATTATTGCGATTTGTGGAGATACAACGGGAGAGCAGTTCCAACGTTGTGTTGTCGAGTTGAAATTCGAGGGGCCCAAGGTCCGAAGTGTTGAGTAGGAAGTAGACTCATGGATCGGCGCCAAGGCCCGAACCTCGGCCTTTAGACTCGTGCTTTCCCCATGCACATGTGTGCATGATCACGGTGATTGAGTTTGCACCCGGTCTGAAAACAAATGTACAGGAATCTACATGATTGGATGGGTATTGACATTCATGGATCATTTGATTGCTTGGGGACGGGTAATATACATTTAGTAAGCCAGTGTAATTCCACGCCGATCACGACCACGCCAGGGCGCCCAGATATCCAGAACAAAGCTCGCAAGACGAAAGTATTAAAGCGGCCAAGGAAAGCGCTCTATGAGAAAAAAAAAGATGCTGAACGGAGAAACGTGCGAAACGAGACAATTGGAACAACTGAAAGGAATCGTGATCATCGTAGCCAAGGGTGTAGGTACGCCAGGATGGGAGACCATGCGAGCATGTAAAGGTCTTGTTGACCCAAGAAGGAGGAAGGGGGAAAGAACACCATGGCTCATGCCCTATAGTCGAGCCAAATCAACTCCTAGTTCCGGTATAAGCGGTGTCCTCATTGGGACGATCAGAAGGGGACGACTTACATCAGAGCAATGGTCAGGTCACCGTGGATATGCGCCTTCAACTCAATTTCAATTTCCAGATTCAACTCCAGCTTCAGCTTCATGCCCTCCTCGTCAAGAAGACTCTTCTCCTTCTTATCAATCACGTTCATGCCGCCATTGGGATCCTTGTCATCTTCTTGACGCTGCGCACTGTAGGGCTGCATGGATTTGCCCTGGACCATCTCATCATCGGAGTATTCATCGGAGTATTCATCAGAGTAGTCATCTTCGTCAGAGTATTCTTCGAGTTCATCTTGTTTCTGGGGCTGTTGTTGCCGGCGCTGGAGCTGCTTCTTCTTCTGGACCGGGACCGGGACCTCTTCTTCGTCAGAGTAGTCATCGGCACTGTCGTAGTCCTCGTCGGAATAGTCCGGCACCTCGAACTGCTTCTGCTTGGTTTGGGGTTTCTCGGCAGTGGCCATGATGATTGTAGGAGTTCCTTAGGAAGAGTAGTCTGTAAGGACAAGCGTTTTTGGAATGATTATAAGAGTGGCGGGGAAGTATATGTCCAGAGATCACGGACTAGGAATCAGAATTAGAGAAGGAAAGAAAGGAAAGCGGTGATATGATATGATCTGGTTTGAGTTCAGACCCTGCGCAGTTTACGAGGGCCAGGATGAATAAAGAGGACCAGAATGACGTCTGGGGCGGTTGTGTCGCATCTCCACCATGTCAACGTCTCGGGTGCTTCGTCACATTTTGGCAGACCGGCGTCATGCAATACCATTGTCATACGGGGTCCTACAATACCTGGGTTTCACAATTTTCATGGAGCCACGCCATTTCTATTCCCGTCGCAGGCTGGGGTATGGGTCCTCCAGTAAGATGCCAGATTTGATGCCGGCCGAAGGATGGCTGGACCGTGGAAAAGAGTGGCGCCCTCCTGGCCCGAACCAGGCAACGCAGGGCCTCTTAGTTGGCAACGGTGGCTGGAGCCATGTATCAGACGTGCACAAATTTCAAGGCTTTCAAAGATTTCAGGGATTTCAAGGATCCCCGAATAGAAGAGGTGGAAGTGTCGTCATAGGGATGGCTGATGTGCCGTGCAACGAGGTCTTACGTCCGTTTAATCTATAAAAGTGGAGCGGGACGAGGCTGGTTGGTGCCTCATGTCCGTGCGGAAATCTCCGTGGCGTGCAATTCACCAATGTTGTATGAATCTCCTTCCTGTCGCAGGGATGTCCACAATGGTCCCTGGTCCAGATTACTTCCCCTTCAGTCTCTGATCGCCACGCCCGTTATCCTTCATCGGCCTTGGGCACTGCGCCATACCGAGGCGTTCCCGGTCTTGATCCTTGCCATCGACCAACGTCATATCTTCCCCCCCCCCACATCTAATCTCTTGGGCATTGGACTCCGCGGCTACAGTATTCTATGGTGAACCATTGTAATTATCCCGTACCTGTCCTGAATTGCTCAAGACACAAAGCCCCGTCTGACGTCGGAGGCGGCCCGCATTGTGGCCATCAGTGCCGGTTTTGAGTAAAATCGAGTGGCTCGATGATATAAACGGCACTGGCGTGGCCGTGTCCATAATCCTGCATACATCATTTACCGTACAGTGCAATTACATACCCCTCCTCATAACACCCTCCCCTCGCACCTGACGCTTTGTCCATCACCATCTGATCTCTTCATATTGCCCTTCATCCCCCTCCCTAACTTCCTCTTTTCTTTTCACCATGGCCGATCAAGATCCCTCCACCCAAAACCCGGAGTCAAACACTACCCCCAACAAGCCCAAGCGTGCGCCTCCCAAGCTAGGCAAGAAGTCCCCTGCCAAGCAAGAACAGACCCCGCCGCCTTCAGAGAAAGGTCAGGAAGACAGCTCTGAGAACCAAGAGAAAGAAGAAAAGCAAGAGCCGGAACCTCGCAAGCAAGAGCCAGAGTCCGACAACGAAGAGCAAGAACAAGAACAAGAGCAAGAGCAAGAGCAAGAGCAAGAGCCTGAAAAGAACGACGAACCTGAACCTGAACCTGAGCCCCAGCCTCAGCCTGAACGTCGTCGCAGACGCCCTCGTCGCCAACAAGAATCAGACGTCGAGTCTGTCCACCGCAACATGGACGGTGAACCACAACAGCAGCAGCAGCGCCAGCGCACTCGTCGCTCGCGCCGGCCCCAACAGGACCAAGGCGGCGATGGAGGTCCCCTCGGTGGCCTTGGCGGCGTAGACCAGGCTGGTCAGCTCGTGCAGAACACAGCTGGCAATGCCTTGAACGGAGCAACCGGGTCTGCCGGTAAGGCCGTCGGAGGCATTCTGGGCGGAGGCGAGAAGGAAGAGAAGGATGATGGTGGCCGTGACGAGCAGCTGCGGTTGCGACTGGATTTGAATCTGGATATTGAGATTCAACTCAAGGCTAAGATTCACGGTGACTTGACGCTGGGATTGCTGTCAGTATTACCCTTTCTTGATGTCGTTGATCCTTTCATCCTTCTAAGGACCCCCCTTCCCCGCCCTCACCCTTTTTTTTCTTTCTAATGCGCAGTTCCGCTGACTGACCTTGTAGTAATTAATTTTTTTTTTGGCCTGCAGTGGCTAGAAAGAGTTCTTCTGCCTATTTTATAATGTCCGCAATGCTCTGTTCTATTAGCCACGCACCCGGGTTGTTCCTTGATGTTTCCGACTTTCGATTACGATGATGCAAAATGCTGGAGCATGGCTTGGTTTTTTTTTTTGGTTATTTGTCTAGGCTGTTCATTTCCCTAGACCTGCTTCGGCTGCTCTGGTGTCTGGTCTAATTGGATCGTTTGAAATGTACTGTACTTTAGTCTTTCTGCGTATAGCAGTTGGGATTGGCGAACGACATAATGAACACTTGACATGCTCACTTTTCGATCCGTACTGATTATCAACTGTTTGTTTAATTGTTTGCTTATATGACGTGGTTGGGTAGGATAAGAAGATTAGACAAACTGCGTCAAGAGGCACAGGTGTGACGTTATCTATAGTCCGGAAGCCTGAGGGCTTACATATGGTATCGAGCGTACGCAAATTGTAAGAAAATGACCAATCTATCCATTTCCTCGTTAATCGAGAAAGCCTTGGCCAAGTTATATGCAGCGTAACGGACCTGTCCCATCCACCGGTCTATCCGTGCGATCAAACGTCCAAGTGAAGCAGCAGGCTCACTAGATAAACCAAACAGCCGCTGAAGGTCCAAATGAGAACCAAATGAAATAAAAAGACGCCAACGTTGCGTATGCGTCTTCATTACTTTCTCAATTGAATGCGAGAATTCCTCCCCGCCAGATCCATTGATGAGAACAGTATAATTTACAAGCCCGCGATATACATCAGACCATATCCAAGGGTGACGATCACCACAAAGGCCATGAGACTGGATGGGATACCACGTGTGAGGAAGTGGCGGACCTGAAGGTAGCGCTGGCCAGTTGTGGGCACTTCGGTCATGATGGCGGCTATTCAAGTTGTTAGCACAGTCTCGGGTACTAATTGAAGGTTAGGAGGAACTTGCTCATGTTGGGGAAGCCACTAGTAGGCAGTGCCATCGCAACAGAGCACATCAGTGCACTGGCCATGACCAACAAATTGGGGTGCGGGTTCTCCATGTTAACACCGATTTGGCGAACCAGGGGTAACATGATCAGGGCCGCAACAGTGTGAGAGATGAAAGTGGCAATGACAAGGATCAAAGCCGAGAAGACGAGAAGTAGACTATACAGGCTGAGGTGTTCGACGCGGACTGTAATTCCGTTGGCGATGGTGTGCAATAACCCGGAGGAAGTGACAGCCTTGCCCAGGCACAGACCACCCGCAGCGAGAATGATAATTGTCCACAGGAAGTTATTGAAATCTTCCTTGTTGAGGATACCAGTGCCGAAGAACAGCACGAGTGGAATGATGGCAATGACACCCATGTCGCCGAACACATGTTCGAGCTGGTGACTGACACACCAGAGAGCAATGGTCACGAGAGTCACGGCACTGATGAAGTACTGAATCCCCGTGAAACGATCCTTAACAGGTCGCATGGGAATCACAGTTGCATTGCGGCCGGGGTGGAATGTCACAAGCAGGAGTCCCCAGATCAGGAAAATCGAGATAATGCAGACCGGCAGCGAAATGAAGAACCAAGTGCCCCAGCTGATGCTCGGGTACATATTCTGCAGCGCAATGATATTTTGTGGCGATGCAATCGGTGACGCCGCACCGCCAACATTGGCGGCTAGCGCGATACCCAAAACGAGGGCCTTGGCGAAGTTGGAATCCGGAGAGAGATTACGCAGTAGAGGCTGGATGATCGAGTAACACAGCACGGGAGAGGCGACGTTGCTAATCCACATACTCAGGAACATGCTCACGAACATGTTTGTCAATAGCACTGTACTGGGCTTTGATCCGGCTTTGCTGAGCACTAGCATTGCCATTCGACGAGCAATATCATACTTTGACAAGGCTGCCGCAATAGTGAAGCCACCAAGAAGAAGCATGATCACAGGAGTCCACATCGATGCAAACACCACGCTCGTTGCCTCCTTAGGACCTAGTCGCTTATGGGGTTTATCTTCGGAACGCATGATGCCCAAGACAACAACCAAGAATGGGATCAAAAGTGACGTTACAAACAGAGGAATAGCCTGCGGGATTGTCAGAAAACGGTATGAGAGAAAAGGGAGTGAAATATTTTTACCTCTGTAGCCCAAAGAATGCTGACCAGCACTAGCATCGCCAGACAGTTCTGTTGCTCTGGCGTTTCCATGATCTGCAACGAGAGGAGGGCACCAAACACGGCAATACTGAAGACCAAGGTACCAAAGCTCAAGCTGCAAAGCCACACCGGGAAATGCATCTTGCCAAGCGGAGTGGCAATCTCTCTCGTGCGAATCTCGTGCTTGTCACCCTGGCGCCGCGCAGTAGCGGGGTCTTCATCGCCTCCCAAAAGAGTTCGACGAATACCGACATTGGCGGCCTGAGCACGACGTTCGATCTCGATCATCTCGCGCCAAACGGTGTTTCGTTCCCAGACGACGTGCTCACGCAGGTGGAGCCGCAGTTCACGGCTAGCCAGAGATCGATTACCCTTCGTAACGATATCGGCATAGGCACCCTCCACTTTACTGATGTAACTATCCACTGCTGCCATGGTGTTCTCGGTGAAAGGCATCGCCGGTTGGACGGCCGAGGACAAATAGTCCCGACGGAGAGAGCGGAACAGAGTCTTGTCGTATTTCTTCAGAGCCTTCGAAAAGCCAGTCTTGTTAAGCTCGATAAATGATCTCAGCTCACAGAGAGAAACATAAGCCTCAATGAGACGCTTCTTTAGTGATACTCCGGCACTGTAGAGAGCGAGGAAATCCTGATCACTCAAATCGGTATCATGGGGCCCTCGACTGCTTGCTGGGCCAAAGAAAGCCGAGTCAACCATGTCACCTGGATGGACGTCCTCCGCTGTAGACTCCCCATCTGTCGATTGCATCATCCTCATGCGAGAGTTGGTCATTTCAGGGCCCTGGTCCTCATCACTATCTTCACTGCCGCCACTAGACGGGCGACGCTGATTGATACCATAATTCTGAAGTCCAGAAGCAGTACCCCGACGGGAATTCGAATTCAGGGTTCTGGCTTTGACGATGGTCTCGCTGACCGGGTCCATGTTGAAGCCGTCTGTTTCAGAAAGATAGACCATAACCTCCCGAGCTAAGTCATCTGTAGAATGGAAGATTTCCGCCTGCTTCTGCTCATAGAAACTGCAAATCTTATCTAGCTCTATATCCAGGGCGCGTTTGAAGACGCCATCAGGGTTGGCTACTTGATGCGCGCCAAGCAGCGGAGCGGACTCGACATCCGCGCCGTTCTGACCCTCAGGCCGGTTGTTGTGCTTCTCGAGAGTGTATATCCTGACCATCGAATCACAGAATTAGTCGACTGAATGAAACTCGAGTTCCAAGTTCCCAGTCCATGCATCCACCCAAGCCTGTGCAATGTGACACCCGCGCCAATGTGTATGTCAAGATGCCCACGAGTCCACGACCACAGTCCCACACCAAAAAAGGATAGATAGTCATGCGGGGCATGCATGAGACGGAAGCGAAAGTTGACTCACAGTTTCTTGAGATTGCTGTATGCGATATAGTTGGAACTCCATTCCGGCACCGCATTGAACTGAATGCTGTGCGAGAACTTCATCTTGGCTGAGATCTCCGGATCACGTTCAGCTTGGGGGAGGCTTGCGTTCTGAGCCCGGCGTCGAAGGACCTCTGCCCAGAACCTGAGTCGAGTGAAGCGGGTTGCCCGTGGGCAATGTTCCGACGAGGTTGCCTTCTCCTGGTCCGCCTCTTGTCCAAATCCAAGTCCCGCGAGCGACTGGGAGCTGCCGGCAGGCTCAAATGACCTTTGTGTACTTCCTGGTTCTTGCGCGCGAGCCGATGTGCACGCGGGCGCTCTTGAGGCAGGGTCACTGGCAGTTTGGAAATCGGCGAGCTCGAAGGATTCGTTACTCGGCGGAGGAGCCACCGTCGAGTTGGTGCCGGAGGGAGGTCGACCGGAGCGAACAATTGTCCAACTGGAAAGAGGGGGTCCGCTGGAGGAAACGGATAGTTAAGCGGGGCGCGCCCAAGCAGATCAAGCGATGGTCAGCTGGGCCCAAGTTGCGTGGTTGCACTAATGGTCAGGCTGTAAATGAAGGTGTGCAATGATCGGACACCAAGTTCCAGATTCGACGCAGGTATCTTATTCTCCGAGACACGCGGGCCGTGACAGCATATGAGTTAACTAATGGCACCTGGGCTCTTTCGCGATGACTTCAAGGACCGTTGATTACCCGTTTAGGAATGACTCGGCCCCGCTGAGGTAAGCGAGTGGCGGTCCTATCAGAGACGCGCGATACCAAGCAGGGTTCACATCTATAAACCCTTAGCTGGTTTTAAGCCTTTGAACGAGATCTATGGATATAGAAAATTGAGGGACTCATGGAAACTTTTCAATAAGAGATAAAAGCTTGTGGATGAAACTTGCTTTGTTAAATGAACTTGATATTTTACATGTGCAGATGCTAAAAAGAACCCTTGACCCAGAAATAAGAAAACACCAAAGGGATCAGATTAGCGGCGACGAGGAGCAAGACCCAGGTTCGCACGGCCAGAGATACCCATCTTGTGCTGACCGTCTCGTCGGTCCCAAACACCGCTTCGGCCCTCTGCAACCGAAACCAACTCGTTGGCAACCCGGTGGGCCAGTTGCGCATCACGTCGCTTATCTGAGGCATCGATGATCCACTTGATAGCCGCACGGCGGCGCTGGCGCAGGTTCAATGGGTGGGGAATCTGCACGGCAGTACCACCACCAGCAATACCCTTCACCTGACGAATGCGGAACAGAGGAGCCACTGAGTCAACGATCAGGGTCAGGTAGAGAACAGGGTCGAGTGGCAGCTGAGGAGCGGGAGGTCCGCCAATGAGAGGACGGCGGGGGTTAGGGTTGGGAGCGGAAGAAGTGCGGAGGTGGTCCAGAATGATGGACATGTTCTAAACGAAGGCGTGTTAGTCCAGATGGTTAAAACATTAAGTGGCGGGGTAGGACATGGCATACGTTTTGTGCCCGGGCCAGCTTTCCATCCTGCATCAGCATCTTAGTGAACTGCTCCTGTAGCGAGTCGTAGCGCTTCCGGAAGTTCATGGTCTTGGTAGGTATCTCTGGCGCATCGAACTTCAAGCCGGGGTTGCGCTCGAGGGCTTGCGAGTTAACCTGCTGGATCATATCGGCAAGCAGCGCTGCGGACGCATCGGCTTGGAGAGAATCTTCCACGCCGGGCTGGTTACTGCGGGTAGAGGTGGAGAAAGAACGGGTGCCCTTGGTCTTCTTCAATTGCTGCTGCATGACCTTGGGCATGTGCTTCATCGCCTCTTCGTCGCGCTGGAGGATCTGCTCGTGAAAAATACTTGTTAATGACAATCCAGAATAAACACTGCGAGGTGTTCCATGGCACTACTCACCTCCTCAACTGGAGTCCCTTGCTCCAATTCCGGGTGTGCTGGCTGGCCGTCGCAGCTCTTCTCCTTGTTCATAATTCGGTCGATCTCGGCAGCCTCTTCACTGACATCAGGCAGCTGGTCTTGTGTCGGGAACATCTGCTCATCCGGATTGGGTTCCTTCTTGGACGAGTTCCATCGTTTTTGGGCCGGGGTCGTCTGTTCGGCACGGAATCGAAGAGGGAGAGCGATACTCCGCGACGCCACGGATGGGACGGTCGGCTGGCGGAGGGCCAGAACAGCCTTGTTTGCTGAGAACAGATTCAACCTGGGCGGCATTTTTTTGTGAATAGTAACCCTTTCAACAGTGGTACTGAGGTGTAAATGAGATTGAATGCTGGCGGAGACCCGCCGGGGTGCGGTCTGCAAGTTTTCTGGATCTGCTTAGTCATTACATCATCACCACGCATCTAAAACAAGAATAAGCCACAATCGTGGTGAGAACCTTGATCTATTGTTTTATAATTAGATGACTCGTGTTTTTCGATCTCATGTATCCTCTTCCAGTGAATTTTAATAGTCATAAGTCATGTGGTCATGGGTCACGTCGCGGAAAAGCTTCCTATGGCTGAATTCTGACGTGCCGCACCGCTGAAGTAAACTGTGGCTATGAAATTCAGACTCCTATGACGATCCTTCTTGAGTCCTCCCACTGGCATCATCATGCTCCCTGATCTTCCCTCGGAGATCATATTACATATCGCAATACATCTGCCTACTGTCAATTCATTGACGCACTTGGCACAAACTTGTCGTCGGTTATATAAAATTGTCACAGCCGAAGAAGCAGCCTTCTTCCGGGCATTTATTCAACGACAGTTTCCATCAACAAAGACACCACTTTTTTGGAAAGATGCTGCATGCGCCCTTACCTCTCGTTCACGTGCCCTAGACAGATTGGGCATTATTGGCCGCTTCGTCCTGCCACCTGAGAATGTAACCCGGGTCGGGTATCATCAAGAAACAAGAGACGACAACCCTACCTTGGGATACCGACCTCCAATTGACTCTTACGAGACCTGGAATGGCGACTCCTGGGCGGACAAGAAGGAGGTTCTCGCCTGGGGCGCAGGTCACCAGCTGTTAATGCGCATCAAGCAGTCGGGAAGCCAACCACATGAAAATTGGATTGTCTTCAATGACCGGCACCATGTTAGCAGTTATGATGATATCTGTGGCCTGCATCTCATGGGGCCAGAATCTGGCGGCAAAAAGGCCGATATTGAACACTTGATCCTTGGTCGCATTCGCGGCGACATTGTTCGCCTCGCTCTCTCCGCCAGTGATACGGCCTTCGAGACAAAGCAGAGGTTCGCGACCAAGGGGATGACTCTTGACCGAACAGACCTAAGTGATGGCTCAGAGCCCATTATCTCCGGTCATTTTGATAATGGCTCAATCGCATTGTACCATACAGTCGACAATACAGAAGAGGTCGAGCCGTTTACGTGGATCGAGCCAAACAGCTTGTCACGAAGCCGATATTCAAAACTGCTCTCATCGACGCGAATTGCCGTGGCCACTGGAAGGTCGGAGGATACATTGTCAATTTCAACCATCTCTCCAGACGGCATCTCCCGGGTTCGACAAATCGGAGTGGAATCATTGGACATTGAAGATCAAATTGGTCATCCAGCGCATAGCACTGTGTCTGCTATTGCACCTCTAAATTCCCACAGACTTGCCGGGAACCCAGGTGATGTGTTCCTCGCCGCTTGGGGTGATCGAACCATCAGGTAAGTTGTTCGCGCCTTGTCTTGAACCAGAGACCCTCTAACGTAACTGCCAGACTCCACGATCTTCGCACTCCACATTCCTATGAAACAACATACATAGATACCACGGACCCAAACCTTACATACAGTGTTCACCCATTTGGCCATGATAGGTTTCTCGCGGGCTCTGGCGGTGACGCCTTAGTCAAAATATTTGACCTTCGCATGGACAAAACATACGACTACCTTGATGCCCAAGTCTCACACACACCATCTCTAACATCTCATCAAAAAGAGAAGCGAGCGAAACGACCTCGGAAAAACTTTTCCCTTTTCCTGTCCTCGCCACCACCTCCCCTCTTCCGACAGCAGAATGGTCGCAACCGAAGGAGAGGCCCATATCGTGGCCCGGTTTATACAATGTCCACGCCGTCCCCGTCTTCACAAACCGTATATACTGGCATTGTGGACGGTGTCGTTCGTCTCGACTTTGCATCGATGGACGACCTAGCTGGACCAACAAAGGAGTGGTACGAACGTGTGCTTGACCTCAATCTTCCCCATAAGTCCGGGATGTATTCAGCTACAACGCCCGATAATAGCGCGGTGCTCAGACTAGCCGGTTTCGAGCGTCCAGACCCAGATGATTTGACTACTACATCCAAGTTGAGAACGCAGACTGAGGAGTGGTGTCTCAATCCCGAAAGCCAATCCAACAAGGTGGAGGAGGATGCAGGTTGGGATTGGCGATGGCAGCCACTCAGTGAACCTGGGGCCTGGAGACGGAGAGATGGCTAAGCCTCTTGAGATTTAAACCTCTCTCCATCACACAATGTTGTTCTATAGAGATTTCAATACAGCTAGAACTACAGAAAAACAAACAGAACACATATGAATCTTGTGACATCTTATGAAGTGAGCAAAAATTAACGAGCAAACAATGTGGTGAGTGAAATTAGCCAGAGCTCCTCTAGCGCAGTTCCTCTAGCGCGTGGATATTATTTGATCTGTTCGCTGCATTCTGCTGCCTCGGCCATCTGGGAAAGGGTCAGTGACTGGCTTTATATCATATCACCGATGGGATGTAGCTTAGGCGGCGGCGAAATTGTTGCCGTATGGTGCCAAGATTCTGGTGGTCCTCAGATAGTAGTGTTGAGAAGGATGGATGTTAAGGTAATCAGGGCCAGTAAGGAAGAAGTGTATAGGAGTTTCGTGTAAGATACAGAATATTACGTAAAGTATTGGTTCTAGAATTAGAAAGATTTTATTCTTAGGAATAAATTATTTACACCATTTCTTAAAAATGGACGAAGGTGGTTCCGTATGTATGCTGAGAAACAAAGGGTGAGTGTCCGGGGGGTAAACAGTCTTCGAATACTACTGTAGAATGGGCGTAAAGCTTTCACAGTTGGATCAGCAGCCTTGAGGCGAACGTGAGACTAGGTTGCAGAAAGCAATCCGAGCAAGGAGGGCAAGACAGCTAGACTCGATTGCGCCGAAAGACAGTCTCATACCCGGATCATAATGTTGAGACAGAACCGTGTAGTTTTTGTATGAGTGATGTGGAACTTGAGTAATGACGAAGCAACGATGTCGGTTTAAATGAGGTTCGGATTGATTCATTTAGTCGTCGAACTTGAAGGACTTGCCCCCGGTGATATCAATGGGGCCGCCGCGGTAGGAGCCGCGCTTTTTCTTATTCTTCTCCTTGGTGAAGCCCTTGCCACGGGTGACCGAGAGGTCGGCGTAAGCACGATCGGCATAGGCGTAGGAAACGTAGTCGTTAATGGGGCCATCGAAGGGCTCCTGGCTCAGAAGAGCGAGGGGAGTGGGGCGAGCACCGACGTGCTTCTTCTTAGCCGGGCCGTTGCCGGGGGCAGGGCTGGAGCTGGAGGAAGTACCCTCAACGGGAGAAGCAGAGAGGGTAGCACTAGTGTCAGAGTCGTTCTTGGAAACGGAAACACCGCCAGTCTTCTCGTCATCAGAGCTATCAGAGCTGTCGGAAGACGAAGAGGAGTCTGAGCTGCTAGATTCTGGGAGAGGAGTCTTCTTCGCTTGCTTCAGAGCCTCGGAATCGATCTTCTTGGCAGACTTCTTCTCGGACTCAGAAGCATCAGAGTCGGAGTCAGAGGAGTCGCTGGAGTCACTGGAGTCGCTAGAGCTGGAAGAATCGGAGGAATCAGAGGAATCGGAATCAGACTCCGAGGACTCCTCAGAAGAAGAGTCAGAGCTGGATACCTTGACCTTCTTGGACTTGGGAGCCTCGTCCTCAGAAGAGTCGGAGTCAGAGCTAGAGTCGGAAGACGACTCGCTGCTGGACTCAGCCTTGCGCTTAGTGCCAGTCTGCTTTCTCACAGCGGGGGAGGGAATGGGAGCGGCCTCGTCCTCGCTCTCATCATCGGCGTCGCTTTCAGAGCTAGAGCTGGAGCTAGAAGAAGAAGACGAAGCGGGAGAGGCGGCGCGAGCAGACTTGGTATCCTTCTTGGGCGCATCTTCCATCTCAACGTCTGAGTCGCTGGCATCGCTATCGGAGCTGGAGCTGCTGTCGCTGTCGGAATCACTGCTGTCACTGTCCGAGCTCGAAGAGTCATTCGAGGCGGACTTCTCCCACGACTGGTAGATGTCCAGGAGAGACGGCACATTTTTCGCCTCGGCCTGAGCCTGACCGGCCTTCTTCAGGTCTTTAGCGAGAGAGGCGCTCGCACCGGCGAAGCCATTGTCGAACAAGAAGGAAGAGACAGCAGCAAGAAGCTGAGGAGGAAGGGGGCTAGACTCGTCCTGTGAATGAGTGAAACCGTCAATAAAGTTTCTTGTTGATTAAGCGTCGCAAAATGAGAGGATCCGTATTTACCTTCTTGGGCGAAGCCTTCTTCGTGTCAGCTGAGTTCTTGGCCATGATTGAAACTGGGAATATTCCAGTATCGCAGGGACAATGGAAACCGGGAACAAGGAGGCGATAAGTGCTGTAGTTGCAAATTTGTCTCTTTCGCAAGGGCCTTCCAGGAACCGATAAAAAAAAAAAAGTATATACCGGGGGCGGTGAAAAAACTACGTGACAGTGATTGGCGGTGGCGGATAGTCACAAAAGCAGACTAGCGTGTCTCCGGTGCTATCATGTGATTTTTAGCTACAGTCAGCTCAGGCCTCAAGGCCTCAAGGCACCAAGGCATAAAGGCATCTAGAAGTAGACTATGGATGAGGTGCAGATGCGTCACTAGACGAAACTCAAAGCTGTAGCTAGGACGATGTCAACATAGTGGACCGTCAATGCAAGAATACAAGCCATCCCTAGCTCGGAGAATAGCTGTGGCATGTACCCGTAGCAGCCGGATCAACTCGATAACCCGCTCCCACGAGCTCTCCGCCCGCTGCCCGCAACCCCAAACAAGTGATGAGCTAGTTCAACGCCCATTCGGAATTGCATCAACGTCCCTCCCTTGTCGCTTTTATCTTTTCTGCGATTAATCGCCGTGCCTGCATTGCTATTCCACGCCAATTCGGACTTTGGGCACGGTGCGCACGGCAGTACTCGCTCTATTCGACCCCGACCTCTCGACCATGTCCCCTTGATCTTGCGGATTGAATAAACGATACCGGGGTCACCCTACTTGGGCAGCGACGCGATAATGAACGGTCGAGATCGTCCCCGTCCGCCTCCGCCGAGCGATGCACGGCGTGTGGGCGACCGTAACGGCAGCGATGGCTCTATGTCCAGAGCGGAGAAGTTTGAGGACGAGAAGAAGCGCATTATTCAGAGTTGCTACTCGAAGAAAGATGCCGACGGAACTTGTATGTGAAATAAATTCCTACTCCTCGCTGCGCCCTAGGAAATATACGCTCTCCCCTTCCTAGGGGATGGCAATGCATGGTTCCTGTAACGGTTCAGACTGCGCTCCCATGGCCGTTCTGCGATTATGACCCGCTATCTTGCGCACTGTTTTCAAACTGTTTTAAAGTCACCCGACTGAAAGCTAATGCCTTCACAGTGGTCGAATCATACATCACACATGTTCGCATCGTCGAGGATGCAACGTATCCATCCGCCCCTGCCCCGCCAGACTCGAATCCCCAGAACAAGAAACCCCGTGTAATCATTGTTTCGGTTCGAAGGTCTGGTCGGGTGCGAATGCACAAAGCTCGTGAAAACAATGACGGGTCATTCTCTATTGGCAAAACTTGGATGCTCGACGATCTGTCTGCAATTCAATCGTACAGCGCCTTCGTCCCGAAGTCAGCAACTGAGCAACAACATAAGGAGTGGGCAGGAAGTGTTGGTTTCGTCATTACGGTGGGAAAGCCTTATTATTGGCATGCCCGCACATCCAAGGAGAAAGAGTTCTTCATTGGCAGTCTGGTTAAGATCTTCAAGAAGTACACTGGAGGCAAGGTTCCGGACCTGATTGGATTTGATGAGAGGGAACGGCAATTACTTGCAGCATCTGGTTCCGCCGGGCCTGTAGCGCCACCAGGACGAGGCCCTCCCCTTGGCCTTCCCTCTGGTCCTCCTCCTGGGCCTCCTGGTGGCGCTCCATCAGAGCCGCCAGTACCAACGCAGTCGGCGTACAGCAGTCGCGACCCCAGCCGTGATGCACCCCGAGATCTCAGACGGAAGGCCTCCGAGGATCCTACGCTCCGAAGTCAGAAGAGTCGCGAACAGTTGTCCCGCCCGTCTACCGCATCCAAGCCTGCTCCGTCTCCATTCAGCACATCTCCTAATAATCAACCCATTATTCCCCCACGGCCTGAACCGAAGAGCCAAGATGCTCCTACGACTTTCCTCAATACCTCAGATGAAGGTGCAGCACTCACAGCGCATGCCTCCAACCCAAGAGCGTTGGTTCCGAAGATCAGTACCGATGGGCTGCGGCCTAATACACCCGGCTCATTTAATAGTGAAACTCGTGGCTATCCTTCGAGCCCTGGAAGTAGTGTTGGACCAAAGTCGCCTTATCGCGAAGGTGTCGAGAAGGGTTCTCCGTTGGATCAGCAATCCCGTCCCTCCCAGGACAAAATTGGCTCAGACGCCCTGTCTCCTTTGGCAACGAAAAATGAATATGTAGCGTATTCGCCAGCGAAAGCAGAAGTACCCTCATCGCCAATTGTGTTTGAGCCTGAAGTCGCAGCAGCCGTCGTTGCCGCCGAAGAGCCACCAAAGACGGCCGAGGAAGAACCGAAGGCAGCAGCATCGCAAACGCCGCAACCGCCGCCAACAGAAACACCCCAAGCAGAAGTAACACCAGCAGAAGCAACACAAGCATCAATCATTCCTACCGAGTCAACAGAGGAAGAATATGATGCACACCGCCCTGGTCTGGGACCCATGATCAAGAAAAAGGCCTCTGCAAAGGATGTTGCAGGTGCTTTCCGAAAGGCAGCCAATGCGTATGGCGCTTTCAAGCCGCGGCCCGGTGGAGCTGGTGAGAGACTTCTTGCTGCAGCGAAAAAACAGCAAGCCGAAGAAGCTGGATCTGATGGCGTCACCGGCGTCTTTCACGCTCCATCTCTCGCACGATCGGGCAACGAGCCTCCGAAGAGTCCGGTGGAGGCAACCCTTCCTCAAGAGCCTCCAGCTATTGTGCCGTCTCCTGCTTCTGCCGCTGCTGCCGCCGCCACTGCCGCCACTGCAGCAGCAATTCCTGTTCCTACTGATTCGGGCACTCCAACGGTTGAGGTTACTCAGCCTGTCGTTGAGGAGACTCCACTGTCTCCGGGTCTTCCTAAGGAAGAATCGAAAGTTTCTTTGACTGAAATTGTTAAGGTGAAAGATCGCTCACGAACACCGTCTCCGGCAGCACCAGCCCGGAACCGGAGGCGACGCGAGGATCATACTATCAAATACTGCCAAGCCCTTGGCATTGATCCCGGTGTTCTTGATGGACGCGGTATCGAGTTTGACGATATCCTCACCGATCTGGGATGGAACGGCCGTCTAGGGGATGAGAAGAAGATTGAAGATCTGGAAGCTGATATTCGTCGTGAGATTGGCCGTGTTGAAGCGACGAGTTGGCTTGGAAATCTCGAACAACAAGAAGGCAAAGTCGAGCAGCTTGCAGTACTTATTGACAAGACGATGGAAGAGTGTGAAGAACTGGAAGGACTGCTGACACTGTACTCCCACGAATTGAACGTAAGTGATAAGGACCCGGCTTCCACTGGATAGTACGCTGACCACTCTACGACAGACTCTGAACGATGATGTGGCGTACATTGAAACTCAATCTCAAGGTTTGCAAGTGCAAACGGCAAACCAGAAACTCCTTCAGACTGAGCTCCAGAATTTGCTGAAGACGTTGTCAATCACTAACAATGAGATGCGTCCTCTCAAAGAAGCTTCTTTGAGCAATCCCAACGCCCTTAGAGATACTGAGATCGCTTTGTCAACGCTATATAAGGCCATGCTCATGATCGATGCTGACATTGGTCAAAATAAGAAGCGCCAGGCCGATGCTAGTGTGGGAGTTTACGCCAACACCGAGTTTGGCCAAATGCGTGCCATCCAGGAAAAGAAAGTGGAGTACCGCTCTGCCTCCATGGTGTTCTTGCAACGGCTTAAGCAACACATCGCAGTGGCTTTCAAAATGGCAGACCAAAAACGGGCTGATGCGATGGCATCTTCCACTAGAGATCCAATGAAGCTGGACAGCACGGCGCGGCAGCAATTCCGTGATGAGGTATGGATGTACAACCCCCTCATGTTATTTGCCCGGGAGGTCAGTATGCCCGAATGGCAGGCCTTGGTCAACCTCTATGAACAACTTTCCAAGCCATCCTACCAGAATGACTTCCGGGAAAATAGTACGGCTTGGAAGAAGACCGCCAAGAAGCCAACTGGAGACGAGTCGGAACTTCTCTTTACCCACCAGGAGAAAGAGAAAGAGGGTGAGGGTATTACCATGGCGGCCCGCAAGCTCACTGTTCGACGAGGCAAGACTGTTCGCGCCGCAGTTGGCTTCCGATTGGCTTCTAGTGAAAAGAAACCGGGCAAGATTGAGGCTTGCGAAGCATTTGCCGGAACTTTACGTGAGACCTTGAACATGGTTAGTGAAGAACAAAACTTCGTGGTGGAATATTTTCACCTCAACTCCCTTGCCACTGCCGACTTCTCCGATTTGGTGACCGCTGCCCCTCCCGATGTCCGCAAATGCCCAAGCTTTTCCACACAGCAGTCTCATGATCCTGATCGATCAATGGCGAGGAGAGTTGAAGGGGTCATGGATGAAGTCTTTTCATTCTGGCCAAATGATCTACAGAGCTGTGTCGATTGGGCGCTGCAGGCCGACCCTATGCAAGGAATTGGAATTCTGTTCGCGTTGGAGTCCGCCATGGCCGATCTTGATGATACCAACCAAGAATTTATCATCCATGCCCTACAAAAAGTCCACTCTCGCCTTATGGGAATGTTCAATCGATTCGTCGATGAACAAATCCGGGGGATTGAGGACACCAAAGTCAAGGTTAACAAGAGAAAGGGTGTCATTTCTTTTATCCGGGTGTTCCCCCACTTCTCCACAGCCGTCGAAAATATGCTGGTGAACGGCGAGTTCTGCGACATTCGCATTGGTGTGAACGAAGCATACGAGCGCATCAATCGAGCCATGTGGGAGTCGCTCAAGTTTATTGCCAAGGAAGCACCCGGCCAACCACTAGGTGTAGCTGCGAGTGCCGGGGACCCCGAAGACAAGGAGGTCCTGAACTACCACATCCTACTGATCGAGAACATGAACCACTACCATGAGGAGGTTCAGGTACACAATCTCCCAGTGCTGCAGCGGTGGGTGGATCGGGCACACCAAGACTTTGACGAGCACATGAAACTCTACCTCGATGCCGTCATCCATCGACCCCTAGGCAAGCTGCTGGACTTTGTGCAGTCCATCGAAAATCTGCAGGCAAACGGCAATGCAGCCGATATTGCAAGCCGGGCCAGTCACTCGCGCATGGTCGCCAAGAAAGTCCTCTCATCGTACGACTCGAAGGAAATTAAGCGCGGCGTTGAAATGCTCAAGAAGCGTGTCGAGAAGCACTTTGGTGATGCCGATGACCCCGGACTCAGTCGCAGCCTGGTGATCAAGGTTATCCGGGAGTGCGAGATCCGCTACGAAGAGGCATATGACCGTACGCGACGGATTATCGACACGGTGTATGACGGACAATTGGAGTTGGAATGGCGCAAGGAGGACGCCCTGGCAATGTTCCGGAAATGAGCGTCTTGATTTCTTTTCTTTTTGTTGTTTTACCATGTCTAGGATTATGGAGCATTGGGTCATCAGCTGGGCGCAATTGGATTCACGGTTCCCGTCACATACAAAGCCTTCGAATATTAGTCAATCGCGACGGAGTTTCATAATAGTTTCCAACTGGGCGGGGGGCATATGTGTCAAGTGTGCAGGCATCAAGTAAAGTCCGAGCCAGGTATTCTAGGGTAGTGATGCCTGGTGTGATAGAACATGCCTTAGACTTGTGAACATCCAAATGGCCCCAAACGTCCAGTTTAAGTATGTTTTAGATACATGAACGCAGTGAGGTTAATCATTCTGATCTTCGTTAAATCGAGTGCCCACGATCTGCCCCGTCTGATGGACGATGATTGGCGTAGATAGGCCGCCCCGGGTCCACCTGTTCGAGGCCATCTCATTTATCTAATTTCACGCTCAGGGGCACGCTCTGGTCCGTGCTTGCAATCACGATTGTTGCTTCGAGCTGGAATACACGGTGGACCGGGAGATGGAGAACCTATTTGACTTAATCTAACTAGTCTTCTTCTAGTGGACTGCTCTTCACAGGGGAACTCCTGAGCCGTAATGCGTGCGCCACATATAGCTCCCACTACCGTCCAGGCTTGGGCTCCCGATGCTTCTCAAGCTCCTGGGAAATTAAGAGATCAAGAGATCCCGGCACAAACAAAAGAACACGTTCTAATCCCATCTGTATCAACTGCGAACCAACTCTGTAGCTGTCCTTGTCAGCTGAAACCTGCCTCGGTGGAGTGCCAATTGGGCTGCCTTCCAAGGTTTGTACGGTGTGTGTGTGTGGGGAGAAACTTAAGATTGGTGATTTTTCGTTCTGGCACTTGGTCTGGCACTTTGATCTTCTCTTCTCTATTTCTCCCTCTCGTCTCCTGTATTTCTATTCTAAGGTGAGCCCCTTCCTTCACCCCTCCTTATTTCCCCACTGTTGTGGCCCAAAGGGCCAGGGAGTCTCCACTACGCGAGAGGTTTCCCTCGCAAGGGGGCACGGATACCGAGTGCGACTCCAAGAGGACTCGACCTGCTCCGAACAGCTCTCTTGCGCCGTTGCACGTTGGGACTCTCGGCCCCCAAGAGCCATTTGTGCAACATCATCTCAATTGTCCGATTCTCCGTCACCCTAATCATGATCATGACCCTCTAGATCTTTTCCTATCTGTCGCATACCGAAACCCCAACCGCATTCCTCTCCTTTCTCCTCCCCAGACCCGGCATCTTGGAACTTTGACTGCATGTCGCGTTCCTTCGAGACGAACATTCCCCCGTGAATCCCTGCCTCCCTTGCCTTGAGATTCTTGCGATCGGATCGTCAACCATACTGTGCGGGAAGAGCCGAGATACCCTTGAGCTTATTCTTTGGAATTCCTGCTCGCGCTCGGTGACCAGAGCTCGCCGCAGCTATGCCCTGGCGGCCGCTGCCTCGCATTGCTTTTGCTGTGGCCATTTACCCGTTCCACCCCTCCTCCCCGGCCGACCTCCCCCTCGAACTCGGCGATGAATTATACATTATAGAACAAGGCGGATCCGACGGAGAATGGTGTCGTGGCTATCTAGTTGCGCCGCCGTCGCTGTTGGCGGGGTTGACGAGTACCAAGGGTCAAACTCTCGAGGCCCGTGTTTTCTCCGGCATCTTCCCGCGGAACTGTGTTGAGATCAGGGAGGTGCTGGGCGACGGCGATGGTTACAAGGCCATGCTCAATGGAGATCGAAAGAGTTTTGACCGATTGACCTTGCCCGGTCTCGACGGAGACTATGTGTCTCGAAGCAGCTTGGCCTTCTCCATAGGCGAGTCGACAACAGTCGGCGAGGTGACGGACGTAATCCTCGCAAAGAAGGGAAGACCCGCACAGATTGTGATCAATAAGACCGATGAATCGGACCTGTCAAGTCCGCGATCTGTTCAAACCTATCGAACCGGGTCGATCCCGCACACGCCCATGTCCTTCGCTCCTCGAGATCCCGATGCACCTAAACCCGCCGCGCCTGTGCCCATGTTGAAAATTGGAGACGAGACCCCGACTTCGCTGACAGAACCGCTGGTCGACGAAATCGCATCATGCCTCCGCGAATGGCATTCTACAAACTTACACGAACTGCTTCTCGCTCGTCAATATGATGTACTGGAGGAGATGTCTACAATTGTACAAGAATTGGACTTCTCGCGGCGCCAATTGCTTCATAATGTGTTGACCGGGAAAGAGAAGGAATCATTGCGCGATGAGACGGTGTGGAAGCTTGTTCGCGCCAACAAAATGCTCAGTGGAGATATCATTGTGCGCGATCCTGAACAAAGAGGCCGATTGTTGACAGGCGAAGACTCCGCAATTCAGCTGGCCAAGCTGCAATCCGAAATGAGCATGCTCGATGATCGTCCTACAACCACATCTGACTCCACGGCTTTGCATCATATGCTGTTGGAAATAAATGCTGTATCTGGAAATGTCCCGGGCCCAGTGACCCTTGGAATGCAGCTATACTCTCGGTCAGACGCCGGTGCATATAATCCGCTGTCCGAGACGTACAGCTTGGACATTCCATCTCCCGACAAATTTGTCAGCTTGACCCAAAGTAACAAGCTGAAAACATTATTCACTGAACTTGCTGCGACTGATATCGGCGATGGCAGCGCTAATGGACGACAACTTTATCTAGTTGCTTCCGTCCGGACGGCAGAGTCTCGGTCTGCAGCTGAAACCACACCGTCAAGAGCTTCTATGTCGAGGGAAGGCCCAATTACCACACGAACAACCAGCGCAGGAGGTGTGCAGCCATCAGCTAAGGGAAGTTTGAGGACACGGCGCAGTATGATGTGGTCCCCCAAGGCACGGGGTAGTCCGACCCTTGACCAGCCAGTCAAGTCTTCTGCTCAATCAGCCCCACGGTCATCAAGCAGCTCGTCCAATGTCCAGGAGACATCCTCTCCTCAACCGGCGCCCACAAAAGAATCTATGGCTATCCGCACTGTAGGTGTTGGCATCTTGGAGGTGTCGCCTGTTCTCCGACAAGACAAGGATGCTGAACAGGTGGTTAACATCTGGTCAACCCCTCGAGAGGGTGAGGAAGGCCAGGCGTATGCGGAAGGCTTCGACAAGTTGCTTCAAATGTTGCTTCCTAACGCCAATAGTCGATATGTGCGATCTGAAACGGCTGCACGTCTACATCTCCACTTGCATCCATTCATCAGCACTGATCCAGAAAACCTTGTCCGCCAAAACCCCACGATCCTGCACGATGTTGTACAGACAAGGCGAATCGGGTTCTCGAAAGCACCTGCGAAGCCTCGATCCGACATCTATATTACACTATCACAGGCCGTGCTCCCTACCGATGCGCTGCTATCTCATCCGGCTGCTGGCCAGATTCCTCTCCAAACAAATACTGGCCTTCGCAACCTTCAACTAACCCTGGAGGTTCGCGATGCATCTGGCACACGTGTAGACAAATGCGTCTTCCCATCCTCCGCTCCGACCTCCGCAACAGCATGGCGTACAACAATTGCCGATCGCGGCTTTCCGTGGAACCAGACAATCCGCCTGAAGATCCCTACAGACCGCATTCCCGGCTCACATATTATTATGAGTGTTGCGGATGCGCCGGAGTTCCCCTTCGCTCTTGCATGGATGCCTCTTTGGGACCAAAATGCGTTCATTCGAGATGGTCAGCACTCACTATTGCTCTATGCTTATGATAAGCAGACCTCTAGCATTGAGAATGGTAAGGGTGCCTATCTCAGCCTTCCGTGGAGTGCACTTGGCAAGAATGAAGCTGCCAAGGATGAAGCGGTCACTGGCCCTCTAGCAACACTGCGTCTTGAGACCCATCTGTGCAGTACCGAGTACTCGCAGGACCAGGTCATCTTGAGCCTGCTGAACTGGAAGGATCGCCCGGTTGACGAGGTTCTCGATACCTTGAAGCGTCTCCTTTTCGTTCCAGAGATTGAGATTGTCAAGCAGCTCCGCAGTGTGTTCGATGCGCTGTTCGGTATTCTTGCTGAGAACGCTGGAAATGAAGAATATGAAGATTTAATCTTCAACAATCTGGTCACCGTGCTGGGAATTGTTCACGACCGGAGATTCAACCTCAGCCCTTTGGTCGACAACTACGCTGACTCGCAATTTAACTTCCCATTCGTCACCCCATGCCTTATCCGCAGCTACTTGCGCCTCTTGAACGCCGCGACCGAGCTCCATCAATCCCGCAATCTCCGTGCTGCCTTCAAGGTGGGACGTCACTTGCTCAAGTTCATTATCAAAGCCCGCGAGCAGCAAAAGGCTAAGGAGGAAGGCATTGGTATCACCACTGTGCAGTCCACCTTCAACCGGGACTTGCACACGATTTTCAAGTCGATGGAAACGCTGATGAAGAACCCGTCACCAAGTCTGGTGGGAAGCAAAACCTTGATCGTCCAGCACTTCCATTCATGGCTCCCTGAGCTTTCCAATGTCCTCGGGCAGGATGAAATGATAATGATTGCTTTAAGTTTCATGGATTCATGTACGGACGTTACGGGAATGTTGGTGCTCTATAAATTGGTGCTCATCCAAAACTATACCCAATTCGAGATCTTCGCATCCGGCGACGAGAGAAGGACCTTGATTTCCAGCTGTGTTGGCTGGCTGGCACCTTACTGGGGCTCCAAGGGAAGCGTTTCGGATCAGTACCGCGATCAGGTCCGACTTAACAGTGCAATTGTTGCTCAATTGCTTTCTCAGCCAGATCCCCAGCTATACGAGTTTATGCCGAGTATTGTCGCTTCATACTGTGCTATCGCAACCGAGGGAGTTGACGAGACAGAGTATTTGTCTTTACTCTTCAGCAAGGCTTTCCCCTTCCAGGTTAAGACTTCTACGATTCCTCAGAAGTTTGACGAGTCCCTGGTGGAATTGTCTGCCATTATGGCCGCCATAGCCAAGATCGTGACCCCCAAGATGCCTGCTTTGAAAGAATTGGAGCTTGCTACTTTCGTTGCCCAAGCTTTTGAAGCTCACAACTCCATCATGGATTGTGAGGCGTATCCTGAAAACTGGTTTAGTATTCATGTTTACAACCATCGGGCGGCCATCAAGAGTCTCGAGCATCTCGGGTTGCTCCTGATTGACAAGTTTCTTCCCAGCCCCGATGATGCTGATACCTTTGATACCAAGCTCTGGGAATCTTTCTTTACGATACTGCTGAAGGTGATCTCCAGCGACGCTCTTGCCCTTGAGACATTCCCTGAACAGAAACGTCGTGCTGTCTGGAAGATTGCCGGTGATGTTCGCGAGCAAGGCGCTGATCTGCTTCACTCCACTTGGGAAGCGATCGGCTGGGATACCACAGATGACGAGCAGGAACGCTATGGTTTGAAAAAGTTAGGTGGTTACCAGGTTCAGTACGTTCCGAACCTGGTTCCTCCGATTATTGGTCTTTGTCTCAGCGTGCACGAGGGCTTGCGCCACGTTGCCGTTCACGTTCTCCGCACAATGATTCTGAGTGAGTGGGATCTCAACCAAGATATTTCAATTATCGAGACGGAGATCATCTCTAGCCTGGATTCTCTCTTCAAGTCTAAGCAGATGAGTGAGAGCGTCAGTCAGAAGATCTTTGTCGGCGAGCTTTTGGACCTGTTCGAAGGCGACGCGGAGTCTGATGAGGACCTGTTCAACGCTATGAAGGGTCTCATTGCAACTGTCGATGAGCTTCTTGACCTGCTGGTGGCCTCCCAGAGCAGCGCATCCATCCAGAGTCTCCATGCTCTCAAGCTTATGGAATACATGAAAGACATGGGCCGGGAAGACATCTTCATTCGTTACGTCCACGAATTGGCCGATGCCCAAGCCGCTGCTGGCAACTTCACCGAGGCTGGTCTTGCTCTGCAGTTCCACGCCGATCTCTACGAATGGGATCTCAACAAACCTGTGTCGGAGATCATGTCACCACCTTTCGTTGCACAGAGCGCATTCGAGCGGAAGGAAGCTCTGTACTTCTCCATCATCCAGCATTTCGAGAATGCGATGGCCTGGGCTCCTGCACTTGCATGTTACAAGGAGCTTGCTGCCCACTACGAAGCTACGACGATGGACTTTGCCAAGCTCTCTCGGGCTCAGAGCTCCATGGCTCGGATTTACGATTTTGTTGCCAAGGGCGACAAACAGTTCCCTCGGTACTTCCGCGTCGTCTACAAGGGTCTCGGATTCCATCCCGCCCTGCGTGATAAGGAATTTGTCTTCGAGGGCTCTGCGACAGAGCGCATGGCATCGTTTGTGGATCGCATGCAGCGGGAGCACCCCACTGCACAGATCATGTCGTCTGGCGAGATCCCCGACTATGAGGGCCAATTCCTCCAGATCAGTGGAGTCACTGCCCACCGCGATGTTTCTCATCCTGTCTTCCAGCGCTCTAAGGTTCCAAACTCTGTTCGTGAGCATCTGTTGATTTCGGAACCTTCTCGTTTCTCCGCTACTTCCCGGAGGCACACTAGTAGCTCGGACGTGCGTGAGCAGTATGTTGAGAAGTTCATCTTTACTGTTGCGGAGTCCTTCCCGAACATCCTTCGTCGCAGTGAGATTGTTTCTGTTCAGGAAGTTGCTCTCTCCCCCCTTCAAACTGCTATTGAGCGAACATGTCGCAAGACACAGGAATTGCAGCTCCTGGAACGCCGAGCCGCAGCGGGCGAGGACAATGGTTTGATGAACTTGACCGAGGCACTGGAACAGTTGCTTGAGATGCGGGGGTCAACCTCGAACTGTGTGGCCTTGTACCGCAGCTTCCTTAGTGGCGCCCAGGGCACGAAGAGCAAGGTGGAGGAGCCCGAGAATGAAGATGAAGAGCCGGAAGAGCCTGAAGAAGTGGAGACCATGGATCCGATGGAGAACGCCCTTGCTGTTGCCCTTATCGACCATGCCTTGGCATTTAAGCATGCGCTGTCCCTATACCAGCGGCCAGCGCAACAAGCCACGCAGGCGGAGCTCCTGCGCCGCTATGAAAACGTTTTTGAGCCAGAATTGGCATCCCTCATGACATCCCCACCCGATTATTCGAGCCCGACACCGACCCAACCCCGCCAATCCCCCACATCTGAGCGTCGAAAGCAGGCTGTGCAGCGCTCCGTCAGCCCCGAGCAAGAGCTTATCCGAGCAGCCCGGGGTAATACTCACACGCGTAAGCGCTCAGAAAGGCAATCGGTCAGCCATCGCATCAGCATCATCAACCCTTTCAAGCGATCCCACGGCCAATCGAACTCGATCTTCACCATCCAGCCGTCGGACAGCAAAGATAAGAATCTCGACGAGCGCGAGGAAGATGACGACGCAGCCACCATTCACAGTCGGGCCACCGACCATTCCCGGGGTGGTAAGAGTGACAAGCGACGGAGCTGGTTCGGCGCGCAAGGCAAGCATGGCTCTTCCCCGTCCATCGCTGGTGTCGGCGACGAGAGCCTGAAGAAGCAACCCTCCCGCAGTACCTCGCGCGACACGGCCGGTCAGTCACACGATGATCGCAGTCGCGCCGGATCCCAACATCGTGGCCCTGCAGCCAGCGGTGGGGTGGGCAGTCCGTCTGAGCGACCTGCACCCGCATCGAGCGGCGGATGGTCAACTCTCCCGCCAACACGCGACTATTCCCGTCCGGTGACGCGTGAAAGCACGAACGGAGGCCGGGACGTGACCCCCCCGAACGGTACCAATGGTACTTATGGTATGAGCAGGGCCCATGTCTCTTCCCATCCCGCCAACACCAACCATAATAGCGGGATGCGCGACTCGGTGTTCCGACGATTCAGTCTTCTCAAGGGCGTTGGCCGCAAGAACAGCCGGGTGGATTTCAAACCGAACGGCGCGCTCCTTGAGGAGTAATCATTCCTTTCTATTTCACCTCCCTATTCACCTTTCTTCGTTCATCTTTCATCTTTCATCTTTCAACTCACACCTCACACCTCCCCTTTTTAACTTGACCTTTTGCGTGTGATCTCTCCGATCCTTTCTATCTTCTTGATGTGACTTACTACTTGTATTTTTTCCTTGCTTGTTTTTTTTTTTTTGTCCTAAGGAGATACCATGTGCTATATTCCTAGCTCCAGTATGTTTTATACCAAATACCAAACCGAAGTTAAACCGACCTCAAACGAGACCAAGTCCAAAAACGAGACTAAACGAGACTAAGACTTTAAGGCCAAGGTGACAAGCTGCTGTGTAGTGTGGCAGTGCAAGTCTTGGCTCCACCTAAAGGTTTCCGATGATCGAATAGACGGCCGAAACAGGGAATAAAAAGGTGGAGACCGTCGAGTCTCACACAAAACCAGTCCAAGCTCCCCCTGCAGGGAGCCATTGGAAAGGTCCATCGGTCTCCACTGTATCGTAGCCATCGAGGCTGTGCTGGCCCTCGTCGAGCTTTCGAAACGGTCATTGCGCCCATTGCATCACGATCTTCCCCCTCTCAACCTCGACCACGGTTTGCGTGGCTGGATTTCCCCGCCAAAATTTCCGTTTTGCAATTAACCAAGCTTGGCTCTCTCGCGTAGCATTATGTGTACGTCGCTTGTTCCTGGCCCTTCCCTTCGCCTTTAATGTTTCCACCCTCAACTAACGCCCGTCAGCTTCCGTCCAATTTCGATCCAAAGTGCGAAGCCATAGCTTCGGCCCCAACAGGAAAATGAGCGGCAATGGCATAGTTGACCCCACAGTCGACCCTGGCGAGCGCACTGCTCTGCTCAGTGAATCTCATTCGCGTTCCTTCCAAGGCCTTACTCCCCATGAGCAGACGGAGCATGGCAGCCACCATCACCATCCGAAGGACAACAGAGCCTGGGTGCGATGGCCTATGCATGTCGTGCGTCTCGCGTGGTTGACGCTGGTCCGTGACTACGTCAATGTACTTCTCATCTTTGTCCCACTGGGTATCATCGCCGGTGCACTTGGCTGGGACTCAACCGCTATTTTCGTGTTGAACTTCTTCGCCATTATCCCGCTGGCTTCTATGCTGAGCTTCGCTACCGAGGAGCTGGCTGCTACCATGGGCCAGGCGCTTGGCGGCTTGATGAACGCGACTTTCGGCAATGCAGTCGAGCTGATTGTAAGATCTGGAATGCCTTTAATCGTTTATACACTCACAGTTCATCGCTAACAATTGGGGTTTACTAGGTCAGTATCATTGCGCTGAAGGATAACCAGATCCGTGTCGTCCAGGCCAGTATGCTGGGTAGCATTCTCTCCAACATCCTCCTGGTTCTGGGCTGCTGCTTCTTTGTCGGCGGTCTCCGCTTCTCCGAACAGTCCTTCAACAGCACCGTGGCGTCGACCATGTCCTCGTTGATGGCGGTCGCATCCGCGTCCTTGATTATTCCCGCGACCCTCTACGCCGCCCTTTCCTCGTCCAAGCAGAGCGCCCAAGCCAACATCCTTGTATTGTCCCACGGTACCGCCATCATCCTGCTCGTCCTCTACGTGATGTACCTCTACTTCCAACTGCGGTCCCATGCCCAGCTGTTCGAGGAGAGCAACGGCAGCGATACCGAGAACGCCGACGGCGCCGAAGAGGAAGAGGAAGAGCGCCTCCTTAGCCCGTGGGCAGCCACCGTCGCGCTGATCGTCGTCACCATCCTCGTGGCCATCTGCGCCGATTATCTCGTCGGCAGCATTGACAGCATTGTGCAGAAGACCGGCATGAGCAAGACATTTATTGGTCTGGTGCTGATCCCGATTGTCGGCAATGCCGCAGAGCATGTCACAGCCGTCGTGGTGGCTTACAAGGATAAGATGGACCTTGCAATCGGTGTTGCGATCGGCAGTAGCTTGCAGATTGCCCTCTTCGTCACTCCTTTCCTGGTCATCCTGGGCTGGATCATGGGTATCGAAATGACCCTGCATTTCCAGACTTTCGAAACTGTCGCGTTCTTTATTTCCGGTCTGGTTGTCACCCTGTTGATCCAGGATGGCAAGTCGAATTATCTTGAGGGCGGCATGTGCCTTGGATTGTACGTTTATCCCTTACCGTCCACCTTTTCTGATCACTTTCTAACTTGAACTGGCAGGTACATGATTCTGGCCCTTGCGTTCTACGTCTACCCCGATGATGCCGGCGATGGTGTCGGTATCTTCAGCAAGTTTATCAATTGATTTGAGAGCTACCGCTTCCAAAAGCCTTTCCTTGATTTGAACAGCCTCTGCCGTTGACTTCTTGTGGTCAGCGGTGTCGCGTGAGCGAGTTTCTACCAATGTTGCAATATCCTGATTGTGTACTTGCCCGAACGGATCCCTTTTCTTCTAGTCTCAAAATTCATGCCTGTATAGCTCTGCGAGAATCTCGATCTCATTCTCAATATCTATCTCTATCTCTATCTCTATCTCGATACCTAGGTGGTCAACTGTACGAAAAGTGTCCTAATTTCCGTCTTTCGCCTGTCGCTTATCGGACGTACTCTTATCAGCGCGGGGGAAGTACAGTAATCGGCAGGCATCTGGTTGGACAACCCAGCCCAAAAGAGCCCCAGTATCTCCTCGACTTACCGATTTGGTTCTTCTCCAATCCTATGTGGGGGCCCTGCCACTTACCCGGAGTAAAACCACGGACACCTATAAGTTTGGCTGCCAACCTCCAATCTTTGGAAGAATGCGAACTTCCTCCATCTGTTATGGCTCTCTCAGTCATAACCCTGGCTGCCGCGGCCCTGGTGGCCTTGATCCTCTACAAGGGGATCATTTACCCTGCTTTCATCTCGCCATTGGCTAAGATCCCCAATGCTCACTGGAGTGTTCCTCTTTCTCCCGTCTGGATGCTCTGGAGACGTTTCCGCATGACAAACAATCGGACTATCCAGGCTGCTCATGAACGTCTCGGTCCGCTAGTGAGACTTGGTCCGTCGGAACTCTCGATTAATTGTGTCGATGAGGGTATCAAGACGGTTTACACGGGCGGGTTCGAGAAACATGATTGGTATCCGCGGGTCTTTGGATCGCTCGGGTGAGTACAATCATGTTGTCGTTAATTCTGGAAAATGGGAATATATTAATCTGCGTAGAACCGTGAGCATGTTCACAATGGTCGGAACAAAGACTCACGCCACCCGCAAGAGAATGCTATCCAATATCTACTCCAAGTCCACGCTGCAGACATCGCCTCATCTACGCTTGGTCTCTAATGCGATTGTTTTCGACCGCTTGCTGCCTGTGATTCAAGAGTCGGTGGAATCGAACAAGTCTCTCGATGTGCACGATCTGGATATGGGACTGACAATGGACTTCGTCTCATGTTACCTGTTCGGCTTGAGAAATGGTACAAATCATATCCAGGATCATGATTACCGCAAGAAATGGCTCCATATGTACCTCTGTCGCAAGCCTTTTGAGTTTTATCACCAAGAGACCCCGAAACTGCAGGGATGGCTTAGCTGTGTGGGACTCCGCGTGATTCCGAAGTACTGTGACGAGGCGAACGAAGTTCTCGATGTGTGGGCTTTGGATCTCTGCGGCCGGGCTGCAAATTGTCTTGATTCCACCGACCCCGCCGTTGAACCTATCGTCTATAAGCAGTTGAAGCAGAGTCTCGACAAACAATCTATGAAAGAAACAGGCTCAAAACAGGATCACAAGCAGCAGCAAATCGACATTGCTTGTGAGATGTACGATCAACTTACAGCTGGCTTTGAAACTAGTGCCGTTGGTCTGACTTACCTTTTCTGGGAGTTATCCAAACATCCTGAATGGCAAGAGAAGCTTCGACAGGAACTATTGACCCTCAATCCGCCGATTAAGTTCCCCGAGGGCGCAGATCTACCCTCGGCAAAGGCAATTGACAATCTGCCTATTCTGGAAGCTATCATCACGGAGACCTTGCGACTTCATGCGCCGATTCCAGGCATCCAACCCCGAGTCACACCCTCTCCATCTTGTTCACTGGCTGGATACGATAATATCCCTCCCAACATCCGAGTCAATGCACAAGCCTACTCGCTACACCGAAACCCCGACGTTTTCCCCGATCCAGAAAGCTGGCAGCCGAACCGCTGGCTCAAAGAAGAGAGCTTGCCCGCCGAACTTGAAGAAAGACGTCGCTGGTTCTGGGCTTTTGGCAGCGGAGGTCGGATGTGCGTTGGTAGTAACCTCGCATTGCAAGGTATGTTTCATCGAACCTGCGAACTGGATTATGCATGCTCACTTCATTAGAATCCAAACTCGTCGCCGCGGCAGTATACACAAACTTCCGAACCACCATCGTCAACGACGAAGACATTCAAGAAATAGATGCTTACACCGTGCATCCCAAAGCCGAGAAGTTGATCCTGAAATTCCACTCTGTCTAATCACTACATGATCGTTCAATTAAATTATATGAAGTCAAGATAATGAGAAAATCAATTCTTTTCACGCGCTGCCACGTAGGTATATAATGTACAATGCAAAAACAAATTCCCGTATCCACACACCAGCAGACTCGTTGAATCGCGATTCTGCGGACATATGGATGATAAAACTCCCAGTGATAATGCGACATATTTAGCCCAGCACGCCGTCCTTCTTCCGTGGGCCCACGACCTTGGGGTACATTCTCATCAAGTGGTAGTTGACGGTGTTCTTCTTCTTTTCTTGCGATTTCTAGATAGGATTCGGCGTTAGTGGACTGACGGGATGAGATGGAACGGGTGGGATGAATGAGGAGACGAACGGATGAATCCATGCACTTGCGCAACTGTGCTTCCAGGCCAGCGCAGCCTTCGAAGCCGTATCCTTGCGATGCCCAGCAGTCTGGAAATTTGTTAGTATTCCGAGGTTCAGGTTTCCCTAATGTATTCCGGCTGATGTCCGGAGATGCGGCGATTGAACGAGTATCGGCATTGAGAACAGAGTATACGTACTCAGCATCGAAGACATGACAGTGACGCAGGGGTTCTGCTCATGCTGGTTGGGGCGACGGACGCGAAGGTGGTTGATAGTGTTCAACCGGAGCGGGTTGAGCCGGGTCGAGACGTTGCCCTTGCCAGCCATTGTGAAAGACGGAGTGATTCAAAGGATGAGGACAGTATCGGGAATAGTGGAAATCGAGATGTCGGGCTCCGTGGACAGCGGGGAGAGATTGGCACCTGCGAGACGGAGATGCGCAAAATCCCTGGAAGTTTAGGCTCCGCGGAGGTGCATGACTAAGCGGTCCGGTTGGGCGAGGTCGCGAGGTGATTGCCACTCGCAGCTCTTGTGTTATTAAAACTATTTGTTTTCTGATTCTTTGGTCATCTTATGCGCCTGGCCTTGTTGGAAAGAGACTGGCAATGAATAGCACACAGCTCAGGCGCTCACAGTTTCGTCGTGTGGCTGTTCGGCCCTCGATACACACTGTAGCTCCCACACCACGACGGTTCTCAGCGGCTTGTCAACGACGACAGAACGCGAATTCTACAAATACAAAAACGGATGAAGATGGAGAGTCTGATAAGATACAGGAAGAGGAGGAGAAGGGAGCCATGGCTCGCCGTCTCTCACAGATGACCGAGGATGCGATGCTGGAAGGTGGACGGTCGGCGCAACGCAACATGGAGGCCGCAGGATTCTCTGAAGACCTGAAGAAACAACTCGAGGAGCGAGTCAAAGCAGCTGCATTCAAAAGCGAATATGCTGTTGAGCACTCGATCCTTGACATGCCGGTACGAACACCTCCGACTCAAGCTACTATGCAACGACTAACCTATGCATCTGGACGATCTACAGGCTAGCGCAGGCCAAGGAACACGCGAGACAGCCGCAGCTCCCGCATGGACAGGAACAGAGACCCTAGCCGACTCGGCACTACGCATGCTGGACGACGCCAGCAAACCAATTCGCACCCCATACAAGATCCCGCAACCCGTGAACCTCAAACCCGCCCCGAAACCCATCCGCACCCCAGGCCAGCGCCTCGCCACAGCAAAAGAGCTGACATCAAAATACACATTAACGCAAGCCCCTGGCTTTTCCGAAGAAGAGCGTGAGACAATGCGCCGCGAAATGAGCGAGAAATTATCCCCAGGAGCGCAGTCAATGCCGATATCTATACATGGCCTTTCATCGCTCGCAAACGAAAGAATCGAAGACGCCATTGCCCGCGGCCAGTTCCGACAGATCAAGCGCGGGAAGGGCATTAATACGGAAACGGATCATAATGCCAATAGCGCGTATATTGATACGACGGAGTACTTTATGAACAAGATTATTCAGAAGCAGGAAATTGTGCCGCCGTGGATTGAGAAGCAGCAGGAACTTGTTTCGGAGATTAGCCGGTTCAGGCAGAGGATACGAGTGGAGTGGAGGAGGCATGCGGCGATGTTGATCGCTAGCCGGGGTGGATCTCTAGATGAGCAGATGAGGAGGGCGAGGGGACATGCTGCGGCTGAGGTGAGGTTGGTTGAGAAAAGGAAGGTGGAGGCCGCATTCGAGAAGAGTGAGGAGCAGGTCAGTGAGATTAATACCGATGGCCGGATTGTCGCCCACGTGGAGACATCGGAAGCTGTCGAGTCTGATGGAGAGACAAATGCTCCTGGAGATATTCCACATCTCCCTCCCCTGCGAGACGAAGCCTATATTGGGATTGAACGCTCGTACCATGAGCTGGCCGTGAAGCATATAAATAAGATTGCCCGGTCTTACAACCTCCAAGCACCCCGCTCAGCCCAAAAACCATACCTCAATTTGGATCGCGAGTTGAACAACTGTTTTGCCGAGGTTGCGCCACAGTTGGCTGAAGAGATCCGCCGTCGGGCGACTGAGCGAGCGCGGCCTTCTGCACGCTTCAGTGGGCCGTCGTCCAGCATGCTTGAGTCAATCGGTACAGCTAATAACGTACGCGTCTACGAAGAGGACAAGACGAAGACTTACGGTCTTAAGGAGATGTGGCGGGACATGTTTTCCAAGGATGGACAGAAATAGAATGTCCATATTCGTTGGGGATGGATGTACATCTATCGACTGCTTGGATGTAAGCTTGACAATGTCGTTGTTGAACGAGAATAACATGATAGACTTGATGACCTTCATGATCAAAACTCATCTCTTGGATGTAAACAGTAAACTTCGGTCTCCGCCCCCGCTTCGATAATAATATGATCTCGTCATTCATGAAATCCATCCGCTCAGAGCTATCTTGCACGTCGGCATAAAAAGAATTGAAGCCCGACCAGACGACACTTGACGTTTCAATCGAAGAGCGAGCGCTTCTCACACTCAGGGCATGGACTTAGAGCTAAATAGCGATCGTCAAACTCATCGGCAGTGATGATGTTCAAAGCTGGATCAGGTTTCTCCTCTGGGTCCTCACTTAATGGTCGCCGGAGTGCCATAAGCGTGCGTCTCAGATTCGCGAGAAGGGTAATCAATTTCCAAATGAACTCAAAGCCGATGATCACAATCAAGGATACGGAAATCCAAGCAATGAGACGATTCGCGCTCAGTCCTCGGAGACCATGCCTCAACATCGGAATCCCCATGAAGATGGCGACAAATCCAACTACCGTAAAAAGTGCACCGAGTCCCGCATACACCCGGACCAAGCGTTTCACAATACTTGGGAGATACTCTCGGGGAATGACCTGCACGCGAATTCTCGACCACCTAGATAATGCTTTGGAAGCTTCAGCCATTTGCTTAGCAGCAACGAAGGCCATCATGAATCCGAGACAGGTGAAGAGCGCGCCAAAGAAAACCACCAGAGATTCGCTCCAGGAGCTGAACAAACAGGCGATAGGTAAATCATGCTCTGCTTGAAGCGCAGCATAACAATCCAGGGAGGTGTTGCGCGACATGGTTGAGTTGGTGATGGTGTGGAGATCACGTTTGAGTGGGATGATGAACTGATGCCAGGGGATCTTGGGCCAGCCTCCGGCAGGCCAGCCAGATTGCTCGAGGTCCGAATCACCGAACGGAAGTCGAGAGATAATCTCGACGTCGCCGAGCCAGATTTCGTTGATGGCGTTGCCTTGTTGATAGAAGTTTTCCGACTTGACCCCGCCGACGACAGAGAATTTGTGGCCCATGAAGAGATAGTGATGGAGATGGAGATGAAGAATTGATGGTTCGACGAGGGAAAGAAGAAAAGAGGACAAGAGGAGACATGGCGAGTGAAAGAGAGAAGGCGACGTAAAGTGAGTGAAGGGAAGGAAGGTACGACTGGACTGGACACTCGACAGACAACCGAGGAGACAAGGACTCTATCCAAAGTGCATCTGTCTATAACTATGATCTACCTCTTGAATTGAAGCAGAAGTATGTATACTGGAGATATGGAGGTCTGATCCCTGAAGGTCAATGTGCACGATGTGACTGGTCCGTGACGGGGTGATGATCTTGCATGCGGGCGCTTAACGGCAGCCAACGACAGGCAGAGATGGCCTCATCTTTCTCACACACGCTGCTCTTCACACCGTCACACACGATGCCTCTCATGCTCATATACAGATCCCCCTCCCCCGGCTTACTGCCCCACCTGGCCACCTGGGAAGACCAAAGTGCCCTGCCCTCGAGATTTGTCCTCTCCAATGCCGAGACATGTCGATCGGCAGTGATTGAGTGATTTCTGCTGCACTTAAATCTCTTTCGCTCCCTGCTTGATCCTAGTCACAGGTGCCGGCCATGACTTCTGCTCCGGTCGCCCTGACTCCTTTATCGTATATCTTCCCTCTCTGGCTGCTGTATACGGTTCCGGTCTCCGCGTCGACTGGGTTACACATGAAACGCTCTGGAAGTGTCGATGCTCCTCCGTCGCTGAACAGATCGCTACTTGCCATCCAACTGGGAAGCATCGCTGGCGCCTACGTTTTATTTGTTGCCGTTCTTCTTGCCCTGCTTCTCTTTGTTGGACGACGCCTGCGTCGGACAGTCCACTCTTCCAACTACTCCTTGCAAATGCAAATTTTGAGACCTGTCAAGCCCACACTTGATATGGATCCCAGCCCGATTTCGCCCATGTCACAGGATCTTCCTACTCTTCATCGAGGAGGCAGGCCTTCCCAGACCTCTTTTAACGGCAGCATGGTGACAATCGACGAGTCCGTGGTCGCCTCGGACCGCCAGCGGGCTCAGGATGAAATGGAGATGCTATACGCAGCGGTCATGGAGCATGATGCCCAAAAAACCGCTGGAGTTGATATCGATATCACTGCGAGGAATTCGGATTCTCAGAGTAATTCACCGGCTAGCCAATACACCAACCCATTCACCGATCGCCATACCTCGCAAAACTCGGAATACTCATCCTCGGGTCTTTTGAATGCTCCCTTGAAATCTCCCAAGCCGTCTCGCTTAACGAAGTTATTCAGCTCCAACTCTCGATCAAATCCGGATGCAGGTAAATTGAAGTCTCCGCGGCTTAGCATTCGCAAGCAACAGATTTCCTCTCCTCTTGGTTCTCCTGGTCCTCTTGGTTCTCCAGAGATTCGTTCGCCCCAGCCTTATATTCCTGAACAGCCGCCTCTATCACCACGGATCTATAACCCCGGCCCGCCTCCTTCAATCCCCTCAACTCGCCCAGGACTAGCTTTTGGTCAGAACACGCTTCCGGTTATGCCTCCCTCGGGACGTTCAAGAGCACCCGCTCCCTTAAACTTGTCTACCACCAACCAGGCAGCATCTAATCTGCCGTTCCGTGATGCATATCCTCTGCGTAGTGCGCCGGCAACCAAGACTACTATTCTGGAGAGGCCTGTGAAGAATTCACATGGACCTGTAACTGGCATGCCGACACCGTACAGTGCATACATGCCTTTCACTCCGGTGACGCCGTTCACACCTGGCCGAACAGTCACAAAGCGTCAACGCAGACGCGAGGAGAAGGAGAATGGTCTCCGAGTTCTGAATGAAGATGATCTAGTCAAAGACGATCACGACGTGTGGGGTTGATAAAGTACTTGGTAAATTGTGATCAAATAAGGCGTCAGGAAGGTGGCACTTTGGACCTGAATCTCCTTATTGAAATACACTGGATGTATCTATTTCATCTCACTTGTCTATCGTGCATAAAGTGTCGCATCTATTTATCAGCCTTCTTCAAATGCTGCGTACCGTTAATAATCGCCTCCGCATAATCCGACCGACTCCCTGCCTTCTCAAGAGTCAACAGCGCCTGGATCGTACACCCACGAGGCGACGAGATACTCTCTCTCAGAGCAGCGGGATGAATACCGGATTCCAAAGCAGCAGATAATCCCCTCAGGCCATGTAAAACCATCTCCATAGCATCGGGTCTCTTCAATCCCTCTGCCACACATCCATCTAGAATGCCCTCAATAGGAACTGTCATAGCAGCCAACGCCGCACCAACCAGTACAGACCCAAGATCCATCTGATTCTGAGGCAAATACTTGATCGCGCCAACCTGCTTGAACATCCACTCCACAACCTCGGTCATATAAGCAGGTATTTCCCGCTCTGGAGTCTCGATAATAGTCATCGATTGACGGAACTGAGCACCCATGTTGGGAATCACCTTCATAATCACTGGCTCTGCAATCTCCCCATCAGTTCCCTCGCGAATGATCCGGGCCAGGTTCTGCGGCGTCTGCCCCGCCAGCAAACTGATCACCAATTTCCCAGCCAGTGCCTGGCGCACACCCTTCGTACCGAGGACATCATCGGCCATGAAAGGTTTGAATCCCAAGACAACAATATCTGCATCTTTCATAATCTGTACAGGAACATCCTGCGACGAAGTCACATGGACAAACGGTTCCTGGTCAGTGGCGAAAGAAGATGCCAAGCGCTCAGCCGAAGCGGCACTTTTCGTGCACGCGACAAAGCGAGAAACAGGTCGTGATTGTGAAGATTCAGTTGCGAAAGCTGCGTCGAGGATGCCATGGAGAATTGCACCGCCCATGTTTCCTGCGACTGTGAGTCAGTGGATCTGGATGTGGGGTTGGGGTATTTACCGCATCCGATGAATGCGACGGTGCGTTCTTGGGCCATTGTGCAGTTTTTTGTGTCTTGTATAATGGGAATTGGATCTGTGTTGGGAATTTGTTGGAGATGTGCTGTGAACTCCCAATCTTTAGGCTGATAAAGGCTTCGGGGCGAGCATCCGAGCTTCGGTTGATGGAACCGAGCTTTCCAATTGAGCAATTTGGCACGTGGAGTCTTTGGGTACTTGTGGGTCACTTTATATTCAAATAAATAACACCATCTTAAACCACATGATTGATACATTAACCCCGGCGTATTCTCGTGCGAATGAGCTTCGCCCCTCCCAGCCGATACCCATAACCCCGCGATCCATGATAAGATCGTATTAGATCGACGGTAGAAAGAAGATACTAGATGGACAAACTTCCAGTAATCCGCTTAAACTCCCCCTCCGTATGTTTTCTCAACATCTCATCCATCCCAGCAACCCGCAACTTCGCCAACGCCTCCTGCGACTTCGACCCGCCAGCTTCACCATCCCACGCAAGCGAGTAAACACCACCACCAGTAGCACCGGCAGTCCCAATCGCCGGCTTCTCATCCCCTGCAGAGACACCAGATACATCAGAAGACCCAGAAGCCGGCGGGTAGTGGGAGCTGGTGGCCAAAAGACATGGCGCTCTGCGCACTCTTGTGAAACGCAAATAAACCGCCCGGCGACGAAGACAACGAATCGCACAATGACTCCTAGCGCACCAGGCCATGCATCCACAGCTTGGGTCTGCACAAGGCCGGGAAACTCGTGGATGAAAGTGATACTGGGGGCTTGCCGGGCCATTTCCTCCAGCCCCAAAGTAATCATTGCACTGACGTGGTCACGGCGTGGTATGAAGCCTAGATTTCGGGCTTGGAAGTCTTCCGTGTGTATCGCACCTTCATTTGTCGCCCCGAATACACTCACCACACGGCGGAGATGGGGAGCATTCTTAAGTTGTGGAAGGAGATTCGAAATGAAGCGCATGCGGCCGTGGTAGTGTAGCGATGTATCGAGCTGTAGGTCTTCCGTTGTTGCTATAAAGTGTCAGACATGAAGTAGACGACAATTTTATCCCGAGTTAGAGATAAACTAACTATATTTCGCAGCCAAAGAGCCCTGCGTCATGAATAGAATATTTACAGATTCCTCTTTTCTCCTAATCTGCCGACAAACATCATCTACCTCTTTAAGAAGCCCGACATCCGCGCGAATGAACTCGAAAGTCCCATCTGGGTTCAAAGCCTTGCATTCGCTCACAATCCGGTTAGCTGCGCTCTGCGATCGACCGATGATATATACGCGCGGACTGGAGGTTCTTTTCGCGAAGCATTTTAAAGTGTATTCGCCTATACCAGAGGTTCCACCAACGAATATGGCTACTAGGCCTTTTGGAAGGTCTGAGGAGATGCGCGAGTTTGAGGAGAGGATGTTTTTAAGGGAAACCATTTTGCTTGAGTGTTCTTCACTGATCTATCAATTAGCTATCAATTACTGCGTTTTGTAAGCTCTAATTATGAAATGAACTTCGGGTTGTTCAATTACGCCGGTTCCGGAACCCGACGGAGATAACGCGGCGTTAGGCCAGAGATCTCTGTAGAGCAACTATGCACAATTGTAGACCCGCAGCGCCGACAAATTGAGGCAAATGGTTGGCTGGAGCCACCCCCACCATCCTCACTGTTTCTTACTTGCACCTTTCGGGCACTCGCGCGCTTCCGAATTCCGAGTCCTGTCTTTTATGCAGCACGTATCTACTCTCAAGTGGCACTGTCGAACACAGGGGTGTCATGACGTTATTGAGCCAAGTAATCGATGATTGATAATCACTACCCGGGGTCTCGCGCATCCCAGCATTTAGGCCCGAGCCCGAGGTATAAGAAGAAGCAAGTGAACCATCTAAAATTACCATCTGCTATAAGCCACAAAGTTTCGAAATGTCAACTCAAACCGCCATCCTCGTTAGCGAAATCGGTAAGCCACTGATCAAGGCTTCCCGTCCCATCCCAGAACCGAAGGATAGCGAAGTCCTCGTTCAGGTCACCGTTGCAGGCCTGAATCCACACGACGCAAAATGTCGTGACTGGGGGCTGTTCATCCAAGATGTTCTACCCGCCGTTTTAGGCGCAGATATCGCTGGTGTTGTGACCCGCGTTGGTCGTAATGCCACCCGATTCAAGGAAGGGGATCATATTTTCGGGCAGGCCTTGCTGCCCAGTCCAGCCTCCGGGGGTCTTCAAGAATACGCTATTCTTGATAGTAGATTCTCGGCTAAAGTTCCTTCGGGCTTCACTGATGCTCAAGCGACTTCGCTACCGACCAACTATGTGACAGCTGCAGTCGCCCTCTTCGATACAACCTGCTTTAGTTTCCCGGCGCCGTGGGATCCTGCAGCGAAGAGCTTCGACTACAAGTCGACTTCCTTGCTGATTGTCGGAGGTGGCTCGAATACCGGGAAATACGGTATTCAGCTCGCTGCCTTGGCAGGCATTGGAAACATCATCGTCATTGCTGGTTTGAGAGGCGCCGCAGATCTCAAGGCTCTAGGCGCAACTCATGTTATCGACAGAACCAAAAGCCCGACAGAGATTGCCGCAGAAGTACGCGAAATCACCGGAGATGAATTGATCTATGCATTCGACACTATCAACCCACCCGGAAGCCAGTTCATTGGTGTTGAAGCTTTATCGAATTCCAAGACTGGAAAGCTTGCTCGGTTGCTGCCATCGGGCCCGATTGATGAGACAAAGCTCTCTACTAAGCCTGCTGGCTTTGAGACTCTGAATGTGTTCGGTACATCGAATGGTCGACCTGATACCGCTATTCCACTATGGGAAACGGTAACTGACTGGCTTGAAGAGGGAAAGATTAAGCCTCTGGGTTATCAGGTTATCAATGGGTTTGATCTAGATGCGGTCAATAAGACGCTCGACGGGTATTCGAACGGAAGTTTGAGTGGTCAATGGCAAGTTCATGTTTAAGAACAAAGATTGGCAAATGATCTTGTTCTATTCATTCCTAGTACTTAAATGCAATTTGTCGTCTAATTAAATAACTACCACTGTTAATCTAAACTATTACCAATTGTACTCTATCCACGCCATGACTTCCTAAAGCAACACTTTGAACGACGGGTCCACGGTCGTATCCAAGCGCAAGAAGTCCGCCACGCGACCGAGGTGGTCAATACCCCAGTGCTCCTCCTTCTCTCCCTCGGCGTTAGTGCATTCAAACCACGGCAGACCGAAAGCGCCAGAGGCAAACGCTTTCTGCGTATTCTCATCGAAGAGACTCTTGCCCTTGGGCTCGGTCGACTATTGAAAATTTATAAGTGAGTATGGGTGCGGAAGTAAGCTAGTGGCTTCAGACTTACTTCAGTCAAGATCGCTTTCGCCACATCCCCACCGAGTTCGTTCTCAAAGACAGGCGAGAACATCTCCGGAGTGATGATAGTCGTGTCGCCGTTCGCCCAAAATGTTTCGTAAAGCTTCTCGGCGATCGGAACAAGCTTCTCGGGTGCCTGTTGGGCAACCAATGCAAGGGCGGTCTGGAGGTGAACGGTCGATGCAGGGAAGCCCTTAGGGATCGAACGTGACATCGGGACATCGAATCGACGAGCCCAATACAGACGCTCGCGGTTCAGCCATGGTGACTTGTCTGTGACCCGAAACGGTTAGATCGGTTGGTGTACATGCATGACTCTCAAACTTACTCTTGACTGCAAGGGGAGGTGCGTTCTGGCACAGTTGAAAGATGTCTTTCATGGATGCGGGAATGTATTGAATCTCGCATTTTGAGAAGACGGGGGAGTTCTGCAAAGTCATCAGCAAGGCGAATGGATCTTGGTTTCCATAGATCCTACCTTCAGGACATGAAATGCGATGTGGCTAAAAGGACTGCCAATGTCAAAGTAGAGGGTGATCTGAGGAGCGCTCATTTTGCAACTGTGCTGATTCTTTTTGAATTTGCTTTTGTAGGATGTCTTATTCAACGAAACTATCACCGACTTTATAGAACTGAAGCATTGATTTATGATTATTCATCGTCTGCAAATTGAGTCACCGCTCCCATTGGTCCTCAACGGATTCTATACGATCGAGGAGGATCCGGGTGGGACCCACTGCCTTTGTTGGGAGCCAGCAAAGGGCAGCCAGCAGCCAGCAACGAGGAACCAGGAACCAGCAACTCTGGCTGTATCCCCAACCTGTTGCCGCCTTCCCTCACCTGAGTTTCAGGCAACTCTAAAGTCAGCGTCCTCTTCTCGGGAATTTCGATTTCTAGTATAGTCTTAATCCTATCGATTGTATCATGTTGTTTAAAGATCATAACATGAATTCGAATTGAAACGTCCAACTTTGAACATTTCAAGCAATTCTTGTGCGGGTCCCAAATAGCAAAAGGACATCTTCCGGGTGCACAAGACCGAGACAAAAGAGCTACTCGCGTAGAGTTTCCATTCTCAAACATTGCTCGCAGATCCTGAATTACATCGGATTTCTCTCAACTCGCTGATGTTGAGGGATTGCTTTGACTCCTCGGTATTGACTGCCTCATTGGATCTCAAAACGACGGATGGGTGGAAGGCGTTCATAACCACCATCACCAAGAACATCATCGTGGCATCAAAACCATACAGGAACACTTCATGGCCAATCAAATAGCCGTTGTTTCCCTGGGAAAACTCAATGAGACGATAAACCGATCGAATAAGGATCAACACACAGGCGGAGTACAGCGCAAATAGGAGGCCTCGCCAATCTCTCGGAATAAATCCACAAGAGCTAATTGCACTTTCAGACTCTGAAGTTGGCGACTGGTTGATTTGGTAGTGAAAGATCAATGAACTTGTCAAAAAAGCACCGAAAAAGACGAGCTGGACGCAGAGGCCTGCAACGATAACCCATTGACCAATGACCATGCTGTTTTGGAGACTGCTACTCATGATACCGCCACCTATATTATTAAGTAAATTTGATTGTCCAGGGAAAAGTATTGCAAGAATGTCATGTTTGTGACTTCCCACTTACCGGCGCCTTGAAGAAGGAAGGAGAGCACATCCCCAAGAACAAATATCTTGGTCATCAACTGAACAGGCACAAAGCTCAAATGCTGGCCATGCAAGAATATAATGATTCTTCCCAGAACCATATATATCGATGCCGCGTAGAGGGTCGGTGCCAGCAAGACGAATAGATTCTGCATCGCATATATTGTGGTGTTTTGTGTGTGGAAATGAGAAACAGCTCGTGCTCCATATCCGATAATTTGAACTATCAAGCATTTGCATATTAGGAAAGAACAATACTCTGAGTATTGGTTGAAAATAGGCTGTAAACTAACATATTCCTCCAACAATAAACGGGGTGAAGTATTTGGTATGCGTTCGTATGCGTTGAAAGAGGTGGAGGGCAGTGGTCAAGGAAAAAAGTGCAGCGAAGATCACTGCGCCTGCCAAAGTGGGCGTATAATGGTAGAGCACAAATTTGTAGTTAGAAGTCGACATTGTGGATAGGTGAAATGATCAAGATACCAAAATCGGTTTGTTGGACGAACCGGATTAAGAATGCTTTCTTAATCCATAGAGCCGGCAGAGGCAGGGAGTTTATATAGACTGATAATATTAAGAATTGAGTGAAATCTCTGATTGCACATCTTATTTTGATAACTAGGCAACGTTTAACCGAGAGGCAGTGAACGGTCCATGGGTTCTAGAAATCGAGATTAATCTTCGGGGGCTTAACATTGTGAGTATTCTAAGGCTACAGTGTAAATATCCGAAACCGAGTACGACAATTAGAAAGGAGCACTAGAAATAACCTTATCGGGGGCCCTGTCCAAGCAGCCAAGTGCAAGTTGACTTATTTTGACATGGTGTGGGGCCGGAGCCAAAGATAGACTTCGTATTCGGCATTCCTCGCTCGGGTTCGCGAGAGTAAACAACCGAGCTTCGGTGACAACCAGAGCGGTAAACCATTGTCAATTCATCGATAACATCCCGATGATATATCCAGATCCTGCAGCTGAAGAAATGCCATCAAAGAACAACCCCTCTCGCCTATCGTTTGTCCCACATTGGTGCATAGATCAGCATTGCGGGAGACATCCTATTGGCACCGATAGCCCCACGGGGACACTTGTCGACGCCGAACGAGGCAATAGTCGTCTCATGTCACTCTGTGCTAGATAACAACCAGTCCATTGACTAACATGTAAAGGTGGATACTTTAGTCTTCGCACAGCTTTGCCTCCGTGTCATTTTCGCAGCGAGGCCGAGGGGAACTCTCACCATAGCCACAATTTGACATCCCATAGTCATCCACTATGGCGGATCCACGCATAGACCAGGGGTACCAGTTGGGTGTCGACGTCGGTGGTACATTTACTGATGTTTATGTCCTCACCCCGCATGGGAAGACCGTTCGGGCGAAAGTCCCGACCACCATCCCGGATCAAAGCATTGGAATTCAGAACGGCATCGCCAAAGCCCGAAAGCTACTTGAAGAAGAGACTGGATGGTCGGGGACTTTTCAGTTTATCCATCACGGTACAACAACCGCTACCAATGCTGTCCTGGAGGGAAAGGGCGCCCGCACTGCGCTTGTGGTGACTGCCGGCCATAAAGATATCCTAGCGCTGCGCCGCTCGCAGATTCCCGGCGGTTTAGGCGCTTGGCTATATTGGACACCGCCGGAGCCTATTGTTCCTCTGGAACGAGTCGTTCAGTGTAAAGAGCGTATGTCAGTCCATGGTGAACAAGTCACCCCCGTGGACATTGACGATCTACGAGACGAGCTGCGTGAGCTGGCAAAGCAAAAACCAGAAGCTGTCGCTATTTCACTTTTGAACTCTCACAGCAATAACGAGCATGAGCGCGTGGTCAGCCAGGTCGTGCGCGAAGAGCTAGGCTCAGATGTCGCCGTGATTTGTTCGGCGGATGTCTTGCCTGAAGTGGGCGAGTATGAGCGGACGGTGACAACATGTACGAACACTCTCGTGAAGCCTGTCGTGCAGACTTATCTCCGCAATTTATCAGAGACACTTGCTACCGAGAGCGAGACGATCCGAGTTCTGAAAAGCGACGGTGGCTTGACCAGCTTGAATCTTGCTTCTGAACTACCAGTGAATATCCTGATGTCGGGACCTGCTGGCGGTGTTAAGGGAGTGGCTGACGTTGTTTCTCGAAACACTCCATACAAGAATTTGATTACTCTGGATATGGGTGGAACATCCACCGACTGCGCGCTGATTTATGATGGTCAGCCTCAACTGCGACGAGAAACAGTCGTCGGAAACCTGTCTGTTCGCTCCCCAGCCGTCGACATCAAGACGGTCGGCGCGGGAGGTGGCTCCATCACTACTTATATGGAATTGACCGAGACTCTGCGCGTCGGGCCTGAGAGTGCTGGTGCGGTTCCAGGACCCGCATGTTATGGGAAAGGAGGACGTCAGGCGACAGTGACTGACGCAAACTTGGTTCTCGGATACTTACCCAAAACGCTCCTTGGGGGTGATTTTGTACTAGATGTGGCAGCATCCATATCCGCCGTGGAGGATATTGCGTCTCAAATGGAGCTCCCTGTCACCCAAACAGCTGAAGATATCATCACTATCATCAATGAGACCATGTATGGAGCTCTGCGTCTGGTTTCTGTGGAGCAAGGATATGACCCTCGCGAGTTTGCACTCGTGGCTTTTGGAGGGGCTGGTCCTTTGCATGCCAACGCTGTGGGACAACTTCTTGGAGCGTGGCCTGTCATCATCCCTCCCTCTCCTGGCATTCTTTGTGCGCAAGGTGACGTTACCACCAAACTCCGCCATGAACAGTCGGCCACCTTCATTCACCTTGTCTCTGAAACCACTGCCAATCAAATTCGGGGCCAATATGAAGCGCTTGAGAAACAGTGTCAAGATACTTTACAAAAGTCATCCGGTGAACATTGGCCAGTCACCTGGAAGGCCGCGTATCAGGCGGATCTCCGATATAAGGGACAAGCTCTCACGATTACAGTCGATCTGACAGCCGATGACTTGGCCGCAGATACAGCTAATTGGCATGGTGTGCTTCGACAAAAGTTTGACCAGCAACATGAGCAGCTCTTTACTTATACCTTGCCCGACTTTGAGCTCGAGCTGATGCGTCTTGGCGTCGTGCTTGAAGATGCTTCGCCAGTCACCGATATTCCTCGGGTTTCCAAAGCGACAACTTCCGAGCCACCTGAAGAAGCAAAGATTGGAGAGCAGAATATCATCGTTCAAGGGAAAGAGCAACTCGCCACATTGTGGGATCGCCAAAAGATCAGCAGAGAGGGAATTAAAGTTCTGGGTCCCTGCATTATCTCTGAAATGGATAGCAACACGCTTGTTCTACCCGGCTACTATGGTGAGATCGACAGTATCGGAAATATCCTGATTAACCCCCAGAACCGGGAGCCAACTGCTGTCACAAATCATACAGCCGAATCGGCCAACAAGCTTGTCAAGTCTAGTCCTTTAATCCCGACTCTGATTTCTTCCACCCTTGGCTCCATCCGAGGCGAGATGGATCAGATGATGCTGCGTTGCAGTATGTCACCGGCAATTCGAGAACAACAAGACGAATTTAACGTCATTACCGACGCCAAGGGAAAGATGTTGGTGGGTCAATTTGGCAGCTTCATTACCGAGTTCCTTAAGGTATGGACAGGCACGATCGAGGAAGGCGATGTGTTTATCACCAACGACACCTATCAGGTAGAGGGTGCCATCAGCCACCTCAACGATGTGATCGTCTTTCTGCCCATCTTCCATGAGCATCGCCTTATTGGATATGCTTCTCAGTTTGGACACTTGACCGACGTCGGCGGTATCGTTCCCGGTAGCATGTCAATCAACGCTACCTCGGTGTTTGATGACGGTGTTCAGATCCCGTGCATCAAGCTCTACTCAAAGGGAGCTATGAACTCTGATATTGTGGAGCTTCTGTGTCGCAACTCCAGACAGCCGGCATGGTATCGCTCCGATTTGACTGCCATCATCGCTGCATGCTCCATGGCTGCGACCAGAGTGCGCGAGCTAGTCAATCGGTTCGGTCAGGAAGTGTATCTAGCTTCGTGTGACGAACTGCTATACCGAAATCGCACTGGTCTAGCGAAGCTTGTCGAGAGGCACTTTGATGATAAGGAAAGCAAGTTCACAGACTTTGTGGATGATGATGGTCATGGTGTAGGTCCTTGGGCACTCAGTTGCTCCATGAAGAAGGTGGATGGTAATCGCCTGAAGTTTGATTGGAGTGGCACATCCCCTCAGAGCCAACACAGCATCAACTTCTATTTGTCGGAGACCATGTTCAAGATGTTCATCGGGTACTATCTGATTGCGGCTGCCGCTCCGGGTACAGTGATCAACGATGGCTTCCACGATCTGATCGATGTACATATCCCCAAGGGAAGTGTTCTCAAGCCAGTTCGGCCTGCTCCAATCTCATGTCGCACACATCTTCTCGGGCGCACCTTGGATATTGTACAAGCTCTCATCGGCCAGAAAGACGACACATACCAAGCAGCAGCTGGCTTCAGCGACTCGCCCCACTTTTTCTATTCTGGATTCAAGCCCAATGGAGAGTGGTACCAGCTTTATCAGATTGGCTTCGGAGGTGTTCCTGCCCGTCAAGCCGGCGATGGCCCCGACTGCCACTGCCTCTTCCCGGCAATCAAGTCCATCCCAACAGAAAGTATCGAATTGAATTACCCACTGCGCATTGAGGCGAATGAAAGTATGGCCGACAGTGGTGGACCGGGCTATTACCGTGGAGGTAACGCGCAACGCACTCTATACAGATTCTTGGCTAGAGGAGAGTTCAGCGTTCATGATGATCGCTGGTTCACCAAGCCGTGGGGATTGAAGGGAGGCAAGCCTGGCCAGCGTTCTCGAAAGCTGCTTTATCGGCACTCCAAATCAGCGGATGCACCGGCGGAAATTCTACCATCGAAGTGTGACCATATCTGCGTTGAACCTGGTGACCTCTTAGAATGGATAACATGGGGTGGTGGTGGACTCGGCGACCCGTTGACGCGTCCAGCTGAGAAGGTTGCTCTCGAAGCTCACCGCAAGCTCGTCACAGTCAACGGAGCTCGTGATGGATACGGCGTGGTTATCAACGACGATTTTACGGTGAACGTGGCCGAGACGGAGGATCTGAGAGCACAGATGCGTCTAGAGCGCACTTCGCTTGGAGAAGCTCCGGTTTACGATAGGGGCGGAAGTATTGAGACCCTGCGGGAAAGTTGTCTTATGGAGACTGGATTGGAAGCTCCGCGGCCCCAGTGGGAAGCAGATCCCTATGGTCCGCATGTAGGGTTGGACTACGTGAAGGAATGGTACGCGGACATGAAAGTCAGCCCAGGATGGGAAGTCCAGTAGATGAACGTACGACAAATTCTCTGTTGGACCATACTTATTAATTCGATTGGAATGAGGAAACAGCTTAGATTTCATTGAGGAAGGAGCAACAACTCGGTTTTCTTGGCCCCCAATACTAGGTGAGACATTTTTGGGCCGCTTACTCGCAAGCGCAAGATAGTACCTATTGAATAGTCCGGCCTTTTTTCTGAGCCGGCAAGTGCGACTTGACTGATCTGAATGCTATGTAGAATTGCACCAATTCTTGGAAACTTTGTAAATGAGCTAGCGAGAAAGCGTCCCAGAGCCAGATAGCACCTAGGGAGATCATTAAGAAAGTCGTCTCTCCGATACCGACCAGTCCATGAATCTTTGGGAACAATTACGAAGTCATATTCATGTAATAGTGACCAAGCCTTTAACCCCCAAAACCATTGAAGTCAACGCATTGCGACACCAACAACCTACAGGACCGCCCGCTTCGTAGACATGCTGGCCGTCTGCTCCTCTCCAATGTGTATGGCCCAAGAAAAGTGAGTCCTCGAAAGCATAGAATCCCAAAATGTGTTGAACGACCACTTGAAATATGGGTCAACCTTGGTCTCCGGCTTGCTTCTAACCTTGGTTGATGTTTGAGGCTACGAGTCAGTGTAGGATTTGGAGTTCGTTTTTAGTATGGTGAGTTAAGAAGACAGCCAAACAGAATGCGAGCCAAAGATGTGTCATTAGTCCTCTGGAAGAGAGGAAGAGAACGAGTAGTCCCAAAACAGTTTAGTTGAAGCCCTATGAGGCCTCCGCCCGTTGATCAACAATGTGCCGCTTTAAGCGGCGCTGCAAACGGCAACGATCGTAGCCTCGCGGGGATAGCAGTCGGGCGTCACAGAGTTGATCGTCTTCATTTATTCAATCTTTCTCGATTTCATTGGACATATGACTCGGGCGCTGAACTCTTGAACAGCTGGACAGCCCTAAGACCTCCCACTCAGTCCCTTGATGAACGGACGGTGCTGATCGGCCCGCTCCCCACATCGAAATCCACGGCTGTCGTCATCTTCGGACTATTCACGTCCCCGAGTTGATTTAAATTGGAGCCTCTCCACGGTATTGTGTGCTCCGGGTTTGCAGTCGCCCTTGGCGTTGCCCTTGGCGTTGCTGTGCATTTTCATATTACGACGCGGTGGATTCACTCTTCCGTCCCGGTATCTTGGTATCTTGGCCTCTGCCGGTGGCGTGTGAACTGAACACTGTGGACAAAGATCATAGAACCTTCTTATTTTTCTTCCCGCCTTTCTCACTCCCTCTTCAGTCATCGTACCTTTGAACCGCCCCCATGCCCCTCACTATCCTCTCCGGGTCGCAGCTTCGCGCTCTGCTGCTCTCCCTCAACCGTGATGAGATCGTGAATCTGCAACGAAACCTCGCTGACGCCTTGCGAGATTACTCCACCGGAACGCAGGAACAAGGCTGCTCAGCAACTTATCAACCCCAGCGCACAGCCATCACCCGTCAAAATGGCTGCACCACCCTCTTCATGCCCGCCACCACGGGCCAGACACTCGGTATCAAGATGGTCTCACTGCAGGACGGAGGGACTGCGGGGTGCGCCGTGGAACGCAGTGCCCTGGAATTCAGCGATGGCGACGCCCCGTCCAGGCGGTCACGGAACTCCTCCGTTCGCAACTCGGTGGCCTCGCTCTCTTCCGATATGAGTGACCTGTCTGTGGAGTCCTCGGTGGAAGATAGCAACTCTACAACTACTGGAACTAGCGGGACTGGAGACAGCACTGACGACTCGACCCTACTCTCGGGATGTGTCAATCAGCTACCCGTCAACAGTCCGAGTATATCGAAGACTATGGGGGCTTGGCCCGGCGTGGGCACGCGGGATACCTCGCCAAGAGGTAGTGTCACACTCTTGGATAGCCAGAGTCTACCCTTTGGGCTCATAAATGCCCATGAGCTGACAGCCTTCCGCACTGCGCTGGCTTCGCTGATGATCTTCAACAAGCGCAAGAAGGTCCGCACACTTTTGGTGTTCGGTGCCGGTACCCAGGCTTATTGGCATATTCGGCTGGCGATGATTCTCCGCGGCGACGAGATCCGTCGGGTTTACATTGTGAATCGATCATTCGACCGTGCTGCGGAACTTCTACGGGATATCTACCAGCCTGAGAATGCGAGCTGGCGCGGAGAAGCCAAATTCTCCGCGATGAGCACCGACTTTGGCGAATACGGTCGAATTCTGAAGGAGCATGTCCGCAAGGCAGACGTCATTTTCTGCTGCACTCCCTCCGCCGAGCCACTCTTCCCGGCGGAATACCTCACCTCTCGCGAGGGCCGCCAAAAGGGCCGGTTGATCAGTGCGGTCGGGTCCTACAAAGCACACATGGCCGAAGTCCATCCCGACATTCTCCGAGACGAGGTCAATGTTACACCACCCCACCGTCACTTCCACAAGCATACCCGACGAAGCGGAGTCGTGGTGGTCGATAGTCTAGACGCCGCTATGAAGGAAGCCGGCGAGATCATCCAGGCCGGAATCAAACCTAAGCAAGTAGTCGAGCTGGGTGAGCTCATGATGGTCCGTCACGCAACTCACAACTTGAGTGAAGAAGAAGCCGCCGAAGAAGAGAAGAGTCTGCGCGAGTGGGTGGAGCGGGGAAATGTTATCTACAAGAGTGTCGGGCTGGGCCTGATGGATCTGGTCACCGGCGGAGATCTGGTGCGCTTGGCGCGCGAGCGCAAATTAGGGACCACCGTGGAAGATTTCTAGAAGAACTTCTAGAGGACTGTTTGTTTGTATTGCGTACCTGTCTTTGTAGTATACCCTGTGTCATCTCTTCACAATCGATGCTCCTTTCCCGAAAGACCTCACTGGTCATCCCTCGTACCGTCGAATTTCCCGCGAAAAAAAAAAAAAAAAAAAGAAGTCAATCGTAGATGTGGCCCATTTTCCCTTGCAAAGTTCACGCTATTCTACACGTTTCCTATTGGAAACGTGTATGAATGTGTATGTTGAAGTCGCTGACAAAATCGTGACACTTGTATGGCGCGTGGCATGATGTACGGGAGCCTGCGTCATTGCTAACATCATACAGTCAAGGTACACCTCGCATTTCCTTTCTTTAAGAGGGGATGTCACCCCTCAGGTCATTACTCATTTCATCTTGATCGGCATACTCGCACTAGGGCTTTCGTCTTTTCCTTGACACAACCCTATTCTTCTCCGATCAGGCTATTGGCGCATTGTCACTCTGTATCCCCGCATCGGTGAGGGGCAGCGCTGAGGCGAAACGAGCTTTTTCGTCTATCTAAAGCGTTTTTTAAAGAAGAAAGACACTGCTCTAAGATCAGGAGCAGCAGTCTCGCTTAACACCATGCGAAACACAACCTGTTTTCTCCCCAATGGACTCACGTTCACCGTGTCACCCGTTTTTGGTGGGGTCACGTTTAAAGCGAACGACGCGAGCGCTCACAACTCCACCTTCCCACCAGGTTGGACGATTATCATCCACACAGAGAAAGCTGCTGGAAAGTCTCCTGAAGAACGAGGCAGGACAGGCTCTGAAAATGGCCTCCCCGCTGCGAGCAATGACGACCAAAACTTCTATCGCTTTACCCACCCCACCTTGAATCGCGACTGCCTGTACATCTCCTACATCGTCAACCCACCCTCCAGCGAATACAAGCCCGCCACCTCCCCCACCCGGCAGATTGCCATGATGCTCTGGGCCACTATGTGGTGGTACTTCCACGAGCCCGAACCGGACCTGCACCTGGACACAGCAGCATCGAGCGCGACACCACTCGCCGGAAAGCCAAAGGGAGATTGGCGGGTGAATATCAAGCGCGAGGGAATCTTCAAAGGCCGAAACCTGCTCCAGAAGCTTGAACGAATGGGCCTGATATCCAGCGAAGACTCCTCCGTCGGGTTCCAACCCGTCGAGACACGCGACTCAAGCAGCTGGTCCAATATGTTCTTGAGCCGTCGCAGCTTCTGGCAGCTCGATCCGCGCCTTTTCCTATTCACTCTCGCACCCCGTGCGCCTCTATCACCTTCCTTGACTCCCCTCCAGTCTCGGCATGCTTCTCCTGCCCGCGATGTGCTGCCCAAAATAGGCATTTTGCCGCCAACGGAAGCAGTTTTCCATACTGCGAATGTCCCCGCATTTAGCTCTAACGGTCCTTTCACGTCGGCGAGTCACTTGCCTACGTATTATCCGCCTGCACCCACGCAGTATACATTTACCAATGGAGTGCGCCATCCTATTCGATCGAAGCCGCCGCACCAAGGCGAGGTGTTTTACGTGCGCTATATACCCAGCGTGGGCCAGTGGCTATCGTTTCGAGTGCCGTTCCTCCCTATGACCAAGTCCACGTCAGCTCCGGGATCTAGCTGTGAAAGTCGGCCGCAGACACCTAAGGCTGTGAGTTCCTCGGTCACAGGGATCGAGCAGCATCTCTTCCAGAATGTCTCGTCTGATTTGGATACCTTGCATCGGTGGATGAACGATCCTCGAGTTGAAGCGGCGTGGGGTGTTGGCGGAGAGCACTCTGTACAGGAAAAGTTCCTGCTACAGAATTTGACCAGTCGGCATAGTTTCCCTGTTATTGGATGCTGGGATGGTAAGCCATTTGGGTACTTTGAGATCTACTGGGTGAAGGAGGATGGACTGGGACGGTTATTGGACCGTGTGGATAACTATGATCGGGGTATTCATCTTCTGGTCGGTGAACAGGAGTTCCGGGGTTCGCATCGCGTTGCCATTTGGCTGAGTGCCTTGGTGCACCACTGCTTTGTGTCGGATATGAGGACTGAAGCGATTTACCTCGAGCCGCGGGTGGATAATACCAAGTAAGTGCGAGAGATATTTATCCCGGAGCAAATGCTAACCACTATCCAGGCTCATCGGCTACCTACAAGATGCAGGCTTCTTTAAAGAAGGCGAAGTAAGCTTCCCCCACAAGCGCTCCGCTGTGATGAAGATCAAGCGCGAGTTTTGGGAAGCTCCGGCTCTATAGATGGAAGCATTTATCTGTCAATAATATACATGACGAGTAACGAATAGCTTGCCTGTTTCTTTCTCTCCTTCTCTCCTGTTCGTTGTTTATCTCTGTCCGGATGGGCGTTTATCATGCGTTCTCATGGCTGGATAGATGAATTTACTCTGGTCTTGATCTACATAGTCTACAGTTCGTCCCGGAATTGGTGCGACCACCTACGCTCTCCGATTGGTTCTCCAACCCTAATGCCAAGTCATATTAATCTATATCTCGAGTTCTTCTAAAGTATTCCTGCTAGTTAGAAACGTATTGCGTCTTCCTTCAATTTAACTATATTTCAAATTACATCTTAGCTTGCAATGAATCGATGGGACCTCCAAGCCCATCTAGAACAAATAGCATCCCTCTGTATATTGGATCACACAATACTTTTCCAACCGAAAATGCTGTAGCCTCGATCCGAACTTATGGGCATCAATCTCAAAATCATCATCGTACCCCTCAAATTGATCCAGGCTTGGACAGACAGTCAACAGTAGCTTATGCCCAGCTTCTTGAGCGGCGGCCTTGACAAGACTCTTATACTCAACCTCGTCCTTTTCCATCATACGCTCTGGCCCATCAGGGTGTTGCCACTGTATGCAAGGTTCTTACTGAGATCCAACGCTCAGTTTGATCAGAGCAAGGTGTCACTCGGGCACAGGGCTGTTCAAAGCAAAGCAGCTTATTTTCTGAAATAAGCAAAGATCTAGAAGGCCCGTGTCAGTTGGGGACAGCTGTACCGGAACATCCCCATTCCGGGGCTATTCTACATATAGTATAATGTGGCTTTAGCATTAGGATTGGAGATTAATCGCAGAGCGTACGTGGTCGCACCGGCTTCGGGACGTACTGTACTAATAAAACACCGTCCTCTCCTAGTCTCCGCATCAACTCTGAAGGCAATCGATCAGCCTCCGGGGCATTTGCGGGGTCTTCCCCGCGTCCGGGGTCGGTGATTTTCGGTCCTCAGCCAGATATCCATACTTCAACTTATCCGCATCCCTGAGCACTCCCCTCTAACCAAACCTCAAACATCAATCCATCCATTGATTCAAAATGAACACCCAAATCCTTAAAACCATAACCCGCCGCCCAAGAGGCACAATAGCCCACCTAACAGTATCCCGCCCATCAAAATTAAACGCACTAAACACCTCCCTCCTCCTCTCCCTCTCATCCACCCTCAAATTCATAGAATCGTCCAACAAAGACCTCCTCGCCGTGGTCCTCACAGGCGCTGGACCCAAATCATTCATCGGCGGCGCCGACATCGCCGAAATGGCTTCTCTAGACTCACCTTTTGCAGCACGGGAATTCATTTCCAAGGTCTCGGATGCGTGTAGTGCAGTCCGCAACTGTCCGGTTCCTGTCATCGCGCGCGTGAATGGGTACGCACTCGGTGCGGGATTGGAGATTGCGGCGTGTTGTGATCTTAGGATTGCGAGTCGGAATGCGGTTTTTGGGATGCCTGAGGTAGGTACATTATTCCGTTCCATGTTTCATGGATGTGATTTAGTTACGTGACTTGATCTAACGAAGGAAGGTTCGGGTTGGAATCCCTAGTGTTGTTGAGGCGGCGCTACTTCCTGGATTGATTGGATGGGGCCGGACGAGACGGCTTCTTATGCTTGGGGAGAATATTGGTGCTGAGGAGGCGCTGAACTGGGGTCTTGTGGAGAAGGTTGTTGAGACTGAGGAATTGGATGATGCTGTTGAGGGGTGGTTGGGTCTGTTGGAGGGGAATGGGCCTTTGGCTGTGCGTAAGCAGAAGGCTTTGATGAGGATCTGGGAGGATTCGTCGCTGGATCAGGCTATTCGGGCCGGTGTTGATGCTTTTGGGGAGTCTTTTGTTACAGATGCGCAAGGGGAGACGGAGCCGAAGAGGATGATGGGCGCCTTTCTCAAGGGGAAGGGGAAGAGGTCTTGATTGTTTTTGACTTCAATTTGATGTCGTGTTCTGCATTATGAACAACCCAACTGTTCTCCACCATCTGTATCCCTTTTCGGTGCCAATGCATCCTAACGTACACGTCATCCCAATCCAGGTATTATACATCCTCCGCTCTATACCATCCAGTCATAGACAAGCAGTTCACAGCTTGAACTTGAGCAAGTTGGAGATCATCTCACGGCCGGTAATGCGCGTGGTCGCCCAGAGAGTAGGGAAGTCCAGCGTGGACGAGAAGGTATCGGCGTAGCCGAAGAAGAGCATGGGAGGGATCCAGCCACGGGCGTACTCGAGCGCGAAGCACGACGATTCCATCTTGTACTGCTTGACCTCACCGCGACGGAGATGGTGCACGGTACCGGCAGGGTAGGACTCGGCTTCGAAGGCACCAGGGACGTAGGCGAGCTGGGTGCCGTGCAGAATGTTGAAGTAGTCGTCCGCGGTGTGGCGGCCAGTGTGGCCCTCGGTTCCAATGGCGGTGCCGAAGATGATCAGGTACTCGGTGATACCTTGGAGGTGTTAGTCAATTGGAATTTGAAGAAAGGGAGTAGGACGTACTGGCGTGGATAATATACATAGCGCCCATGGCACCACCGGCGTTATTGAACACCCATTCCTGCTCGAAGTTCAGGTGGTCCGGGCCGACCTTAGTCTCGAGCTCGGAGACAATGAAGTTGACGACGGATTGGGTGTCCTCGCCATGGGTCTTGATGGCACGCTGCGACAGGTCGTGCAGGTGCTCTGGGTCGAAGATGTAGAACTGGTCCAGGCGCGCGTCGAGGAAGCTGTAGACGGCGGAGAAAAGAGCCAGGAAGACGGCGAGGATGCTGAGGTTGCGGAGGGAAAAGCAGCGACAGCCGCAACCCGAAGGCTTCGTGGAGGACTTGGAAGGCATCTTGAGGTTGTTTCGAAGGGAGGCTCAGAAGCACAAGATACAAAAAACACCCCTAGCAAAATCCCCGGAGTTCCACTTGTGGGGCCTTTTTTTCAGCCCTCGATGAACACCCTTATTTTGCAATTGAAAAGAATGAGGATGAGGATGAGAAGGAGAAGGAGAAGGAGATGAAATGAAATCAAAGGGACTCAATTGGATTATTCCATTTCTTGACAGTCTACCTCTGCCTTTTAAATCTACCTGGCCGTGAAGCTGGGATGAACTTCGGTGTCCGCGGGTGAATCTGCAGCCCACACGCCATGTCGGACCGCCGCAATCCGAATCGTAACCACGATTATTGGCCATTGCTTCAATGCTTCCTGAATCAAGACTTGGCACACAGTTCTCTCAGATAGGATACCTCTCTAGTTCTGTCCAATTGTCCGAGGGATTCCTGGACCCGTGATCTCCAGTCTTAGGGATGTCCACCTGGGCACAGGTACCGACCGAGCCGAGCGCAATCAATAGGGCCGAACAAAGACCTGTGTACACAGATTTTAAAGATCTATTCGAGATACGAGTTCTATTTATTCTTTGTTTATATTCAGTTATAGCCAGAAGTTGAAGATATTTTAAATCCAAGTTAGATTTCAAGAGCATTTGCGTGTCACCGCTAGTAGCCTTCGGAAGTTCGTACCAAATATATATTTGCAAGTCACTCCCTGGTACCTGGGCACCAGCAGGTGTCACGTTTTGTGTTTTGATTGAAAATGATTGCAAACTGACTCAAAGACATATTGTTGCTCAAAAACACCCTGAAGGGTTAGAGTAAATCGGCTCGTTTAATAATCCATCCTTGAAAGTTATCTGCCCAGGTGTTGGCATACCCCAACATGCGCTGATCATCACCAGCTCCAAAGCGGCCCTTCCTCCGGAGTCATGCAGAAACCAATTTATTGATACCTCGAGCCTCTCATACAACTCACACCCCGGGGTCAATGTCCTGCAGAAACAGGATGCGGGGTGCATATATGAAAGGGGTTCATAGGCTAGTCACTATGATGATGTGACCAAGGCTTCTTCGATACAAATGTTCCGCCAATGCCAGGAAAAGCTTGAAGCTCCCTGAAGATGATCAGCAAACGTCGTTCAATAATGGCCCAGTTATGCATATGACATCGACTCCTGGTTCTTGTCGGACTTCCCTACGCTTTCTGACCTCGAGATTCAGGGGTGAGAAGCTCGACACAATGGCAGACGCCCCTGAAGCACATGGCCCAACTGACAGGTCTCGATCGCTCGGATTCTTAATTGAATCCCTGAAGTCGTTCGGAAGATCCTCGGCATGTCCAAAAAAGAAGTTCTGACCGTGTTCTCGATCCAGAGGGCTCCGCTGAGCGGGCCGACGCCGTCGTCTCAGATTCGCTGTTTACGCCCGGAGTCCTTCCGGAAACTGCATAGAAGCTCCAGCCGAACGGTACTACCGGGATAAACCCTCAGTCGCGGAAAAATTCACGGCAAAGTCTATTCAAGGAACAAGGTCTCAAAGCTTAAAGTTCATCTATTTGTCCTGACGACTGTCGAAATACCCGGTGGAGTCCCCGGCGATTTGAGATGAGACAGGACTGCTCCGTGCTCTATACGGAACAAGCATCCACTGCTCCGCGGTGGGACTCGATCGCAGATTATAAAGTCATGTAGACGCCGTGACTGTCTAACCGTTAAAACACAATCCAAACCACCTCTGGAATTCTCTCATTCTTTACTGCTGGCCAGCCAATTATTCACCTCCAGACCATCACCATGAAATCCTTCATCACTCCTCTGTCGCTCATTTCCCTCGGCCTCGCCAGCCTCGGCAGTGCCGCTACCATTCCTACCAAGAGCCTGACTCGCCGCAGCACCGAAACCTGCGACCAGTGGGGTACTATCGAGACCGGCAGCTACATCATCTACAACGACCTCTGGGGCCAGAGCTACGATGAGTCCGGCACCCAGTGCACCACCGTTAATTCCCTGAGCGGCAGCACCATCTCCTGGTCCACCTCATGGTCCTGGTCCGGTGCTTCCACCCAGGTCAAGAGCTTCGCCGACGTCTCTCTGACGTTCACTGCTAAGACCCTTAGCAGCATTAGCAGCATCGACTCAGTCTGGAAGTGGAGGTAAGAAATACCCCTTCAAGAGATACCCAGCTTTTCTGACCCGTCAACAGCTACTCCACCACCGATATCGTGGCCGATGTCTCCTACGACATGTTCCTGAGCTCCAGCGCTTCCGGCTCCGAGGAGTACGAGATCATGGTCTGGCTCGCTGCCCTGGGCGGTGCAGGCCCCATCTCCTCCACCGGCTCTGCCATCGCCACCACCACCATCAACGGCGTGACCTTCAAGCTGTACAAGGGTCTCAACGGCTCCATGACCGTGTACAGCTTCGTTGCCGAGTCAACCACCGAGAGCTTCTCCGGTGACATGCTGAAGTTCTTCACCTACCTGATTGACAACGAGGGCCTGAGCTCCAGCCTCTACCTGATCGATGTCCAGGCCGGTACCGAGCCATTCACAGGCACTGCCGATCTGACTGTCTCCGAGTACTCCGTCACTGTCGCTTAAGAAGTTAGAGATCATGCGATCGAGGACGCATTTCGTTACGCGTAAATAGTCATCGTCAAAGTCATATTCATAGTCTTAGTCGAAGATCTGGCATCGACTTATTGACCGTATCATTGGATGGACTCGAAGTAGAGTGACGTAGCAAGTTTTTTGCTTGATCCATAATTTATTTCGCGGGCTGTTTCAGCCCGACGCCGTTTGGCCACCGTCTCTCCGCTTACCGCTGGCTTAACTGAAGCAGAACGCCATGCCACCCTGAAACGGAACCCTGTTTCAAGAGCGCTGTCGTTCGTCACCAGTGGCACCATTGGCCCATGCTTGCAACGGCCGGAACAAGCGGAAAAGACACGAGGAGTCAGATAAAGTCGAGCGAGACGCCGAGTGTCTTAAAAGACATTAGTGCATCCAAAGAGATCGTTCGATGAAATCAAATCAATGTAACTCTCCCAAATCATTTCGCGATGACTCCCCGGGTAGGACATGGTCGCATTGTGCACCGTACTTTGTAGCGCGGATGGGGAACGTCAAGAGGCGCCAGAATCGAGCGCGTAGGTTCTAATAATAACCACCCTGTTCTAGCACTAGATTAGGCCGTCCATTTCACCTAGAAGCGCCCGCCCCCAGAGAATCAAAAGGGCAAGCGCTCGGCGGGTGGAGGGCCGGAGGCGCTGGGGAAGGGCGCTTATATAGAAGTCGTAGAGAACATGGCCGAAAATAGCCTCCGCGAGTGCTTTTTTTAGACCCAAATGCAGGTCGGCGCAGGTCGGAACAGCCGAGAGTGCAGATGCATGCATCTGAAGAAACCTGCGAAAAGGTGGGCGCGACCCGATACATCCATCTTGGCTCTGTTCCCTCCCCGCTCCAGGAGAGGGGCAGAGTCCCTTGGAACAGAATCGATCTCATGCGAGGTGCACGCACTATTCGATGACCCTTTCTGACATGTCAGGCATTCGAATACGCGTGTGTGACAGGGGTCATTTGGCATGAAGGCAGGGATCCGATCCCGCACAGACAAATCTGTCAGGTTCGACCCGTTCGTCATTATTATTGGGGGTCGCGGGCGCCAAATTGAAACGCGACTTGCCACATTGTTGCAAGCTGGAGAACCTGCCACCAGGCCCATAGGTCACTTTGCTCTGGACACTAGGCTCTTTTTTTTTTGTCTTTTTGTCTTTTTGTCTTTTTTTTTTTTTTTCAGCTGAGTCGCAAATCACCCCTTTCCCCTAAATCCGGACCTGGATTCATTCTCTAGGATCGTTGAGTGTTTCGTGCCCTGGAGGGGGCGCGTATACACTCGGAGTACCGTAGACACCTAGGTAGGAGTTGACGCTATTGCAGACGGGATGGAATCCAGTCCTGGTTACCTCGGCGTCTCACTCCTGAGACGGTCGCGGGTTTCACCAATTTTACCCATAGTAGTGATGGGTTTAGATGGGTAGGAGGCTGGCTCCAATTCTAGCACAGGCCCGCTCCACCGGGTGGGCCTAGCGTTGATCTCCTCGCGGCGGTGGAGTTGTGTCAATTGTGGCCTTTTGCCCCATTCTTCCCCAGCGCTTCGAAGGACTTCTATTATTGGGAAGAATTGGAGATAGAGATGGCATTCATGCTAGGATAGATGAGTGAATGTCGTCAGCACTTCGCCAGGTGAAGTGCTATCGGGAGGCGGGTTGAATCTAGGGATGCAGCACAGACAGAGTTGATAGCAAATAGTTACATACTCGCGTACTAGTCTGGCAACTTTCTTTTGCAGTGCCTCGAACCGTGCAATCGCGCTCCACTACATTCCAGAGGACAACCCAAGCCCCTCTTTTGCCCCAGGCAAAGGTTCGAGCATCTCAGATCCAACTATGCAGGTTTACTCGCGCTCCTCCGCGACTTGCCCCCCCTAGCCCCGTCCTGTCCAGGACTTCTGACTGGACCATGCACACCTTGCAGCTCCTGAGTGCCCCCATCCAGCCGCCCTCTGAATGGCGCATACCGGAGCTATATCTATCCCCAAGTATTCCCACACCCAGATTCTTCACGGGATTCCTTCACATGCCCAACGTCGTCACCCATCCTTTCCTTTCCCTTTAATACCGTCGTTGTGACCCGATCGCTCCCTCAGGCTCACCAAGACACACATCAATAATTGTTCCACCGTTCCTCAGTTTCATCGATCTATTGCCCCAGTAGCCAAATTACTGTGGACGCTGTCTCTCGGCTGAAAATTCTCCGCTTCGGCAGGTCTCACTATTCTGGAGAAAGTCAGTTAGGGCTATCGCTCGATAACAGGGTTGACACGACAACCTCAACTATCCTTACAGCAACATTCTTTTTCCTCCAACTACTTGACATCGTCCATTCGTCCTGCCGGTTCAGGAATTTGGCGTGCTATTTGATTTCCATTATCTCGACTGCCATCTGCTTCTGCTTCTACTTCTGCTTTGTTCTTTGTTTCATCGATACCCGACACAAAGCAAAGTTCCATTGTCTTTAATTGTTCCCTTGTCAACCTGCAACTCGCTCGAGATTGAGCTTGACCTTTTATCTGCTTTTTAGTTCTCGTCGTGGGACTTTTAAAGCAGCAAACCTTCCGCCGCCCTATACCATATACCCTATACAGTGGTCACAATGAACACAGGCAACATGAATCACCAAGCATTGAACCGAGCAGCGCTCGATTCCTTCGTCACTCAGCGAGTCTCGCGAGAGATGGTGACGTACCTGGCACAGCAGGCATCACAGGTCATCCGATGTGAGGCCCATGTGACCAACACCGTCAACCAGCACGGCCAACCCACACCTCCCTCTACTCCTCCTTTGGACCCAGCCGACCAGCTGCCTCCCCTTCCCTCCATCGAAGAGTTCATTGCCTCCCTGGTCGCCCGCTCCCAGGTCCAGGTGCCCACCCTCATGAGCTCCCTCGTCTACCTTGGCCGTCTACGTGACCGTCTTCCCCCGGTCGCCAAAGGCATGCGTTGCACTGTCCACCGCATCTTCCTCGCCTCGCTCATCCTTGCCGCTAAGAATCTGAATGACTCCAGCCCTAAGAACAAGCACTGGGCTCGGTATACTGTGGTGAAGGGATACCAAGGCTTCGGATTCTCCCTGCCTGAGGTGAATTTGATGGAGCGTCAGTTGCTCTTCCTGCTCGACTGGGAGACTCGTGTGGCCGAGGAGGATCTTTTCACTTTCTTGGATCCTTTCTTGGCTCCTATTCGTCAACGACTGCAGGCCGTTGAACGCCAGCGCAAGGCCGAAGAGGAGGAACTTCAGCGCAAACAACAACACCGTGAATGGTTAGTACCAACTCGAATATGCATGCGTGTCTGGTGGTTATCAATGACTAATTTTAATAATAGGCGTCGTCTTCACCAATCTGCGGATATGCTGGCCAGCCGCCTTCGTCGTCAGAAAATTGATGCTCGTGGTGACAACCGAAGGGCCGTCGACAACTCCCTTCGTCGTCTTCCCAGTCATGTCTCCTGCCCTACCATCCACCACACAGACCACTCCCCCCAGTTCATCGCCGAACATGAACGCTACAATCCTTATCCTCGAACACGCTCATCACCTAACCGCCCTGGCCGTTCCATCTCGCCTCCCTCCATCCGAGATGTCCCCGGCCTATCTCACGCAGAGACATTCAACTCGCTGTGCTCTCGCTCATCCAGCACAGCCCCCAGCTCCCGCGGCACCCCTGCCAGTATCAGCACATGCTCGTCTCACGGGAACGACGATGTCATGCTTACCGACCCGAGCTCCAGCCCCTCTGTTTCCTCCCTGGCATACAGTTACGTCAACGTCGGCCACATAACGTCCAAGCAAGCCTTCGAGCCCGCCCGCCAACCTTCCAAGAAAATGAAAATCAACGGCCACTCCCACAGCGGAGGCTTTGTGGCACGCTTCTTGGCCTCAGCCACCGGCTCCTACATGGGCAGCCGCATCGGTCGTCCCCACGCATAAGTCGAGCCGGTCTCGGCTTGTGACCGTTCCTTTTTGATCTCACCCATACTCCCCTATTTATTACCCTTCGTCTCCTACCCATTTATTTCACTTTCCTGGCAAAAAGCATTATACCGTTGATACGCATCTTTTGTGACAATACCCTTCGTTTACGCTACCGCCTTTTCCTATCTATTGACATCCATGTCCACATTCTAGACATGTTTCCTATTCTCACACTCTTTATCACTGCATTTACACACGGCGGCATTGGCGTTTCTGGTCTGGTTTCTTTTCTGGCTCTTGGTTCTGGTTTTGGACTCAGGTTGGGATGGAATGCTCTCTAGACGTTTGATGTATCTTACGGATGTATTTATCCCTTTATTCCATAGTCCCGGCGTTGGACGTACCTATAATGATACTTCATACCTGTGAAATTTTTCGCCGTACTGTTGGCAAAATTCTCCGGACGGAATAGTGTTCAATAATTTGCATGCCTTGCTGATCCGCTCCCGCTTGCGAAATTGCGTCACGCAGATCCTTGATCTTCGGCGGGAGGCTTGCCTAGAAGCTCTAGCTTGGCGTCTCGCGTATCACCCGCATTAGTCTATGGACATCCGTAGACATAACTTTTTGCATCTAATAGCAGGCCATTGCACAATACCAGCCAGCCTTCCAGCCTTCCAGTGACGTCCCGGTTGTATTCAAGTCACATAGCCAGAAGCGTCGAGGAATGCAGGGTGCAAGCCACACCCCGCCGACATAGCAAAGTAACCGAGAACGAGATCAACCCAATACAACCATTCTCCCTTCCTGGTTATCTAACACACCTACTATCGCCCATGCCCGAAATGGACATACCCAGTGGAATGCCTGCGCCATGGCTATTTATGCTGAGCAATCTTACGCACAATCTCCGAAGTGAGGGCTGAATATTGAACTAGCCGGTATGAGTCTCAGAAAGTAAAGTGAGGCACTTAGGCTAGCTCTCCTGCTGTTCCGTCCTCTGAGACATGATTGAATTTTCGCTGCAGATGCAGAATGGATTTTCCATGGGACTACCGATATAGTACCAGGTCGATTGTTCTGACCTTGTAGAAGGCAGTGGACGTATCTGTAAACTACGGTTGGCCAATGGTGGGTCGAGCATGAGTGAAAGTGGGCCGATTCGATCGTCCCTGAGATTGGTGGTTCGTGGTTTGTCATTTGTTGACTCAATCAACGTTTGGCTGTGGAGCAGCCACCTACAGCCAAATATCCAAATATCCGAATTTCATCAACCGGAGCGCTGCATTATAGCGTCTGAGATGGGAGGATTTGACTCTCGTGTTTGTCAGCAAGCCCCAGGCAGCACCCTGAAGCAGGAAATTTAGTGTTATTATTAAGCGAGCTCGTTTGACGGAGTGGGTCCCTCCGTATTGGCCGTGCTGCCTAGCAAAAACCTCTATACTATAAGAGTACTTCTCTCTCCCTCTCCTCTTTCACTACTCTTGTTTCTATAATCATACCCATTCCCATCAACAATCATGCCGACATTCTGTGGTTGCTGTTTTCTCATGGACCAAAAGTGGCAGTATCTGCCTCAAGTTGCCCTGGAAGCCCATGCAACAATCTTATCCTCTGCTGCACGAACGACTCTTACCCAGACATTCACGAATCCATCAAACCAGGTCCTTCAAGAGGTTTCTTACAAGTTTCCTCTTTACGATGGCGTTAGTGTTGTCGGTTTTCAGTGTCAGGTCGGCAACCGCCTCCTCCATAGCAAAGTGAAGTCAAAGGCGCAGGCCAGCGCTGATTACGACCATGCCGTGGCAAATAGGCAGTCGGCAGCTATCATGGAGCACGCGACCCAAGAGAACGATGTATTCGTCATTCGAATCGGTAATGTGCATGCCAACGAGATAATCACCGTTGACATTACCTTCATTGGCGAACTCAAGCAAGATGCTCAAAACGATGCAGTTCGCTACACACTACCCAATTCTATCGCACCTCGTTACTCAAATGGAATCAGTCTTTTTGATATACACTCGTCATCCTTTTTCCATGGTAGCTCCCCGGCACAGCTTCAAGGAATTTCCATCACAGTCGATGTGCAAATGGAGAAAAACTCCATCATCCGGGAGCTGCAGTCTCCAAGTCACTCTATCAAAACCTTCCTCGGTCGGACATCTTCCACGCCCAAGGATAGCTTTTCATTTGAGCCATCTTATGCATCTGCCACTCTTCAACTCGCCAAGGACAACCAGCCTTTGCTGGAGCGCGACTTTGTTCTGGTTGCCAAAGCCGATGGACTCGATAATCCTCGTGCATTGCTGGAGACTCACTCAACTATTCCAGGACAGCGTGCCTTGATGGCTACACTTGTCCCAAAATTCAACCTGCTCCCTGCCCAGCCAGAAGTCGTCTTCGTGATTGACCTCAGTTGTAGCATGCATGATAAGATCAGCACCCTTCAGTCCGCTTTGAAGATTTTCTTGAAGTCTCTGCCGCTTGGGATCTGCTTCAACATTTGCTCATTTGGAAGCTACCATTCCTTCTTATGGCCAAAAAGCAAAATCTATGACAATTCGAGCTTGCAACAGGCTCTACTCTACGTCGCCAGCGTGGCTGCTAACATGGGTGGCACAGAGATGCAGCCAGCAGTCGAGGCTGTTGTGAACAACCGTCTCAAGGACAAAGACCTGGAAGTTCTCCTACTCACCGATGGGGAGATCTATAACCAACAGTCTTTCTTTACCTTTGTCCGTAACGCCGCCGCCGATAATACTGCGCGCTTCTTCTCCCTCGGTCTCGGGGATGCAGCCTCCCACTCCCTTATCGAAGGAGTTGCAAGATCTGGCAACGGATTCTCGCAGTCGGTCCTTAATGGCGAAGAACTCGATCGAAAGTTGGTCAGAATGCTGAAGGGAGCTCTCACGCCTCACATCTACGACTACAAGCTTCATGTGGAGTATGATATCGTGGTTGGTGATGATTATGACGTTGTGGAGAACATTGATCACCCCATGCAGGACTCTGAGACCGAGATTGAGGATGAACACCCCAAAGCTCAAGCCCTTCAGGGACCCATTTCGCTATTTGATGACAACTACAAGGAATCTGACGCAGAACTTGGAGCCACCCGAATCCCAGCTGACATAACTCTTCCCAAGCTGTCACCTCCCAAGGATCTTCAAGCTCCATACAAGATCCCCCCTCTCTACCCCTTCATCCGGAGTACAGTCTACCTCCTTCTGAACCCCCAGTCTGCTGATTCTGTCCCCAAATCACTCACATTCAGCGCCACCTCCAGGCAGGGACCACTGCAGCTACGCATCCCCATCAGTGACTTCGGTAAGGGCGAGACCGTTCACCAACTTGCATCCCGCAAAGCAGTTATCGAACTCGAGGAACTGCACGGCTGGCTGGAACAATCGAAGGACTCAAAGGGAAATCCATTTACTCAATTTCACTCTGATACACAGAGACGACTCGCCATCCGCGAATGCCAGGCTCTGGGAATCAAATACCAGGTCACAGGCAAACATTGTTCGTTCGTTGCTTTGGAAGCTAGCTCTACCTCTAAAAATGATCAAAAGAAGCAGCCGGTAGAGTTTGAAGCCGAGACCATTCATCAAGGTGCGTACCAGGGGGTTCGACAGCCAATGTTCTCCTCGCTCTTCGGAGGTGGTGGGAGTGCTCTGCAGTCTAGAGCACCCACACCGATGATGCACGGTGCCTCCTTGTTTGGTCAACCTACTTTTGGTTCTTGCTTCGGAGTCCCCTCAGTGCAATCCCACAGTGGGTCCGCCGGTGCAACTCCTTTTGGCAGTGCAACTTCTTTTGGCAGTGCAGCTCCACCGGCACGATCGGTAGGCCTTCTCGGCCAAGCACAGCAAGAACATGCCTCAGCGGCTGGTACCTCTCTTTTCGGTAGAACTAATGTGCCTCAAATAGGCAATCAATCTGGCGGAAGTTTTCCAACAGGTTCCGCTAAAGCAGGCAGACTTTTCGGCGGAAGCACCCATGCACCTCCCTCAACTGGCTCATTCCCAGGTAATCCTTTCAACAGACCGGCTCCTCACCCCGCACGATCCTCGGGTGGCCTATTCGGCGCAAGCCAGCCAGGTAATGCAGATGCTGGTACTAACCAATCCAAAGTCTCTTCCCTGATTGACCTGCAAACCTTCCAAGGAAACTGGGAACTCAACCAGGAACTCTGTACTCTTCTTGGCTGTGACCTGGACCTTGTGTACAACAGATTCCTCAGCCTCATCCAAAAAAAACACGCCACCGCTAATCTTACCAATGCCCTTGCTACCATCATGGCAATGGGATTCGTAGAGCTCAACCATGCTGACTCAAGAAGCGTCTGGGAGCTTGTCTATGACAAGGCTGAGAACTGGCTGAACAACACTCTGCCTGGGCTAGGTATGGCTGGTGCTTTTCTTGACGCACACAAGGTCCAGATCAACTCTCCAGAATTTCTCAGGTAATCAAGTATGAAAAAGACTATAAAAAGATCAAAACATAAAATAAATTCAGGGGACCTGGGATGGGTTTCTTTGCCGAGTGAATAGATAACTAGCTATTCAAAGGAGTAAAATTGACTTATCTTTTCAAATCCATGGAATAATGTAACAATGTAGTTTACACCCAATGCTTGGTGCTGGGTGGATTGAACACCATGAAATGGTTAAGATAAACAACAGTGTGTAGATGTACACAGACAGAAAGTAATATGATCCGGCTCCAAGTGTTATAATCATACGTTTGTAGTGGATGAGAAGGAAAGGCTACTTTGGGTAAAGCTCCCTCTGATCCTGATTCAGGTCTTAAAGCCACCTCCTCCCCCTGAGGTTCAGCGATCTTGGTTGGTAGCTGGGAAGTTCAATTCGCTTTGTTAGAATTGAAGCCAACACAGTGCGCCAAACGCAGCCTACTCGGAATGGTTCGCACTGATAACTTCACCTTAAATTACAGGTTGAAGCCAGCACAGTGCACCATTCAGTAGCTTTTAATTTTTTTGGTGTTGCAAATAACAGGATCAGAATCAGAATTCGAAGTTCTCTTTTCTCAATTCTTTCTTCAGATTCGTAGACATTTCCTTCCAAGCTTGACTTCAAGATGATCTTGAATAAAGTAGAGTGTCATCCAGGGCTTCGGCCTCCTGGAATTATGTAAGATATAACATCCGAGGCCATATGCAAGTCTTTGTATGTCTATGTATGGAGCCGACTGCTTCTCGTACTGCTATACAGCGATCCAACATTGGCTATTCCTACAACACAAAACTTGACATGGACGTATTCATTATCATATATAACATCATCAGTTGTACATGCCCGGCGACATCTAGCGCGCTTCAAAGGCAGGGAAGTAGCTCTTAATAACCCGATCCAGTTGTTTAATAACAACAGGCTTAACAAAGTACTCATCCACTCCAGCATCATTTGCAGCAATTCTATCCGACGGACTATCCTGCCCCGTCATGACAAAAAACAAACTTCTGCGCCACTTATTCCGTTTCTCCAGGGACCGAATCTGTTGCGTGGCTTCAATACCATCGCAGACTGGCATTTGCAGGTCCATGAAAACTAGCTCGATCGCAGTGCCGTCGCCAGAGGCGGCTGATGCTTGTCGCTGGGAGAAGATTTTGATGGCTTGCAGGCCATCTGTTGCAGAGTAGGATTGTATGCCGCGTTTACGACAATACATTTCCATGATGTGCAGGTTGACGACGTTATCATCGACGATTAGAGCTGTGGAGTTGAAATATGGTGTGAGGATGGGGATTCTCGGTGTTGCTACTGTTAATTCGACAGAAGCTGCTGTGTCTGGTTGGGAGGTGAGTGACATGTTGGTGTCCGAGACTGAATTGATTGTGAGTGGTTGAGACGAGGAAGCTTTGTCTGGGTTCGGCGCTTCATTTATACTCGTCGGTGGGATTAAGTCGGTATTGGATTGCTGTAGACGTAGCCTGGAGGCTTTAATCTTTAAAAGCAGGGTTTGTGCTTCTTCAAGTACGGAGCTCATGTAGCTGGTCGTGAAGGGGCCGTTGGCGTAGATGACATTATCTGTAGTCTCTTCGAGAGCTGGTACCGCTTCTGAAGATGGGACAAGACAGATGGCGACTTGCTCAGTTGGGATTTGAGACAGATGTGTGCGATGTTGTTCTAAGTCGGGCACAACATCAAGAACGACAAGGGATGTTGTAATGTCGTCAGAGGGAGTAAAGCCATTGCGGCAGAGGAAAGTGGAAAAGTGGTCGCATAATGATTCACCCTCAAAGCCGGTTGCCAGGTTGAAGAATTGTGAAGGCAAGCCATTGAGATTTGACGCCAATGGCTGTAAGGGTTGGGGTAAGCAAACACATTCGACTTCTCGGAATATGGCCCTGAAATGAGAACCGCAGTCGATATCTGACGAGATTAGGTCGACGGATCCGTGAAGTAATGTCGCAAATTTAACAGCGAGTGTGAGGCCCAAGCCAGCGCCCGCCGAGTGCACGTCAACCTTTTCGTAGGGTTCAAAGATGCGTTCTTGATGATCGGGGTGGATACCTTGGCCGGTATCTTTCACATCGAAGATAAGTTGATTGCGATCTAGATTTATCGATGCGATTATTGAAACAATGCCTCGTGGCGTATGTTGAATCGCGTTGATGACAAGTGGAAGTAGACTGTCTCGGAGCACATCGAGGTCGGTCTGGAAGCTCTCACAAACGGGCGGAAAGTTGTGAGTAAAGAAAATAGATGTCTTGTAGCGTGTGTCACCCGACGTTAGTTTGAGTAACTCATTTCCTATCTCCGTCTCGAGCTCTTTAAAGGTATGCATAGCGTGTTTCCGATCTTGAATTGCGATATCGGACCATCTGTTCAAAGTGATCATGTTGTTGACGATTGCAGTTAGATCGCGGCCCGCCATCTTGATTAAGTTGAGGTACATGGAGGGCTCGCGCGAGTCCGCCGACTTTCCCTCCATCATTGGGAGGACGAATTCGCCCAAGTTTCGCGACTGCAATTCCTCGGCCAGGAGCTCCACAGAGCCAAGAATACCGTGAATGGGAGTACGGAGTTGATGGGAAAACCCCCGGAGGAACTTCTCCTTTGCCTTCATGGCTTCTATCAGAAGGCGCTTGCGCCACAACTGGGAGAACATGCCAGCACAAGTCTGAACAAACCAGGAATCTACATCGTCAAACACGTGGTGAAAGTCTTTCGCTTCCACAACGAGCAATGATGATCCCGAGACGCTCTCGCATGGCGCGGTAATGATGCGCACTGTCCTATTAGACGGAAGCTCAAGATGGTTTGAGTTCGAAATAAAGTCATCGAGATAGTCGATATCTTCCCAAATGTCGTCCGCAAAGTCAGAGATTGGTACCGGTTCTCGTCCTTCAACCTCGAGATGGGTTGCCTTGGCTGATTGGAGGCTGACTTTCGCATCGGGGTACGTGGCTTTCAGTATCCTGAGGACCGGCTCTTCAGAGACTGTATCGTCTGTTTCCTTTTGCGCTATAGAGATGAGTTCGGACATTTGGCGGCGTTCTCGCTGGCGTCTCGCTCTTGCGCATTGAACGAGATCAGAGACGACCCAGTCAGCCAGGCGGACCAGCGCCTGTTGCTGTGTTTTGGTCAAAGGCTCTTCACTAGTACTTGAGGCGACACAGAGTGATCCAAGACCAACACACTCTCCGAATTCATTTTGTAAGCGAAGTGGTGCGCCAGCGTAGGCTCGAAGCCCACCAAGTTCAAGGTATGGTGATTTTTGGAACCTCCAGTCTTCCATCATATTCGGTAATAGAAAGACACTCTGTGGAATCATCAGTACTTGAGTGAAGGAAGAGTACGGGCCCGCAACATACACCAGGAGGTTGAGTAACCGTATGGGCGCAGATAGTTTCACCGCGCGGAAGGATGCCTAGCTGAAGCCCAACTGTAGCCAACCGAATATAAACATTTACATCAAGAATGCCAATGACGGCAAACTCCCAGCCGGTGGATTCCTGGGCCAGATATGCTTTCTCTTGGAGCCCCGAGAGAAATTCCTCTTCTTTCAGAATATCGCGGGTATAGTACCAAAGCATCGACAATCTCAGTCTCTCGTTCTCGGCTAGGAAAGCACGCAGATATGGAGTAGTAGAGCCAGTCGGCTGTTCCGGGATAGATGCGGGTGCATAAGGCTCTGTCTTGGGATAGAAGGCTGTCGCGGCATTCCAAGCCCATGGCCCAATCGGCTGATCGATATTATCGGGATCAAAGATGGGCCCAACGGTTTTCGGACGGGTCAGCGGAAGTGCATGTTTGGACGTCAAAACAGCCGCATCTGCCTTGGGAAAGAAGGGTACCCGGAGCCCGCTACTGGCCATCGTCAAAGTGATTGAAACCCTTTCTCCATCAGATATGCGGAGTGTTGTGAAAGCGCCGACTCTCGCAAATCAAGTTTCCCGCTGACCTCATGCCCCACATCACGTGAGATGACGGGCGGAGTCCCTTAGCGTCGGCCCTGATCACCCTCCGTGGGATTGCACAGGAGACATCGAGAAGATTCCGTCGAAGAGACATTACACAAGTCGTCGCAAGAATGGTTGCACTTTATCACCGATGGTAGAGCGGGTACCTCATCGGATTACTCCCCCCGTCACTCGATGAGTTCTGCCGAAGCTCTTCTGTTCAAGTGCTACCATGATATTTCCTACCTTTAAATTGCCAAGAAATTATGAAAGTCGAATTAATATATCCGTCGGGAAAAAAAGCTTGCCGGATGACCGCGCACTGGAAAAGCTCTAGGGTCACGACTAGTTCCAATTATTTAGATCATAGAACCCTTGACATCCGATCGGCCCTTAGATCTCTCGCCAAAAAACGCTCGCGGGGTGGTGGGGTGATTTGGCTACCTTGTGAGCCCTTGTAACGTAATGAGTATAACCGAAGCGTGCAAAATGGCTGTCTGGTTATTGAGCACTCAATTTTCCAGAAAGTTCTTAACTAACCGAGGTCGCAAATTGAGACCAAATGCCCTGGATTTACCTCCACGCCTGTCACTTTCTCCGCGGCATGCCCGCTAGATCACTAAATTTATGGCCTGCGCACCATGAATCGCTTCCTAGGGAGAAAAGCTAGTTTAGAAAAGACACACACGATACGGATGTGAGTATGGTGTATTGTGCTGCAATATCAGTCCGAGGATCAGATTTCTTCGTTGAGCGCCGAATCGGGCCGGGTTTCTTTGTCGAGAATCCGAACCTTGGAACACTCCCGCGTGCCCGTCACGGCGAACCCCGACTACAATCCAGGCCTCGGGTTACATAAAAGCAAGATCCGAGATATGTCCATGTATAGGTATCGAGTATTGGATTGCAGCCCTTTGCCTATGAATACCTCGCCCGACGTCGGGTGATCTGGCATTGTCTAAACAATGACCGTCGCAGTTCTTGTCAATGAAGGCAATTCTGATTTTACCACCCACAGAGAGTATTCTTGACGAGAGACTCGAGTACCAAGACTACCGGTATGCCTCTTTATTTTCTATGAGGTTACCCGAAGGAGTGTGTGACTTCTAATTGCTCAAGCCTTAGGCATACACAGACTTAGTCCATGAATGGGGAGAAAATTGAGGAATTCCTATTCTCTCTGCTTTAGAAGGATTATTGCTGACTACCAGCTTCATAAAGGCTCTATTCACAGTGAGACCACCAAACCCTGTGCAGTGGGCGTTGATTGAAGAGTTGAGAGCGAGACTCTGCAAGTGATGGATTTCCTTAAGACAAGACACTCTACATGATGACTGCGATTATCGAATGGTAAGTAGAAGGACTGAATCTTTCCTATGTACTGATGAGGTCGGTGTAATGGTGTTACCCTGAAAGACAGCACGAAAGGCCAAAGAGTTTTCATGTCTGAGACATCGAAAAACTATGGTGGATTCCATTGATCAGTTTCACTCATTTGCCATTCGATCTATTCACGACCTTTCTCCCACTGCACCCGTTTATCCACTAAAAGCTCTGCCGACGTTTTACCCGCCACGTTGGGCTGGTCCATCGAGGCCCCAGCTTCTTGCAATATCGAAATGATCTCATCCTGCGCCTGGATCTTCTCTGAAAGTGTCGGCCATTCAAGTGAACCGTCTTTCTTTCCCCTCCTGATAAGCCTCCCTCCTACCGCCTCATGAAGAGGCGTGTTTCCCTTTTTATTGATCGCACTGGCATTTGCACCTCGACTGACCGGCAAACGAGACGCTGTGAGTTGCCGTAAGTTTCTCGCCATGAAATGCAGCGCTGTCCAGCTGTTCGCGTCGGCCTGGTTGATATCGACAAATGGAATGAGCACTTCCAGTAGATTAGGGCAGACTGGTTCGTTGTGAGTAGGACTAGAGGCCAGCTTGTGTAGCACGGTCTGACCATGATTATCGTAGAGACTTTTGTCGGCTCCATGCGCAAGGAGAAGGTCAATCAGTGGCATGAAATACCCCTTATGACTCCAACTGCAGCCCTCGTGGTGTTTCAGAACGTGGAGTAGAGCTGTGTCGCCCGACTGATCCCGAGCATTCAGGGTGTTAGCGTGTGGTTTGGTGTCTAAAAGCAGCTTCACGAAAAGTAGCCTCCCAGCACCATCAACCATGCCGGCCACGGCGAAATTAAAGGCCGCTCCATCCTGACCCTGCGTATTGACGGTATCTGGGTTGGCTTCAAGCAACAATTCTACGATCTTGAGCCCCTTGGAGATCGTTTCCTCCTCTGATCGTTGGATAAATGAGTTCCGGAGGCTAAACAGGGCCCAGTGGAGTGGAAGCCATCCCTCACTGTCAGCCACAGTGACTGCTTTGGCAAGTTCACCATCACTATAGTTTTCAACCAGCGCTTGAATAAACTCCAGATTCCAGGATCCGCTGGCTATGTGTAGGGCGGTGACCTTTTTAACGTCACCTTCGCCCAGCACATACCACTCCTGCTGGGCGTGAATATCGGCTCCTTCAGCAATGAGGCGAGAGGCTAGCCTATAGCTTGCATGGGGAGCCGCCGCTCCGAGTACAGTCTTAAGTAGGACTTTCGGTGAAGATTGTTGATCAGGTTGATCTTCATTGGCGTAACGATTGGCTTGACGAACCGAAGCGCCTCTGTCCAATAGTCGATAGACGAAGTTTTCGATCTCGGATTTCTCAACATCGCGCCCCAATCTTTCCTTGGTAAATCCGAGCGCTGCTACTGCGTATAGAAGAGGTGGGTCGGTGGATTCCTGGTCATTCAACTTGCCCCCTAAGGGAGGGCCGCAGCTTGGGAGATATTCTGCCGTCTCGAACCGAGCATAGAGACATGCGACACTCAGTAGGTGAATGTTCTTACGCCTAAATCGAGCTTCAAGTGGCTCCATTTGACTGAGATCGGACTGAAAAATTTCCGCAAGTGTGCGAAGCACATCGATATTGCCCTTTTCTGCAGCCAGGAGGAAAGGGTCCCATTCATCGGGGTTCCACTCGTGCACCTCAGCGCCAGGACCGAAGAAGCACGTACCATGGACTTCCGCATAGCGATATAAGTTTGTGACATCATTGGCTGCGATGATAGTTCCCACAAGGCTACGCCAGCCATCGTCGTATAAGGCACTCCCGTCCGAGGCCGAAATCATAGGTGGAATATCCGGGAATTCCTCAAAGGGCTCGGAAAAGGCGCCATATGACATTGCGAGACCTCGGAAGCTGTGAAGCAATTTTATTGAAGAACATAATGGAAAAAGATTGATTCCAAGGCCAAGGTTGAGGCGGTGGTTTAGAGACAGTGATAGAGAATGAGAACGCGAAACAGGAAGAAGTGAGTCAATCTGTCAGCATCTCAAGAAATGAGAGAAGAATAACCCGCTACGTCTCACACAAGCTAAAAACGATTGAATAATGGATTGGAAGTTGAGAAAAGAACAATGGTAGGATTCACATCCAGGTCTGGTGATTGGGTAACTTTACAATTTGCATTACAGTACTGATTACGATCATAGGGCAGCTATTAGGGCTATCCCCATTGGGACTAGCATAGTAATTGTATTTCCACTTCTTTGTACTGTACTACGCCACGCGAGAGCAAGCCCTCTATGTACAAGGGACGATGGGCTGGGAAGACTATTAGCGAGAATAGAATAGGTTCAATTTTAAGTTTGAGTTATATATCAATGATAAATAAGTATAGGCCGTCTTTTGTACCTCCGATCTGATGAACCTCACGGAGAATCTCCAAAGGTTTGAAGCGTATCTACCCCAAAATAATTTACAGAGAGAGAACCAACTCCTTCAACTTCTTGAAGTTAGGAGTGCCAAGACCGGTAACAGGGTCCCAACCCTCAGTAGCATTCCAGTGGGCACCAGGAATAATCAGAGCGCCGGCGACCTCCGCCTCGCTCTGAGGATCAATACCACCGCAGCCGTAGGAGCTACCGCCGGTGATATCATTCAAGGCCTTGTATCCCTTCGAGTACAAGAAGGGGTTCAGGAAGCCCAGGGCGGGCTTGCCAGCGCGCAGACGGGCATCGTTGAGCAGACCGATGATACCAGCGAAGGTGGGTGCAGCGGCGGAGGTACCACCAGAACCGGACTTCTCACCAGCGTAGATAACCTCGTAACTGCAAATTGTTAGATTGGATGTCTTCATCGGTTTCAGTATGGGGATACGTACTCGGGGTACAAGCTGTGGGCGGAGACATCGGGGAATCCACGGCCCTCGAAGTCAGTATACTTGCCGTAGTACTCCTTGGTCTCGGCGCTGACGTGGGTCAAATACTTCTTGACGGCGGATTCCTGGTACAAGGGACGGGGCCAGTAGTAGGAGAAACCACCGGATGAGGCGTTCCAGGCGACCTCGGGGCTCACAGCGGAGGTTCCTCCAACGGCGGTAACGTAGGGGCAGGTGGCGGGGAAAATGGGGTTGAACTGGGGGGTCACGCCATCGCTGGCCTGGCAGGCGGAGCCAACACCTGGTTTAGGTTAGATGGGTCAATTTTGGCCGTCAAGGATTGATAACTTACCTTCATCGCCGGAGGAGTGGATTATAGTCAGACCACGAATAGTGTTCAGGCCGATCAGGTTGCAGACGAGCTTGGCGTACTTTTCAGGAACAGTCTAGTAGATTGTTACCGGGAATTAGAGAGAAAAAAAAAAGCTGAGGTTCAGGAAAGCTTACCTGCTCGTCATCACCATAAGAGTTGGAGATAACCTGAGGGAGCTCGGCATTGGTTTTGGAGAGCAGGTACTCGTAGTAAACAGAGTAGGGCTCATTCTCGTCATCGGAAGCAGAGGGTTCATCCGCATCGGGGATGAAGGGACTAGAACTCATTAGGAGGCAGACATAGGAAGGGAAAACGAATTACATACGCAACACCTCCAGTGATGAACTCATGGACAGGCAGGGGGTGAGAAACAGCGACGATCAGCTGCACGTCCAAGTTTGCCTCGCCAATGTCAGCCAGAGGAGCTGACTGGTTGTTGACACCGCCGTTAATCAGCTCAACGGAAAAGCTCTGGCTGGGAATGTCGAAAAGCTCTTCATAAGCGGCCAGATCCGATTCCGAAGCAGACTCGTTCAGGAAACTTCCGAAGCCAATGCGGCTGCCGGCAGAGGGCTCGGGGGTATAGTCACCAACGTTGTACATCTCCTTGATGCAGGAAGGGGTAATGTATTTTGAGCACGAGGCCGTGATCTCAGAGGAAGCCCGGGGGACCTGCTTCTTAGCCAGCGAAGGCATAGGAGCAAACTTGCGGAGACCACCAAAGTAAACAGTGGGCGAGATCAGATCGATGTAATCCGTCAGATCGTCGGGAATGGAGTATTTGGTGGTCCGCAGCTTCGTAGAGTCACCATTCTTGTAGTAGGCGAAATCAGTGTCAAGCAGTTTCTCGACGTTCTCCACGCTGCCAGAGAAGCTCAATGTGGCGCCATCACGAGAGATACTGGAAATGCCGGCATTGTTCAACCATTTCACCACAGCAGCGTCGTCAACAACGGGGAACTCTGTCTCGATGTCGCTCTTGTCGAGCCATTGACCATATTCGGCCTGACCGGGGGTTGCAAGCTTGGTCACTCTGCTCTCCAGCTGATCAAGATTCTGGCGGGTCAAGGCAATAGAAAGTGACATTGTCGAGTCCGCAGAGGGCTTATCAACCAGCGACCAAGCGCTAGGAGCACCCCCAGCCAGACTCTCCAGCACAACGCCCAGCGCAGGGGCGGCGAGGGTGCAGAGCAACCCAGTATAGACGGAAGTGTGCATTTTGACTGGAGCTTCTCGAAGTCCTGAATATTCCAACGGGGAGGGATCGGCGGTGCTATTTATCCCCGTTGCCATGCAATTGAGCATTGCACTAGGGGCCCCAGTCAACAGGAACAATAATGCCTAATCATGCAACCCCACCCAGACTCTCTCAGCGCTATTCCCAACCTTGCCCAGCGCACGGAGCTCGGCAACTCAGGGCATCCAACGATATGGGGTTACATCTTCGTCTGTGGAGGCTGTTATCGGCGGGGAAAAGTCTCTCTGAAGCGCTGCCTTGATCCGTGCCTTGATGCGCATCCTGGTTGTTTATGGTGGGAAATGACTCCGCGCGTGTCAACACAAGGAAGAATGTGAGGTCTGCCCTGCACTCCGTAGCAACAGTTCCATCGCCATCTCCATTGCGACCTCCCATCTCCAGGCAACATCGGGATTGAGCCGGAGATGACGATCGCCGGCCTCGCTTAGCTCCAATCGCGGAGCTCCGCCGGGGTCAGAAGAAGCTTGACCGTTTTCAAGCTTCTGCCCAGTCCTCAGACTCCACTTGGAGGTGGAATGTCCGGGAAGTTCCAATCGGGCTGCAGAAGAACATCGGGGTACAATCTCATTAATGAGCTCAATTAACAATACATTCGTGTCGCAGATACGAGATGTTGCGTCGCGTTGTTGATGTGGGTCCCCCACCTACCCGACGTTTACCATTGTACAGTAAACATCTTGCGATTATTTGCACTGACTCCTGCAGGGCAGGCATATGAAAAAGTAGTGACACCCTACTCTCTATTCTCATGAAACTAGGCGCCTTCATGTCTCGGCGTCGCAAGACAAAACCCCGTGACTTAGCGACGAGATCTCAACCGACAGGTTAAACCGCGCTGCTTAGCGAACCAAAATGTCTCAACACGCCACTCAGGCTGATCTGACGCCCACTCAATCTCAAAATGCCGCATCAACTGAGGAATCAACTTCCCCATTTCCATAATTGAAATATTCTTACCTATACAAGTCCGGGATCCATTGCCAAACTTCCAATTCTCTCGTCAGTACGAACATAAATGACCGCGACATTCCAGTGGGCTTACAGTCATCAAATGGCGGTCCATGAGCTTAATCTGCTCTTGGCTTGAGTTTATCCACCGCTCGGGCCGGAATGCCTCGGCATCATCACCGAAGATCGTCTTGTCGTGGTGCACCACCGCCGGATTCATTCCGACGATAGTGCCCGCTGAGAGGGGGACCCCACAGAGAACGGTTCCGCCTTCTGGAACAACTCGCTCCAATGGGAAGGACACACCGGGGTGGCATCGCATTGCTTCTTTCATGGCTGCTTGTCTATGTCATGTCAATATCCAGAACTTGGAACTTCATTGCTGATGTCTCTCACAAATAGGGTAGCTCAAGGCACTCCGCGTAGGTGACATAGTCAGAGAGCTTGCCAGCTTTGTCTGCATCATCAATCTCTTTCTGGAGCCTCATGTACACCTTACCATTCTGGACGAGGTAATATATGATTGCGCGAAGGGAAATGGCGGTTGTGTCACTTCCGGCAAGGCTAGTTCCGACCGAGAGAAGTCAGTCGCTCGTTCGACCCAAAAGATGCCGTTCTAGATCTTACAGATTATTGCTGAGGTGGTTCATCATATCGCGATTGGACATGGGCCTGCCCTTGGCTTCCTCACCTCGAAGCCAAGCCAAAAAGTCAGGCCGATCTCCATGTTTCCCTGGCGTTTCGCGATCGTAATCGTCAATGCATTCTTGAGTGAACTTCTATACGTTAGCAGGTGGGTTTCTACACCAATCAAGCTGTGAACAAATACTCACTTGGACCATCGTTCTCAGCGGATCCGGCATTTTTACAAATGGTTGCGCTGCCATGAATGTGGCAACCCGAATATTACCCATAAACCAGTGATGAAGCCTTGGAATCTGGCTAACAACACTTGCATAACGTAAACCATCATCAAGACCAGCAATCATACCCAGCACATCCTCCCGCTTCTCCATGAACCCGAATCGGCGCTGGAATGTAATCGCCCCAATCACGTCAAAAGCGTACCACTGAAGCCAGGCACCTAGATCGATATTCTGGCCTTCAAAGTCTTTCATGGCGTTAAAGAAGATCTTACTGCATTCATCTGCGAACGGCTCGAGGGATTTGATCGAAGACATGGAGAATTTCTGAGCAACCGGGCGTCGGAGAGCTTGGTGGGCAGCTGGATCTCTCACGGAGAACAAGCTCGGCATGACTTTGTCTTCGAAGAATGGATTGAATACATCGTAAAATGCAGACTAAGGCTCGATTTTAATAAAGTGAATCCATCTGTTCGAAGAATAACGGGCTTACCTTCACGAACTTGCTACTTATGCCATATATAATTGGCAGTGACCTGGGATCCGAGATGTCGACTGTATTTGGTCCCGTGCGGACAATAGGGCCGTATTTCTTGTGTAGGCTGCGGTAGAAATCGGGGGCGTCTCCTTTGGATATTTTCCATGGGCGATATAGTGAGGAAAATCGAGCTACGGTTGGTCCTGGGATGGATCTAAGACCCGGCCTTAGGGCGGTTGCGATTGATGAAATGCCGATAGAAAACGCAACAATAAATACCAAGGTCGAGATCCAGTCATTTTGTTGATCTTGCAATGTTAATAAGAGACCCATTTTGACTCCAACCGAGATGGTAATAATTTGGGTTGCAAACTAAATGGTGGTAGCCCGGTTCTTCCTTTAAAGTAAGCGATTATGTTCCTGGACCTTTGATCTGATCCCCACATTTAGAAATGCAGAACACGCGGAGAAGATCCCGCTTCCAAGCATTCATGGAGTGACAGTGAGCTTGCGGGATCTTTAAACCTTACGAACAGAGCCCGGGGAACAGTCAGAATAATAATCACGTCGATTAAGTATCTAGTATTATCATTGTGCGCTAGAGAGCATTCTCTTCGCATTATCAAGTAGGACCCGCTTGGTGGTTTCAATTCCAAGGGTACTTTTCAATCCACCATCCACTCTCTGAGCTAGAGATGTAACCATCCTTGCCGGGCTATACGGATAATCACTTCCATACAGTAGTCTCGATGAGTCAACAAGTCTCAAAAGCCCATGAATCTGATCAGGGAAAGGAAGACCCGCCAAATCAATATAAAAGCGGCTATTCAGCAGCTCCTTGATATCATCGCTGGAGATAGGGTCGCCCTCTTTAACTACGAGGCTGGAAAATTCTGCAATTCGCTGCATTATCGGTGGGAATGTCGCACCGCAGTGACAGACCAGGAATGTGATCCCAGAACACCTGGTCACTGTTCCAGATATGAAGAGGCTTGCCAGCGCTCGGGTGGTGTCAAACATGAACTCCATAATCGGGCTGGGAATTCCTCGCATGGGCGTCACCTTCTCCTTCACGGAGCCAGTCTGGGCATTCCGGGAAATACATGTGGTTGGATGAAAAAAGACAATTGTTTTGCGCTCGCTGAGTTTATCGAAGACTCGACTGAACTGTGGATCTCCCGGGTAGATTCCATGAGAATTGGTCAGGATTTGAAACCCCACGGCGCCCAGGTGGTCAAGCGCGTAGTCGATCTCGGCGAGGGATCCTTCCACGTCTGGGAGAGGGAGTGATGCAAAGAACAAGAAATGATCCTTGTTTTGGGCACAGATCTTTGACATGTCTTCATTCACACTGCGGGTGAGGGACCGCGCTTCCTCGTCATTGCCAGGAGTCAAGTGTGTACCCGGCGAGGACATGCTGAGGACGGACTTTGTAATGTTCAAGTCCTTCATCAGTTGGATGTGCGACTTGGCATCCCAATCCTGAGTGTTTCAATCAGCGTTTAATTTTCAAATTGGATCTCTTAGCATTTACAGGAATGGCGGGCATCCCGTCGGGGTGGCCCCTTCCTGCGAAGTCATTCTTCAAACAGTACTCTCGATAAGCGGGCGGAACGCAATGAGCATGCACATCGATTCTCTCCATGATCAATTGTCAATTGTTGATCAGTCAAGTTGAGAAGCGTCGAAAATCCGAGCGTTTTTGTGTACCCGCGGGGCTTAATAGTCCCCCCACAGTGCGTTAACGTTTGCGGGACCATGGGACCTTTTTCAATCCAAATACCAACGGGACTTACGGGACATCATTTGTAATTATCTTCTATATCTTCTCTGGTACGTTTGGCCTTGATTCATTTTGAAACCCCGAGGGTTCACAAGTACCATAAGCTAGTCTTCAAGCTGATAATTTTCTTCTGTCAATCTAGACTCATGGGACGGGCCTTGATCACCGAGTGTTCAACATCTATAATCTAAGTGGGGACAGGAACATCAGCACAAATTCAAATACATCCGTGGAACAGATTTCATCCGTTTCGCTGAGTGTTATGATGATGAACCAGGCTGCCGCGTTCAAACACTCTGAGAAACAGTGGCGGGAACTGTTAGTATCTGTTGGGCCGAAGAGTATCACTTTTGACCAGCCTGCGGGGAGCAGTGAAGGTATTATCGAGGCTTCCAGGTGATTTGATGATGGACGGGTCATCGAGTTGATTTCCAAAATCACGGTTAAATTGGAGTCAACATTGAGATTGATCCCTTTTACTCTACGGCCGAGGCGGCAGCCAGGTGATTCTGGAAGGTTGAGTTTATACCAGGGGACTGCCGAATTATCCCGACAACAACTTCGAAGTGGAGAGCCACTAGAGGACGTAATTATGGCAATGGCAGGAGCTGAAAGCAGAGGCGTTGCTTCTGCCACAGCGGAATACGGTCTTAGATACCGCCTGACTGGTTTCCGATTGGGTAATAAGGTTGATAAAGAAACAATCTATCGGTAGCTCTTTCCCGACGAGTCCTGGTGATCATGATTGAGAGGCGAACGATATGCGTAGCGGCTCAAAGTCCGCCAGCGTTGACGAACATATTAAAGCATTATAGCGATGACCATTGGCTATCTTGAAAACAAGTACCGAGTGTCGGACAAGATAAGCGGGGTGAGAGTTGCGCGTAGCCCCATTTGAGGAACGAGGGCTCGATCCCCTGTTACTCAACGCCAAGCCGGCCTGTTTTGAGCTACGTTATTGGCTCTGAGGCTATCGCCTTCTATACCCTCCCCGCACCGGTGCTTTAACGACCCAAGATAACGGCCGCGAGCTTCTCCGCACGTCGTGGAGGGGAAGTTTAACTCTTAAAAGATGCCTTTGGCCTGTTGTCTTCCTGTGCAGAGTCGTCACTGCAGACAGAATGGAAGTCCCCGTTCAGCCAGATGTGGTGACCTACCATGACGGTGATGAAAGCTTCTGGGCGCCGGGAACGATCGCCCTGGAAGACAGTGAGTGAAGCGTTGAGTCCTTTCTATTGTTCTGAACCTCTGAACTAAATGCTCCAGTTCATCGCACCCGAGACCAACTTGTTCTATTCCCCACCCCGAGTTCCGACCCCAATGACCCCCTTAATTGGTCTACCGCTCGCAAGATTCTCAATTTCACGCTCGTGAGCTTCTTCGTGCTCTGGACATTCGTTCAACTTGACGTCGGATTTGTAAGACACCATTACCCATATTGAATATCAGCATACCAACATTCACAGACAGCATGGGGTCCAATGGAGACACAACTCGGATTTTCAGTGGACATTCTAAATGCAGGTGCCGCCGTCAATTACGGCGGTCTGGCTATTGGATGCTTCTTTTTCATTCCGCTCGTTCACAAATATGGTCGTCGACCGATCTATATCTTCAGCTCGGCACTGCAACTGGCTTCTTGCATTTGGCAAGCCAAAGTTCAAAGCGTTGGTGGATTCATCACTTCGAACATCATATCCGGCTTAGGAGGTGCCATCAGTGAGATTGTTGTGCAAATTACTATCGCGGATATGTTCTTTGTTCATCAGCACGCTACTATGAACGGCTGGTATGTATTCTTCCAGTCTGCGGGGGCCTTCCTTGGCCCCGTTGCCTCGGGCTATATCGTGGACTCGCAAGGATGGCGGTGGATGTGGTGGTGGTGCGTAATATTTTTTGCAATCACGCTTCTTTGTGTTATTTTCCTCTTTGAGGAATCCAAGTATGTGCCTATCTTGACTGGTGAGAGTGTTCAACCGACGCAAGCAATGGAGGAAACAGAGGATGGGAAGAGCAAGTCTGCATCAAACGACAAGAATGCTACCCCGGAGGTGGTCGCAAGCCGCATCGCAAGCAATGCCGAGATTCAACCCAAGACTTACTGGCAGCGAATGGCCTGGATCACCCCAACAAGCGAGTCTCTATGGCCGCACTTCTACACTCCGATCGTGACGCTCTTCACTTTCCCAGCAGTCACTTACGCCGCTCTTACATATGGCTCGACACTGGCCTGGTTTGCTATCATGACGAGTCTGCAGGTGAGTTCTTTTTTGTGTAACAGCAGAAGCCCCATAATCAGTTCAAACGTACCATGCTCACACTTACAAGGCATCATACATGCTGGAACCTCCATACAACTTCAGCGCGATAGGTATCGGTCTGATGAACATCGCGCCATTTGTTGGAGCCCTTCTAGGCTTCCCCTGTGGCGGTTGGCTAAGCGACAAGTCCATTTTGTGGCTTTCAAAAAAGAACCGCGGTATTTATGAGCCGGAGATGCGCCTCTGGCTTGCTCTTCCTGCGGCTGTGCTTGGTCCTGCATCGATCCTCATGTTTGGTTTGGGATTGGCTTATGTATGTTATCCTCTGGTCCGTTCTTGCATACTTGCTAACATCAGACAGGGTGTGCATTGGTCTCTTCTTGCCGTTGGTTTCGGTGTTTACGGATTCACTTTGGCTTCCATCTCCGGTATTTCGCTGTCCTATCTGATGGATTGCTATCAAGACGTGAGTTTCTCTCCTGAGTAATCGATTTTTCAATTCTGGATGAATTTGTCTAATATTTAAACCTAGGTTATTGGTGATGCCCTCGTGGGCGTAATTTTTATGCGCAATGTCATCTCCCTCGTGGTCCTTTTCGTCCTAACCCCTTGGGTCAATGGCATGGGCATGCAGAACCTTCACATTCTCTGTGCGGTTGTCGCCTTTGCCGTTTATATGATTCCAGTCCCTCTTCTTATATGGGGCAAGAAGGCGCGGATCAACACAGCCGCGGCGTATAAGAAGATGGCAGTGACACAAGTGAGCCATCGTACGATCTAATGCTACTCTAAGAGAAAAAATGTATCAAACAATTATCATGTTTTTCTTTGAGCCCGGAGCCTATGTACCTATATAATCATCAAGTTGAAACCAGTAAAACTGGCATCCATGATCTTTTGCATTCCAGACAAGATTCACTTTAGTTTTGAAGTTTAGCTGGGCCTGTTTGGAAAAGGTAACGACCTTCTCGCTCCGCTCTATAGCACTTGAGCGTTCCTCCATTCCAGATATTTCAAAACATGCCACGAGATATGCAAGGGCTGTACACGGGATGGATCGCTGGGAGAGTTGAAGCACCATCTCAAACTCGCTGATAATAGCCTTGGACAACATCAGTCCCTCTTTATCGCTCTGGCCATAGGGATGGTATATACGATGGATAATAAGCATAGCCGCAAGACGTAGGACCTTAGCTTGAGCCATCATATTCACGACCTCGGCTTTAGTGAAACGTTCCAGGAAATCGACAGGAGTCAACGGCTGCCAGTGACAAACACCATCATGCACTGTCTCCAAATGTCGGAGTATCTCCGGACGCGTCACTTCCGAATGCCGAATGGAGCTACTGACCTCGCAAATATCATAGAAGTGAGCGAATATCGGAGCACTAAGGCCGACATAGCGATCAACTCTATTCTCTCTTCCTCGAAGGTCGATTCTTATTGTCGGCTTATACGATCGCAAGAGACATTCAAAAGTCTCCGTGCTGATCAGACACATCAAGAGATCTATCGTTGAGGAATCTAACGCTGATAAATCCGCATTTTGTGTTTTGATGAGGCTCAACGTATAGTGAGAGATCAAATACGCATTCCCCTTCTGCACGTGCATGGCGAAAGTGACCATTGAAACACCTAATATGAGTGCAACCACTAGGTCTTGCTCGCTTGATATGTTGAAAGAGCGTAGAGCAGACACTACTGATGCAGCGCGCTTGTGTCCAACCTCCACGCTCGGTTTGGCATATTCAGCAAGTTGGTCGCCAAAGAGGACCGCGGCACATGCAACTGCAGCATCCCTTAATACGGGCGTAGGCTGAACAAGTCTTGACACGAATGATATATGATGAGTCTCGTGGAACGTCGGGCCGATAAGGAACTTGTCCATGGGCGATGGGGCCAAGATGTCTTTCATCAAATTTAAGAAATGGCGCTCCCATCGATCCAGGTCTGAGAATAGGACTGTATTACTCGCCAGTCGTCCGTGATATATTAGGCTCTGTGGGGATAGCGCACATTCCTCCGGTGACGACTGATTGACCGCCGATAAGGTAGAAGTCGGTAGGGTATAAGGGACTTTTCTCGAAAGCTTTGGCTTCCTTCCTGCCTTGGCAGGACTTCGAGTGGTTTGACACGGGTGCCCTAACCGTGCGCACCTTTCGCAAACTTCGGTTTGATCCTGTCGTCGGCATTTTTCCTTCAGAGAAAAACACTTGTCACATGCGCGTTTCGGGCCTGCCGTGGGCATCATGCGATATCGGTAATCAAAGACGTTCGGTTTGTCGTTGACGGGGCGCTCATGGTATACCGTATTAGAAGATAGAGAGTAGCCGTGTTAGGCATCCGTATTCTCTCTCGGTAATGAGCTCGTCAGGATGACCAACTTTCTTGCAAGGTTGTTCGCGTCGAGGGCAACAGCCGAAACGCGGAGGACATGTCTGATTAGATCGGGTGGACCTGACTAATCGGGAATAGACGCCTGATAAGAATATGCGGGGAAATGAAGGCACATAAGAAGATAAAGCGAGCAAAGACTTGGCTGCAAACTTCGATCAGTAGTCTATCTTGGCGAGCGAGTGAAGAGTGATCATATGGGAAAGCGATATTTTTTACGTACGCCTTTAGCGAGACGATTGAAAAAGTTCTTGTTAGATGACTTGGAAGCCTTTGAGGTATATTGTTTCCCAGCCTGGGGTAGATGGGTTATAGAGTGTCCTTTCTCCCTCTTGTTGGCGTGAGACTGGGCCTGGCAGGTCATTCACAGTACGTTCAAGTCAACGTAGCATCAAGATGGAAATGAGAATGAAATTTAGCAAACACCCTTCTGCTTCCTTTATCAAGCTTGTCATTTTTCAAGTAGTCAAGTTAGATGACCCAGATCTGGACTATTTAGATTAGCGGAGAAGTTTCGAGTCCACTATCTGCTATAAGCAGATGTAATTACGTCACCAATGTATGAGATCTGGAGGGAATGGAGAGGATAGAGCGAGACGAAAGCAGATGCAATCAACTTTGAGAGTACCAATGCGGCATATATTAAGAGCACGAAGACGGCGACGAATCTTATTATAGTTCTCTGCATCTTCCCCGAGTTTTCCCTGGTCATCTGTCCTCATGACGATCTAGATACTATAGATGTCGCTCAAAAATCTTCTACGATGGCTTTCAGTGATAGCTGGTAGTGCCTATTGGCTGCTTTATTTCTATAAGCTTGGCCAAGGCCATTAGCGGCAAACATTAGTAGGCCAATTCTCGTGATTAGTATGCGACGTCCACGTTCTAGTGGCTGGCTGAATGAGATCTTGCCAAACAGCGCCACTTGGTAAGAATCAAGCTGCGAGGTGGGGGACAATGCGTCAATCGATCAGACTCACACTCTCACGGCAAGATAATCAAATCTGAAACCTGGGAAGATCCAGTAGTGGCAAGGTACAGAAGGGGTTCTCGTACTATTGCATTGTGACTGGGCAACCATTGGCCAGACAAAACTTGATGATGGGAATAGAACTCGTTGATCGTGGTAAAAAGGGCGGCTATAGTTGCATTCATGAGCTCTGTGAAACATGACAAGTCTAGATCACCTAGGCACAGATCTGCATTGTCCAACCGTCAGAAATATGAGCGGGTCAGATAGGATGCAGGGTTTTGTATGTATTTGGAACCCGATCTGTATAGGATTTTCGGGAGTTGAAACCTTCATCTTCCACAACATGTGAAATGAAAACCACCCGCTTCACATCTTAAGGGAGTTTCTATCTTTTGGATGAGGTTATTATAGTGCGTAACTTGGCCGCATTACGAAGACACAAGCGTCAAGACCGGGTTTGCTTCCAAGATAGCGACCAGGGGCTGCATGAAGCGGTGAGCATTCGACATGGTCTTTCCTACATTCCTATCAGACAGAACCCGAGCGAAAGCCTCGCGGATCTTAGTATTGTAAATTCAAAGACGTCGGGGACACAGACAATGAGATTGTTGAACACAGGAATATTCAGTCGACATTATAGGGTAGTAGTCGCACCTTGCACGAGCAAATGGGATCGAGCCGCCGGACAAACGAGGATATTCCAGCAATGAGATGGTGCGCCAGACTCTGCCACTATCACCGATGCAAAGAGACAATCTATTGCCATTTTGCGGTCGCAGAATGCTGGCGACGATTGCAGAACGGTTCGTGAATGGTTCGCGCTACCGGGGCGGTCCCTGCGGTCCTGCAGCTGCGTGTTACACAACAGGGTCTCCTCCTCTGCGCTGCAGCTTCTGCAAGTGTCTGGTTCTGGGGCACATTTCGAGTTTATTTTAGTCTTATATGTTCCGAGGGCCCACTACGAGCCACTGTCAAGTTGGGTTCAAGGTTTCGTGGGATCCTATCTATGCATGCCCCTTGGTTCCGTGGGAAGGTTGGCATTCAATCTGGTCGGCAATCATGATATGGAATTATTATCAAGGCAAGATCCTGTTCATTACAGGAGGAACGGGGTTCATTGGCACCACAGTTCTCTATCGGCTTTTGACACAGGCCTCTCCGAAACACATCTACGTGCTCTGTCGAGGAGGCTATGAGTAGGTCTCTTGTGGTAGACCAGAAACCAAGCCCGGAATACTGACATGGAGAAACAGGAGGGCGAGGGCAAAATGGGAGAACATACTTCCGGCTTCAGTTGCGAATACCCTCTCTGGAAGTAATCGCATGACAATTCTCGATGGCGAACTAGGCGATACCGCGACAATGGACTTGCCTGAGGAAACTCTTCAGATGCTGAAAGAAAGAGTGCATATCATCATTCACGCCGCGGCGTCAATCGAGCTGAAGAACTCGCTTCGGGAACTATCGTACACTGTCATTGCACCCACACTATGTCTCACCAAGTACGCTCTGAAGTTCCCCAACCTTGAAAAATTCGTTTTCCTTTCGAGCGCATATGTCAACGCCCATCTTTGGAAGTCCAGTAAATCCTGTGACGTCGCGGTAGAGGAGCGCCTTTACTCACTCGAAGGTGACGACGATTCATGCCAGACAGCACCCGAAGTCTGGAGAGAAGTACAGGCATCAGGCACCTCGGACGAGTACACCACCCACGATTTCCCCTGGCCATATGCCTATGCCAAGCACCTGGCAGAAAGGCTCGTCTTGAACAAGGCCTCGGAGCGTGATGCATTGGACAAGATCCTTATCATTCGACCGTCGGTCATTGGCCCGGCCGAGGAGTTCCCATATCACGGGTTTACGACCCCGTACTCATCGCCATCCACGGCGTGCGCGGCTGCTTATGCAATGCACCCTGGAAGAAAGATTCAACTTGCGACCCGATGCGAGAATCCGGAACGAGAAGCTACAATCGACGAGGTTCCCGTCGACGTGGTAGCTGAACGGATCCTTGTGCATGTGGCCTTGGGAACAAGTGGGTACGTTCATGCAGTTAGCGGAGAGAAAGGCCGTCTAAGACTTGAAGAATGGTGGGAAGCATTCAAGAAGGAGCGTCGTCTGCCTTGGAATGTCAAGCCTGTTTGGACATCGGAAGACTGGCATTCCGCGGATCTCCACCCTATCGCCAGAAACTTCAAGATCATCGGTACTTCCTTTGCCTTTTCTGAAGACAAGACGATCCAGGCGGCGGAAAAGATCGACTCAAAGGAGCTGGAGCATCTCAAGCTCTTTGCTAAGCGGGATCAGCCATACTCGATGGCCCATCGACGGCATCATATTAACCATGTGGCACGACAGATGGCCAAGAAGAGCCGGTGGCCTCTTTGTTCGGTTGGCTGGCTTACTCGGAAGGGGAAATCATCGGTCCGTTTCACCGAGAAGGTGTAAGATGGAGATTCGAAAGAGACAAAAATTTGATGTGACCGGTTTTCGGGACATAGTTGCAAATGATTTCAGGATACGGTCAATACTGAACATTATGTCCATTACTCAATTTGGGATGTCTTTAATAGCACTACATTCATCCACTCTGTTGTCAAATACCATCAAAATATAGACTGTACCGTACCAATGGGAATGGAGATAATCAGACTCACCAGTTGGTCTTGGCGCGGGGAAATAAATTCTTTTTTTTGCCCCTCCGCAAGAAACCCAACTACCACCACCACCACCATGGCCCCGACCCTGTGTTTCAACTGCAAGGAGGCCCGGGCGCTCATAATCCGGCCTAAGAATCGCCATAAGCTGTGCCGCGCATGCTTCCTCGAGGTCTTCGAAACCGAAGTCCACGAAACCATTACAACCTTCAAGCTCTTCTACCCCGGCGAGCGCGTGGCGATCGGCGCCAGCGGCGGCAAAGACAGCACCGTTCTCGCAGCCGTCCTCAAAACACTGAATGAGCGATATAGATACGGACTGGATCTGTGCCTGCTCTCGATCGACGAGGGTATTCGCGGATACCGCGATGACAGTTTGGAGACAGTGAAGCGTAATGCGAAGCAATACGACATGCCGCTTATGATTGTGGGATATGGTGAGCTTTACGGCTGGACGATGGATCAGGTCGTGGAACAGATTGGCAAGAAGGGAAACTGTACCTACTGCGGTGTGTTCCGACGACAGGCGCTCGATCGAGGTGCGGCGCGCTTGGAGATCAAGCACGTTGTCACGGGGCATAATGCGGATGATGTCGCTGAGACGGTGATGATGAATTTGCTGCGCGGTGACTTGCCTCGACTTTCGCGTGGAACAAGTATTGTGACTGCGTCCGGCGCGTCGGAAATCAAGCGCAGTAAGCCGCTTAAGTACGCCTACGAGAAAGAAATTGTGCTCTACGCCCACCATCGTCAGCTCGATTACTTCAGCACGGAGTGTATCTACTCGCCTGAGGCATTCCGTGGCAGTGCTCGTACCCTGATTAAAGATCTAGAGAAGATTCGTCCCAGTTCGATTCTGGATATCGTCAAGAGTGGCGAGGATATGGCTGTCCTTGTGCCTGGAGAAACAAACCCAAATGGCAAAACGTGCCGCTCAAAGGCGGCGGCAGAGGATGAGGCGGAGGCGGGTGGCTGTGGAAGTCAAAATGGCCGATCCAGTGGAGGTGAAATGGCCGCCATGGAAACCCAGCTAGCTGAGAATGAAGCTGCGGGATCGCGAGAGACGGAAATTCGACTACCCCAGCAGCCCAAGCCTGGCAGTTCGAAGACTCAGAAGCCTATCAAAAGACAGGTCATGGGTCATTGTGAACGCTGTGGCTACATTTCGAGTCAGCGTGTTTGCAAGGCTTGCACTCTTCTGGACGGTCTCAATCGCAATCGGCCCAAGACCGCTATCGAAGTCAGTGCTAGCATGGACGATGAAGAGATCAGCTCGACTTTGGCGAGACAGATGGAGCATACCCAGTTGACGAACAGCTGAATGTTGACCCGAGGTGCATTTCCTAAAAATGCTTGCCACTATTTCTACACTTCTGGCCCTGAGATCATTTTCGAGATCATCTCCAGCTGTCGAAGGCCAGCCATCGTTCGGAGACACAGTTCTCGCTCTTGGCCCCAAGACAAGCACGCTGCTCGAAAATCTCATTTAAAGCCTGCTATCGAAGAGCTTGAACTCCGCATATTGGAGACTACGCTACCCCATGATACCAACGTATGTTTCGAGCGCAAACTATCCCAGCGGGATATGTCAAATACATCAGACATTAGAATAGAGAACAAATCTTCTGTGAAAACACGTTCACAACCCATCCCATCCATCTATGATATTTTGTACAAGTAACAAAAGCAATAGTATACAGCAAATCAGAAAACGCCCAACCAAGCATATATGTGCCTTCAAAGCCCGATCTCACGCATTGAATGCAGTTCCAGAGGCCCCTCGAGGTATCGCGATTTTTGAAACGCGATCGTAGTCGTAGTCGCAGTCGCAATCGGCGACAAAATGCATCACTGGAAACAGCCCGCGGAGAAGACAGTTACTCCTTAATTCTTCCCCTCAGCCTCATAGAGATCAGGCAAATCCATTCCAACCCGTCTAGCCGTCAATCTAATCTTCTCCTCCTCATCAAGGCTCATGCCGGGGTTATACCGCTCCAACAAAGCCGAGTAAGTCCGCTGTGCACGAGCATATTGCGCCAACTGCTCTGCTTCCTGGATACGGAGAGCGCGTTCCTCGTCGGTCTTCGGAAGGGAGAAGGGGAGCGCTGTTGAGTCTGCTTTTGTGGCTTCGGGCTCGGAGCGGAAGATCGCGCGGATGCGTTGGTGGAGTGGGGAAGGGGTTGAGAGGCGGCGGTTGGGGAGCTCGCGCAGAAGAGCGCGGTAGGTGGAGCGCGCTTGGTTGGTGAGGTTCTTTGACATTTTAATCTCGATGTTTCGGTTGGGTTGGAGGTCTTGGGTTGAGTTGGTTGACGGAGCGGAGGATGCTCGGGATGGATCACGTGACTGAAATGGTGATTTTATGAGAACGAAACTTTGGACTTTGTTGGATCTGAAATCTTTGAGTTACAAGACGAGAGAATTGAATTATAATGCATGATTGCAAGTCATTGTCGAGAATATGTACAGAGATATCGTAGATGAGCCTTCAGTATATCGCCGCTCGAACCAGAATCGTATATTTCATGTGGATCTCATCCAACTGAGACCAAAAACCAGGCAATATTTATCAATCATTGAGGCATAGCGACGTGATATGGGAGCGAAAAGAAGATCGGGGGGAGTAGGGGATTTCTGGAGGTTGGGAGGATGAGACTGTGCTCTTTTCTGTCGGAATCAATTGCGAAAATTAAGCGCGTAGCCAGCCGAATTTCTTGCGTCCGGCTTCGCCGCCGGTGGATGGTTCGACCTGTAAACTGCGGGCATACAAATCCTGTTTTATATTAGTTATCGCCCTTGAGAGGCATTGGGAGGATCATCTTACCTCTTCATCACCGGAGAGCTTGGAGTCCAAGATCAGTCGTTCTACATCTTCGAATTTCTGGGCTTGAGGATGTGGTGTTTTCTGGCTCCGCTGAATCCCAAGAACCACTTCACCCATGACCTCAAACTTCTTCCAGTTAATGCGAGATTTGTTCTCGCCAACAAATGTCTTGTTACCCTCTTCTGCTGACACTAGGTCTCGGCGATGCAGAGGAAGGAATGGGATGCGCTCGGAGAACGAATTCTCCCAGGCGAGGCGGTAAGCGAAATGACTTCGTTGGGTACTCATCAGAATGACAAGCCGCATGAACTCCTTTTGGGTCTGCACGGGGATCAACTCCCGAGTTTGTGTCAATCGGTGGACAGGAGTTCCATTGATGGCGGCAATAACGGCACCCAATCCGTTGTAGTTGTTCTGGCGTCGAAGTTTCACTGCGATGCCCATGAATTTCTCCATGCACCTTGCTCGATGCTTAGGCTTGTCTCGCAGTAGAATCATGCTCGCCACGAAGAAGGCCAGGTGGTTAAACTGTTTGATCATCCGGTTGACATTTTGCAGACTCCGAATCTTGTCCTTGTCCACTCCGGAGATGCTCACATGGCGAACGAGATCACGTGGCCGGAATGAGTTGTACGTGATCCAGTCAATACGTGTCAGCTCTCGAGCAAAGTCCTCTTCGGGCGTCTCCATGAAGAATCGCCATTGGATTTTGCTCAATGAAGTCCTGCCGGAAAGGTCAAGACGCTGGGCCTCTCTTTGTGCAGCCTCTAGGCTGAGTATGGTAAAAGATTGGTTGGTGATGCTCGAGGGTCTATCAGCATTAGAGGAGATAGACAGCGTCCCTGAGAGGCGGGATGTCGAATCGTGGGGTCCGTCGCTGAGATCCAAGGCACTCTTGCTGTAAATCGGATCTTCTTCCTCTTCGTCATGATCATCGTATGTTCCGGTCAGGAAAGGCGCTGGGGAGCTTCGCCCGGAGTTGTCAAAGAAAGTCTCCGTGAGACTAGCGTCGTCGACATCACCATCCTGGAACGCCCAGCCGACATCGTCGTCTTCAGCGTTGGAGTCAAGATAGGATCCAATCTCCTTGGCCGCGAACATATAGAAATGACTCTTTTCGAGGGTGTTCACAAAGTCGTTGATTCGTTTGCGAGTTTTGGGGTATGCGAAGTCGCCAGGATAATCAGAAGCCCAAGAGGCAATCACGTTCAGCAGCCGTAGCTGATCTGCCATGCGGGCCAATTGATCGAAGTTACCGGATTCATTCTTGTCAAAGCGACTAATCAAGGCATTGAGGAGAGTTGAGGGGGCGGAGAATTTGCGATATAGACAGAGAAATATGGCGGAGAATTTCGAATCTTGCTTCGACATGGGCAAAGCGACGAGGCGATCGACAAGCTCGTCGAAGCTCATGCCCGTCTCAGCACTGTAACTACTTTCACTGCTCGGTTTGGGACGCACGACGGCGCCCGGACTCATTGGTGGTCCCTCCTCGATTTCTTCGTCCATGTTTAAAAAGCTGTTAAAGGCGTCAGAGCCTCCACTATTTCGCCAGGTATTGTGCAGTCTCTGCTGGCGGGGTTGTTCCTGGATTGGGGAGTTGCTTTCTCCCTGCACAGACGGTCGACGAGCGTTCAGTCGTGCCCCAGACGGAGGAGTTTGCGGTCGCACCGGTTGGGAATTGCTTCTTGCATTTCGAGAAGAACTTGAAGCATGCTGTTGCGCCAGGTTGGAGGGGCTTTGGTCGGTAGACAGACGATGACCCACGTTCCCATAAACACTTCGATCTTGACCCGACGTCGTTGAGCCGCCAGCGGCTCCGGTCAAGGAGGGGGATTCCGAATTGGCACGGACGTGGTGTCGGTCGTGGGCAGGGATAGGTTGGAAAGACTTTGTCGTGGTCCGCGGGGGAGGGGGAAGCGTAGAAGAGGAGAACTCTGGGCGCGAATCAAATAGGCATTAGCTTTAAACGCCACGAAATTCTCGTTGACTCCTCTTAATTCTCCTGGGGCTCTGTCGATCGAGTGGGCTCCGACAGAGGCAAAGGGTAGCGAAGACTGCCGCGACCCACTTGGTCCGCCCACAGGGGTCAAGGCTCACACACTCAACCCCCAGCTCCATTGTGTCTCGGAGAAAGGGAACAAACCCATAGATCATGGATCACAGATTAAAACATACCTCGGTTAGAAATGACGCTTCGCAACACCAATGCAATACACATCTGCTGAGACCGCGGGGCCTCGGGTGATGTTCGATAGATCTCGTATTGTTCGTGAAACACACTGAGTTCGCTATCCTCCGGGCGAAGATCGCATTTGCAGGCAACCAGCAAGAATGGAAGTGGCGATACATCCAGGGCATCTAGAGCAGTCCCAAGTGTCAGTGTCGGCATCAGATGATCTCGGTTGCATTTACGAGAACATTTAAGACATTCGCCAGGCAACTTCGGGGAATTTCTAGCCGAGTCGAAACGTACCGAGCATTGCTGTAACTTCGGAGAGCTTATTCGGCTGAGTCGAGTCGTACAGGAGTAGTACTCCATCTACCGTTGGCACCGAATCATCTCTGCCCACGCAAGGCCAGCTGATCCGTTTATCCTGGTCGATGGCAACTTGCTTAAGATCGATCTCCAGCAGACGCACGATGTAGACCGCTCCATCCAATGACATCTTCTTCCTGGTCGAAGTCGAAGAGGGCGGGCTCTTCATATCCAGCGCGCATTTGATAAAGCTGGTCTTCCCGGCGTCGTCTTCGCCCACCACGGCAATGGTCACTTCGGGGAAGCCAGTCTTGAACGGTTCCTGCAGAGTCACAAAGAGCTACAGTTAGTAATCAGATGGTTCTCTTGAGCACTTCCCCAGAATTCCCCCAGGAATGTCTGCATTTATCACTTTCAGGGATATCCAGGAATCTTCTCCGCACGTACCTCGTCACCGTGTCGGGAACGAGATTGTCTCAAGGCACCGGTGCTTGCCGACATTCCAGAGAGACTCTCGTCTTCTTCGACCAGTCTTTGACCACCCATAGTCCCCACACTCGGTCTTCGCCCATTGTCTACTCTGTATAGGTCCCCGTGGGGAGCGGAAGCGGTGCGGTCACCCATCCCGGGCCGTGACGGAGCTCCTGCGGCTATCGCCTGTGCCCTATCACTGAAAGCCCGCTCGCGGCGGGATTGTGAAGTCATGGCGGGGGGCAAGGAGCAACGCCTCTAGGGCGAACGGATCGGAGCCAACGAGCGGAAGGTGATTAATGCGACAGTTCGAGGTCACGCTGCAGCGTATCCATTGCTGCCTAAGGGATCAGAGTCGAGAGACAACCATCCGAGGTATAGAGGGGGAGGATAAAGGAGGTCACTGAGGTTCAATCGAGAGTTAGGCCCGAGCTAGAAACCGGAGGGGGAGGAGCAGGAGCAGCTTGTACCGGATCTCCAATACGTTTGACTGGAGAGTGAACCGTGGAACGGGTGTGGGAACCGGACACTTGGAAAGCAAACACCGGGAATCACCTCAAATTCATAAATGTGATGGGAGAGAGTAAATAATTTTGGGGTTTAATTTTCGGGGAGCTGAAGTGCCGGAGTCTTGGTGTCGGTGGCCCGTTCTCCAGATCTTTTGCCCGTCGACCTATCCATTTCCGATGCATTCATTCGCTGAATTGAGAGAGCTGAACCTGAACACATGGCTTCAGCTGGGAAATTTGTCGCATCTACGTAATTCTCTTGGGCCATTCGGAGATACTCGTTCAGTGCTGAGTATACACAGCAAATCCCTGTGATGGCCTCTCGTGCAGTCCGATACGGTAGAAATCACATTCCCGTGTTGTGGTCTTCACCCATTCGACCATTTGACAGCTCCTGCAGAGAACTCTCCCCCCTTCCCCTTCCCCTTCCCCTTCCGGATCTTTCCAGGGGGTCACCTCTCCGCGCAGGCTGATCATCACTGATCACCGTGCTCGTATCCCCTCCAACGTCCTATAGGACGAGGTCGTCTCACACAGTTCTCTACAATCCCCAACAAACCGCGTAATCCTTCGAGACGGCGATTTCTTTCCTCGTGCTGGATGGCCAGTTCCGACTCATCTACTTTCACGCCCGTGCGAGGTATCCGGTTTTTCGGATATTGCATGCCGCTCGTTGGTCTCTAGTGGCCTGGCCGCGCTGGGTCTCCGCTCCAGGGGGTGGTAAATCACTGGATCAATGGGCTGAACTGGATACGCTAAACTAAACCCACCCGAGGCCTCGGTTGCGTAGATTTAAATTCAGTGCCTAATGTCAGACAACAGTCTATGGATGACCCCATACTCGCATACTCGAATTATGACATTTCCACAATTGACGCTGTTTGAGAGGCATTTCACCTAGCCTCAATGTAGCGTATAATGATACACCCGGTCTCGGTCTCATCGTCCCGCAATGACACCGTGCCAATATCAAACCCCTGCGCCAATCCCCGGATACATTCTCGGATTTGAGGGACCCAATTATGTCGCGTGTTGCTGTTCCGACTGTTCTTGCTGACCATGGACCAGGGCCAGAAATTGCATAAACGCCTCTGCGTCGGTGCCCGTCTCTGTTCCCTCTTCGCAATCATGCCTAAACTTCCGTACCCTGCCTAGGCCGCGGTTGAACCCTTTCTCCGCTGTCCATGGACCTCGACTACGGCGAGTCGGAGCTCTGCCTCCTCGGCCATGACCACGCCCTCGCGTGGGAGGGGTGTACCACTCTACCCATTGGTCTTCCTGTGTTCCTCGATATATCTCGTGCAACTGATTGCGGAGCTGAGGGTGGCGGAGAAGCAGCTCTTTGAGCTCTGGAGACGTAGCTATAGACCCGGGAAAGCTCTGAGATTGCTTGGTCTCGTGACCCCCTGCCTCTTGAATGTGATCTCCATTCTGCAGTGGCGGAGTGGTGGTTGTGGTCGCAGGTGCGTCGGGAGTCTCGTTAGTCGGAGATGCCTTGGGGGCACAGTAGATCTTATGAGACTGTGTGCAGGCAAGCGAGCAGCTAAATCAAGAACAATAGATATCAGTAACATGGCAGGGTATATATGGGGTAGATTTGGAAGCCATACCTCATCAGTCCGCATGTTGGACAGCGATATTTAGAGGGCTCCAAAGAACACACTTCACAGGAGCCGGCCATTTTTTTCAGATAAACGGTACCTTATTGATTCGGGCCGCATCCATTGCACCCGTTGAGTTAGTACTCCAGGTTCGGGAAATGTAGTGTTCTGCCCTGCAGCGAAATCCTATTTGAGCATCGGGCAAAAATAAAAAGAGCGCGGATATTATGGCCTCAGGTTTCAGGCCACTATGCCCCGCGTGATCTCCTGTGTGGCTTCACGTGACCTAGATCATCATTATCCTTAATTGTCGTATCTTTGTTAAAATGTACGGAATTGATGGGATTTCTGGAAATCCCATGCTTAGGGGCTTGGATACTCGATCTGACTGCCCAGCCTCGGAAATATGGAGCCCCTGAGACGCTTTATGTATCTTACTGCTTAATGAGCCTCTTAAAAGCCGACTCAACGGCTTTAGTCCTTATCAATTTGCCTCGGGATGGGTGGTGTGAGATACCAGTCCAAAAGTTGCAACACCTACCGACGGAGAAAATTCAGGTGAGCAAATTCGGAATGAGCGGTTGGGCTCACGGCCCAATATTCTGCATTGAACTTTGACCCTTATCTAGTGTGATGAACCCAAGTGAAGAATGGTCACATCCGCAGCGGATATGAGAGGCTTATGTTTTTATCCATAAATCGACTGACAGCATGATCCCAGTCCGTCGACGAGAGCCAGCCAGGAAGAAAGTAATCAAAGTAGATGATGCATCTAGTTCACGCGGTGTGGATCCCGATATTTCTCGTCTTGATGTCAATCCTGGAGTCCGAGCTTTCTCTTGATATCAACACCGATGAAGGTGGATACTCGTTGACAGTCGAGCCCTCACCTAGCCGACAGGCTACTTGCAAATCCAGACTGCCATCCAAATGTTGAAGCCGTGCATGTTCCTGATCTGGATGCACTAGGTCACTTACTGCGACAAGTCAATTCAAACAGAGGTGCTTTTGGATTTCAGCCTTTCCCGGATATAGATATCTACATACTTAATCAAGGGCTCAATATCAGGAATTGGAGAACTAATGACTATGAAACTACCGGGCTAACCTGCCCATATGTGGCATTTTATTCAACACATTCATCACCCTATCACGCCAGAGTACACCATAGAATACGTAAGAGCACATGGATCTCTCACTTGGTACAAAAACAAATCAACTCTCATCCATATTCTATGCAGATTAGCTTCCGAATTTCGGCACATAGATCTCAAACACCTGTACCCTCATTGGCTGCCGACCAATCTGCATTTGTCATCCTCGATGATTAATTGCACGTGACCATCAAATTGCGTCAGAGTCGGACCCCCGGCGCCTCGTCAACTTTCTTAAACATATTTGTACATAGAACTCTGCCTTTCATATTTTGACACTCCATCTTCAGATATGTCTGTGAGCTCTACATCTACAAGCATGCTCCGGCGCGCATTGCGTGGCACCCGGTTGACGTCCGTCTCCGATGCCTGCGCCCGTACTGTGAGGCCCGTGGCCTTCGCGCCCTCCAGGACCGTGGCCAGCGCCGCTCGTCTTCCCACAATTACAGCCTCAGAGATTCGTCGCCGGCCAACGGTACGACCCTACCAACAACCCATGGCGCAAAGTGGTGTTGTTGGGTCACCATCCAGCAAACGGACGATCTTTATCCAGACCGAAAATACCCCGAACCCCGATGTGAGTTATTTGTTCTGTAAAAGATGTCCAGCGATTCTAACGGCCCATTCAGGCTTTGAAATTCATTCCCAATTCTCGCGTTCTCCCCGAGGACTTTCCTACCTCCTTCCTTGAATACCTTTCTCCCCGCGCCACTCTCGCTCCGCCGCACCCTTCTCCTCTTGCCGCCAAGCTGCTTGACTCAGAAGGTGTCACATCAGTCTTCTACGGGCCTGATTTCATCACTGTGACCAAGGCCTCCGATGCGAACTGGGCGCACATCAAGCCCGAGGTGTTCAGCCTGATCACGCAGGCCGTGACCGCGGGCGAGACTATCGTCTCCGTTGTGGAGGGCTCCTCCGCTGACAGCGCCGAAGGCGGCGCGGATGACTCCCTTGCTTATAATGAAGATGATGACGAGGTGGTCGGTATGATCAAGGAGCTTTTGGAGACGCGCATTCGCCCGGCTATCCAGGAGGACGGTGGAGATATCGAGCTGAGGGGATTCGAGGATGGTATTGTCATGCTGAAGCTGCGTGGTGCTTGCCGTACCTGCGATTCCAGCACGGTGACGCTCAAGAATGGTATTGAGTCGATGTTGATGCACTATGTGAGTAACTCTATTCCTGCCTTTATACTGTCTAAGTACTAATCTTGATTGAACAGATTGAGGAAGTCAAGGGTGTTGAGCAGGTCATGGATGAGGAAGAGGTGGTCTCGATGCACGAGTTTGCTCGCTTCGAGGAGAAGCTGCGCCAGCAGAAGGGCGCTGCGGCTACTGCCGGCTCTTCGCTGGACAGTGCACCGTAAATGGATGCACTTGCTTGCTGCACATTTTATGTGATGGCCCGAGGCCCTCGTCATTGCGATCTTCAAACCAAAACTGTACAATATTTACATCCAGCGATACCTCTCGTTAATTGACTTAACAGTGCCAGCGTTCTATGTACGCTATCGCTCCGCTATGAATTCGTAGAAAATCTACGGTAGAAAATGTGACCGGGCCTATTAGTTCTAGACCTATGTTCGTCTCATACAAACAAAGCGATGATCTAGATGAGTCTAGTCAGCGTAGAGGGGAAACTGGACAAAGCCCACTTCGCGGGGATTTGATCAGGCGGGGGAGCTTCCATTTCCGTCCCGGGCCAGTGAGACGCCTTCAACGCCTTCAACGCCCCTCTTTGTCCCCGTCCACATGTGCAGCAACGACCTAGATTTCCTTCGCGTCCTGGAATATGAGACCATGATGGAGTGGCGGGACATGCTTGCACGATACCAGCCCACTTACGTCAACAACCAGTTCCAGAGCTGCACGAATCTGGTGGTCATCGAATGATGCAGAGGGAACCGGAGGCTCGGGGAAGCAGATGATTCGCGTCCGTGGCAGTAATGGAAGTCATGGAGTCAAGGGTGAAATTAGGTTGGTGCCGGGGGGGGAAAAAGCCATTTCGCCCAGGGTATCTCTTTCTGTGTCACGGATTCTGTGGTACCGTGAAGTTGATCGATGGACGGGGATGTGCAAAGTAGCCACTCCTCAGTCGTAGGGAAGAAGACCCCGAAAAGTCCGATCGACCCTGAACGCTCGACCACGGGCGGGGGGCCGATGCATGAGCTCTCCCCGCAAAAAGTCGAAAAGTCGAAAAAAGTAGAAAAGCACGGGGACATGAGAACGCCAATGCAGAAGACGAGGATGGACCCAGCGCGACCACGCCGATTGGATGCATCCCTACGAGGACAATGATGCGGCAATCCGGGGTACGTGATCCAGGTGACCTTGAATGACTTCATGACACCCTGGCTCGCATACCCTGACCTCCCTACAGGACACCTCCATACACCCCCATACTCACTACCCCGCAAGTGTGCGACCCGATGCATGGGCCGTGTGCTGACAGGGGCTGCATCCCGTTGTGGTCCTCGCTTCATAAACCCCGCCAGACGATCGGCTTCGACCTCCCTCGAGAGACCCGCACGACCCAGACTAACCCTATATGGGGCGTAGTGGCACCCTCCCTTGGGAGGTGGGTTAAAGGCCTTGGCCAGTGATGCGCTGCGGAATGTAGGCCACTAGGCCCACTGGTATATCGTAGAATCAAAGTTGAAGCAGAGTTGTACCAGTTGTAGCACGCCGTGGAATCACCTTGTGGTCCGTGTCCCCTGAGCATCAATTCGGGGCGACGTTGCCAGATCCGTCACTCCACCTTTTCCCCCGCCTTCTCCTCATTCTTCTTTCTTTCTTCTTCGCACTCCCCCTTTAATTCATCGACATGCACCGCCCTTGAAGGGTTTCGGTTGCTCTGCACTGCCCATCTTTTTCCCTCTAGAGTTGAGACGTGAGAAGCGAGAAGTGAGAAGCAAGAAGCAAGAAGCAAGAAGCAAGAAACGAGAAGCGAGACGTGAGAAGACAGACTAAAAAGACGAGTCGCGTGAGGTAGAGAGATCCGAGAATCCCGTTCGTTCTTCCTCCTACTCGAATTCGCGCACAACTGCAAAGTCCAAATTCGAACGTCACAAGTCCCAGTCCCAAAAGTCCGCATCCGTTCGCCCCGGAACCGCGGTCGCTTCGACTACCCTCGAGTCTTCTGACGAGACCCACGATCCCGCGCATCTGCTTCTGGATAGATTTCCTGCCATCTATTAGAGTGGTGAGTCGCCTTTCGGGGTTTCCCCTCCTTGCGACAGCTACTCACATCTGGGGAATCTTGGCAGACACGATTACGATTACGATCTCCTTTCCCTCTGATTTTTTACCCCGATACAAGGCGTGTGAGACTCGGGTCACGGTAAACTCTAGATTATTGTCTTTACAAGGTACGTTGGTCATACTCCGAGCTTCGTGTCGTCTCTGCTTTCTGCTCTCTGCTTTCTGCTCTCTGCTCCTTGGCCCGCATTCTGCGGGATATGCGACAGGAGAGCTCCACGCTGGGGGTCGGCAGTGTGTCGCGTGCAACCTGCGGACTTTGTCATTCTCTAGCCTTCCGTGCCTCCTGAACCCATGCGAGATACTGGACACGATGTGGGTAGGCCATGCGCTACTGCAGCGCGTTGAAACAGTCGGAGCCCCCGCTTTGTCACGATGAGGCTCAGTCATGCCACCCACACGTGCTCCCCTCGAGACATCAGGATTCTCTCCCTCTTTCTTGCCTTTCTCTTTACACATTATCTACTTCTTTCTTTTTCATGACCGCTGATGTCGCTCAATCCAGTGCTGCGCATACCGCATCCCACCAGCCGTCCCTCGTGTCGTCGAAAGATCGAGGTTGGCTATTAATCTCCAACTTCAGGCGCGTGAAACAAAGACTGGTGCTTTGTCG